GGAGGGGGGGGGAGAGGGGAAAAGGCAGAAGGGGACACAAAGGATGCACCTCAAACGTGCACGCACACACACACTCACACTTTAGGCCTTTATATCTAAATTTCAATTTCCAGTTTAAATTATTATTAGAAAAATTGTTGTCGTCTTATTATGCAGGCTACCACAAAGTTCTACCAAAAAGTCACTAATCAGCTGAAGAAAAAATCGCCACTCTCAAAATGTTCCATTTTCCCTCAAATGGCCAGATCTGGTTTTCCAACTACACGTATGCGTCCATAGTGCTGAATTTGTAATAGCTCCTCGACTATTAGAAGGATAAGCCTCGTTATCCTAGGCCTAAGAAATAGCCCTTGACTATTAAAAGGATAAGCCTCGTTATCCGCGGCCTCTTTTTTGAGTCCCCGACTTCAAAAGTCCCAGTGGATAGAAGTTTAAATTCTCCACCTTCTTAGAAGTGCGTGATATCTCACTGCCCCAATGCTTTTTGAGAAGATAAATTGGATTTCCTGCCTTCAAAGACGATTTAAATTTAGTTTCTTTTTAGAAAAATTTGGTTTTACCTTGTCCATGTGGATGTCCAGAAACTCTAGTTCTGCCGTCAACTTCAATCCGGAGACTGGCCATGCCTCAAAGATGGAGTCCTCAAAGCAGTTCTGAATGAAGAAGGTCTCACCGCTGCTCCAACTCCATGTTTGAGGCATCCTCAGTTCCGCAGTAAAGCATGTTGGCATCCGGCGCAAGAAGGACCAAAATAATGTGAATAAACTAGTCACATTTGAACAACATAATCTCTTTAATACATGTTGTCAGCCGCTGGTTCGAAACTACAGGTTATCTGGACATCAGCACAAACAGACAAGTTACAGACTACACCAGTCTGGGTTTCTGCTGGATGGAAAGCAGCAGAGTGACAAAGAAATGAACCAAAGAGCTCTCGTCTTATACCCTGATAATTTGAAACACATGTGACCATATGTCCCACCATCCTTAGGTGAAGACAATACCTTCTCTTCTGTTCAGGACACACAAATAGCCCCTGTGTGAATAAGCCTGAGGCTACTCTAAACAGATGTTCTCTACGCTCTTCTTAATTTAACTTCCTGTGTTTCATGGGGGATGGAAGAGAATGCTGCTGATGCGCCCATCACACAGTAGCTATCTAAACCTTGAATATATTCTAATTCACTTTAATGAAAATCCAACAACTCTACTAACACTTTGCTTCGTATTGCTTTGCTGGGAGCTTGCGAGGAAGCCAGTAGGGGTTGTGCAGCCAGGATGGCGGACGCGTCTGGGCTGATGTAGGCGGAGAAAGCCGAAGAGGACCAGCCCCCCAGCTGTTGGAGAGGTGTGGGGGAGCCCCAGCGAGGCCGCGCGCGTGGCAGCGCCTATCCTGAAGGAGTGGGCTGTGTAGAGCTGGGGAGACAGATTGCAGAGGAGCAGTAGGGATCTTAGTTGAGCTCTGAACCAGGTTGCTGTCATGGGAAGGTTGTCTGGAGAGAGATGTGTCGGAGCGAGCTATTATTATGTTGCAGGCGCCTTGGTCTTTGAATGTTTGAGATGCAGGTTGAAAGGGTCAGGGGACATTATGTTGGGTGAAAAAGAGCGACCTTTGTGTGATGCTTCCACTACGTCGAGATTATCGCGCATGACAGAGATCCTCTTTCTCTGCCACGTGTGATTCCACGGCGCGCAGCCACGACCACTGGGAATATCTCGTGTAGGGCAGAGGAGGTGCTCCGGTGGAAGTAGCGGCCACGGCCCGGCAACCCAATGGTCCTGGAAGAATCCCCCAAAACCCACGGAAGGGGCACGTCCGTGTAGAAGCGGAGACCTGTAGGGGCAGAGACATGTCGGAGAGGGCCATTGATGTTGCAGGCGCCCTTACGCTTAGAATCTTGGGTCGGAGAGTAGATAATCAGGATAGTAGGATGGTCGGGAAGCCGCGTCTCGGACCGCATGAAGGTTGAGCGAGCAGTAGTGGACGCTTATGCAGAGAAGTCATGGAAGGCGAGCAGGAAGATGCTGCGAGGAGGGCAGACATGTACTTGGAAGACGAGCCAGAGTTCAGTGCCGCTCAGAGCCGCTGCAGGATGGGCAGCACGACGGGGGAGCCTGCGATCAGAAGAGTGAAGAATACAGGTATGGATGCCTTTGATTAGGAGTCCGATTGACGGCTCAGCGCAGCTACTCGGCCAGCTGCATCTGATAAAATCAGAAGATTAGGTAGAGAGATGAAGCATGACCGCCGAAGCGACCCTGGGAGCATAGGTACGAGGCCAGCGCGGCGCGGCATACTCAGCCGGGCAGCATCCATTAGAAACAGGATAAGCTTCTGAGAGAGTGGGTTGCAGCAGTAGCGGTAGCAGCAGCGGCAGCAGCAGTACCTCAGATAATAACGCGATAACCTGTATCAAGCCGCGGCAGCAGCAGCAGCAGCAGTAGCAGCATCCTTAGAGATTACAGTAATAATCCTGTATCAAGCCACAGCAGTAGAATGTTGTCGTAGCTGATCAGTGTTTCAGTAAAAGAGATGCAAGTGAAGAGAGATGGCAAGTAAATGAAGCAGCAGTAGTAGCGCAGTAGCCGTATGGAGCAGCAGCAGCAGCAGTAGTAGCCGTATGAAGCAGCAGCAGCAGTAGCAGCAGCAGCAGCTGCAGCGTCCGTAGATAATAACAGCAATGATCCTGTATCAAAGCCACGGCAGTAGAATGTTGTTGTAGCTGTTCAGTGTGAGGGATTTCAACAGGTTTTTTACGGTCCAAATGATTTAACAGGTTTTACGGTCCAAGTGAGGGATTAACTGAGCCCGCAGTCCAAGTGAGGAGTTTAAACTAATTTTTTTCTTTTTTTTTTTTTTTTTTTTTTTTTTTTATTCATTTATTTATTTATTTATTTATATTTATTTATTTATGTTTATTTATATTTATTTATATGTATTTATTTATGCATTTATTTATTTTTAAAATATAGCGTTCCAGATATAGGCAGTACCATATATGCAGTTCCATGTACTGCATAACAGTTCCAGGTATAACCGTACCATATGAGCAGTTCCAATATAGCGGTTCCATATATAAGCAGTTCCAGATACGGTACAACAGTTCCAGATATAAGTAGTTCCAGGTATAAGCATTTCCAGCTATAAGCATTTCCAGATATAAGCATTTCCAGATATAAGCATTTCCAGATATAGGCATTTCCAGATATAGGCATTTCCAGATATAGCAGTTCCGTGAGGGATTAACCTGAGAGCTCACAGACCAATGTAAGGGATTCATTTTGGGAGCCGCAGTCCGAGAGAGATTTAAACAGCGCTTGCAGTCCAAAAAGAGGGATTTAAACAGAGCTCGTAGTCCAGGGAGGGATTTAAACAGAGCCTGCAGGCCAAGTGAGGGATTAAAACTGAGAGCATGCGGTCCAATGTGAGGGATTTAAACAGCGCTTGCAGTCCAGAGAGGGATTTAAACAGAGCCTGCAGGCCAAAGTGAGGGATTAAAACTGAGAGCATGCGGTCCAATGTGAGGGATTTAAACAGCGCTTGCAGTCCAGAGAGCGATTTAAACAGAGCCTGCAGGCCAAAGTGAGGGATTAAAACTGAGAGCATGCGGTCCAATGAGAGGGATTAAAACTGAGGTCTTGCATTCCAATGTGAGGGATTAAACGGAGCTTGCAGTCAGAGTGAAGATTTAACGGAGCTTGGTTAAAGAGAGCCTGCAGACCAATGCGAGGGCTTTAAACTGAAGCCTGCCCACCAGCACGGGGCCAACTGAGTCTGCAGAACTATGCGAGGGGAATAAACCGTCCGCGGATCTCATACTTACCCACGGCGCCAGAAGACAAGGGACAACACAACGGGACCACACCGTACCGGCACAAGGAGGCAGGGATGCGCACGGCTCCCACCGCACCGGGCTAGACCGGCCGTATGCAGCAGCAGGCCGCGACGAGACGAGCAGCGGCAAACCCGCGGAAAGAGCCCGCAAAGGAGGAGAGCGGCAAAGACCCACGGACCACGCACGAGACCCGCAGCAGGTGCAGCCACAGGAGGAGCAGACCACACGCAGCAAGACAGAGGACAGCAGGGACACACACGAGAAAGCGTGAGTAGACAAAAGCGATTCCTCCAGAACGATTCTTTGCGAGGCTGCAGGAGCATGCGAGGCTTCAGGAGGCCGGTAGTGGGAGTTGCTCCGTTTTTATGCGGCTGCGAGTCGGTACAGATGATTGGAAGGGGGCGTCTGCTGAGCAATAGGCTGGGGATGAGAGCCGGCCTGGAGGGGGTAAATTTGGTTAACGTCTACCAAATTGAATTTTCGCGGGCTGCATGAGTCCAGCGTTTAACAGGCACAGATGCCATTTCATTCAAACTAATGAGTCATTCGATTCATTAACATAGTATTTGTATATCCCTAATTTACAACAGAAGTCGTCTTGGAGGACTTTGTAAACTCTGGAAATGTTACAACATTTTAGTATTGTACCTCTGTGCTATTATAAAATAAATATGTACAATGAACTGGTAAGAAAAGTAGATGGACAATTGTTGCTTTGGCTTCCATTGGCCTTATAAAGTAAACTCCTCTTGCTCAGTAACCGTCTGCGTCACACTCACCCTTTTGGGCTGACTCTGTGGTTTAGTGCTCTCTGTGATCCTGAGGTTTTTATTTTCATAATGTCTTTGTACATTTTTTCTGCTTTTGCTTTGGTCCAGTGTTTGAGCCAAACCTCTGCCACACTACTGCCTCATGGAGATGAAGACATATGCAAACACTTTTTCACTTTTATAAAAGCCTTATCTGCCTAGAGTCATTTGTATTCCTCCGACACCTTGCCATGTAATTATTAAAGTCATAATCCAGTTGACCTTGCTCAAGAGAAAATAAACAAAAGTCATAACAAATAGCTGCATTATCGTGGAGAGTGGGGAATACTATTATTTTAATTATGTCTAGACACTGTTGACCTTAATGCTGTCTTTTTTTTTTCCTACTTTGCAGCCAGCGCCATCATCTCGGTGGTTTTCCTGAAGGAGACTGTTCGCGCCTCTGACATCCTCGGTAATATAACGCTGCTGACACCTGCAGATTACACTTCACGTTTGGAAATCAAAGCGTCTACGGTTTTTGCAAAAACATTTCTGAATGAGATCATCACAAATCGTCACCCCATTCCTGAGTCGTTTGCATAGTCTGTTGCTGTCTGTTGTGATGAGCCATTTTGTCTGTCATTATACGATTTAGATTCAGCCGCCAAATGACACGATGGCGTTCACAATGATGATTTTGAATATGAGGAGAGCGCTTTCACATCAGCCTCACACGGTGATTACTTCCCTCTGCATTTATGCTGCTTGTGCAATTGTCAAACTCATCAGCCTCCTATTGGATCAAGGGAACAGGAGACGGGTTTTATTCATGCTGTTGATTGATGGTTCGACAGTGGAGCCACTTTCAGGCAGCTGAAGAATAATTAGTAATTGGGGCGTTTCTTAGTAGGTGGCCAAACACGGAAGAATTCATTTTATTCCCAAAGATGATGAAAATGGACATATGGATATCACAGCATTCCTGAGTGTGTGTTTCTGGTCTGTAACATGGTCCAAAGAAGTGTTGCACCGCTGTGGGACCCATAGACTGTGATTATTAACTGTGGGACCAGGGATGGAATATATAAGTTAATGCTGGTCATACAAACATTATTTAAACATTATTATTATTACTGAATTTGTTGAAAAGAAAATATTCTCAAGAATCAAGAAACCCTATCAATTAAATATGAAAGTTCTGGGGAACATATCAAACAGTATCAAAGCAGTCAAATCAATGCATTTTATATACTATAAGCAATGCGGTTAATATATGTATTTTATTTGTGGTGGAGTTCTCTGAGCAGACGTTATGGACTTATTATTTTGACTCCTATCATGTTTTAGTAGCTATAGGATTGATACAGGCATGGAAGCTAACGGTTAAGATTAAGCTAAACACCTCATCATTAAATCAATCTACTCCATTAATACATGACAATCTGCTTATATTCAGGTGTGACTTATATGTGGACAAAATGTACTTTATTTTAAAATGGTGCAGTTCAGCTTATACTAAGGTGAACCTAAACCTCGACGATGTTGATGTTGATCTAACTGTATTATAACTGTACACATAGCTGTAAACATCAATGGTGTGAACCTACATGCCACAAATATAGGTCAACTTATGTATTATTATGTAACAATTCTTTGATGGAAAGAATGATGTATCTTAATCTTTTCATATTAATACACAATTTCTAAGTACCGTGTAGATAATTATTTGTGCAGAAACTGGCAGGAGTAAGTTGTTAAATTGTATATTGAGAAAGCAAAATGATTGTCTTGCTCTTACTGTATTTCTCATCTTTATCCAGGATCACTCACACTGTCTCTCCACAGGTGGGACTCTGGCGATCGCAGGAACCTACCTGCTGGTTACATTTGCCCCCCACAACATCGCCTTGGTAACGGCCCAAATGGTCCACTACAACTTCATCAGCTGGTACTTCTTGGCTTATATGGTAGGTGCTTCAGTATTTGTAAAGGTGATAATCATGAGTTTATTGAGTTTAGACATTTATTTGGCCGTGAGTCAACACAAGAACAATTGTATACTCAAAATGTATATATTTTACAGAAAGAAAGGGTGAGACTCAAATTTGTCACCTATTTCACCTAAATCCAGTCACAAACAGTACATAAAATATAACATTTCAAATTAATTCAAATATTAAAACTTGACTTTACTGTAACATTAATAGCAATAATGTTTACCTATATGCAGAGGTATATACAGTACTGTACATACATACAGGTGAAACTCAATTCAACTTACAATGTGACAATTATTCATGATTCAAGATTCATGACACACAATGTGAGATATATCAGGCCTTGTTTGTTAAAATGTTCATAATTATGGCTCACAGCTTGTAAAAACCCCAACAAAATTATAATATAAAAAAAAAAAGGACTCTAAGCCATGATCATCAAAATTATAACAAACAAAGGCATATGTAACTGTGAATGTGAAGAGTCTATATCATGTATTGGTTTCACATTTCAAGTGGAATTACAGAAATACGTGAAATTTTGAACAATATACATAAGTCTCACCTGTATATACATAAGTCTCATCTGTATGTACATAACAAGACTATAACTCTCATTTAAATGATCAAACATCCATCACTCATACATGTAAGCTAATAATGTTTTAGTACTGTTGTCAATCATATACACTCTCTGGACTATGAAACCTGTATTGAGTGTGTATACTGTAAATCAGCAGCCTTGATAATCTGGCCTCATGAACCATGCAGGTCTGGTATTCAAAGGCAGCTCTCAGCAGCACTGGGTCGTGCGCTGCATTAGCACTGGCCCACTTACGCTCTGGTCCAGGGACACTCCTCTCTTACACACTTTCCAAAGGCATAAACATCACCACTGTTTCCATAGTGAGATAAGAAAAGAGGAAAAGTGTCTTCAAAAGATAAGATAAGATAAACCTTTATTAGTCTCACAGTGGAGAAATTTCAGAGAAGATGCTCATTACTGAAAATACTGAGAAACTTGTTTGTGTTTCTCAGGTTTGGCCTAAAAAGATGAAAGAGAACTGTGTAGAGCGACATGTGCGATTCAAACCTGTACTTTCACTGTGACGACCATTGACAATTTAAATATGTCAGAACAGTGCACCTTGTGAAAACTAAGTTAAGATTAAGATTAAGACATTCTTAATTTGTCCCACAGTGGGGACATTTCAGTGTTGCATCACAAGTTACAGAACAGTGGGAATGAGGAGCAGACAGCACAAAATAAAAAATGAATAATAACTCTGTACTAAAATAAAATCAAATCAAATCTCTAACTCTACCATAAAAATCAGTTTATCTATAGGTTAGATTTTTACAACAGGCAGTTATAAAGTAGCCAACATGGTTTTAAAAATATCTTGATGACATTTGACAGAAAATTGTTCTAGCACAGTTCATACACATTAACCCTAAATCAAAGTGCCTAACAATAATAGATAGAAACCAAATGATACATTAAAATCGGGCATTAAAATCATACAAATCACAGTACATAAAAAACGCTGCCTCTTCATGTTTAGTCCTCACTCTGGGCACCAGGAGAGGCTGTATTATTGGCCATGGTGGTATTAGACTTAAGAGTATGTTTACACCATATTCACTTGGTCTGGTTCACTTTCACTGGACATATCTGTTCCAAAAGAAGTAAAGTGACTGGAATACTGTGAACGGTTGTTTTGATCGGCTTAGGGTTATTTTGGTTTTACATCCACAAATAATAAAGGATTGAATGATGACGATGAAACGACTGAGACACAGATGAAACACATTAGGGCGGGGCAGACGATAAGAACAGGGGACCAGGACAGGAAGTCAAACTAAAATGAAATCACAAAAATAAAACAAATTAACAAATAATCCACACCGTGACACTTTTGCCTCACGTGAACCAGAATTGGTCCAGGTAAAGTGAACCAGACCAACAAGTTTGATCCGATCTGTAAACATTGGGCCTCATTCACGAACGGTTCTTAGGAACAGATTTGTACGTAAATCCTACTTACGCGGTTTTTACGAAGAAAGTGGCATTCACGAATATTTCTCGTAACCAGAATTTCTCTTGGGCAAGTACAAATCCTACGAGTCCTCAGGAGCACTCGTACGCATTCAGTGCCGACATGTTCACACGCCGGGGTTGTCCTCTTTGGTGAAGTTTAATAAAAATACAACATTCCAGTGATATGTCCGTCATATCGATGCATGTATTTATTTATTTGTAGTAATCTTTATTAGTAATCTTTATTTATATACCGCCTTTTTCACTGCAGATCTGGCCTACTTTTTAATTCATTTTGAAATGAAATGTGCCAACGCTTTATCAAATACATTGGAAATCTTGCCGTGTATTAGTGACCCCTTCCTATTTATAGGGGGCATTTCTTTATCCACGGGCCACAGAACAACGGCATATATACTGCTGCTGCAGGAGGTTACTGGGTCCGCGCTGAGTCTCTGCGCTGGTCTCTCCTATGGATCTATACGGGTCTGCACTGGTCTCTCCCATGGATCTATACGGGTCTGCGCTGGTGTCTCCCATGGATCTATACGGGTCTGCACTGGTCTCTCCATACGGATCCGCGCTGGTCTCTCAAGTCTGGTCTATGCGGTCTCTCTTCGGTCCGCGCTGGTCTCTGCGCACCGGTCTCTCCAGTCAGGTCACTCCAGTCTATGCGGTCTCTCCTATAGGTCCGCGCTGGTTTCTGTGTGCTGGTCACTCCAGTCTCTCCTCGGGTCTGCATTGGTCTCAGCACTGGTCCGCGCTGGATCTCCTCCCAGGGTCCAAAATATTTTGAGATTAATCTCAAAACATTTTGAGATTCATCTTTAAAATAATACATAATATATTTTTAAATTAAGCTCATAACATTTTGAGATTAATCTCATCATATTCTTAGATTAATCTCATAATTTTGCTAGTTCGACTTTATTATCATAATATTTCGACTTTTAAGTCAACATTTTATAACTTTATTCTCAGTCTGGTAAAAGAAGAAAAAAGGGTGACTTTTGCTCCGTGTAAAGGCCTGTTGCTGTTTCCTCTGCCGTCTGCACACGGCCCTGCAGTCCCTTATATGGGCATTAGTGGGCGGTTACTTATGCTAAGTACCTATGGTAATGAAGCACCGGGCACGCGCGCTGTACTTACGAGGAAATGGGATTCATCAATCTGAGAGAACAGCTGCGAACAATTCAGCGGCTTACGAGTGCGTTGATGAATCCCACGTGGGGACTTCTTAGAAATCTACTTAAGGACAACTTGAGAAGAAAGTTGAGTAGTTTCTTACGAAGTTATTCGTGAATGAGGCCCATTGTTATCTGTTCCTCTATGCAGGCAAATCATTGACCCTGAAACAATAATTACATCCGTTATACTCCACTGCATCACAAAACCCCTGTGATCTGATTGTGGAGATTGATGCATCACGTTTCTAATTTCAGACAGCTCTGAGTGTGGAGCAGAAGCCACTAATTAATCCAAGTACAATGAAAAATCCATCAACGTCTGATTATTTCCAAAGGACAATCTCTTATCGCATCGTTTCATCTGTTCACTGACTTGACTGTCATTGACACAGTAAAGCGGGGTCAAAAGTCGAAAATAGAATCATGTGAGGAAATCCATAATTATTCCTCGCTCTGAAACGGTTGGGTCTATTACTCAATCAATCAAGAAACTTTTATTTCTATAGCGCCTCTCCTGCACAAGGCAACACAAAGCGCATACAAAAACACAAGAAATATTAAAAACTGAATAAAAACACAAGTGATTAAAAACCTTTAAACAGTAAAAACACACACAGGATTAAAATAATAAATAGCCACAATGCATTATCTCAGTTGTTGAGACAAAATAAAATGAAATATAATCCTTCAGTTGTATGCACGGCTAAACAGAACCGGATTTTGTCACAGCTTTAGATCGGCTTTTTTGTGACAAAATAGTGGAAAAGAGAGGTCCTCGTTCCCTCAGCCAATCAGCTCTTTAGCCCAAAGCATCAAATAGTGACTCACAGGGATCTGACAAGTATGTAATTTTTTTAAGATTCTTAGGTAGTTTTTCAATATTAATTTGGGCATAAGAGTATTGCCTTTATATGATTTTATGCTGGAAGATACATATGTTTTACTTGAGTATGAGACAGTGACTAATTATTCCACAGATTTTTTGACACACGTTCAACATTAAAATATTAAATAATGTTAATATGCCCCCAGGAAAACCTAATGATTACCGTCTATTTTTGAGTGGATTATGCTACTGTTATTAGTTTCACCGTTGGAGAAATGAATGTGGGATTGAGTTTGACAATAAAGAAACATCAAGACGTTCAGCGGACATCTCAGACTTTATGATTATTAAAAACAACAGAGAGCAGATACAGTACATTTGGATAATACATTATGCAGGATATTTTTGATTGGAGAAAACTCTGACCTGCCCAATGTGGGAAATCAGAGGAGTTTTGGGTGGGGTGGGAGGCTAGACAGAGAGAGGCAGACACGTAGCAAAGATGGGGGATAATGCCAAAAATGCTAAAATTGCACCATGGTAAACACAATAGATACAGCTCTTGTGATAAAATGATTCCTTAAGTCGATGCTCATTGAAAGGCAGGTTATTCTAGTCCTGAAACCTGTGTTGGTTGTATAAACATTCTGACCTTTCTCCTCTATAGAGTCAGGGCCTCTTGAACGGCTGAATACTGTATACTGTAACTCTCAAGAGTCGCCCGAGGCCTTTTCACTTCTGAAGTCAAGAAATGATTTAATTACTGTAGAAATTACTGTAACACATTACCACACTTTTCAAAGATTTTTCTGTAAATTGAATGAATGATCTTGGTTGTATATGTTTTCTCTGTGCAGATCACTGAAGTGGTCCTTTTCAGCTTGCTTCTGTTCTTGTACAAGATAAAGGAAGTGAAAAACATCGTGGTCGTGATGCTGTTGGTGGCTCTGTTGGGTATGCACTCAAACAAAGGAAAAACATACAGGCTGCACTGTGATGAAAACAGAATGGATGTGAATATACCAAAATAAATGCACACCAAGCCGTAGTATTTGTAGCATCTAATAACAATAAATCGTATACATACTGTCTATACCCTATCACATGCATATCCTATCAAATTTAAATGTTGCTACAAACAGAGCTAGAACTTAAATTTCTTTATGTCTTGATGGACAATGGTAAACCTCTGGCTCAGTGTTCCCCGCCCTTTATGAGCCGCGGCAAAACGTTTAAATTGATACAAAAATCCATCACGTGGAACACCAGAAGCTGAATCGGAGGCCAACATGGAACTCTGGTGCCTTTATCAACAATTTAATTCTTTCTCATCCAAGTGTATTCTATAGAAAACACATTATTTTGACCAATGAGGTGATCTAGAACTCCTCTCGCTCTGTAACATCATTTTTGAGCTTGCATTTTCCCGACTGTCTCTCAGATTCTTACATTTCAGTGATTGAATATACAGTGTGGTTAAATAATTCTATATTTCCATTTGAATTCATATTTTGTTTATGCTAAAGAGAATTGAGAAGCTATTGTACCCAGGTAAATTCCCTTCTGGATCAATTCAGTTTGATACAGAGTCAAAGTTATACTGACTGCCTGTTTTGCTTCTATAATACCATGCATAGAGATAGTAATGATAGCAATGAGGTGGAACTAGAATATTGTGATGAAGTTCATGTATTTCTGTAATTAAACTGTGAAACCGACACATGATAGACTCATTATAAGCCAGGGCTTTGTTTAGTATTTTTTTTTAAAGATTATGGCTTACATTATATTTTCAAAATATTAACAACATCATATTTTGTGGATAATGAGTCACATAATGAGTCATAAAAGAGATTATTTTTATTTTTATTTGTTATTTCTGCTCCTTTTCAAGACTACAATTATTTGAAATGTAATGTGAAGTATTGTCATGTCCACAGTTTAAATAAATAAATAAAATAAAGACATATATTAATTTCACAGTTTAATTACAGACTTTTGAGCAATACTTAACATTTCACAGTTTCACCTGTATTTGAGATCAACAAGGTCAAAACTAGTGTAGTCTGTGTGGCCTTCTTTGGAAGCAGATCCGATTCTAATTCATGTAAATATTGTTTCGTGCTGCCTCCTCAGCCTCTGTGACGGTGATCTCGGTCAAAGCCGTGTCGGGGATGCTCACTGAGACCTTCAAGGGAAGCCTGCAGCTCGTTTACCCCATTTTCTACGTCATGTTTGTGGTCATGGTTGCCTCCTGCGCCTTTCAGATCAAGTGAGTTCAGTTCCCATTCATAACAGACGAGAGAGCTTATTTAATCTTGAGCAAACTTTAGAAAATAGAGAGTTACATACAGAGGCAGTGGGAGAGTGACAAAGGCATTCAGTCGCAATAACCGAAGCCGTTCGTTCCACTTTTGTCCCGGTAGGTTTCTGAACGAGGCCATGAAAATGTTTGACGCAACTGAAGTGGTGCCAATCAACTATGTGTTTTTCACCACCAGCGCAATTATTGCAGGTACAACACTTTACTGCAATTACGTATTTTTTTTTTTGCTTTTTCTTCTGTGAAATTCAAGGTCAAAACAGTCGCAAAGAGATACAGTAATTATTGTGGTTTTTAATAACACCTGCAAACGCCTAATTCAACTCAGTTCAATGTATTTTTGTATAGCCCTAATTCACAACAGCAGGCGTCTCGGAGGGGATTTACAAATTTGTCGATTCGCCAACAACAGATCAGAGAATCAAACTATTTCTGGCCCGATTCAAGATTAATTGATTATGTCCCGTAGGAAATTTGTCTCTGACTCACAGGCTGCTACATTGAAAATTCACATTAGTCAGACGTAAAACACAACACAGCAACACAGACATAAACCGTGCCCGCTCTGCTCCATGGCCTGCATTCAGGAGGTTTGCAGATATATTATTAATAATAATAATAATAATAATGTTATTGCAGATATGGGTAGGAACGAGTTCTTGTACCGGTTATATCTTTTCTTATTTCTAGTTGGTACTTTGTAGCTGCGGCCCGATGGAAGGAGCTCATATTGAGAGTAGAGGACATGAGAAGGGTCTGAGGTGATTACATATCGAGAAGGTTATAAAACTAAACACAAGTCACAGAATGAAGCTCTTACCATCACAGTTTGGCCTGTTGTTTTTGTAGAAAATATGACTGAAATATTTTGTTTTGCTCCATGTGGATGAGCTGGCCATATAGTCCATAAAAACGGTAATGTCATTCCCTGGGGTCCTGGGTGCGTTGTGCTGGGACTTTAAAAGACTTGGGTCCAAACAAGTCGTCCCAGGTCTTAATTAAAACAGATAATTCAACAAAAAACAGATCAGCAATGTGGAAAATCCTCATTTGTCTGTTGGAAATTGAATGCAGTTAAATAGAAAATGCTCCCATAGCCTGATTTATGTGATTTCAGGATTTTAAGGACACGTTTGAATTGATTGAGATTTTGATTATTGTTGTCTATCCATTGGCTTGAAGCTGTTGTGAGTGTTTTTTATCCGTAAATTACTTGTAATCTCAGGTTATTTCACGTGTAAACTCAGCAGAACACCTGAAATTGCTCTGCTTTCTCATCCGCCAACTGTAAACATCATCTTTCTCTGTCAGATGTGTCAAATAAACCGCTCACCTCGGCTCAGCGCTGCCAACGATAATAACACACCCCCATCACCAATCTGCAGTTATTTCACTTTTGTCCACATCTCGTCCTCCCAGTTTTTGATTTTAATCAAACTGTTTGTTGCATGGATTTTACACATATTAATGTTTGTGTGATTGATATGGCAGGAATTATTTTCTATCAGGAGTTTGAAGACCTGGCTTTGCTCAACATCTTGATGTTTGTATTTGGGTAAGAGCAAGATTACATCAGATTCATTACATAAAAGTAAAAACATTATTTTATATATTTTTTGAAATTGTTACAGGTGTTTTCTGTCATTTCTTGGAGTTTTCCTAATCGCTCGAAACAGACCAAAGATAAAACAAGAAAATACAGATTTTATTCCAATGGATACTATTCGCGGTAAGAAGACAATTGCACTGTTTCATCAGTTCTAGTAAAAACGGTACGAACATAAAATTCCCAGCTTGTCAACAACTTTTCTAAATCACACCAGTTGTCTCAAAGGACTTAACAAAGTTGTCGATTCAGCAACAGATCAGAGAATCAAACAGTTCGAACGCAGGGAATGCAATATTAGCAAACACATAGGAGTCATAGGGAGCCGGATGAGCAATGTTCAAAAACGTGTCCTGGATCAATACTGTCCTTGGACCCTCCGGCATCAAAGGAACTGCTCTAAAGAACTGTGGGCATAAAGTAAGAAACCTCAGGGAGGCCCACATTGAGAGGGATCAGCTCCCACAAGCAGACAGGCTGCAGGACTGTAGAACAAGGCCTTTCATTTGCCGTACATATATATCTATTCAATTGCACATAAATACCCAAAACGTGACCCCACTCTGTAATTTTGAGTGAATACAAGTCAAAAGGGCTTCATAAGAGCATTATTTTCAGCAAAGGTTTTTCTGGCAACTCAGTAAATGTTAAACCTACACATTAGTATCTTTACCACTCCATGAAGTATTCAGATTAACAATGCACCATTGGTCAGGTCATACCGGACTTAAACTCTCCATGTGGTTGTGTATAATGAGCTGTGTCTGTGTTCACAGGGAGACAGCACCTCAGCAAAGTGCAGCCCGAGGCGCCTGTGCCATACGGATCACTGGCAGACAAACTTATGTGCAGCAGAGCGGGTCCATCTGACGACTCGTAACACTCCATCTGTGGACCACAAGTTCAGACCGCGTCACAAATGAGCAGCCATGCCAGGAGGCTCTGCAGTCCAGCGAATATTTTGTTTTGAAAGTTAAATTACTGAAATGTATTGAATAACATTTTCTTTAAAAAAGACAGTATAATGGTTCCCAACTCTTTGAGCAATAAATGTGTTTTTTAAAAAGGTGCTCTACTGCCCTCTAAAGGCGAGGACAGCACTCTGGATATAGCTTGTCTTCATTGGTCTACGAAAAAATATAGATTTTTTGCCATAACTTTCAGCTAAAGACAAAACCAGATCTTTTAAAAATGGACCTGCATTTAGTTTAGGTGAAGTTTACCTCCAATAAACCATAAGTGAATACACCAAACTTTAGTGTTGCTAAGCAACACTCTTCTTCCTCCCACTCAATTTGGGATCTGTGTAAGCAGAGCACACTTGGCCTGCAATGGTTTTATAGAAGAAAATATGGGACACATGAAGTGAACAAAAACACCAAGTATGAATCATTTTAATGCCTTTTCATTTTATAAAAATTAAACAGATCTCTTCTATAAATGTACATCTTGGAAGAACTTCAAGGCACAAACCAAAAAATAAGTTGAAGAGTCAAACTCAAACTAAGGCATTACATTAGGCAATTAGGAAACCGTTTCAAATGTATAACTTCGTAATGTTTTCAAATGAGGATTGGCTCAGACTTCTATGTTGGCCTTCACAAAGCGATAGTGTAGAGAAGTAGGGTTTCTCAGCAGTAAGACCCCTCTGTGCTCCATCGACTGCTTCTTGAGAGTCGTGATGAGACCAGACACACTGACCAACCCTAGCGCTTCGCCACATCCAGCTGTGAGGCAGAAGTCTCCTTGAGTTACCCAGCCCAGGGTGACACGGGAGCAGTGAGAGGTGACACTGGGCAAGGGGTCCGGCCATATCCCCAAAACATGGTTTGGAGAGGGGGACGATGATTTTGAGGCGATCGTTTTATCCTCCTGCACTTTCTTTGTTGCCTTCTTTTGTCTTTTTGATTTAGTTTTGAAATGATCCTTGTGGGTTGGCTCAATAGGTCCACTGCATTGAGGGTCTTTGAGTAATTTCAGATCTTCCGGAGTTGGCACACACACCATCCCATGCAGCTCTGGTTTTCCTTTAGACATGAGAGACAGACGGATCCACACTAAACTCATGCAATGGGCACCAAGAAAAGACCTCAGAGCTGATTGGTCAAGAGGTGGACACTGGGCCTGTCGACATGTCCGCTGTCCTCTCGATGAGGTGGGTCTGCACCAACCAGAGAGCAGACGCAACAATTTTCTGTTCCTACAAAAAAAAAAAAAAAAACATTAAGGGTAGGTTATTATATCTAGGTGTTGAAAGTTTGTTTGTATAATAAAGGTCCAATAGGTTGCATTAATACAACATTCCAAAGAACCTATTGTTTAAAATTGCCCGGTAGTTTTTCAGCAACTAGTGTCAGAAGTCAGACTTGTCTTAGTTTGGACCAATTCCTTTTATCTAGTATTATAGTACAAGAATTCTAGAACATTAACAAGCAATTTCCAAAATAAGTTTAATTTTATTGTCCAGCTGATCATTCTGTTGCAACAGCTGTATAACATTTTTTTTTAATTCACATAATCTGATGGTACGTAGTATTTGGAGCACAGCTGCCAATAGTTACAACCACATCAACATCAAGATGATAAAAAGGAGCAGTTCCGATCATAGAACAATGCATCAAAGCGTTTGCGATGGCTTCATGAGGATGGATGCTGCTCCTCCTACTCATCTGTGTGATGCATGACTGCAATTTGGAGCTGGATGTAGTTTGGTATTTCTCAGACATGATGAGAAGAAGCCTCATGCATCAGCCTGTCAGGCCCTCCACAACTGCATCTGAATAGCATGATGTAATCACTGCCTCAATTAGTTTTAATACGAAGTGAGGGGAAATAGATTATATTTTAACTATTTGGTAAGAAATGTTGAAAAATGTCCAAAAAATTATTTGATAGTGATTAAATTCTCAAACCTGCCATATTATTCTTACGTCTTAAGGCCTACTGACCATCATACGTATATTTTCATCATAAAACACCTGAAAATTAGACCACAGTTGACATGTGAAACTTTGTTACACTTTTGACTTTCCGAGTTAGCCAATAGTTCAGAAGTGCTCTAAACTAGACTTAGGAATTCAAATGACGGTTAACAGGAAATATTTTTCTGATGCCCTCTATCACAATTTTTAAGTATAGGCTCTTTTAAAATATGTTGCGTTCACGTGACATTGCAGCATTACAGAGATTACACAGAATTGATGCGAGTATTGTGCAGTTAATGTAATGCAGAGTATTGTAGGGAGCAAGAGGACGGTTTCACCTGAGCACAGTGAAGCTCTGTGGGGTTGCAGAGGTGACGTCTTGATGCAGAGTCGCCCCCTCTTCCGTCACCGTGTCAGAACTCGTGCTCTCATTTCTCTCTTCGGCACAGATCATCTCCCACTCTTCTGCCAACTGTTTCCAAGGGCAACGAAACGGAGCCAGACACCCAAGTTTGATATAATTGGTTCGTTTGGCCGGGGGACGCCTAAGGATGAGGTCAACGGTCAAACTCTTGAACCATTGAGCTCCTGTCAATGTGTACAATTTAACACGTTGTGACGGCTGCGCACTGGCTTACCCACACGTCACACTAACACAGAAAATACTACAATAGACGACACTGTCACTATCAGTTTTCCACAATACTAATTTGTGCTAAATGTTGGTTAATAGTGGCATTTCTCAAAGTGACTTTTCAATCTTCTGCAGCAAACTTCATTACTTAAAAAAAAAAACCCAAAACATTAAGCAACAGAAATAAAAATATTGATAATTGTCAATTGTATTATACATGTGTATTTTTGTATTTATTTTGTAGTAAATGCAACTAAACACAGTGATGTACAATGGGTCATAATAGTGATTTGTTGCAGTGGTAATGGATGAAGATATTAGCATGTCCCACCGTTTGAACTTTTCAAGGAGCTCTGCCGCCTGCTCTTCCTGAAATCGGACTCCAGCAGGGCAGTCTGGGTAATCGTGGGGGAAGTGGGGAGCACTCTTATTCTGAGAGTGTTTCAGGGACATGTGTAGTCCCCCTTCACGCACTCCTCTATACACCTACCAGACAAATCTTGATTAAAATGCTACAAATAGATTTGCCACAAAAATTAATTAGCCTAAAACGGATGAATCCTTCAGTATTACTTACCAGTGGCACCCAAAAGGCCATGCCCCAGCCTTTAGGCAATAAAATGTCCCATCCAGCGCCCCAGGTGCTCCTCTCATGGCCCACCTGTTTCCCAGGCTGATGCACCAGCAGCACTGGCACGCGACTCTGGGGAGGGACAGGCTGGAGTCTGGAGCCGGGCACCAGCAGCTCACGCTTCATGCGGTTCAACTCCTTTAAATGAAAAGTGAGGTCTAATAGACTATGTGCGGTCACCATTTATGGTGCAACACAACTAAAAAAGCTACCTGTTCTGGAATCTTGTTCTCTGTCACATTGTCCCGAACTGTGCGATCCCATAAGAAGCTCTGGCAGCAACGCTCTGACACGCCATTCAACACGAGCTGCTTAACCTTCTCTTCCACCTCCGTGGATACTCCTGGGTGTTTATGTTGCAATGTTAAAGTGTATGGTTATGTTACGAAGATATTCATATGCTTTGAATCAAAGCCCTGAATTAAAACTTCCTCTAGCTACACTAGATATAAAATCCACACAATGACTCAGAACTTGTGGGTCACTGAAAGGCTGTTCCGAGTGCAGGGTCCTGCCAGGAGTCGAACCTGGAACATCTGCATTGGAACAGCAGAGGCCCCCAGGAGCCCAAGACCAGATGTGCACTGAGAGAAACAGCCCAAGTACCACAAAAACTGAATCTTAGCTAAACTGAAAAAGCTAAATAAAGCATATTTGCAGATAGGGCTGGGCGATATAAACGGTATAAGCGGTATGCGATATAAATTTGGCCCACGGTAGAGATTTTTGTTATACCGGCATATTGCGATAGGTTGCGACATTAGCCTAGCATTAGCCTAGCACTATTGGACACCACTGGAAACAGCAAACAGCAGCACGGCATTCACACCGTGTTTGTCTCTGTGTTGTTGTCACCGCGGCCCCAGCAGAGGTAAATACACACACAGCAATCACAGTTTAAGCGTCTACCTTTTGGCCAATCAGTGTCAAAGGGGCGTAGGCTCGAAGCGCCAGCGTGAGCCAAAATAGATCCATGCATGTGCCGTGTCCGCAGCATCACAGCAGAAGTTTGGTAAAGTTCGCGTCAGATTCGGACCTCCGCGGTCAATAGCTCACGAAAGCTACTTTGTTAAACAAAATGAATTGTGCCAAAATGACCATTTACATCAATTGTTCAAATCCAATGTGGTTTTAATGCACATAAATCCATTGAATCATCCAGTTCACTGCAAGCGCAGAGAAAAACGCTTAGGGAGCGTCAACAAATGGCAAGACCAGCTTTGTAAACGAACAATAGCTTTTACTAAAGCCATGTACCTGCACAAAACTCTCAGACACAACAAAAAATGACCATGTCTAACAGCTGCAGGCTTTGATTTCAACATTTGTGAGTTTTTTTTTTTTTTTAAATGAATACATCGTTTTTCTTTTCTTTTTTTAAATTGCTTTTACAGTAAATGGTCTTTACTGTAACACACATAAATAATGTATGTTACAGCATTTGTCTCGTCATTCGTCTCACAACTAAAAAAAAAATATATACTAGATTCTAATATATAAATAAGTAACAATCTTGACTATTTTATGCAAGAACCTGCTAGACCTATATTGAAATTCACACACCAAATTATACCGCAATATATACCGTCTACCGTCTGTGACCCAAATTATACCGCAATATGAATTTTAGGCCATATCGCCCACCCCTATTTGCAGATCAAATATTCTGATAGCTGTTCACATGGTGGAACTGTACTATCAAAGCTTTTGAGTATTAAGTGAGGTCTGATATTACCTTCTGCTTGCTGCACATTTGGCAAAGCTTTAACTTTTTTAGTTGGTAAAGTTATTCTTGGGTCATCCACGTTCAGACCAAATACTGTCCCTGGAGGGATCTCTCCAGACGAGTCAATGCCTGTATGTATTAAGGATGACAAGGCTTAAGCAATTTAAATTGCTTGACAAAAAAAACATAGTATTGGTATTACTGTACATTTGAGGAGGTTAAAGACTTCAGCTTGTTCCTTATGCAGGTTCATCTTGCCTTCATCTTTACAGTGTCTGGGCCACCAAAGAGACCCCTGCACAGGCTGCTCTTCCCAAAATGAAGCACGTCATTACTGATGCAAAATGCTTTAACTTTAATTTTGTTTGATTACCTCACAACTTGTAGCAGCTTCTAGCGTTTCCGCCAAGACTGTGTGGGACAGTGGACCAATCAGCCGATAGCGAACCATATCCATGGTAAGATCACTGTACAAAAACATGACAAATCCCTATATAGAAATTCAAGCAGCAGAATAGACTTAGGATTCACATAACTAACTTAATGACTGTTGATGATGTATTGGACTTCCACACAATGGGTGTGGTGGGAGATCTAGTTCCATCTCCGAGGATCTTTTTAGCTGGAGGTCCACTCGGCTCTGAGCAGCTCCTCTTTCTCTTACTTCCTGGAATTGGCTTGACGACAGTCTTTGGTAACTCGATTGATTCTTCAACATGAGACACGTCAGCTGCCTGTACCTCTGGCACAACCGGAGGAATAATAGGCACAGAACAGTCGCACACTTCTTGTAACTCAGTGAGAAGCTCCTGTGAATGATAAAAGCCTTGTATTACTCATGGACAAGGAAAAAACAATGTTTATAAGTCTACCGGTTTCAGAGTAGGATGAGCCCAAATCCACAGCTGTCTCTGATTGGACCCTTGTTCACGGGGTCTCCATAGGAAGGTGACCGGGCCCAGTGCTTGGGAGGGGTACTGTCCTGCTCGGTACACCACCACACTGCCTTGTCTACGGCCAGAGAGACAAACTGCTGCTGCAAAGGAAGGACCTGGAAAAAAAAGCCTTCTAATATTGTCATCCGAGTTCAATTGTAATGCTGTGTGCAAGCACCGTCACAGTATTTCAACAACGTATAACATTCTGAAATGTTAATGTATGTTAAGTATTCAGTAAGTATTAAATGTAAAGCGAAAGTGTGAAGAGTTCAAGTGGTATGATAATAGTTATTCTAATACCAGTATCTTTGCAGGTTAACTTTGCCAATGCAGCCAGAAGTTGGTCTTCCTCTCCAAGAAGTTCAATACAACAATAATAAGAAATATCCTAAAAGGGAAAAATGAATTATAAATCTCAAGTAGCACCTAGGTTTTAAAAATGCCTTCAAATTATAGTTTACCTGAAGTAAGCAGTGGTTGCTCATTGCTCTGTAGCTCGGCCTGTAACACTTGTTTGTAGGTCTATCACCAAGACAATAGCCCCATTTTTTGACCATGTGGAAGCGTTTGGCATGCCAAATATGTGTTTCCAGCCAAATGTTCTTCCTCTGTCTGCGATTGAACTCAAGCAAGAGATTTCCATGTCTTCTGCGGGCTTTACGGCTCTTCGTTTTTGATTCATTTTTCTTTTTAACTCCTGTCAGGGTCTTTGCTCTCTGAAAAATAAATAAATGTGATTAAAGTGTAAAATTCAAAGAAGGGTAACATTGTGACACCATATGCAATTGAGAGCGTACTTACAAGTTTAATTGCCATCTCTTGGAGTCTGCGCGGGAGGCGTTTGGGGTTGTGGCTCACAGCTCGTCTTCTCATATGTTTAGGTAGAGCAGAAAACAGATGACAGCTCGCAGATTTCTTGTTCACTGCTTTCATCATCGCTTTCACCTCTTGAGCTCTGGCTTGGGCAAAGGATCCAGCTGAGGGGCAAACAAAAGTGAATTACGCATCTAATCCTAGGCATACATATAATGCAAGCTTACCATTGATGTATTTAGGCATCTCTTTGGAGTAACCTGCATCTTTTTGATGGCCCTTAACCCAGCCATGACGTGGTCCTACACCTTTCTGATGTTGATCACCATTATCTAAAACAGTGTGCTTTTTAGAAAACTGCTTGACATCAACAGGAAACGAAGTGAACATTATTCCAATTGGAACTGTTACAATAATTACTACATTGTTTATACATCAGAGAACAATAACACAACAGGCGAAATATTACAACCAGTTATTGTTAATTCGTAATAATTCTTACCTTTGACGTTTAGGTTGTTGTCATTAACACCATATTGTACATTCGCAGGCTGGTGTTTCAGCTTTATTTCTCTCCTCCTGGCTTTGGCAGACGACATGTTCTGATTTAAAACAAAACAGAATTATTTAGCATGACAAGGCAAACTCAAACCTCAAAGTTATTTCTACGAATACGTTCAGCCGTTAGCCATCTCCGAGCTGTTTTCATGATTCATGATTTACAAGCAACAAGTCAATATTTGTGCATACCTTTTTGCCTTCAATTTTTGAGAATTACGTTTAAAATAAAAGCAACAACAACAACACCACGTTTTCAGAGGATCGCGCATGGGTTCGCGTCCATGCTGCCGTTGTACATTAACGCTGCTCACTTCCTGCTTCCGGGTTCGCGTGAATAAATGCGCGCCAAGAAAATGTTATTCGTAGAAAATAGACCCATATAATGAGTACAGACAAAAAATATAAGTGCCACTGTTGTTTAAGACATATTTCAGTTGTTAAATTATACACAAATGTTGACTATATCGTACAATATACACCTTTGAATCCATCTTGCGTGTTTACGTCCTACATTACGGTTAAAGGAGTGGAGACGTAAGACAACTCCCCCTGTCTGTAATTATTTGTCTCTTGAATCCACCGGAACTAGACTTGAATTCTACCTCGCTCTGTTCACATAAAGATTGCGCCATAATTAACATATATTCAGCCCGTTACTTGCATAATGGCCACAGTATTAAGAAGAATTATTAATACAGCCAAAGCCCCTGCTGCCATTGGGCCTTACAGGTAAGATCTGAACTAGAGGTGAAGAAGACACACGTGTTCACTACTACTACCATAGAAGTATACATCAATAACCCACTTTGCATGTCTGTTATGTCCAGTAGCTGTAAATGTGTGAAATGGACATAGTTTGTTGTAGTTTGAACTTTAAACTGTTGGTCTGCAGTACATCAAGGCTATGCACACACGAAAACACTGGTCTGTGTCAGTGACTATTAAATTAAGTGTAAAAAACATAGACTATGTATGGTACAAATGACATCTGGGGAGAAAAGATGAAGCATCTGCCTTCTTAGAGAAAGATAATGTCATTTACAATGCAGCTTCGTGTGCTCCCTTCTTTAAAAGGTTTGTGTAGTATGCCACCTGCTTTACCCATGTGACTTTGCCGGGAATGTTCTACATAAATTTTCTGGTCCCATGTATTATACAAAATACAGTTTATGATCATACGTAGAGGAATAAATTGATAATTGTAATTGTGATAACAGTTGTACTACATTATTATTATTGCATGTGATGGGAGACAAAGCGATAACATGGCAGTATTAAAGCAGGTGGCAGACCAAATGAACGTCATAGTGCAGCATATCAATTATGAATTACTTGACCCAGAATGGTTGTTTACTCATTTTTGATCTTTGTAGTCAAGCTGTGGTTGTTGACCGGACAATGTACATCTCAGGACAGCTGGGAATGGACCCTGTGAGTGGTCAGCTGGTTGAAGGAGGCGTACAAGCTCAAACTAAACAGGTACAACACATCATTTGTGTCAGCCAAAACTCAGTTTGTTAAATTGCACTTTTTTGTCTTTGTAAACTATATTGAATACTGATTTCTTTAGGCCCTTGTCAACATGGGGGAAATCCTCAAAGCTGCAGGTTGTGGTTATGAAAATGGTAAATAATAAAATTTAAAATGCATTCCTGTCCTGGTGGTGACCTACTTTTCGTGATATGGTTTGACATTTAAAATGTCACTCAATTTGGTTTGAAACATGTACATTCCTCAATTATGGATGGTTTTACTGCATAAAAACAGTTATTACAGTGGGAAGACTATAGTTATTTTGTTTCCAAAGTAAATGGAAAGTTTAATGCAAAATAACAACATGTATGCCCAAAAGTGGGTCCACCACTAGGACAGTTGAGGAAAACGAAAAATGTCTTAGTTTGGGTGTTTTGTTTTTCTTGCAGTTGTGAAAACAACCGTACTTTTGGCCGATATGAATGACTTCACAAATGTCAATGATATCTACAAGCAATGTAAGTACTGTACAGTGTCCAACTCAACCCAGTTCTGTGCTGACCAGTGGAGGTCAGCACAGGACCACATATTCCCCCATACCGTTCATATGATCTGAGACTCTGAAGTTCCGACTTCCCACTCAGGAAAATGGGAAGTCAGTTTCTGACTTATTTTCAGAAACTCAGAAACTAAGTGTGCATTGTTGTGACATGTGTCAGAATGTAATTGGATGAAAGAATAGAAACAAACTAAAGCCGTGGGGCGGCACGGTGGCTGAGTGGATAGCACTCTCGCCTCTCAGCAAGAAGGTCCTGGGTTCGAATCCCGGTCGGACCAGGGCCTTTCTGAGTGGAGTTTGCATGTTCTCCCCGTGTCTGCGTAGGTTTCCTCCGGGTACTCCGGTTTCCCCTACCACTAAAAATATGTCCAATAGTTCTGGCATGTGCCTCCTGTACTGGCGACCCCGCTCCCATCTCTGTGTGGAGTGAGAGACAAATGCCCAAAAATTAACAATTGTAAACCGCTTTGAGACTCAGATCTGCAGTGAAAAGGCGGTATATAAATAAAAACTTACTTACTTACTTACTGTATACTTGCGCGGCGTGGCTTACGTTAGCGGTTGTGGTGGACCTATGTAAGCACAATTGATGTTATACTGGCGTGTTCCCCTTACGGAGTTTTGAGGAGAATGTTGTAATCCCACAACAAACCACATGAGGGCGATCCCACAGGAGCGGTCCCATTTACGCTGCTACTTTGTCCTCTTCAAAACAACAATAGCAAACAAAGCTGTTTGAGCTCATTACACGTGTTTCTACTGTAGGTTTATGTGATAGTTTTATGGATTCATTATTTTATAAGTCATTTCAACTGTGATGCTGTGAATAAAGACACAGTTCTTGTTGGAAACATAGTTATTATTAATAGAAAACATAGTTTTCAGCACAAACAGCAAAACAATAATAGTGGTAAATATCTGAGACAAACATGAACGATTTACGAGTGCAGGAGGAAAGCAACAAACGCAGCTACGATTCAAACAAAGACAGGAACAGTGCAAACAAAAGACTGCACAGTTATAAGTTATATATATGTTAGATATAAGTTATATATATGTTAGATAGTCCACAGTCTCCTGTATATCAGGCTCTGAGCCCAAACTGCTTTTCCTTCGAAGCACAAAGCTCTCTGCTCCATAGTGCCTCCTCCATGTCCCTGCTGCAGCCGCTTCATGCTTCCTTCCAATACACACACACGGCCCAATCACAGCGGAGATTCCTTGCGGCAACCCTTACGTAGTTAGAAAATTTCGATGCAGGTAACGTAAGGGCCTTGCGGTGACCAACGCGTTGCGCAAGTGACGTCACGTCACCTCCGTAAGCTCCGCGCCACGCGAGTATAAACTAGGCTTTAGTGGGGATGTGTTTTATATCACACAGATGGTTGTGATTTATGAGCACAAAAGCTTTGAAGGAATATCTTAATTGTATATGTATGTAACACATTTTTATTACAAGGAACAACATATTTGCTCTTGCTGTATTTCGGCAACGAGCAAAGACAATCCAGGTGCATTTCTGCACATTTTTGTATTGTTGCTGCTGCTGCACGTCTGCGTCACCAGCGTCACTGACTGCCCCATAAATTTGAGAAAGTCGTTTCCCGAGATCCTCCAAATGTCTGTCGGTGGCTGTAAAAGTACTTGAAAGCTTGAAATAAGTGTTTTTCATCTTGTAATAATCCTTTTACCGAGACTGAATAGACCTATGGATTTAAAATGTGTGAAAACCCACCAATACAATTTCAAAATACAGCTTGACTAAATGAATAGTTCTTCTCAGTCTTCAGCACCAACTTCCCGGCCCGAGCTGCTTACCAGGTCGCTGCTCTTCCCAGGGTAATCTAAGATTTTATTCCATTTTTAAGCTTTTTTACAAATAAAATACACAATTACTTAAAATGTTGTCTTTCTCTCCAGGGAGGACTTGTTGAAATTGAAGCCATTGCTGTTTTGGGACCCTTTAATGAAGCTTCGTAACATCATCATTCCTAAGAAACTAATTTAAAACAGAAAATCTATGTTTAAGGTTATTAACAAGAACAGCAACAACATAATGTATTAATGTATCATAATAAATGTGCCTCTATCATTTGAGTTGTTTTTGGTTAAATGAGAACTTTCATTTATTTGAAATAATGATAAATATATAAATACAGTACTATAGCCATCATAACTGTTGACAAAAGCCTTAAAGATACGCATTTCTCTGGTTCATGTGTGTCGTTGTGCTTTATACATTAACTGTGTGTATCCATTCTTTGTGAGTGATGTGTTGAGTAAAAACAAGCCAACACCAGTCAGTAAAGCTTTATTTTGGATCATATTAAGAAACAAGAAGGGAAATACAATAGAATAGAACTGTAGTGGAAATATTATATAAAACAAGTAAAAAGACAAAGGAAATATATACATAAAACATAGATGTTCTTCCACAACCATAAATCATCCGAACATCCAGACTTGTGTAGTGATGAGCGATCTCCAACTGCACTTTGAACAAAAGCCACTGGATCATGTCACAACGTCCCCAAAGTAACTTCATATTCATCCAGGGTTTTTACAAATATGTTGATTTATCAAATAAAGCAACACAGAGGTGTTTATGATGTGACTATTGGCATTGCACTGAACACTATTATTCCAGAATACATAGACTATTATAGCATCATTAAGTTATTTTCAACCTCAAGGAATTAAAATAGACTAAAGCTCAAACATTTTGTGTTTGGTTTGAATCCATGAATTCACAGTTGGCTTTTCTCCTGATGGATGTAGCTACGCTACTGGATTATTACACACATAAAATCAGAACTGTTTAAATACGGAGCTCTGTTTGGCTCAAGGCACAAATGGTTTGTAAAAGTCTTAATTTGATGACATCACAAGATGTTATTTCTTAAGGCAATGTAGAAATGGTAACGTTTCTCAAGAAGTTTCTTTTCCATCAACTTCAGTTTGAAACTCAATCTGAAAGAAGAAAAAGGAGCAAACAAAGGTAATTGGTGATTACATTTCAGATAATACTCATGTTTCCACTAAGTTTAGGGATGTTAGTATTTTTTTCCTCAAAAATGCATCATTAGCTTTACTTAAGTATGTTTTGAGTATTTTAAATACAGGTTACATTTGGCCGACACCGCACTCTACACATCAGCCTTACATTGTAGTTGAAGTGAGTTTTTCTCACCAGTTCAGTCTTCCTTTTTGGCTTTCTCTGACTCCGCCTCAGTCACTATAAAACAAAAGACAAAAACAGACAATCAATGTTTTCAGTCACTAATCATGATGTTTGAATAGACCACCGAACATGTAAAGTGCATTATTTTTGCCATAAAAAGTTGTTCAACATTTCTACCAAAACACAATAACAACACATATTTCAAATGTAGAGCAATTTACAAGAAGAAAATAAAAACTCATTGAACTTTTGGTGGTTACTGCAAGGGTGTTAAAGTTTATAAATCCAAGTCATAGGGGAGCAGGAGAGAAAGCATCTGCTGTGACCACTGGGAGGCGCTTGGTCGACTAAATATTCTCAGACCAGAGCTTTACATCTTTTTGCCACACATCAGTGAGCCAACATTAATATTTACTTTCTTCTTAAAAGTACATAATACATACAAATGCATCTGTTTGCGATGCCAAACTTTATCCAAGTGTCTGGTATGTTTCTATTATATTAGTTTAGTTTTAAGGTGTTATAATATACACATTAACCATTTCAATTGTATTATCCTCAGCTAACCCTACCCTTTTTCCATTAATGTTTTCTGATATTTATACGCAATTCATAAGACATAAATTTATCTGTCTTATCTTTATACCTTGTCTATATATCAATTTTCACACAAAATCCGTGATGGAAATTAAGTCATGTATGGCCATCTTGAACCTGACATAATGTACTAGTTTATGTTTGCATTAGTACCAAAAGTATCAACTCAACTTGAGATTTTCACTTACATAAATAACTAAATACTGGAACTGTATCTGAGTGCATTACTCTGTCTCCTGAAGGACGTGGTGGCAGTATGTGTAAAGTGCTGGTGTCCCAGGTCTGAGAAAGGCACTATATGAATGTACTTAATTAAAAAGAACCTGTGTGTAATCCACTCAGTGCAATTAAAGCTGTTCTGTGATGGTCTCAGTTTGGGATAAAGTTGTGGAGCTGTTTTAAGCAGTGTCATTAAACAAACATTTCACAAGCTTTGAGAATTTGTTTGGAAATGGAAAGACTTAAACTATCAAGCTGCACAAGGAGATCTCTGATCAGAAATACAACCGTTTGTTGAACTGAAGAAACCTGTCTCTCTGTCTGTACATGAGGCCAATGTACGACCTACTCTACAAAAACCTGCCCTTTGCCAGATCTCACAGGGGGCACATCCAAAATGTGGAAGAAGGGTCAGATGAGACCCTTCTCAGATGAGACCAAAATGTGGCTTGTGGAGTTCCACAAAGTATGAACTCATATTGAGTTCAGTATGAGTTAATACACCCCACGTTTGAGTTCATTTGTATCATTTTGGTTTCTCTTTACAGTTGTCTGTAAAGAGACAACTGTTGTAGTCTCTCAACAACAAAAACACTGGAGTTATAATAGACTTATAATATACTTATGCATAGCACTGTTCCCACACTTTGGAACGGGTTCATCCACTGTGCTACAGTATGCTCTAAAGAAAGTCTCCAAGTCTTATGTAATGCATTTCTAGAGGAAACCACACATGCAGAGTACAAACTGTTCTCCCAAACATTGAAGGATATCACTGAAGGGTATATGAACATAAGGTTATGTGATACGACATGTTTTATGTGACTAGAAAGAGTTTGTGTTCTGATTACAAGGCTGCAAGCTACCACCAAATGCATGTGTTTAACCCTTCTATAGCCATGTATGCAAATATTTGGGGTTTCATGTTAATGTGAGAAAACATTTTACTAATGATTTAAAACTGAATGCAGTTTAGTTAGATAAGTATAAAACTGCAGTTATGATGCAGTTAGATACTTACTTGAGTAATAAACTCAGATAACATAAAACTCAGAAGATTCCAGTAAGCTAATGTTTTTACAAATCTATCTGTAACAAAATATAAATGTAAGAAAAGAGGCTTCCATATAGGATAATACTATAGCAGGTGTCAAGCTCATTTTGGTTAAGGCCACACAGCTCTGCTTGTGTACAAGTCTCTCCATAGCCTCGCACCAAAATATATTAGTGACATGTTAGTCCCATATGAACCAGCCCGGACTCTGAGGAGCACAGGGACTGGACTCCTGTTAGTGTCCAGAGTCAGAACTAAACATGGGGAGGCTGCTTTTCAGATTCATGCTGCTAAAATCTGGAACAGTCTTCCTGAAGATGTGAGACAGGCCTCCTCTCTGACAATGTTTAAAACCAGGTTAAAGACAGTTCTGTTTAACTGTGCATACAACTGAGGGATTTTATATTTTTATCTTTCTTTTTAATGTTCTGTGATAATTTATGATTTTAATGCTTTCTTGTTTTGTTCAGCACTTTGAATTGCCTTGTGTATGAATTGTGCTATATAAATAAACTTGCCTTGCCTTGCCATAGTAACGGACAACCAGGGGCCGGAACTATAAAAGTGGTTCTTAATAGAAAGTTATTTTTACAATAGGATTACTTTTACTTACAGTAAAGAGTTTGGATATTTTTATCTGGTAGTTTTTTTTTCAGAAGAATATGAGTTCAGTTACTGTTTGTATGGATTAAAAAAAACTTGTGTAGAAGGCTTTTAAAGCTGAAGCAAATTGCTTAATTATTAATTCTATATTAAAATGAGGTACATCATACTATGGTAAGCATATTGACATGTTATCATCAATGCTGAGAGTTAGACATAAGAATTGAAAATCAGTTCAGGGGCAAAAACGTCAAGCCTGTCATTTTTTGGGTAACATTTTGATATTTCTTATAAGGTAATGTCATTTGTCCCTACCTCCTACACTAAATACTGACTTACTTGCAATGCCACTGGGCGTCACAAAGGAAAGTAGCAAAAGTGCTTATAGCTCACATTCACATTAGTCGATCACGTTACACATTAGCACAAGAATCTAGTCAGACTCGCCAGAACATTTACATTTTGTTATGTAATTGGAGACAGCAGGGCTTCGGTTGACAACAATGGAGTCATCAAGTTAATGTGTCTCTATAGGCCTGTTATCAACGAAGTCAGAACAATCCCACATTTCTCTGTCCACGGACACAGAAAGTGCAAGTGTGGCGGTGACACTGCTGTATCTGTTCAATCACACAATCTGCGGCCTATTCTGCCCAGTGCACAAATAAGAACATTTATGACAAATGCTCCATTAAGTAAACAGCTGATATACAGGGAGTTTCGGGAAGATTCTCTCATTATTGTGCTGCTGAGGCTGAAGTTTAGTAACTATGAGAAACAATCAGTAGAAAAGGATATATAAAATGTCAGAATAATACTAAAAAATCAAATCAATCAACAAAGTACAATTACAATATATTGCCAAATAATATGCTATGTGGGAATACATTTTACAATACTTCAAGTACTACTAAAAGTTTTATTACAGGAAATACCAGTCAAAGATATTCTACTATTAGAGTAACCTATCCCCTCTGGGCCATCAAAACTAAATTATTACAGTTTTATTTCTATCGATTTGCTTTTTTAGATTCTCTACTGGAAAGCAAACATGGTTGTGTACACAAAGCTGTGTCCTTGATCTCATTCTGGCCTGTGTGCACACGCCTTTGCCTTTGAATGTAGTTCTTTTTGCCAGTGGCACTGAGCAGTTCTCCACCCAAACACTGTCAAACCAAATCATTTAGAGATGGTAACTTGTCATGCACATACAAAATGCTTTGTCAGTGTTAAACCTGATCATATAACCAATAGTAATTAGAGCTGTCTTTGAACATTAGCATCCAGCACTTCAAAGCTCTTCTTTTATTAAAACTGACAACAAATATGCCATGTATGCGTTCATCAGCCTTCATCAATGTCGACTTACTTTTAAAAAAATGCTGAGTTCTAATTGATCAACATTAAATAAGTGATTTTGGTTTTTATGAGTCTTACTTTGTGATGCAGATTGTGCTGGTGCTGTGATGGTCTCAGAGTTCACGAGTGCAGGTGCAGTCTGGTCTTTCCCTGGAGACAGTGGAGGCAGTTCTGGTACTGTAGCAGCTGCAATTGCTGGATCAATTACAACTACTGATACAACTGGGATTTCCGTAGTATCTTGTGATTTCGTTTCCGGTGGGGGAACAGTATCATTCATTGCAGCAACTTCAACATTTTCACTTTCAGCGTTGACTAAATCTTTCAATTGAGATGCATCTTCCAGATCAGCTTCAGCACTTTCATCTTTCTGTGACTGCACACTTTCGCTAACCACCTCTGCTTCCACTGCACCTGCGGCTTCACTTGTGGCTGTACTTTCAACCGGTGGCGAAGGCTCAACCACTTCACTAGGATCAGCAGTAAGTTCACTAGGATCAGCAGTAAGTTCACTGGGCGTTTCAACAGGCTGCTCAGCTTCAGTTATCGACTCAGATGGCTCATTGGCAGCAAGTTCTGTGACGTCTGTTGTAATGGGTTCAGGCGTAATCTCTGATTCAACTACGACCGGCACAACAGGTTCACTCATGGGTACAGATGGAGCTGGGGTAGTTTCAACTGTATTCTCTGTAGTAGGAGTGGGCTCAGCAGGAGTAGTAAGACCAGGCATAGACTCTGTAGAAGTAGGGGCTGCTGATGTAATAATATCAGGAGTAGAGAGGTCATTTTGGATAGTTTCGACCGGTGTTTCCATAGGAGTGGACTCGACAGGCGATTCAGTTGGTGGGGTTGTAGTTTCATCTGCAGACGCGGACGTGGCTTCACTTAAAACTGTTTTGGGGGCAGATTCTGTCAAAGGAGTTATATCTGCGACAATTTGAACTGCGCTATTCTCTGCGGCGGTAGATGCTTCGGCTGGGAGGACTTCAACTGGTGTATTTTCAATCAAGGAAGAGTCCGTTTCAGGGATTGTTGAGACTGGTGCGGCTTCTACGTGGGTGGATTCTATTGGGGTAATCTCAGCTACAGGTTCTTCTATTGGAGTAGCATCCGATGGGGTAGATTCTGCTGGGGCACTTTCAATTGAGTTTGTTGAGGCTGGTGTAACGTCAACATGGGAAGACTCGATTGCAGCAATCTCAACTACAGGTACTTCTATTGGCGTAGCGTCAGATGGGGTAGATTCTGCTGGGGCAGTTTCGATTGCGCTTGATGAGACTGGTGCGGCTTCAACGTGGGTAGATTCTTTTGCAGTAATCTCGGCTACAGGCACTTCAATTGGTGTAGCGTTGGATGGGGTAGATTCTGCTGGGAAACTTTCAATCGCACTTGTTGAGGCTGGTGTAACTTCAACATGGGTGGATTCTATTGCGGTAATCTCAGCTACAGGAATTTCTGTTGGAGTAATCTCGGATGGGGTAGATTCTGTCTGGGTATTTTCAATTAGTGTTGGTTCGAGTTGACTTTCCTCGTTCAATACCTCAACATTGCTTTTCACCTCTGTCTTCTCCTCTGCCTCTTTTGCCTCAGGTTCAGCCACAACAGAGGCAATGGGGACAGCTTCTGGGACCACCCCGACTACACTTGCCTCTTCATTTGAGACCGGAGCTTCTATCTGAGCGGCGACAACATTTTCAGGAACGTCTTCTGTAACATCAACCAACGTCTCCACCTTCACAGTCTCAGTAACGGTGTTTTCTACAGGGGCTGCCTCTTCCACGGCAGGCAGGGCTTCGACCACCTCCAATGTGGCCTGGGGGGAGAGTAGGTCCACCCCAGAACCCAGCTCCTCTTGTGTCTCCAGAGCCAAGAGCATGGGCTCCGTCACCTCCTCTAGCCCCAGAGAGTGGAGATCGCTGGGTAGGTCAGTCTGCACAGGCAGCTGCATCTGGGCTTCAATGGTCTGGCCATTCTCGGCTATGAAACTATTCTTCACTGCAACAAGAGAAAGTCAAAAACATAATCAGTGACACTACATGGAGTCAGTCATCAATCTAGGGTTAGTAAAAATGTATAATGATTGTGTTGATTCTATTCACAAAATGTACTATGATTGTTCTTTATACAAACACAGCTTCTACTCTTCTAATAAACATCAGCTTTTCAAGACAAATACATTATTTGGACATAATCTTGGGTGAGCCCAAATTATTTATGTTTTTATATATAGATGTCTTATATTCTTTCAGTGCACCTTTTAAACTCCTCTTCTACTTTTCACCACATTGACCCAGTGAAACACGCTTGCATTCACAAAAAGCCAGAATTGCTCTGCCACTGATAAATGTATTATTACACCACGCAGCGCTCTTCAAGCTGGGTGGGGGGTCTTCCACAGGAACCGATGCCTAAATAATGGTTAACCAGTGACATAAAGGCGGTGACTCTTGTCTTGTTTAAAAATGTGTGTGACAACTAACCACTGATAACAAAACCAAACGAAGCCTCAAGTTAGGTTTCTATGGAGAATAGGACTGTGGTGGGAAATTCTTCATCAAATAATCAAATAAACAAATGCCTTGTTGATCGGTTTGTCGACTAAAAAGGGGTGTGACGAATGATCTAAATGCTTACGTTTCCATGCCATTACTCTTTAGGGAATACAATCACAGAAATACCTAAGAGTTTCTGGCTTGAATCTCAAAGTCCGAGCTGCACCCAGTACCCATAGCACCAGCCCCTCACTGATCCTCCTGCAGGTGGTGAGTCCACAGGAGTCGTGAAGTAGGTCTTATGGTGGGCTCAAACCCATAACCTTCAGACCTAAAGGCCAATGCACTACCAACTGAGCCACTGTCGCCGCTACGTTTTCTTGTAATTGAAATAAAATTGTGTAGACTAATTAAAAATATAGTTGACTAAGGAACCATCAAGCCATAAATCGACTGAGCAACTTCAGATGGACAGCCCAGATGGACAATATGTTGAATGCGTTGGAAGAAAGACGCAGACACGGGGAGAACATGCAAACACCACACAGACCTTCTTGCTGTGCCATCGTGCCTAAGCGGTATTATTAATTGCAGTTTCTTTATCGGTTTGGAAAAAAACAGCTCTTTTCACATATTATTATTATTTCTCACACAAACTGTCCTCTTTAAGTGAAGGGACGACATCCAGAAGCAAACAAAATATTTAATTAACAAACAGACTGTGCTGAACCGTCATCTCCTCACCAAGTTCAACAATAAACATGAATTATTTTAAATTTGCCATCCAAAATTGGTGTAGAATCGTGCACCACTCCTGATTATAACGTGAATGGAAGAGCAGAATTGTTGTGTCTGTTTGAAGATAAAAGTTTGATTACATTTGGAAGTGGCAACAAAAGCGGCGGTGAACTCCAGGAAGAAGTAATGATGAAAACTTATTGAAAAGTGGAGAAGACGCTTTTTTCATTTCCTGGTGCAGTAAACGCCCCGAGCAACACACACTGAAGTGGTCTGTGAAAAACCTTCTGTCCATTGCATCTGGGATGAATGTTTCATCTAAGACAGTGGAAGTCAAACCAAAGATACAAACAGACCTTGTTTACCAAAGACATTTTACTGAGGTGGTTTTTAATTTAGTCGTCTTTACAAAAACATTAGATGGAGTTTGGACACAGCCGTTTCCTTCCTGCGTCGATAATTGTCTGTCAGAGGAGGTAAAACCAGCCTGGACTGATGAGTGGAAGGGAATGTGAAGTTGGCCAAAGCATCTGCTCATATTGAAAGCCACTGACATTCCGACAAACAATTGTAATGTAGAATATTTAACAAATGCCAATGAAAAAGTAAAATAGGTTAGTTTTTAATAGAGACATTCAGAATATATCCATCATTATTGTGCCTCAGCATTCTTCTAATGTTGGTTTGAGGTTAAAAAAAAATGTGCTTTTAACGAAACACTAGCCACAAAAGTGCAGGGATTTGAACTGAACACCCCCTGCAGGTTTTATTTTTAAATAGGCTTTTTGTCAGTTGTAAGTTTTCACGAGAAATTGTTAACTCTAAATGTTGAAATCTTTAAATAATATAAAAATAGCGTATACAGTGCCTTGCGAAAGTATTCGGCCCCCTTGAACCTTTCAACATTTTGCCATATTTCAGGCTTCAAACATAAAGATATTTTAAAAAATATATATTTTTGTCATGAATCAACAACAAGTGGGACACAATTGTGAAGTGGAATGAAATTTGTTGGATAATTTAAACTTTTTTAACAAATAAAAAACTGAAAAGTGGGGCGTGCAATATTATTCGGCCCCTTTACTTTCAGGGCAGCAAACTCACTCCAGAAGTTCAGTGAGGATCTTTGAATGATCCAATGTTGTCCTAAATGACTGATGATGATAAATAGAATGCACCTGTGTGTAATCAAGTCTCTGTATAAATGCACCTGCTCTTTGATAGTCTCAGGGTTCTGTTTAAAGCGCAGAGAGAACCATGAAGACAAAGGAACACACCAGGCAGGTCCGAGATACTGTTGTGGAGAAGTTTAAAGCCGGATTTGGATACAAAAAGATTTCCCAAGCTTTAAACATCTCAAGGAGCTCTGTGCAAGCAATTATATTGAAATGGAAGGAGTATCAGACCACTGCAAATCTACCAAGACCCGGCCGTCCCTCCAAACTTTCATCTCAAACAAGGAGAAGACTAATCAGAGATGCAGCCAAGAGGCCCATGATCACTCTGGATGAACTGCAGATAACTACAGCTGAGGTGGGGATGGTGTGTTCAGGGTGATGAGCTGTGTTGCTTTTACGCCAAACATATCGTTTTGCATTGTGGCCAAAAAGTTCGAGTTTGGTTTCATCTGACCAGAGCATCTTCTTCCACATGTTTGGTGTGTCTCCCAGGTGGCTTGTGGCAAACTTTAAGAGACTTTTATTGGATATCTTTGAGAAATGGCCACTCTTCCATAAAGGCCAGATTTGTGCAGTGCACGACTGATTGTTGTCCCATGGACAGACTCTCCCACCTCAGCTGTAGTTATCTGCAGTTCATCCAGAGTGATCATGGGCCTCTTGGCTGCATCTCTGAGCAGTCTTCTCCTTGTTTGAGATGAAACTTTGGAGGGACGGCCGGGTCTTGGTAGATTTGCAGTGGTCTGATACTCCTTCCATTTCAATATAATTGCTTGCACAGTGCTCCTTGAGATGTTTAAAGCTTGGGAAATCTTTTTGTATCCAAATCCGGCTTTAAACTTCTCCACAACAGTATCTCGGACCTGCCTGGTGTGTTCCTTTGTCTTCATGGTTCTCTCTGCGCTTTAAACAGAACCCTGAGACTATCAAAGAGCAGGTGCATTTATACGAAGACTTGATTACACACAGGTGCATTCTATTTATCATCATCAGTCATTTAGGACAACATTGGATCATTCAAAGATCCTCACTGAACTTCTGGAGTGAGTTTGCTGCACTGAAAGTAAAGGGGCCCAATAATATTGCACACCCCACTTTTCAGTTTTTTATTTGTTAAAAAAGTTTAAATTATCCAATACATTTCATTCCACTTCACTATTGTGTCCCACTTGTTGTTGATTCATGACAAAAAAATTAAATTTTATATCTTTATGTTTGAAGACTGAAATGTGGCAAAATGTTGAAAGGTTCAAGGGGGCCGAATACTTTTGCAAGGCACTGTAAATGGCTTACCTTTACTATATATTGATTGACTCATTTAGCCTCTATAAAAAACACAGCTATATATTGTTTATACATTAGTTGTTCTTCATCTATTGCATATACAACTGACAAAGATGACAGAGACCCCAGTCAAAACACTGGGCTTGTTTTCAGAGCCACCAGACCAGAAGACAGGGCAGAGGGGAGGGGCAGATGGGGCATTTGGTGCACAGCTGCAGCTACAGACAGAACAACTACCCTTTAAATATAACACTGTTCTTTTATTATTAGGGAGGATAATGATTCACCACGTGCCAATTCAGAATTTGCATACGATGAAGGAAACAAGGCTGAAGCATTCCCAATAAAAGTTTATTTTTAGTAAGACGGTGTGCGGGACTAATTCTTTTCATTCAACTGTAGCAGTACTGGCCTCTCCTCCAATTTTAATTCCTTGCATACAACAAAGTAAAATTATTTGGGTGAAAAATAACATGTTAGTGTGAATATTGTTATTAGGTTGTTTTTTAGTGAGCAGTCAAACATACAGCAAAAACATGAACTACTGTATTGGTATTAGGGCTGTATATACCTCATATAAAAGGCCACAATACCAAACATATCTGGATTCAAGACATTTTCCATTTCATACAAATGTACAATAGATTCCCGAGTGATTCAATGAGATTCATTCAAAATCAAATGTTTTTTGCCAAAAGCTCACTTTACAATATTGGTGCTTTACATTTATTTACGATTGATTGAAAAGTTCCCTTCGCCTCATGCATGAGGATCGAACTCTGACTATTGCAAAATATGAATAGATGAAAATATTGTGGCTGTCAACGTCAACACCAGCTGCCCAAATTGCTCCACATGAAAAATAAATAATAAACATATATATATTGTATACATGTATTAAATGCCAATATTAGTTTTATTAATTAATCAATATTATGTGATTCATATTTATTATTTTAGCACAGCCCTAACTGAGATTACCAACCTGGTTAATAATGTGGGATTAGGAGTTTAAGATACAACTTGGATGCTCCACTGCGTTAAAGTGGACGCAGCAGGGTGGGACATGAGCCAAAAATAACCCTGAAAATTACAGAGTCATCTACTGTACGGGGTGGAGGACACACGAGAGCTTTGTAAAGAGATGGACTTAAGCTAATTCTGTATTAAGCTAGTTTTCAATGACAAAAGTAATACATCAACCAGAGTCTTCACTTTCCAATAATAGAGCCATTGAGCATCCATTTGTGCACTAACTACGGCTGGTCATAAAACATTTATAAATGAATGATGAATAATGAATGTTCCCACTCTGCAAGAAGTGCAGTAGGGTTGAGTCACGTATTTCATTTTATCTGTAAGAAATTGTCTTTTTTGCATTGGTATTATATTGTTCTCATGTTGAAAGCCACATGTTTTGCTTGAGTCCCAACAGTCACAGCACTTAAGACAGATGCCTATAGAAAGTGGGTGTTGTCGTGTGCACGTGAAGGGGCAGCGGTGCAGCCAGAACACAGTGTCCTGCTGGAGCTGACACATATGAGCCAACATGGAGCGGTGTACAATCAGCTCTGTGTAAAACCTCCGTGACACTGGACCACTGCCGTGCTGAGAACTCATGTGCAGAGAGAGGACGGTGCCACACAAACAGCATGACAACATGTTTATGAGGCACTTTTGACATGAGCCCGGACACAACAAATGAGCTCATTACAGTCTGAGGCGGAGGGTGCAGGCAACCAATCTCTGCACCCTACTTTGGCGATCCACAACAACATGCACTAAATATAAAGCAAATCATTGTAATCAAGTATTGGGTACATGTAAAGTTTTTGAAGACCAGTCAGGTTTTTGTAACAATTATTATACTGGTTCTTTCATGTTTGTTGTGTCAGAACCGTAAAGAACTTTTTCTTTCTTTCTTAATGTATTACTAATTAGAGATTTGATCATGTCATGGAGGTTCCTATTGCTGATGCAGGAGGGTCGAAGGACAGTGGTGCTGATACAGGATATTCAACATTTATGGACATTTATGGACATTGGTCATCTGCCCATTATGGACCAATGGCTCTACGTTTTATGACTGCATTTCAGTTGTGAATTTGACGGTTTTGAAATGTTCCCCACGATAACTACGGTTGTAATTTAGGGCTTTACAGATTACAGAAGAATACATTTTCATTTAAATCATTCAACAAATAAATTTAAATCAATCTTTTTCTAAATGTACAGACAATGATTTGAAAGGGGAGGAAAGTCTTTTGGATGAAATACAGTATGTTAACCCAGACAGTCAGGTTGCACATGTGGCTCATCTACAAACTGGTTTGGCCACATACCATTAGATGATCTGTTAAATTACAAACCCACTAAATTTAACCTACACTTCTACACGTGCAACTGAAGATAAACTGTAACTTCATATTTCTCTTCTCCTCGCCATCATCTTTCATCAACATAGAGAAAAGGGGTAGGATTAAATAAGCTTTGGCTCCTTTTGAACATGAATACATTTTTTCTTTCTTTTTTATTGTCTTGTATTTATTCTCGTTTGTTTTGCTTTTTCTTTCCTTTTCTTTTTTTTCAAACACAATCACTTTGGGTTCATTAGATACTTGATCAGATTTGCAAGTCAGCATTTTTCTCTCCCATTCTTTAGCTCTGTTGTTGTCGTTAGTTCCAGTGTTATAACGCCCCAAAAAATGACACGTCTTATGATGTAATAGAACACAATATTTGGCACTAGCTACATCACAGCATAGACCTATAAGCTCTGCATACGTGTGGAGAAGGCAGAATGAAAGCACACTGTGTACTAGCCGGCTGCACACGCCCCTCTGCACAACTACACTCAAAAAAGTAACCTCAAAGTAAATGTACTTGTGCTGTGTTGTTGTATCAATCGCATTCCAGTCTCACATTTATCCACAATAACAGATGCACGTTTTAAATCAAAGTTAAGGAGTGCACCGTCTACTCACCCACAGATCCATTGGCCTCCTCGGGCTTCGTCCCAGGTCTCTTCTCTTGGTCTACTACCTGCGCACTGGAAGAGGAACACCCCATTTCAGCCAAAAAGGAATAAAAACAGAACGTCAAACTGGTAACTTTTGTTTGCGTTGAGGATCTCTCCGCTGCTTTCTTTTGGCAGTGGAACAACCAAACCCGTGCAGTCCCTAACTAAAGCTGGGCATCATTCTCTCCACTTGTCTTTACGCGTGGCAGGCCTGCTGTGCCTGATGCATGTGGCCTAGAACTGTCTCCTATGTCCAGTTAATGAGAGTATGGGATTTATAACTCCTGCCCAAGAGCACAAGTAAAGTCGTGTTCATCAGCGAAGGAGGCGGAGACCCGAGCAGGAGGCTTCACCGTGGGCTGCGCTGTTCCACACTGCGCCCTCTCATGTGTGTCGCCATCTTGTGGTGAGTAACGCGAACGGCAGGAAGAATGAAAACTCAATGTGTTGTCTGTGGTTGTACCAGAGATGGAGATCAGAGGTGGGAGTCTACTCTTGTTGGTCTGGTACACTTAAACTGGACCGAGTCTGATTAAAGGATTTGAAGTCACTTGCATTAGGACTGAAAAACCTGCACTACTTTTGACACTGTTTCTTGATTGCCACTTTTTAATAGCCACTTTTTATTGTACATAACATATCCTGTATTTAACATGTTTGCAAATTTCTTTCTTTTGCACAATCCTGAGAGTTTCTATCCATGCCAGATGTGACATGTACATTTTCTCCTGTGTGAGATTAATAAAGTCTATCTTATCTTGAAGTTTCTTTTAATAAGATAAAGAGTCTAAAGAAGATAGAACTGCTTAATTACATGTCAGGTAATTAAGCATTACTGTGGGACTTGTATTGTCTGTAGTATAAACAAGTGAGAACAAAAAAGTCAATATAACGTTTAGTAATTATATAGCACTTTTCATGATTCACGTGGCATAGTTCACACTCCGTACAGTGTGGTGGTAAAGCCACAGCTGCCCTGGGGCACACTGAGCCATGGGCCCCTCCACCACCATTCAAAGACACACACACACACACAGAAATTTGTTACCAGAAGTCTTGCGTCACAAGACAAACCAGGCTAGTATCTAATATGTATTTATCTACTATTGCTTACAGTTTCTCTGCATAAAGTGTTGGGGAATACAACACTTAACTAAAATAAAAAAAATGTAAAAAAAAAATAAGAATACAGTACTCTGATTTAATAGAAAATCTTCACATTTTGAAAGTACTTCCAAACATTGTCTGTAAATAACATTAGATTTACAATGCAACCTATGTCATTTTTCTTCTGTAAACTCCCATAAATGTTCTCATTCAATGAACAAAACTTGAAATTATGCACAAAGGATAACTAAAGGTAGACAAATATTACATAAATAATATTCAAAAACCAATTCAATTTGCCCAAAGCCCCCACTGAAAGATCAAGGCTATGCTCTCACTCAGAGAGCAGCCGTCCTCCTGTGGACTCACCACCTGCAGAGGGTCAGTGAGGGGCTGGTGCTATGAGACTTGGGTGGCATCTCTGACTGCCACCCCCCTGACCCAGAAATGGATTAAAGGGTAGAAAATGGATGGAATTCAATTTATTTTTAAATAGTTGATTCCTCAGTTCTAGTCATTTATTTCTGGGCATTTCGACAGTAAACATATTGTACTTGTAGACTGCAGTGGAAATAGGAACCAGACCCATCCAATAATACAATTAGCTATTCAACCACTGTGGCCACTTTTACCCTCGAGACTAAAAATCCTGATTTTATATTTTTAGCAAACATACAGCTGACACACAACAGGTTGGAGATGTTGTAGTGTGTTTATTATCATTAACCTGTACAAAAATATGAGTTAATTCTGCTATAATACAGACAAAAATACACATAAATATCATATAAAAGTGCTTTTTGCGACTGTTATGGTAGTACTGGACCAGATGGCCTTTTACCCCGCACTGGTCACACACTTCATCTGCGGGAATCTTGATTTTCCAGTAGTTTCACCTTCTTTGTTAAAGCTTCAAGTTTGAATGTTAAGGATAGACATTATTCCACACAGTAGCACATTCTGAATCGATTAGCAGACAAAAGGCTGTATCATTAAGATGATTAGGCTTGACTTGTACAGTAGAACCGGTTTGACTCATTGAGAACAAACAGGACCTTTGCTGGAGCACCTGGATACAACCTATGGAGACACGAGGAGAACATGCAAACTCTACACAGAAAAGTTCTGTCTGGAGGTTCTTTGAAGAAAACCTACCAAAGTTTTTTGCACATTTCAAGAAAAATAGCTTGACCCTTGATATTTATCTGATCGATTGGATCTTCACGCTGTACATTAATTGATTGATTCTTGTTGTGAAGCACAGGCCCTAAACGCTGTGCCATTAAATTAATGCAATTCAGTGTGGTTTCTGATTTTTCTTAATTTTGTATGAGCCTTTTCATTATATCTTGATGTTCCTGGAAACGGTTATTGAACATATCAATCATAAAAATTATCTGCAAAACTTCTGTGAATGAAACAAACACAGTCATTGTTAGTGTTTGTTCCGGAAGCTTCACTTACATAAGTCTTTCTGAAGGATACTCTCATACATATGGTTTGCTTTTAAAGTGACAATTTTGACGGTGACGACAGCGATGAAAACAGCACTATGTTCGTTTCTGAGTACATTCTCGTGGTTTAAAGGGAACTTGAGGACGTTTATAAAACGTTGACTGTTTTTTTTCTGTAGAATGTTGTTCATAAAAAGGATATTATTCTTCATCATCATCTTGAGTTTCTCATTGACGTCAGTCTGAAACAGCATGAGGTTCTCACACTCACACTGGCTCTGGTCCACTGTGGGCACAAAGTTCAGATATCAAACAGAAGAACGCATCAAACTAGTGACACGGCTGGGAAACCGGGAAATATAACGTGTTTTTAGACAATCATAAGAATTCTTAATTTCTTGCTAAGGATGAGTGAAACACTGGAGGGTCGTCGATAAGTCCCAACAGTAAACTTTTACCATGTCATCTTTACTAATTTTGTCCAATCTGTAACTCCCATTACATCTGTTAAAGTACTGCATAACATACATAAAGCAGCTGTACCTTTGCATATCCTGAGCGTCTCTTTGAGTTTCTCTGTGATTTCTCCCATTTTCCCAAAGTCCTCGGTGTAAAACAGGTGCTTTTCATTTGGTTCTGAGGCGATCTCTTTCAGCTCCTGCTCAACAGCTTTGCCCACACCCAATGCATACACGATCACTCCTACAGGACCCACAAAACATCTTTTAGTTCTGTCCACAAAACTATTGCACACAAACACAGGAAATGCAATAAAAAATGCATAGGAGCCATTGGTCCATAGGGAGCGGAATGCCCCGGATCATCATCGTCCGTAGACCCTCCTATTTCATCCATGCTTGGATTTCTTTTTTTAAAACCATACAAGATTGCTCATCATACGAGAATAATGGCGCAGTAGCAAGAGCTCTGGCGTGGACTATCTGACTGATTTATTGTACTTTTTTTTTAGCTTGTTTAATAATATATATATTTATATTCATATACTTGTCTGGTGCACACTGGGGACTTTTGCACAAGTAATCGGCACGGCACGGTGGCTGAGTGGATAGCACTCTCGCCTCTCAGCAAGAAGGTCCTGGGTTCGAATCCCGGTCGGACCAGGGCCTTTCTGAGTGGAGTTTGCATGTTCTCCCCGTGTCTGCGTAGGTTTCCTCCGGGCACTCCGGTTTCCCCTACCACTGAAACCCTACCACTAAAAATATGTCCAATAGTTCTGGCATGCGCCTCCTGTACTGGCGACCCCGCTCCCATCTCTGTGTGGAGTGAGAGACAAATTCCCAAATTAACAATTGTAAACCGCTTTGAGACTCAGATCTGCAGTGAAAAGGCGGTATATAAATAAAAACGTACGTACTAAAACGTACTAATCCAATGGGGTTATATTGCAATGACAAATAAAATGATTCTGATTCTGAAAACACAAGTGTAGGAACCCAAATGTGCAGTATGTAAATGTCTCTTTAGTTTTAAGTAATGAACCCAGCCACCACCACTCACCAGACTCCTTGGCCCTGGTCGCCCACTCCGACACGTCGTCCTGGGACCTCCCGTCAGTGAACACGATGCTGACGCGCTGCACGTTGGGTCTGGCGCCCTCTAGAGGAGAGAAGCTGCTCTCAAACATGTGCCTCAGGGCTGATCCGGTGAGTGAGCCTCTGCCCATGTACTGCATACGGGACACGGCCTGTTTGACGTCCCGGGCCGAGCTGAACTGGTCCAAGCTGAACTCGTTCCGGACTTTGGTGGAGTACTGGATCAGACCCACATGAGTCCCCGACCGCGAAACATCGAAGGCGTCCACGATGGTGTTTACAAACTGCTTCACCAGCTCGAAGTTGGCCGGACCCAGACTTTTAGAGCCGTCAATCACAAACACCACATCTATCACGCCGCTGTTGCAGTCAGGTTCTGGGAAAATGGGAATTATTTATGCATTTGTGAGGGGGAGAATAAGTATCTACTGTATCTTACATACCCTGATATTATAATAGATCCATGAGCATAACATAAGAGAACAGTGGGGACATTTCTGGGTCCATTGCTCAGTTTCGGAACAGTAGGAATATGAGCAACAAAAAAACTATATGGCTAAAATATCTGTAGGAACTTAAAATAGCTAATGCATAAAAGTATTCTATAAAAATAAAAAGTAAGTTTAGCAATATGTGTTTCAGAAGCAGGGGTCAAATATGTAATTTCAGTGTTCCCCAAAAAGATTCTCAATTATTACTATTATTAATTTGCAGCATTTATGGCACAATGTTAATATGGGACATTTTTCTTAAGAACAAAAAACTAATTTAATTTAAGAAAACTGTCCTAAAAGAACATGACGGAGACCTTGGTATGAAAGCATAGACCAAATACAAGACTTTGGCCCCAAATAAGCTTTATTTATTTTCTCTCCTAACACCCCTCGGTGCAGAGAATGGATTAACTGACTTAAAGTAGAAATGTGTAAGATTTTCATGCCAAGTCATCATTAAATGGCCCTAATTTGTAAAGGCATTAATAAACCATGCTCATTTCAAATATTTCCTTAGCTGATAACGCAAAGGAAGGTTTCTCACCCATCATCTGTACTTCTTAGCAAGTTTTCCCGACGTTTCGTCCTCAACCTGGGGACTTCTTCAGGGAATGAATTCTCGGACCGCGCGTTGGAGATTTATAACCTATGGGTGTGGTAAGCCACACCCTAATCCTGATACTAACTCGTAAACAATCTCAGGTCTGCTTGATGTAGAAGGGAGCAGGTCTAACGACCCTGCTGAGGCTAACGACCCTAACTCCTTAGCATGTCACAGACCTATTGTCTGCTGGGATGCTCAAGTGGAGTGCAGGTCTCACCCCTCCTAACTCATTAGCATGTCACTGACCTTGTCCCAAGTTAGGGCGTTGTTTTTAGGATGTCGTCATAGATGCGAGGCAAAACAAATCTTAACCCTCCTCCTCTGTTAAGAGAAGGTTTTTGTTTCCTCACAAAAACGGCTTCTTTCACCCCTCTCTCAAACCAATTCTTCTCCCGAGCCAGAATTTTAACCTCTGTGTCATCCACCGTGTGGTTGGAGGCCTTGAGGTGGAGATGAACAGCCGACTGTGGCCCACTAGAGTTTTCTCTACGATGTTGGTAAAGTCGTTTCTGTAGAGTTTGTTTGGTTTCTCCAATATAGTGGTCAGTGCACTCCTCTTCACTACATTTAATTGAATACACCACATTGCTCTGTTTGTGTCTGGGTGTTTTGTCTTTGGGATGCACTAATTTCTGTCTTAACGTGTTGAAAGGTTTGAAATACACAGGGATTTTGTGTTGCCTAAAGATTCTTTGTAGTTTCTCTGAAACTCCCGCCACATACGGTAAGGACACCCCTCTCCTCCTACTTTCTTCTGTCTGTAGGATTGTGTCTCTGGCCTTTCTCGTCCTTTGGGCTTTAGTAAAAGACCACTTGGGGTAGCCACATCTGGAAAGTGCTCTCTGAACATGTTTGGTTTCTCTGTTCTTTCCCTCCGAGCTAGTGGGGACCTGGTGGGCTCGGTGTTGAAGCGTTCTAATGACCCCGAGTTTGTGTTGTAGCGGATGATTTGAATCAAAGGCCAAGTACTGGTCAGTGTGAGTGGACTTTCTGAAGACCTCAGTCTCTAATTGTCCGTTCTCCAGTATGATGACCTTACAATCTAGAAAGGCGAGTTCACTCTCCTTAGCATCCTCGCGAGTGAAATTTATAAAAGGGTCCACCGAGTTAATGTGTGCTGAAAATGGTTCCACTTCCTGTTTCTTTAACTTAACCCATGTATCGTCTACATATCGAAACCAATGGCTTGGCGCTGTCCCTTGGTAAGAGAACTCTACAGAAACGACTTTACCAACATCGTAGAGAAAACTCTAGTGGGCCACAGTCGGCTGTTCATCTCCACCTCAAGGCCTCCAACCACACGGTGGATGACACAGAGGTTAAAATTCTGGCTCGGGAGAAGAATTGGTTTGAGAGAGGGGTGAAAGAAGCCATTTTTGTGAGGAAACAAAAACCTTCTCTTAACAGAGGAGGAGGGTTAAGATTTGTTTTGCCTCGCATCTATGACGACATCCTAAAAACAACGCCCTAACTTGGGACAAGGTCAGTGACATGCTAATGAGTTAGGAGGGGTGAGACCTGCACTCTACTTGAGCATCCCAGCAGACAATAGGTCTGTGACATGCTAAGGAGTTAGGGTCGTTAGCCTCAGCAGGGTCGTTAGACCTGCTCCCTTCTACATCAAGCAGACCTGAGATTGGTTACGAGTTAGTATCAGGATTAGGGTGTGGCTAACCACACCCATAGGTTATAAATCTCCAACGCGCGGTCCGAGAATTCATTCCCTGAAGAAGTCCCCAGGTTGAGGACGAAACGTCGGGAAAACTTGCTAAGAAGTACAGATGATGGGTGAGAAACCTTCCTTTGCTTTGACTAATCCCTGTACGACTGAGGGCTTACACAAACTTAGCTGATAACAGTCGTTCAGCTGAGATTCGAAATTCAAAAATTAGTTTTACAGCCCATAAATCTTGTTATTGTTTTCATTTCGATGTCCCGCCCTCCATTGTTTTATCAATCAGAGAGTATGTGATCCAGATTTCCAGAATTTACCGTGTCGAGCTAATCTCACTGTTAAAAAAACATGTCAGGGCGCAGAACTAAAAAAGGTATCGTAAAGGTTCTCAAATCATTAATGACAAAACAAGGAATAAAACAAGGATTTCTTTCGGGCCTTTGTGAAAAAGGTGTGGGTGATAGATTTGTTGTTGACAAAACTCTTGTCTATTCAGCTATTATGGTTCCAGCTGGATTTTGCCGCATATCTGGCAACCTGAGAGTGGGAGAGGACTACAGAATATTGAAGGTGATTGCAGGACCACTTTTGGCCAGATCTTTACATGTTCATTCATTCATTCATTTTCTGCTGCCACCCAAAGCTCATAGCACCAGTCTTTACATGTTTCTGCTTTAAATGTTTTGTGTATTAAAATGTGGCTGTGCACATGTTACTACAGTCGAATGTAGTCAGCTTTGAAAAGTACAGAAATCCAACATAAACTCGTAACCTACTTTTGCAGCTTTTACCATCCTCTGCCAGCGTGAAGCCTTCAAAACATTTACAAACGTACGAGTCGTTGGTGTTGACGCAGAGATGCTCACAGCCGTGGGTGACCGTCCGACACAAGTCCAGACCTGAGAAAGAAATAATTACCAAATGTACATCTGTATTACCCACAGCAGCTCGTTAGTATCCACATGCAAACTTCACTTACTTTGACAAGACTTTCCATCTGCTTTGAGTCTGAATCCTGTCCTACATTTACAAACACAGGCGTTTTCCGTGCTTTCAAACTCCTGCTCGCATCCGTGGGCCCCGGCGGCACAGTGGTCCGTCTCTAAAGAAGTCACACTTTCAAAAACTTAAATGTGGTTACGAATGTGTTGAAATGCTCGGTACACTATTTTAAACTGTTGTTAGTAAAAGCACTCATTTCCTTCTTGCAGTAGGACTTCAACGAGCCATTTCATTATTGAGCACTTTTTATACATTCATCACAGACATACAGTTATTCCCGGGTTGGGATTATAACCCGACCTCATGCCCCTTTGGATTTCACAACATGGCACATCCGGCAGAGGGAACATCTTTTAAAAGGGGATTTATTAATATGATTTTCGGACTATATGCCTCCACTTACAAGTTCATTCAAGTCATTCAAGTCTGTGTTGTACATGATGTCACCAATGTAGAAGTCGAGAGTAACTGGGTTTTTTCTGGTTTTAGTGCAATATGTAAGATTTTCAAGTCAAGTCATCATTGATTGTCCCTAATCTGTTAAAAGGCATTAATAAACCATGCTCTTTTCCAATACTTATTTAACTGATAACAGTAGTTCAGCCGAAACATTCACATTTCAAAATTAGTTTTACAGCCCCTAAATCTTGTCATTATTTTCATTTTGATGTCCCGCCCTCCACCATCACACCAATCAGAAAGTCCGTGATCCGGGTTGCCAGAACTCACATCCTCGAACTAATCTCACTGGTAAAGTAGCATGTGGCCGAAGAACTAAAAAAAGGTCTCGTTTCTCAAATCATTAATGACAAAATAAGGAAAAAAACTAGGATTTCTATCGGGCCTTTGTGAAAAAGGTGTTGGTTATTAGATTTGTTGTTGACAAAACTCTTGTGTATTCACATTTTATGGTCCCAGCTGGATTCGTCTGCATATCTGGCAACCTGAGTCAGGGAGAGTGCAGTCCTTCTGTTGGCCAGAATTTTACATACTGCTCCTTTAATCAAATTCCACCTAAAATTGCAATTAGCTACAATCGGTTTTGTTTTACTCCATCAACTGTTGCTTAAGTGTTACATTACAGTAAGTATATTCAAAATGAACTTTCTTTGAATATGAAGCTGGTGCGGTTTATATACAGGTGCCATGACGAGTCCAGCAGTACCGTACTTTTGCATGTTTTTCCATCGGGCCGCAGCGAGTAGCCCCCTCTGCACTTGCACACACACGAATGCTCGGTGCTCACAGACTCCTGTTCACAGCCGTATTTCTCACAGTAGTCGATTTCTGTGGGAAAAATCATTTATCAGAATACCTGCATCATTTACAGCAGTGTCTCCCAAAGTGGGGTCCGCGGCCCCCTGGTGGTCCGCGAGGGTACTGCAGGGGGGCCGCGGGAGGTCATAAAAAAAATAATATAATTATTTAATGTTAAATGTATAATGTTTTGTTTGTAATATTAAAATATTTGTGTTCATTATTTGACTTGAATAATCCACTGTAATCATTTTTGTATTACAATGTTTGTAGCAGAGGCTATTTCCCCAAAATAAAATAACCAGAAGAGCCTATTCTTAATGTTGTCTTCTTGGTTATTATTTTGGGGGGCCACGCAGACCCGTCAGATTTTTAAGGGGGCCTCGGTGTTACTGAGTTTGGGAATGGCTGATTTACAGCATTAATAAAATGCTTATCCTGTATTTAAATCATTCTTAATAAACAATTTGTTCATGATTCATTAAATGCGTTATAATGTTTCAATTGTTGGTTCATTTGCCAAAAACAGAAAATATTTGAAAGGCTTTCAATTGCCTTTAATGAAGTAGTTTTTTGAAAAGCCTGATCTATTTTATTGTCATATGAAAAAAGTCTCAACCCTTTCTTGGGCAAATCCTTTCAGATTTACTGCAGATAACAACAAATGTTGAAGGAATACACTTTTTTGCCAACTTCTCAAAACAAAATTATCTGCTTTTGCAAATTCTCTTCAAATATGGTGCAGGGATTATAGTGTAACATCTGTGTATCTCGAGTCCCTTTATACTTTTTAAACACTTTGAGATAAATGCTCCAGAGGCTCAATAACCGTCCTAGTTTTTATATCAATGAAAGTGATAGCCTTCAGAAAGTATGTAGTTGTAGTTGCAGCCATGAAAAAAAGGATGTTCCCTGTCATCAAAAGTAAGTTTACCTGTGACGAGGGAAACAGGATGTTGATATTACTAATAACACCATGGTAGCATTAGTTGTCTCCTTATGTAAATGGACTATTATAAACTCTAGTTGTGTTTGATTTCACAGTTCAATCTAATGCCACATGATCATTGGGAACTGTTTTTAGAGACTTGAAGAGAATTATTTTGCTCTTAGCATCAATCAACAATTCATTTACAATACTGCAGTGTTGATGTGATGCAGCATAACGGGTTTGCATAAAAAACTAGCCCTCACATTTCAATATGGGTTGTGCTTCAAAATGCACAGGGAAAAAACGGAAAAACCAAATCACGGTGCAGACTTTTTGATGACTTATTTTTACCTGGTTTTATTTAGATATATTTTTTTTCCATTGTTCTATGCCCCTTGTCTAGTCACTGGCGTTTGTTAAATTATCTTGCAGTTTTCACATGTTTTGACAACCAATGATGAAAGCGGTAATAATAAAAGTTTAAATAAAATGAAAAAAATGAAAATGAAATATCAAAGATCTTATGTGCTTTTTTGAGTAATCATCTCTCATTTTAAACAGAAATTACTTTGACACGTTTTTCCATCGGGTCGAAGTTTAAATCCTTTCTTGCATTTACAAACACAGGCCTTTTCTGTGTTCTCAAACTCTTGTTCACAGCCGTGCTTCCCATCGGCACAATGGTCGATCTCTGCGGAACGTAGAATAAAACAGAGATTACAAACCGCACTCTGGGAAGCGGTCGTGTTGTTGTGACTGTATCGGGGACACTCACTTCTGCAGCTGTGTTTGTCTGGATTGAGCACGTAGCCTTTTCCGCACTTGCAGATGTAGGACTCTGGGATGCTGATACAGTCCTGCTCACACTTATGGAGGCCCAGGTCACAGTAGTCTATTTCTGGAGGAAAGAAACAGACCAAATAAACACCCATTGTTGTTCTCCTCAAAACAGTTTGCTAAATGTGCTAAAAGCTGTGTGAGTAGATTTCTTTCATATTTTCTGCCTTTATTATAGTTTGTACTAAAGGTGTGTTCTGCAGAGCGTAGGATCATCACATTAGAGAAAACCAAAGGGGATTTTCACATGGAAATTAGACTGCTATACCTGGCACTCGTGTTACAGCAGGCATATTGAAGCAATAGTGGAGTGTTAAGACTCTCTTGTTTAAATTAATACATGAAAACAGTACATTATTTTGCACTCAGTATAAAATAGTGTAGATACATAGATTTCATAAGGCTTTTACACCCATTTCGAAATCTATAGGTACATTTATGAAAAACATTTTGGCTTTGAATTATACAACACTTGTTTACTATGAAATAAATGAATGCGTTTTTCATACATTTTAAGTGAGACAGACAGAAGGAGCCCTGACACTTTATAAGAGGCAGAGGACTGCTAAAGTCAATAAAGTCAATACAAGAAAATGTAGGGCATGGGTGTCAAAGCCAAGGCCCGTGGGCCAGATCCACCCGCAAGACTATTTTTAGTGGCCCCTAAAATTATTTTTATTTACCAGCAGCATTGATGGTAATGGATGAGCAAGGCCGGTTATACATTATCTATTTTCTCAGGCAAACAACCAAATTTAATGTATTCGAGCATTTTAACCCAATAACACATAATTAGAAGTTAAACAGTTCAATATCAAATGTTTTTACTTCATATTTTATCCAGTTTTGGTTCAATCTAAACAATAAACACATTTTGTTTTCAGAGAAATAAACTACAAAACAAAGGTGAAACTCAAGTCACACTAAAGTCATGTTAAAATATCTTCATAATGTGAAAAACTATGATAAGAGAAGGAAATCTCTTCTATTGTTTCGGCCCCCGACCAGTTCCTATTTTTTTAATCTGCCTCTGACCAAAAAGAGTTTGACACCCCTGATGTAGGGGAACATTTGGGGGTCACTGGATTTAGGAGCTTGTGTAGCAATTATTCTGCTTTGACTCCTAAAAGGTTCATATCCTGTATGCTGTGTGTCATTATTCATGGACTTGTTTTAGCTCTGATATTACGTTCATTTGTCAACAATTATAGACAGACATATTAAAATCCACTGTTCGTTCTTACAACATGAAACAAATACAAAATAAAACCCTGTGCTGAAGTTAAGCCTGATGTCTTTAAACTGTGAATGAAACATTGTCCAAAGCAGAAGCCTGATGGAAATAACACACATGCTTCAGGAAACCGCCCACTGTTCTCTGTCAACATCGACATCGGTCAGAGAAACGACAGACTTTCACTTATGGACCTTTAAAATGTCAAAATGTTCAAAATACACAAATGAAGTAAACATGTTTTCACTTCATTTTACGGTTCTTTACAGATTTAAATACTATAGAAGTGTTGGAAATAGAGCAAGAGTTTGTCCAGCCACAGTTTGCATTTATATTTGTATGGCACCATTTATACTTATATTGACAAAACAAGAAAAGAAACAATTATTTCACACAAGTAAGTATATAAAAGTGAAGACTATATTCTTGCTCATAGCTGTACAATGCATTCTCAAAATTCCATGGTTTTTTTTCAACTTTTCTCTGGGACAAGTCAAACAGTCTCTTATTGAATGGCCTATTTAATAAGAGACTCCCATACAAAGTACAGTTCTCAGCCTGAAATGTTGCTTGAATCTGTATGTTTGTATTATTTGTTTTTTCCATAAACGGTTTTGTTTCTTTTTCTGATGGGAAAAATAAAATAGAAAAACACATGTCTATCTGAGCTAAACAGAACTTAGAGTTATGTATTTCATTTGGTTGTACGTTTCATACAGATTGTGTTTAAAATCACTTTGAAATAGCAACTGAAGTAGCAAAGTGTTTCTTCATTTTGGATTTACATTATTCTATTACGGGTCAATGTGATGTTTCTTACGGTTACAGGTCTTGTTGTCGATAGTGAGCTGGTAACCCGGGCGACAGCGGCATTCGTAGCCCTTTGGGATGTTGGCACAAATGTGTTGACATCCATGCTCCACTTCAGCACACATGTCCTCAGCTACAACATACCAACACAGGAACATTGGTGACTAAAATACACAACAACTCCAATTCTTCAAATCTCTGTTGTCTGTTATGACTGTTATATCTGTTCACCTCTGCATGTCTTGCCGTCAGGATTGAGGACGTATCCGCTTCTGCATTTGCAGCGGTACGAGGCGGGGCTGCTCACACACATGTGCTCACACCGGTGATTCACTACCTCACACATGTCTCGCTCTGTTCAACACACAAACACAGTCTACGACTTCAGCTCCTGCTCCTGACACACTGAGCACGAGCTGGCGTGCTCAGCAGACGTGCTACAGCAGACCCTTCTCAGACTCTAGATATTGTGCTGAGCTCAGTGTGAACACGCCGAGCAATCGAAGTGGGAGACTGTTGGGGATCAGACCCGCAGAATGATAATAGTGAAATCAACAATTCAAGATCTTCTGCCTATACATTCTACATTCTACAGTGAATTGCATAATCATGGCACTGGGGAGAGAAGAGATCTCCCCAGTGCCATGGGAGCGGGGAATAAGTGTTGCAGGAGCAAGGAATAAAACCGCATTGAACTCACCTAGAACTACACTATGTGTGCTGTTATGTTACAGCCACTTGGCTTTACCTTAGGACCTTTCATTCAGGTTGTCCCGGGTTGGACACAATGAAATTGTTTTCATACACCTACAGTAGTTGCATAAGCCAATAACAAGTTTTCATTGATATGTTTTACAGTATAAAACATGGCCACATAACGATTTAGAATACAATCTTTATGACCTGAAGTTATGTTTCTGTTTGTATTTTAACATAAATTGATACAGAGTGTGGGGTGGGGACGGGGGTAAATGATGATAAAATGTTTTGAAGACTGAGGATACTCTCAGACATGCATAAATGTGAACATATAGTAACAGTATCTCACCTCCACACAGTTTTGACTGGAAAACAGAGATCAGGGATTCCATTTGACTGAAGTTGGCCACAAGATGCACATGCTCCGAGTGCGGCTCGCTGCCAATGGACTGCAGCGTGTTCATGTCCACTCGTCCCACTCCGATAGCGAAGATCTGTATCCCGGCCTGACGCGCCTGAGCAGCTATGTCCTCCACCTCGTCCTGTGGGGAGGCAACAGAAGCATGTTTGTAACTACATGTTTATAAACAGAGTGGTTTGGAGTGTTATTACTTCAACTTCAATCAATAGAAGTAGAACCGTAAGGGACCGGTAGCACCTACACAAACCTTCCTATTACATTATATATAAACAATTTTGATTGGTCGATTTCATTTTTGACTCAAAACAAGGTTGTAATAATATCCAGGATCATTAAGAAAATGTGATTGCATAGGGGATATAAAATACATTAACTGGGTTTTCATATTATATAATGTCTTATGTACATTTTGGTTATGATTGTGCACAGCAAGTTCCTTGCTGAGGCCCATATAAAACAATAATCAGCAATCACGTATAGACTAGAGGGGGTGGTGTTGGTGTCTAATGCTCCAAATGTGCCACATCTGCCTTTGTTCAAATCCTAATAAATACATAACATAAAATTTCTCCCAATGAAACATAAAATATCTCCCATCATATTTGTAGGTTTTGGGCCTTTTTAGCGCATGTAGTACCAGCGTCCTCGCTGGTACTACATAAACTAGTTGTTATTATAGCAGCCTTCTCTCACCAAATACAAATGCTTCGTGCACATTGTGACTGACCTGTGGTCGTCCGTCCGTGACCACCATGGCGATGCGCGGGATGAGCAGCTCCGCAGGCCGGGCCCCCTGCTCCTCCGTGAAGGCCGTGTCCATGGTGTACTGCAGCGCAAGGCCAGTCATGGTGCCGGTGGCCAGGTGCTGCATGCTCTTCACGGCCCGCTGCACCTCTGCGTTGGTGCTGTACGTGTTCAGACTGAACTCGTTCTGCACCTCACTCCCGTACTGCAGCAGGCCCACCCGCGTGTGCTCCGGGGCCACGCGCAGGAACTGCAGCAGGTTTGAGATGAAGGTCTTCACTTTCTCATAGTCACTGGGTCGGATGCTGCGGGAGCTGTCAATCACAAACACGAAGTCCAGGGGCATCATTCTGCACTGAGCCGCTGAAACCAGACAGAGAGGTGAGGAAAGACGTGTGGAAGGTTACTATTTAAACAGACAACTTATACTGTAAAGAGAAGACATCAACAAAATGTCATCATAGAATGTAATAAACACAAATGTTGTGATGCACTTCTAAGCAGCATGGTTACTTCCTTCATTCTTGATCTGTGCTTTTTTTGGGTTAAAACTGACATAGTTTCTTATTTTTGGTCAAGCAACACATTTATAGGCTTACTTCTATTGGCAAATCTTATGTAGATAGAGATAATTCACTTGAATACACATATACAGTATGCTACTGAATTACTTAATTTGCAATGTGTAAAAATCAAAAGCTCACTCGTTGGTTTGACTTTGTATTTGTGGATCTCTTTCTGTCGTGGGGCAGGGGTTGGTTCTGGACGTCTTCGTTGAAAGAGGAAGCCATCGCAGGTCAGAAAGCAGCACAGTACAAGCATCCACCACCACCTCATCATGAGCAGATCTCAGAGCCACAGGGCGGGACGTCGATGGGTCTGTGATGGGCCTATTGGGTCATATCATAAATGTATGTTTAAACAAGTATAGTCCCTGTCAGTAGTCTGGGACTACTGACAGGGACTGACAGGGTTTCTCTGATCTTAGGTCATGATCTGGGTCTGCAAGCGCTTCTCTTTACAACATTAGGGTAAAGATGTCATAACTACACTCTGGAAGTATGGTGCACTGTGAGCCGAAGTACTCTTTAATGGTTTTTGATAAAAATAGGAGGAACTTTCACCTCTTGCATATCTGACCTGTCCTGCTTCAGATTTCACAGAGTGACCACCCGCTAGAACCAACTTACAGTTTTAGTACACTCTGGTATGATAACAGTGGATACATAGATAAAAGGGGTTTTGAGCCTATACTCTGTGTGTAAAGTTGTTACTTTCCATCTTTCCAGGACAGTTTTGGGGGACTTTTCGCCTCATGTATTTCCTCAAAGTGTAAACAGTAGTTCAGTTCCATCTGTGTTATATGAAACACATTGCACCATGTTCTGATTTTCCAGAGTGATTTACCACACAGGCGGTTTCCAGGTCTGGTTCAGATCCTGGTCTTAGAATCAGGTCCAAGTCTGGCCCTCAGGAGAGACATTTGTGATTTGTGAGCAGTTATGTCATCTTCAGTGCCATGGAGTAAATTCTCATGTTACTCTGCATCAAAACACATGTTTGTAGAAAGAGCATGTCCAGAGAACCTGATGTAAAACTGTGATGTCCTTGGGAACCAAATGCAGACTCTCTTGTCTGAATCTGCTGAGTGCGTTACTACCTTTTCTTTATTCAACCTTTATGTAACCAGAAAATCCCCACTGAGATTTTAAAATCTCTTTTTTTCAGGGAAGTTTCAGGTGCCAGAGAGAGGGGGGCTATTGTTTCAATGGTAGGAGAAACCGCAGCACAGGGAGAAAGTGCAAACCATACAGAAATGCCCTGTCTGGAGGTGGGTTCGAACCCAGCTGAGATAACCACTCAGCCACTAAATAGCTGATGGCACAGAGAGGCAGTCTTATTGTGTGGTTACAGTTTACCGACACAATGCTACATTAATTTACTATAACGCTTATCCTCTCAGAGCCACAAAGATAATCATGTTATTGTCCTTGTCATTTGTCTTGAAACTGCTTTTTATTGAAAACCTAAATATAAGTCCAGGTGAATAGAGGTTTAAACAAGCCTTTACTCCTCAAAGTGCCGATAGCCAGCGACAGGGCTCCCCATGTAGTGTATAAACTGCTGCACTCTTGTGGATACGGTTACAGCTGATCTGAGAACAGTTGGAGCTGGTGAGCTTTGACCTTACATCTGTTAAAGTGTCTCTGCTCCTGTTGCGTCAAAACATCAACAAAACCACAAACCCCTGCAACAAACGTAGCTGTTTTTCCATCAGGCTTTTCTCCTGAGATTCAAATTACCAAACAAAATGTACTGAACCTGGACCAATCTGCTTTACTCATTGTGGACAAATCACTTTTCATGATGTTGATGCGGGCGTCAAACAAGGAACATGTGCAAAGTATCTAGACACTCAATTGTTCTTCTTTAAGACAATTTCACAGTGATCGTAATACATTTTTGTTTTAAACTCAACTGTGTGCAAAAGCTCCAGGTTCAGGTGAATGACAAAGGTGAGGACTAAGATTCAAACAAAGGATTGACAAACATTAGCAAGGAAATCAGTACACATAGATGGATCAAATTAATGATAATGATTTTAAAGACCTACCTTGTTATTCCAAAACAGAATTCCCAGGTCTTGATGTGAACGCTGCAGTATTTTTCCCTAAAGCCTGGAGTGTGGAAGACGTGTGCCGGTGTGCTGTGGCGGTACCGTCTCAGCTCTGGACACACGCACTGCTTAGACTTCTGTGGTTCTCTCCTCCTACTCTTAAAGTTGAGACACATTTTGTCCAGAACTAACCAACTGAGTGACTGTATGTTAATGCTTGTATTCATGATTTCAATGTAACCTATAGAAAAAATGTAGACCTAAAGTATGAAAAAATGGCTTGAGATGTGAGAGCTGCACATTTAGTACTGCACATTTTAAATTATTTTTTACTGAATGGATAAATATTTGAAATTACGTCTAAAATCATGATTATTCACTATACTCATAGCTGTACCTATAGTATCAGGATTAGGGTGTAGCTAACCACACCCATAGGTTATAAATCAACGCGCGGTCTGAGAATTCATTCCCTGAAGAAGTCCTCTGGATTGAGGACGAAACGTCGGGAAAACTTGCTAAGATGTACAGATGATGGGTGAGAAACCTTCCTTTGCTTTGACTAATCACTGTACGACTGAGGGCTTACACAAAATTATTCACTATAGTTACATATGTATTTCATCATTAAAAGATACATATTTATGGCATTGTCCTTTTTTTGCATTCCCTTTTATTTTTTGTATGGACCAATTTTATCTTGAGTCTGAAATAAAGATCAATAATAATAATAATAATAAATAATAATAATAGAAAGACCCAAAAAGAGTCTTCAATAAAACTAGATTTTATTTTACATTTATAAATAAAACATCACATTTTACAAGTGTGTACGTTCTGTAGAAGTCTTCTTAGCGTTCAGCCGCTGGTGAAACACCCTTCGCGCAATGAGACTATGGACAAACTGATTCCAGGTCAGAGCGCCGTCTGGGCACACACACCGCCCACAGGTGCGTCCTCAACAACAGACAGAACATTAAGTTATGGAGATCAACTCAACACAAGATAGGATATGTTTGGTGTATACTAGGCTGCGCACTGCATCACAACAGAACAGGTCCAGAACAGTCAGCAAACGTTTGGATGAAGACCAAAAAACATCACAAATGAGACTATACACAAAAAATAAATAATGCCTTTACAGCTTTTAAATTCATCCAAATAGAGAAAACAATTGCAGGTATTATTAAGGTGCATTGGATTTGCTTGTTTCACTTAATATTGTTACTATTATTACCCTGGTGTCAAAAATACATTCACTTCAAAAACATGTTTGTGAATGCTTTGTTACACAGATTTCTTTGTGAACAATATATACAACTTAACTTCACTCAACTGACCAAAAACATTTATGAAAAACTTACAACGTAATGAATGAACCGTTTTCTGTCTAAAAGTAAACAATCATGAAGGCAACACGCATGCGGTTTGGATGGTGAGGTTTTCAGATCTGAATGTAGATGATTTTCTGAATTTCATGAGTAAGGCAATATATACAAAAATCTTATTATAATAATTTGAAGAGATGCTAATGTTGAACACCAGGTACTGTACATCATGGAGATTGAAAACCGATACAAATACTGCAAATCAAAGAAGTCATGCAAGTAACCATGAATATACAGTACCATCTAGTTCTGTTGAAAGCAAATCACAGCTTAGACTGCGTCACTAGAATCATAAATAATCATTTTAGTGTGTGTGTGTGTCTCATTTCCACAAAAGCTTAACAGTAGAAATAGGAGACAATGCTATAATTTTCTTGTGTGCGAATTGTTTTTAATTTGATTACATTTTACAACTCAGAAATATTTGTGTATATATATATTTTTTTTATAAGGATTTGTCAGTTTTATCAACACTGAAAATACTATAAGGCTGTATCCAATCGATAAACTCCTAAAAAAGGAATCTCACATTTTTTAGCGTTCATATATTTTTGAGAATATTGCCCACCTCTGTTATTCCACATTTGGGATCATCCTCAATTCAAATCACAATGGAAAAGTTATAGTTGTGAGTCCTTTTGTGTAGGACAGGCCAAGAGCAGTGTTCCCGTCGAGAGAGAGAAGTGTGCGACCTCTGCTGTAGGTAAACCGAGAGGCTGCGAGGTGTCGGTTTTCTTTGTTTTTATTCAGACCCGAGTCGTGGGACGTGCCCTTGGTTCAAGCGGACACTGAGGTGGAGTAGGAGGGAGGAGGGGTCTTTTCCACAGGGTCGTCATATGGTATCAGCATCTGCAAGATTTCATACCTGGATTTACCGCACATTACAGAAGACACCCACTTTGGAACTGTGAAATCTACAATGAAAATGTGGTATAAAAGATAAAAAAACAATCCAATGGAGCTTTGTTTAAAAAAATGACCTGTCTGGGTAGAATGGAGCTTTTAGACATGATTACAATGCACTCCTTTAAAGTGGCCTCAAACAAGAGAGCAATGAGATCTATTATATGTAAGACATTAGGATAAGTTGAGAACTAACTTGTGTAACTATATGCATCTATAATACTGTATGTCTGAAGCACTCGCAGCCACAATGCAATATATCTGTAATTATAGAAAGCCATTGTTGCACCAGCTCTCAATTTTACACTAAGTTTTGCTATGAAAACTATCTGTATGGAAAAATGAAATAAAAAAATGTTACTAAAAAAGTTAACTTGGCAAATGTTACTGGATCTGGAATACACTTCCTCTTCAATGCAAAGTATTTTTATAGAGCCCTAAATCACAACAACAGTCATCTCGGAGGACTTTACAAAGTTGTCGATTCGCCAATTCAGATCAGAGAATCAAACGCAGGAAATGCAATGATAAACACAAAGAAGCCACAGGCCTATAGGGAGCAGATGACCAATGTTAACAAAAGCTCAAATAGTCACTGAGAGTGCAGAGGTGACTGGTTCGATTTCTTTTTTAATTGAAGAATAATCAGAAGAACACATGAGTTCACTGGTTCATTGTTTTTCTATTATTTCTCTCAACAGATTCATCATATTATGTCAAATTAACTAATCAATGTTTTCTACCTTCTTGCTGATATAAATAATAATAATGTGCCTTCCATATTAGTGCTGTGTCATTTATGGTTTTATTAACGGTTTCATGGTAACAATAGAAGCAGATGTTTAAAATGGCAGCAAGAGTAACTGTTCAAACGACTTGGATGCGGTTTATTATTTTGACATTTAGACCAATGGAATAAGACGAACGGATCCCCACATTTCAAAACATTTGCAGCGAGCCATGGTTATTCTCACTGCTTCTGCTGTTTTTTCCATTAAACTGAATAATAAATGTGGGTCGAGCAAGAGAACACGGACAGCGCAACCTGACCTGACTCTGTACAGAAAAAAAAGTCTGTTCTGAGAGAAATGATGACAGCGACACAGAGCCCCATTTGTTTATTGCTTTTGGGAAATGACGAGTGGCCTGTGACAAATGATTTTTTCCTCCCTGCATGCAATTTAAATGCTAATGAACAAACAAAAAAGGCATGCGTAACTACAGAAAGACGAAGCCTGTAAATACTAAATTTATCAAATGCCCAATGGACTATATACAATGATATATTGGCAATAGGCTGTTTATTGATGGTGTAGCTTGTATAGTGTATATTTAGTGCTAAAAAGTGTTGCGTCCTCTGGATTAGGGATTTTCCAAATTGATTCCGGGATTGGATAACGGGTTGGATCAAATATCGGTTCTATGATATTGGTGGGGTCGTTCTCTAAATGTTGTCTTCAGCTTTAATATAAACCAGAGAGTGAGATGAGTCAACTGCCTTGCTAGCTTTGTGATGTAGCTAAAGGCACTGCCATCGATTTTTTTAATAATCAGGAGAAAACTTACCGTGGTGTCATTGGTGGCGATGTATTTCAATATTTCTGGAGTGCTCCAGCTGCTCACGTACACGTAGCATCTCCACACACACAATATTATGTAGGCCTGTACACATAAGAAAAAAAATAATAATAACAAACAGAATATTAAACCATTACAAACTATTTAAAAACACAATTAACTCAATTCAAATTTGCAACTTTACATCAGTCCTTCATCATACTGTATTCTTGCCAATGTGACATGTACATTTCTCCTGTGTGAGATTAATAAAGTACTAAGTAATACCAAAACCAAGTCTGAAGCAGGTATGAAAGTGCAACAAATAAGGTCTAAAAGTATTATTTCAAACTGTAATAACCTGAAACACTGCTACACTGCTACATACTACCCCAGTACCCAGTGTAAAACCTCAATCAATCAATCATGAATAGAGATGAAGAGTACCTTGATGATGAGAATACAGGAGATGAAAAACATCACGCCAGCAGCCATATACTTCATGTCAACCTCTTTCTCCAGGAAATTATCAGGCTACAAAACAAAAATAAGTATTCTTTATGGATGTACATTTTTCATATTTTTCACCTAAATAATTTGTCTACTACTGACCAGCTGTTTGACATAGTCCTGGATGGTTCTGGGGTTTATAACAAGGCACAAAGCCACAACCATGTTCAGGCCCAAGTCGAAACACTCGTAGAACAAGAACGGGATGATCCAAGCTGGTCGCAACTGAAAAAACAAAATCATTTAAAACAAGGCGATTTAAAACAAAAAATATATGTTGGTCAAAAGCACACAGTATGTTGCTATCATATATATTTTATAGATAAAAATACACCAACATCTGATTTAAAATGATTATTATCTGAGCCAAGAATGAGTCCCAGTTACCTTGAAAGCACCATATGTTGCCATGCCACTTATGATAATCATCAGCAGAGAGATAGCCGAGACAATGTATAGTGTGTCTGAAAAAAAAAAAAAATAGTTACGTTTTACTTGAACTCAGAACAAATCAAATTGACTTTTGACATAAGGAGCTATTTGACTATTTTTTTTGGGGCAGTACAGCACAGGTTGTGTCTCCATCTTAAGTGAGCCGAATCGATCTGTCAAAACGCTCCTCCGAGAACTGTCAGGAATAGAGGTGTTTGCAGGAATGTGACTTCCGAGAGATCCGAATCAGAATTATTTGAATTGCCATTGTGAGTACGAGGAAGCCATAAACTAGGAAATTGCTTTGGCTCTCGGTACAAACAAGTTCCGTTTGTTTGTACCGAGATTCCGTAACAATCAATCAACACATTTACGTGTTAATCGGAGAACACATTATACATAATTAATACACATGCACGGAGGTTTTCAGAATGATTTGTTTAAGTTTTCATGACAAAAATAATGTTTTAATGCTATTATCATGAATTGTATTGTATTGTATTATAGGACACATCTGCAGAGAATGTGATTATGGATATAGGTTTGGTATATAAATGGCTAACTCAGCGCAGATGTTCAGAATTCTTTGTACAGTTTTCATGTAGTTCCAGAACCGAGGGTTACGTATGTAACCACGGTTCTATGAATCCCGAATGACCGCCAGAGGGCGGTGCATAGCACTGAATGTTCCCTTCGCGCATGCGCAGTTCGAGCAATAATACCAAATGAGTCACACTTGTGACCCCTTGGATGACACACCGGAGGTAATAAAGTCCAGCGTCATCCAGCACTCTGTTCCTGCAGAATCTTCTCGCGGACGCAAGGACCCTGAGTGACAGAGCGCCTCTGGCGGTCATTCGGGATTCATAGAACCGTGGTTACATACGTAACCCTCGTTCTATTTCATCCCTTCTGACCGCCAGAGGGCGGTGCATAGCACTGAATGACCTTATACCAGCTATGTCATGAAGGATCTTGACCACACACCTCACGGAGGAGAGCCAGAGGATTCCTGAAGGACCACGCCAAGAGGAGCCGGAGTGGCCACATTGATGTTGTAGAATCTGGTGAACGTGCTTGGTGTAGCCCAAGACGCAGCAGCGTTGCTTCGAAAGCGGACTTCCCAGTCTAGCACCACCATAAGCAACAAAGAGCTGGTCTGAGCGCCTCACACCCGCCGTCGCAGCAACGTAGGCCTCCAATGCCCTCACAGGACACAGCAGGTGCAGTCTGTCCTCACCCCCATCCAGGGGGGACACAAACCGCGCCAACCTCAAAGGCCGGTTACAATAGTCACGGGAAAGCACCTTAGGGAGGAAAGTGGGATTAGGCCACAAGACCACGCCAGCCTTCTCGGGATCCCAGTGTAGGCATGAGGGACTGACAGAAAGTGCATGCAACTCACCGACCCTTTTTGCAGAGACCACAGCCAACAGGAAAGCAGTCTTATAGGAGAGCCACTTGAGGTCCGTTCGGGCCAATGGCTCATAGGGAGGGCGGCAGAGAGACTCCAACACCAAGGCCAGGTCCCAAACCGGAGACCGCGCGGGCACGCGAGGGTGCAGCCTACGAGCTCCGCGTAAAAAGAGAGACACCAGGTTATGGCCCCCCACAGTACAGTTATCAACCTGGCCATGATAACATGAAATAGCAGCAACATATACCTTCAGAGTAGATGGGGCCCGACCTTCATCCAGGAGAGACTGAAGGAATTCCAGAACAACCGCCACCGGGCACGACACGGGATCCCGACCGCGGGAAGAACACCAGCGGGAGAACAACTTCCACCTGTTCTCATACAGCCGCCGAGTAGAGGACGCCCTGGCACTCAGGAGTGTACGCCTGACAGGGCCAGTGACATCGAGCGCCCGCAGCTCGGGCCAGCCAACGGCCACACCCATAACTTGAGGCGGTGAGGACAGGGATGCCACACCTGACCGTCCAGCTGTGAGAGCAGATCCCGCCTGGGAGGGAGAGGCCAGGGGGGAGCCCAACAAAGTCTGAGTAGCAGTGGAAACCAGGGCCGTGCAGGCCAAAACGGAGCCACCAGCAACACCCTGGGCCCCGCCCGAAGGACTCTCCGGAGGGTGGGCCAGATCAAAGGAAAAGGGGGGAAGGCGTACAGGAGGACCTGAGGCCAACTGTGCGCCAGGGCATCCTGGCCGAGAGAGCCCGGAGCCCCGTCCAGGGAAAAAAACTGAGGGCAATGAGTGGAGGCCACCGAAGCGAATAGGTCCACCTGTGCCTGACCAAAAAGGCCCCATATCCTCTGGACCACACTGGGATGGAGACACCAATCCCCCGGGGCAGGCCTCCCGCGAGACAGGGAGTCCGCCACGCGATTGCAGTCCCCTGGCAGATACGCTGCACGCAGTGTAGACAGGCGAGGCGCAGCCCAAACCAGCAGCGCCTGAGACACCTCGAGGAGCCGAGCCGATCGGACACCCCCTTGATGGTTGACGTGATACACGACCGAGGTGTTGTCCGAACGAATGAGGACATGTTTCCCCAGCAGGTGAGGCAAAAACTCCTGGAGAGCAAGGTGGACGGCCCGCAGCTCCAGCACATTTATGTGGTCTGAACGCTCTGCCCGAGACCAAACCCTTCGGGCCAACCTGTGCTGCCACACAGCACCCCATCCCGTACGGCTGGCGTCGGTGGTGACCACTTCCCTGCGGCACACTACGACCCCCAAGGGGACCCCACGTGACAGGAGACCCCGGTCCCTCCATGGAGCCAAAGCACGAAAAAATGCCCACGTCACCTGCAACCGTCTGTGGCGGTGACGAACGGCATCTAAACGACACCCGTTCAGCCACCTCTGCAACGGGCGAAGCGAAAGCAGCCCGAGTGGAACCACACGAGAGATCGAGGCCAGCTTCCCCACCAGCTGTAGAAAGCTGACGTAACTGTGCAGGGTGCCAAGACCGAAACGGGACACCACACCGTGGATGTCGACCAGGCGGCGCACTGAAGGACGCGCCGTCACAGTCACCGTGTTCAGATTCAGGCCAAGAAAAACAGCGGCCTGCGAAGGCACCAGGCTGCTCTTCTCGAAATTGACCCTGAAACCCAAGCGGGCGACATGAGTCAGAAGGCGCTCCGTATCCTCCAAGGACCGTGCCCTGGACGGGGCGCAGATCAGCCAATCGTCCAGATAAGGCAACACCTTCATGCCACTGGCCTGCAGCGGAGCCAGAGCCGCCTTCACGCACCGAGTGAAAACCCTCGGAGAGAGAGAGAGGCCAAAGGGAAGAATCCTGAACTGCCAGTGAAGATAGGCGAACCGGAGGAACCGCCGGTGGGGCTGCGCAATGGGCACGTGAAAATACGCGTCCCTCAAATCTATGGACGTGAACCATTACCCGGCCCCAACAGTTTGAAGGACTTCCGCAGTCGTCAGCATGCGAAACGGAATGACCTTCAGGAAATGATTCAAACCCCTCAGATCCAAAATTGGTCGAAAACCCCCCGTCTTCTTGGGCACGAGAAAATAACGGGAGTAATAACCCCTGGGTTGCAGCAGCGGATTTACCGCCTCGATGGCACCCTTGGTCAGGAGGGCGGAGAGCTCCTGATCCAAGATAAAGGCTTTTGCCGGGTCCGAGATCAAAGTAACCTTGACCCGGCCCGACAAGTGCGGCTGGCGTCGGAATTGCAGACGGTATCCGTGGGTCAATGTGGCAGCCACCCACGGATCCCGAGCTCGAGCAGCCCAACACTCGAGCTGCTGATGGGAAAAATATCCAACGCCCGGCCCTGAGGCGTCAATTCCGCGCCCCCCGCCCCCTAGGGGCTCTGGGGGGACCTCGCCCAGGACCAGCTGCGGCGCCACTTGGCTGGCGGGTCGGGCGCCTATGTACGGGTGGGGCACGAAAATTCCCGGCAGGCCTGACCTGGGGATAACGCTGAGCACCAGACCAATCCCGAGGAGGCTGCCGAACACTGGGGGCCACCATCGGGCGCAAAAACTGCCGGGGAGGGCGCACCACCCTGCTAAGGCTAGAAAGTTGCGGTCTAGTCTGACCAGCATGGACAGTCCGGTCCAATTTGCTTCCTGGGCCGCCGTCCCAAACAACTGACCCGGCTCGACAGGCACGTCACGGAGGGTCCTACGACAGGCCTCAGTCAGGGGAGACTGAGCCAGCCATACCTGGCGACCAGCCTGTACAAGGACCGACATGACCCGTCCGAGCTCCCTGGTCATCAAGGCAAACGCATGCAGAGCTGCGTCGCTAAACGCAGTAACATCAGTGCCCACAGCACTACCCTCTTGGAGGGAGGCAGACAGGGCAAGCAGCAGATGCGCTAAGGAGTTACCAATACGGCCAGCTCGAGCACCAGAATTGTAGGCCTTTGTTAGCAAGTGATCAGTCGCACGACACTGGCTCCGAGGGCACCTCACATTCTCCCGCAAGGACTCCTCTGGAGAAACAATGAGGGAGGCAACAGCCGGCTCAACAGCAGGCATGCAATCCAGGCCAGCCGAAGAGGCATCGTGCATCGCGGCCAAAGCCCGACCCTCAGCCGAAAGCTTAGAAAGACGGCTGGGGTCCCTCCAGCACGCGTGTAGCTCCTTTAGATACTCCGCGGACGGGGGCACAACAAAAGCAGGAGACGAACCACTACGCCTGAAAAAAGCACTGCCAGGGTCAGCCTGTCCCGACTGGGGAAGTTCCACCTGCAGACGGGATAAGGCCCTGCGAAGAACCTCCTGCATTGAGCCGTCACCAGACCGGCTGGACACACTATGCGCGGAAGAATAAGAATCGTCCCCCGAAAGGGACCGCGCATCATCCTCGTCCCGGAAGCACGAAGCAGATGCCGCCAGAGAAAGCACATCCTCTTCCGGATGGAGGGATGGCATGGAGCAAGAACCAGCCCCAGAGACGGCATCAGCAGCACAACGTGCCTGAAAAGCGGATTTCATCGCCTCCAACTCTGCAGATAACTGCTCCACCCTCGATACCAGGACAGCATCCGGCTTGGCCTGCTTGGAAGGACCATGGGCATCAGACCGCTCCCCTGAAGCACAGGCCTCAGCACGGCGCTTAGAACGCCGAGGGGGCGGAGCCACAGCAGGTCCCACTGGCAAACTGCCACCGTCGCCAGACGAAGGCAGCTGAGCCAGCCTCGCCACCCTAACAGCCCAGGGCAAGCAGCTGCAGTTCATGCACGGGTTCACACCACACAATACACCGGCCACAGAATAAACACAGGCAGCAAATGCTAACCCAAACAAGAACTGACGGAGGAGCGGGACAACGAACCGCAGCCTGCACACCACAGAATACACCGGTAGCAAAAACTAAGCCAAATAAGAACTGATGGAGGAGCGGGCGCGCGAACAGCAGCCTTCACACCACAGAGGACACGGGTAGCAAAAACTAACCCAAATAAAAACTGACGGAGGAGCGGGACAACGAACCGCAGCCTTCACACCACAGAGGACACCGGTAGCAAAAACTAACCCAAATAAGAACTGATGGAGGAGCGGGACAACGAACCGCAGCCTTCACACCACAGAGGACACCGGTAGCAAAAACTAACCCAAATAAGAACTGATGGAGGAGCGGGCAAACAAACCGCAGCCCTCACACCACAGAATACAGTTAGCACAAGCTAACCCAAACACGCACAGGCGGAGGAGCGGGCCAACGAACCGCAGCCTTCACACCACGAAATGCATGTAGCAATAGGTAACCAAAAGAAAGTACTGATGGAGGAGCGGGCGCAACAGCAGCCTTCACACCAAACAATACACACGTATATAGACAGAAAACACCAATAAATACCCGAAGGACAACGTTACCGTCGCGCCCCACGGAGGGCGAACCGCAGCTCCGATGAAGAGGGCTTCAGCGACAGACGTTGACGAGGTTTGGTTCAAGCAAAAACGATTCGAACCGCACGCGAGAAGAAAAAAGGAACAGAGTGCTGGATGACGCTGGACTTTATTACCTCCGGTGTGTCATCCAAGGGGTCACAGGTGTGACTCATTTGGTATTATTACTCGAACTGCGCATGCGCGAAGGGAACATTCAGTGCTATGCACCGCCCTCTGGCGGTTAGAAGGGATGAAATAGAACTATGGAGGCATGATTTGGAGGCTCCGTGAAAACAAACAACTGAGCATGCGCAGCTACGAGTTGACAGCGCTTGGCATGACTCGATTGGTTAGCGCGGACGGCATCGTGGATTTTGAGCTATAGCTAAGAGAAGGGAAGGCAGGACTTTCCCGTAATATTAGAAATCATAAAATTACTTATTTTATATCAACATTTAAGGGCAGAAGGTCCATTTAATACAATCCTTAAAATTTTTAATTAATTTTTAATTGATAGTGTTCCAGACTATCACTTCAAACACTAGTCATGAAAGTGAAACCACAGGGCGGCTGCATGGTCAGCAGTCGATCAGCTCTATGGTTTCACATGAACGTACAACTGAGGGATTGTGTTGTTTTTGTTTTGAGTCATTTCAAATGTGAGCAGGGATGTTTCTATCGGCGAAGGAAAGGGCCAACCCCTGTGTAACTTATTTGTTTTCTGTCTAAATTCTCTGGGCATACAAAAGCAGTATACAGCTGCTGGAGAACTCAAAGTGCACAAAAGCATGAAACCTATATAAACAAACCATACAGTATGAGAAAAAAACAAAACTACATCTTATTTTTGATCATAAAAACAAAAATAGTGTGTGCAATGTGCATATTCAGATTTGTTTGCAAATTGAAGTAAAACCACATTGGAATACATGCAAAAGTTCCCCAGTGCACACCAGAGATGCTGCTGTGCCATCTACGTCATCGCATGCATCTTTTCTCCAGCTATAATATGAACTTTATGAATATGGCCTAGTCTATAAACCTCAAACTGTAAATTTTGGTTGTTACAGTACTTCACGATCTTTAGACTTTGTACAGAGCAGAAAGCGTTAGTCTTTTCTGTCACTCATTGTTGGTGATAAATCCTGTGGCTCAGTTTTATACTTACTGCCTTCATCCATGACGTCCAGGCCGCTGGACATCTCAGTGCTGATCAGGTGGTACATGTGCGGATCCCACAGCGCTGGGAACAGGATGGTCAACACCACCAGGTTGAAAAGCTGAAAATACAAACACATCAGCAGTTTGGCTTTATGCAGTATGATCTTTTATCTGAGGAAAACCATTCAGTGTTTCTAGAAGTAGAGTTGTGCTTTGGTAGTGACTGGATAAAAGTAATTTTCTCCAGCACCAGATCAAAATTCCAAGTATAGAAAGACATCATGTTTAGTAATTGCATGCCATTAAAATCACTAGTAAAAAAGCTAAACTCCCCTTCAGTGAAAAAGGAGAGCAACTTTGATATGCACAAAAACTGAAAAACATTCATATCTGAAGGAGCAGAGCAAGAAAAAAATGTTCCATCATTGACTTGTCAGCATGCAGCTTTTATCATCTGTACATTTTTCTCACAATCTTTTACTCAAGCAAAATGATTGTTACTTTCATAATGCTTGTGGCGAAGTGAGTCTTACAACTCTACTTGTCCCTTAGTACACCCTTGGTTCCACACACACACACACACACACACAGGTTCTGTCAAATACACTCTCATATCCCGGGCCTTGTTTGTGTAAGTTTGTCAGTTCCACATACTCACTCATTCACATACATACATTCCATTTGCAGCAGTTTGTTAAAAACACCAAACACTATAGTAAGGTTTAAACATGTTTATTAATTTGTCTAGAGGGCACTTTTCTTCTAACTTACCTGCTCCATGCGGCATCCGGTTAAAGGGGAGGGCCGCAGAGCATTTCCTGGTTTTAACCCCTTTGGAGTGAGACCTCTGTCTAGCTCCACCCATTTAAAGGAGGGGTTTGATAATTAACCTGGTTTAGGGGTTTAATGTTGATTTGCATCATTGTTGTTTAACTGTGTGCATGCTTTGTTGCTGTCTGTGCAGTAATTGCTGCTTGTTTATGTTTACAGATGCATATTACTGTATATAAAAGCATATTCCAGCCGAGTGGGAGGAGCCAGTCAATTTAGGCCATGTATATATGCCAGGTGTGCTGGCTGTTCTAGAGAGAAAGGAGAGGTACTCTCCATGTTGGTTTTGGAGAGAGAACATGTATATCTGGGAGCACTGTAAATAAATCCACCCTTTTTGTTACAAGTTTTGGAGCCTTTGTTTTGTTCTTCTGCCACTTTGACCACTCTTGCTACACTACCTCACAATGCTAGAAAAGTACAGTTCCCTAAATGCCGAGTACTACTCGGAGCCAACACTAAAGCCATGTACTCCAGCTCTTGAATCCTACAATGGAAAAGTCTCGAATAGGAGTGATGTGACACTGAAGTCGCTCACCTGCTACCTGAGGAGGCCATATTCATTTATTTATAAAGCCAGAGAAATAAATAAATAACACATTTTCCACAAGCTCAGAGGACAGAAACCTAATTTATAATAGTTATCTCATATTTTAAACACAATTTTAAAAAGCATGAAAATAAATAATGTCTTGATATGGTTGCTCTTGTGGGATAAATAAAGTGTTTATCTGATCGACTGTTTATATCTATTCAGCTATCAGACTGACACGTGTGGCGCGATTATAAGGGAAGCGTGTATTCATATCTTTGTGATGCCGCAGACCGAGAGCTCCAGCCTTGAGTTTCAGACAGTAGTGCTTCAAAGAAGGACAGCCTTCAATTTCAGATTATGAGATACAATACAGATACATTCAAACCATATCAAGTCACAGCATTTTAAGTCAAACAGTTGTCCCCGGAACAATTCATACTTCATAAGATGTCACTCATATGCACCACAGCTGAACAGACGAAAAAGCAGAGGCTTATTGTGCTGCAAAATGTATCACTAAAGTTTATAAAACATTTTCTTGGACCTATATTTGAAACCTTATTTTCCATGTAAAAAACCTGGCCTGAACCTTAGACCACTTAAGAGAGTCCCGAGGAAAACTCATACTAAAAGAGTGGTCTGGTTTCTCCTCGCAGCACCAGGTGCACAGGTGAAAGGGATTTTAGCAGAAAGATCAGACCAAGGATCTTATTTATTTGTGAAAGCACCACTTGAGATCTATATATAACATTCACTTACTTCTATTACGCATATAGTAGGCATAAAAATATGTTTTATGCCTATGCGTAATCGTATGATGGCTGATTTTATTGATCCCCGTAGGAGGATAGGACTTTTCGCTTCTCAGCCAGAAGGGTTCAAATCCTGATCGGAGTAAAGTTTGCATATTCTCCCCATATCTGCGTAGGTTTCCTCCGGGTACTCCGGTTTCCCCTAAAAGCATGTATAATAGGTCTGGCATGCGCCTCCTGTATGACGACCTCGCTCACAAATGCCCACAATTGTAAAGCGCTTTGTGACTCTGGCTGTGAAAGGCGCTATATAAATAAAGATTACCTACTACTACTGTTTACTCTCTGTAGCCAGTTCCAAGTTGCATTGAATGTGAGCTCAGCTTGTCTACAGAGCATACTTCAGTGAAGTGCTACAATGTTGTCGACAGAGGGAGTATCTTGCGACTTCAGAAACACGTTAGTTCTTGTACAAGTGCAGAGGGAATACATCGCTGGATCAGCAATGACCATAGATCTATTATACAGGGGAATGATGATCCACATCCACACAACCAGTCTATGGCCTGAACCCTGCCAGGCCTGCTCTCTTCACACACAACTGACATTGTGACATTTAGAAATACAACCTCAATAGGTTTTATGTCTATTGTGTTAGCAGATTGTGGAACATCCGTGCAGCCAAATAACACTAATGCGACAAGCAGGTGATGGACCCTCCAGCAGAAAACCCAATGCGCACCTGATGGTGACGGTATAATGATGAATATAAGGAACGAAAGCTCAGACATTGAACACATTGGAAATCCTTAGACATTGTATTAGCGTTACTGTATGGAGCGAAATAGACAGATAACCGATCACGGCGGGGCTCACCATGTGCCAGACGCCCAGGATGATAGTCCCCGTGCGGACATGACAACACATGCAGCAGCTGGTGGAGGACCGCGGCTCTGGAGACAGCAACAACATCTTTCTCCGTGCACCTGGTGCCATTCACCGACAGAGAAGCAGCGGACTCGAATGTTAAGACCGAAGTGTGGCGCGAGTGTTACACTGTCCACGGTGTGGAAGGATCAGGGAAGGATGCGACCACACCGCGGATTATCAGAGGACAGTGAAGCTAACGGACAAACATAGCACTTCCGGTTTCAAAACCGTTACCATGGAAATTGATGGAAATTTCCATGTCCGCAGCGGTTAAATTGTGCAGTTAATTAGTATACATATTATTGACAAATATGAATATTTGTCTCTTTATACTTGGTTATATTCCACTTTATACTCTTTTACTGTTTAGTGTAGCCGTTATTATTATTATAGATCCATGGCTGTAGCGCTGCTGATCTTTTTAAACACCGCTTGTTCAGGTTACTTCCTGTTCGATTACCAGTAGCGATTCCAGTAGCTTGACATTAAACCAAAAAAACCATAAATTTGACTTCAGTAGACTTTTGACAACACAGCTTAGATCTACAATATGTATCAATCCTGTCAACAGAATGATTTGCAGCCTAGTGCAAAGTCTACTTTGGTACTTTAAATAAGTATTATACATTCATCTCATGTGAAACAATAACTTAATGGTATATAGGAGGATTTTCCCAAATTTTAGGAAATTTAAGTAGAAAATATACGATGAAAGCATTATGAATGGTAAAGAAATGCATTCAAACTGTAACGTCCTGCGCTTCCACCAGAGGAAAGTAGCTTTGAGTCGTTTTTCCAAATTTGAAAATTACGTGATTTTAATTTTACTTGGGAAATTTCAAAACTTTCCAAGGAAAATTAATATGAGTTAAAACTTCCAAGTCTGTATGTAGCAGTCTCTAAAATATGGTTTTAACATTTTATTTACATGGATACATGCAAATGCACCACCTCTTTAAAGGTACTTTCAGATGTTAGAATAAAATACTCTTGATCAATCAAATAAAACAACAAAGCTGAATAGTTCATTCCCAAAACGAGTTCTGTCATGGTCTGGAATTTCTCATTCATTTTTACAAAAGACTTTATTTTAGCATTTTTAAATATGGCTTTCACATTTGTTCCATTACAAACATGTTGTAAAAAGACTGTTTTTTGCAACAACCACAAGTAGAGGACAATGGAACAATCACTGTATTGTAGATCACAAGCTGTCACGATTTAATAAAATGCAAAGGAGCTAATGTGACCACCCACAACAGTTCCACAGGTTGATATCCCTAAACCGTCTGAAAATGTGAACATGGCAGAGGCCCTTTAACACTGAATCTTTTGATCATTTTATGAAGCCAAAATTAAGGGGAAATTCAGGCATTGAAGTGGGAAGTTTAACATCTAAGATCTTACTTACGGGAACACAATTAAGAAGATTTTTCAATCATAATTCGGATTATAAAAACAGGATCACCCCCTCCCTCCTCACACTGTTCAAATTATGCATGATCATTAGACTACAGCTAAAATGTGTGTGGTCGCCATAAATGGGAGTTTAATTTTATTATATTAATTGCAGAGACCTTGCAAGAATGTGTACCATAAGGTAAAAAAAATAAAACTGCTTCATAAAGGACCAATCCATCATAACCGTCAAACAATTGTACCCTGATAGCAAACAATGACTTTCCATTTGACATTGCAACATCATCTATTCAAGATCATAAGTACACACAACACAACTCCTTCAATCAGTTTGTTTTTGATTAGATCATGGAATCAAAAGTATCAAAGTCATTTAAAAAAAAGAAATCAGCAACAGCGTTAGTTGATTGCACTGCATTTAAGTTCAGTTTAGGAAACATCCGGTGGCCAATCAATCAACAGGTAAAAAAAAAGTGTTGCTCCAGACAAATGTCAAGTTTGTAAGTTCAAAGTTTGACATAAAAGAAGTTGCAAAAACGGGTCCCGCCTCATGTCTCCCGTCTCGCTTTCTTCTTCTTTGCTGGTTTGGGCGCTTGAATCTCCTCAGGTTTTTCTGCGGCAAAATAAGTAATAAAAGGTTAAAATGATATAGCTAGTCAGTAGAAAACAACTCACAAAAATGCTGCCAAAAATGATATCACAATAATTTGTTGAACATTTTTGGAAAGATTTCCCATACTTTGTTGAGTTGAAGCAAGGTTGCTCTTGGCAACAAGATCCACATCTGTTGGCTTTTGTGGCACTTGTGTGATAGCAGGTTTCTGAACTATATTCTCCTTCATAGTTCGTTCAACTTTTGTCTGAATAATATAGAATAAAAAAAGTACAGCAGTCAAGTCTTTTCACAGCAATAGAATAACATCAGGTTTGAGAATTTCAATAATGCAGAGATAATCAAAGTGAAAAAGGGTTCATTAACAGATTATCCCAGTCCAACTCAGAGGTGAAAGAATATGAACTTAATATTGATCACACTGACCTCAGTAGCGGCTGGCTTCACCACTGGGACTTCCTGTGGCTGCTTCACCGAGGACACGGGGAGGTCCTTCTCTTGCTCTTCATTCTTCAAAATCAATTAGCAATATATTGTTGGAGTACAAATACCACATGCAACAAAGTATTCATCACAATTATAATACCTGTCCAGGGGCTTCCTCCTCAGTTGTCTTCTTTTTCTTCTTCTTCTTCTTTTTACTTTTAGCTGCTCCATTGCTGTCAGCTTTGTCCTCCTCATTGTCATCATTCTAATGGAAGACAAAGGCAATCCTTAAACTCAAAGTAAATATGAAATATGGTTTATGTAAATGTGTGCAAGTTGTTTCAAGTTGTTGTTGTTGTTGATATAACCAAATACCCACACAACTAAAGAACTTACAGCTGCCTCAATGAGAAGTTCATTCTTGTTTGGTTCGGGAACTGGCGGCTCCTCCAGTACGGCAGGTTCAGGGGCAGGTTCTTCATAATTGCCCCAAACCTCAGACGGAGCATTCCAGTCAGAGTTGCAGTCATTACCACCACCATCTGATCAATAAAAAAAGAGCAAAATTAGACTATGAACAATTACATTTGTCACACATTATTCATCAGTCACAGTTGTTGGAAACCCTTCTGAACTTTAGCCGCCTCCCTCCTTCACGTTGCTATGGAAACCAGCATTTGAGGCCTTATGCTCGTGAGCTCACACACTGTATTCCAGATGTTATGTCACTCTAGTCCAGGAATTGGCAATTATTTTCTCCAGGAGGCCGCAATGGAATATCAACCTATTGAGAAGAGTCTGACTAGTTTTTACAGTTACCCTTACCATTTAATTTGGCAAAACATAAATGCTAAATTCTTGTAACAGAGTGTAAGCTAATACAGTTGAAAATAAAAATATTAATTTGATAAGAACCATTTAAAGAGAAAGAGGGGAACACTGATGCAAAAAATATTAAGTTTTTGTGTATTTGTGGATAGTTTTGTTTGTTGTTGAACCTTAAAATGCTTCCTTATTGCAATCTAAGTACATTTTATACTTACTGATGCCGGACCACTCATCATCCACAGCAGGTTGATCGAGCCACGGCAGCTTCCTCACAGACTTTGGCTCTACAAAAGAAATTAATTATAATTTGTATATATAATGTAAGTACTAAAACTTAATTGCTTTTTGTTATTAATGTGACATACTTTTTAGTAATACAATTCGGAAATATTGTCTTACCACTAGGCACCCCCAGTCCAGTGAAGGTCCCAAGGCTGCTCTTATCAATTACAGTCCATGATCCTAAAGAACACAGGTGCATGGACTTAGAAGATTGCCTTAGCATGCATTGCCGTAAGAAAATGGCAAAAAAATAGACCTGGAAGTTACTGGATTACATTACTTCCCTCTCAGGTGGAGGAAAGTCTATCGTCAAGGTTTGCTGGGCTGTTATTAGTTTGCACCATGAGTAAAACTGTTATAAGCAAATTTGATAAGTTTCCGTAAAGATCAGAAATGAGACAGGGACGTGCGATCAAATGTTAACAGATTGTTAAGGAATATGTTGCTGCTTTTTCCCTTTGCGTCGCTCTAACCTGAGGCCACAAGTCACAGTTAATGTATTCAAAAGTATGTCAAAAATGTCTTACTGGTTTTATGCTTTAGTCAATTTAACTAATCTTTTAATCTTAGAAGTAGTTTTGTTTTACTGTTAATCACGTTTCACTCTGAGTAGCATATAACATACCATCAATTTCAGATCCCCAGAGTGATGCAGGCTCTGGATTCGTAGACCAGTTTACAGTCTTTGGAGCAACAGTCTGAGGAGGGATTTTAGTCACCGCTGCCGCAGGGACAGGCGCTGGTTCAGTTTTCACAAGTGCTAAGAGGAGACAAAGCAAATTTGTACACAAATATGTAAATGTTTATTTTAAACATTAAGAAGTAGTTTAACTACCTTTGGCCACATCAGATTCAACTTTCTCCAATTTAACGTCTCCTGTGAAAATAAAAGAAATAAGACAATTCACAACTGTGATTTGAGCCTTTTAAATCGTCCTCTGAAGAGAAGAATTTAAGAAATCCATTCATTGAGGATCTGGTGATCATACATGTGGTCAAGATTAAGAACAACTAGAGAGAAATTTCAGCAAGATAAAAGCAATAAAAAGCCAAGAAAGTAAATTTATCAGACTGATTGAATGAAGCTGCCAATTGCCACCCTCTGATTATCCCCATTCACCAGATTCATACATGTAAATGTAAACATGCACTTTATTGCCCCCGTAGGGAAATTTATCCTCTGCATTTGACCCATTCTGATGCTTCAGTCAGGAGCAGTTATTGCAGCAGTACAGTGCTCGGCGCCTCATCTCCAGATGTTCGTACTCTGCTTGGATTTGATCGATTGTGCATGTTTTTAGTGGTAAGGAAAACTGGAGCACCTGCAGGACACCTACGCAGACACGGAAAGAACATGCAAACTCCAATCAAAAAGACCCAGGATTCGTACCCAGGATCTTCTTGCTGAGAAGAGGGAGTGCTATCCACTCACCCACTGTGCCGCAATGACAGTGGGTAATAAAGTAATTGCATATGGATCTGATTGTGCAGGACCCTAGGTAGTTTTTTGCTGTAAGTTGAACCGGAATTCACATCCTCCGGTGTCGCAACACTGACCCCAGAGCAACTGTGGCTGTTTTGTAGTTAATGATAGCGGTTCCCGCTTCCAGCGGCGGTGAGCTGCTTTGATAACAGCGTGGCGAGAGCACTGCTTTTTTGGTATTTTATTTAAAATGGTTAAATACTGTTGTCAAAACAATACACAAAAAATATGCAGTTTATTATTTAAAAAAAAATACAATCCAGGAGGTGAATAACAAATTGAAACAGCGAATTGAGCAATACTGTTTTTCTGCTTTTTCAGCAACTAAAAGTGTTGGGTTCATGTCAACAATATGTTTATGGATGTAAATATGTAACACACTACTTGGCCCAAAGAGGAAGAATGAGACTCTGCGCCAACGTGAAGCCCCAATCTGTAAGTAAAGTGTTCGATGTGTCGGTTTATTCTCAGGTCTGAAATGACTATAAACCGGCTCCCTGCGCCGGTACATCATGGTGTCATCGCTGTCACTGATTTGACAGTGACTGCAATGACACCAATGCACTTCCCATTTCCTATTGTAATATGAAGGCGGCCTCAGTCTACACAAACAAAGATACAGTGTCCTTACAAAGAGCCTTCAGACGCTTGACCTCCAGATTACAGGGACAGGCTGCATCTGCACAAGGCAGCTCTAACCTTAAACACAAAGTGTGTCACTGAACCAACCTCCTTTCTTCTTCTTTTGACTAGCAGGTGGAGCAGCTGCAGAAGTCTTTGGCTGCTCTATGGCCGTAAAAACTCGAGAGTCTCCTCCTCCTGGACTGGAGGAGCCATCACTGCCTTTGTCCTTCTTACGCTGTTCACGCTTTTCTTTGTTACTGACCTTGGTCTCCCAAGTGCCTGAAAAGCAAGAAAGTATGTGTATTTTTATGGAAGTGTTAAATAATAAAATAAGTGTGCTAAGGTTTACAACAAAGACGGCAACCGTCAATCAACTATTATAGTAATGAAATCTTTACTGCTCTATAATACTAACTTCTATACAAGCATGAGCTATGAAATATGACTTCAGGACTAAAATAGAGCAGTGATAAGGTCAGAAATTAGAAACTGAAAATGCATTGATGTTTCATTTTAATAATCAATTAGTTTTGTCTAAAAATGTATTAAGTACTTGATGCATCAAATAGATAAAATCTCAATTGTATTCTAAACATCTAATTCAACGAATTGAAAGAATAACAACTATTGGTAGATTTATTGATTATTTGTGAGCTGAAATCTGTCTTTTAACAAACACTAAATACATAGAGAAAAAACAACAAAAACATTACTTTGTGAATTAGGAAGAAAATCTCACCTTCTTCTGGTTCTTTGCTTTCTGTAGTGACATTCTTAGCTGGATCTTTTGTTGCTTGTTTGGACTTCTTCTTAGATTTCTTTCCCTAAAAGTAAAATAACCCAGTCAGCCATTGGTGAGGGGGGCCGGGGGTGATATGGACACCAACGTACCAAGGCAAGTTACACTCTAAAAAAACATGCAAGGAAGGGAGTAAAGGGACTTTTGCACTTAATTCAATCATGGACAGGTCAAATTCTAAATGGACAAAGGTTATGGGATGAACTACACATGTTGTTAAGTCATTGAGGTGAGATTATGCATTACATATTTAATTGTAAGAATATGGTATGGCCTTTACTGAGGATCATACACTCAGGACACATGAAACATTACACAGCCAGAAACTGGTATCACTGCTGACAGTGAGGAAGGAGGGATTTATCATTCTTGCCACAAGGCCTGGCTGTCTTTTGTTTTTAATGTTTTTAATGATAGGAAGCTTTATCCTTGGGGCTGCATTCTTCCTTCCATTTTACAAGAGTTTTGCTTTAATTTAGTGTGTTGAACCCAACTGCTATATTAAGACCAATTCACAAAACAAAGTAAATGCGAAAGATAAATGAACAACAAAAAGGTTTTTCTAAACAAATTAAAATGCACATCCCTATTTCAATTACTTCAAATTGAAATCATATCAGACAATGACTAAATTGTCAAAGCATAAACCTATAATTAGTAATGCTTAGCGATTCATAGCTCATATAGCAGTAAATATCCCAATTAGAAAAAATCCAGAATAGATTATTATAAACTGCATTTACTACTAGGTCAGAAATTATTAATAAAGTTATTAAATTACAAAAAGATTGGTAGAAATCAAAATAATTGTAAATAGAGAGCTCTGCCTAATGATATTAAATGTGCACCAATCCCGTCTCATGCAGTGTTGTGTTCAAGGCGGGTAGGCAGGAGAAGTTGTCTTTGGGGATGGAAGAAGAATTGAGACATTCAGGCAGTTTATGTAAGAGTAAAATAAAGACTCACTTGTTTATAGATTTTCTTATCTTTAGACAGTGCAGTTATCTCTCCATTGCGTTTTTGTGATTTGCTATTGTAAAGCAATCCTGAAAGAAATGTGGCATTTAACTAAAAATAAAATCTTGGGGGTTGGGAGGGCAGACAATAGCTACCCAACTCACTCATGTGGCCTCTCCTTTCAAATATGATGATTCACTATAGCGACAAGAGTATTGTTTTATTATATCAGTGAATCAGTTTCTTGACCTTCTGGAAGCCACCATTATCAAATTGTCTCTTTTGCTGTAACTGCAGTAATTTACTTTCAGGGAGCGGTGTTCAGAAAACTCTCAGTGGCTTCAAACTATCCCATGCACATTTTACCTGTGAGCATTGTACACATATGAATATATATTAATCTGTGGCTACATAATATAATTTAGGTATTAAAAAAGAATCGAGATGGTTCATTTTGGAAGAAAAAATATAGCGATAATGCAATGAATCACACAGGCCTATTTTAAGATGTCGATATGACGGGAAGATCTTGCCTCCACTGTCTTCTCAGTCTTCACTGCTACTGGAGGCTCAGGCTGCTGCTGATGTGGCACTACCTCCTCTTGTCCTACGGGTTCTTCTTCCTGAGGTTCCACTGCTGCTCGCCCGTTGGGCTGAGATTTCTGACACACAAACAATTGTAAAAAAATAAAAACTAATTATCCATGTACTCATAAGTTTAGTTGAAAACAGGGATAAATACATATACAAACCAATTCAATCAAGGAAGTGATATAGCATGATAGCTAGCTTGTTAGCCACAAGTTAATACATAGTTCCCACAGACCAATGAATGTCACATGACCTCCTCGGAGACGCCATCTTTGATGGCACGCTGCTGTGTTTGTGCATTCCATTAAACAGAAGAATGAGAATAAATGTTGATATTCAAACGCAAATTGGAAAAAAAGGGCAACTTTTGAGCAAATAATTGTATATTAATACAATGGCACCACAGTTTAACGTGCTACGGACATGTTTTACATATTTGATCAAATTATGCAGCAAAAATTAACAAGCAATGCAAACATTTCTCAAAAACTTTAGATTCAATACCAGTTGGAGCTCCATTTAATTATTTTAATTATATTAACAATTAATTTAATTAATGCTAATGCCACACGGACACTCTGGATTGCTGTTATTGTTTATTTCCGCGTTTTTGACCGTACGTTTTGGTGAATGGTGGGCAATTGATTTTTCCAGGCGTAAAGAGCAGTTTATTTTATGACACAGATCTTTTTACAGAAGCAATGCTGTTTGTGAACATTGTTTTAGCCCACCATAGAACTATTATTATCTATTTAATACATTTACGTTGCCCTCGAGAGCCTCGGACGCGACACCGATCCTCCTCATAATAAAGTAATCTAACGCTAAATAATGAAACTCTCAAGTTACCAGATATCAGCATACACAACTTAGTACTGAGTAAATTACGTCTGTCAACACATTATGAGATACGATACGCACCTGACACAAAGTGCTCCGAGCATATTCTTGCGTGTTTTGAGGGAGTTTCTTGCCTGTTTATCTTCGCAAGCCATAACCTCCGTGGTTGTTCTGACAAAAGCTTAGTCTTCTCACATTCATGAAGTCTAATGATGGGTATACTGTAAAATCCAAGTTTAACGGAACCTCCGGCACGATTTGAACATCCATTGACCCAGCAGGAGATGACCATTTTCAACTTTATCACGACATTAACACGTTTCAGCTTCTTTTTCTATTGTTTTGCCCACAGAATGCCAACACAAATGTCGCCGGGTCGGCAAATCCCCGTATGTAGTGACGTCATGTGGGAACTATGTATACTCACTGATTTCTTCTTTTTTTTCTTCGGTTCCTCTCTGACCACTTTTGACGCTCGCTTATGTTCAACAACAGAGTCTTCCCCGGCTTTGATGACAGGTTGTTTCTTGAAAGCGGCCCGACATAGTGAGGCCCACAGAGCCAGCATAAGTAGAAACCCGGTGCATGCAGCTAAGAGGATCATCCATGGCGGAATGAGCTCGGGATTCAGCCCCAGATCTACGCCAAACTCGGTCAGCAGCCAGCTCTGTCCCCGGGAAAGCAGCTCCGTGACTCGCGTTGTGATAAGTTTTGCCTGCTGGGAGGCCACATTCTGCAACTGCTCCATTTAAACGGCTACGTGTGAGACTTCAGACAGATTAGCCACGCGTCAGTAGCTGCCGTTAGCCTAGCTTTTCTGTGCTAGCTAGAAATAACGGTAAGGAGTCGACATCGTCATGCCATGTAGTCCGTTCCCAGGTCTCCACCAGCAACATCAACTTGCTAACCAGCTAAATGTAGCACATGTGTTGAAATAACCCAGCTAAAAGCAACTGGGCTATCAGTGAGCTGATATGTTGGGTCCGATGACAAGGCCGTGGTTGCTCTGAGTGACTGGTTAGAAGCAGGTTCACCTCATATGGCTCCATTTGACTGGAGGAAGTACAATGCGTTCACGACCGATTGGAAATATTAATATATTATATATATTAATATATTCGTGAAAAGCTATTTCAATCAGTATTGTGTATCTATATATTTCATACCATATATACACAGAACCACCACTCGATTGCATCACTGCAACTTAATATTGAATTATACTAAAACATAGATTCCATAGACTCAACAGTATATTGTACTAGAGTATTTGCTACAAATTTATTTTAATTTACTGTGGAATATTAATTGCTAATTTAGCTTTTTCCCAAATTAATGCTTGGCTATAACACCTATATTTAGCATATTTTAAAATGTGGTAAATTACATGCAATCCTGTATGCATCATATTTGTACAAACATAAAATAAACAGACATAGTATGCTTGGAATTACGTGTTCAAAAGAAATCAAATAATTTATTTAGTCCAAACACTTATTTGCATCCAAGTTTATTCTGAAATTCCCTACACCCCCTGTACAAGAAAAATAAAAATAAAATAGACTTCCACAAAGGCAGCAGTGATCTGTCAGTGGTGGCGTTTCTCTGGGGAAGGAGAAAAATAAACTCAGTTGTCACAGTGTGTCTTTCCATTGTTTTAAAATTATTTTTCAACTGCCGTCATCTTTGGCTGGGTTTTTGGAATTACCAATTTAGCGTCAAAAAATTCCTGGGAAGCAAACAGCGAGCAGAGTCTTTTTACAGTGCCAATACAGGAATGTTCTGGACCTTTTTAATGAACACACAAAAAAACAATAACAATAGAAATAATATTACCGCTCAGGGAGATCGCAACAGTATATTGAATTTCATAAAACTGTATAGACAAAAAATAAATCTACAAAATGGAGCTAATATTACACAACAGTAAACATGTTATTATTTTTCTTTTTTAAACTCTTCAATCTACACAAAGCCAAAGTTCTTTGTCTTAATGGCTAGGAGCAGTTTCTGTTTAAGGATCTGCTTTGAGGAGTAGAGTGGCACGTAGAGACGGGAGATGCAGGTGTTGGCCGTGGGCAGGTGCTGATCGTCTGGGGGTCGTATTGTGATGGAGGGCATTGGCTGGAAACCCTCCTCGCTCGCAGGGAGAGATGGACTAGAGGTCCAGAAGTATACCTGGAGATTGCACAAATGATCATTCAAATATTCTGTTCCCATGTTCCCCATTATTAAATCATTGTGTTTAGCAAAAAGGTAAAAGAGAGGAGTGCCTTTATGGCCCAGGTTCAGTATCCTGCATTAGCTTCCATTGTAACTACTGTATTTGATAGATAACTATTCTCAATTCAATTACATCCATTTTCTTTTGCTTTATCAGTTCCTGTGTCATGGATACATGCATTGGTCAAATAACACTTCTTGTGACAGTACTTTTGGACCACTTTCATGTGAAACCAAAGCCCGATGCCCACGACTTTACGGCTTCAAATGAACTTTGAAGTTAACACAAAAGGAAAGTGAAAGACTGAAAGAAGAGAAAGCATTTTGGCTTCATATAATTAGTAAATCAGGTACATGCAGGTGTAAGCAATAAATACCTGATTTAATACCACAGTACTTATTTCATTCCTGTGTTATCCTAATGCATTGTCATGTTTAGCAAAGTAATGTGACTTTGGTTTCCTTTTCTTTTTACATGTCTAGGATTCATTGTGAAGGCTTTTCTTAAGTAAAATTACATGTTTTGGAGTTTACTAGCACAATCTGTGGAAAAACTAGATCATCTATAGTTTATTGGGATAGTAATAGTTTATTATCATCAGACAGTAAACATTCAGGATGCAGAAATTGAACACAAAGAATTTGCACAAATGAGTGTAATCCCAAATACAACCACAGTCTGGAGTCATTGAGCAGGGGCACGGAAATGACTGAATAACATATGTTATTTCTTCTGATTAAAACCTTTAAAACAGGAAAATATGTGGTTGTGGTTTTGATGCTGGTTGGTTTTTTATGCCTGAAACGCAAAAGTTCACTGCAGTCTCGGCACAGATGCTTAAGTGCCCATATTTTAACAGTGTATGCACAAAGTAAAAATTACTGTAGATGCATATACAACATTTGCCCACGCATACTAGATACACTACACACACATTTATAGTGTAGTGCAGACCTTTCTTTCTTGAGTATGAGCGTATGATACATATAGTTTCTGCTTTTATGTTAATAAAACATGAAAGTGATAAGTGGAAAATATAGAATTCTGCAGGATAAATGTTGAAAGCTTTGGATTAGTGACACACACAGCTAAAGTCCAGCCAATAGTCTGAACCATGTAATTCAGAAAGACCTTAAGTATTTAATAGGTTTCAGGTTAACCCTTGAAAAACTTTGACAGAAAAACGTACCAAGTCTTGTCTCTCAGTCATGCTCATCTTCTCAACTATGGACCAGAACCAGCGTTTGAACTGCAGTAGTTTGTCTGCATTTTCTCCTGAAGGATTAAACACAAGGCAATGTTTTCCTCAATTCTAAAGACGTAATATATTTTATTCAACTATTAAATTGATCCATTTCATACCAGACTCATCATTGAAAGAAGTGAAGGAGATGAGCATTTGGACATTAACTTCTCCGCAGCCGTTCACCAGGAGCCTGAAATCCTCCGCAGTCAAATCCTCAAGAGCATTTTTGGGGATCACATCCAGCAAACCTTTTCTCATTGCCTAAAACAAATGAGAAACAATCTAATTGCTAGTGTCTGAAAATGAAACATGTTTGTGCAACTTTAAAACAAGGCATAAATATCTAAATAAAAACAAATTGCAAATTATAGAAACTGTATGCAAGAACTAGCCTTAGTGCAGTGAATAGAAATGAGATTTAAAAAAACGATTGACTTTTGGAAATGAAAAAAAAAGAAATAAGGTTAGCTAAAGTAAAAGGAATTTAGATTCATTTTTCAATACGGACTTTCACAAAAACTAGAGTACTGATCAAAGACCGGTCTTTACTGCTGCACTACTGTGCAGAGATCATTACCATGACAATACTTGTAACATTGACTATTCTTTCCAAATATCTGGTTTAAAAACAATCTTAGTCTTACATGAAGTGGCTGCTCAGAAACCACCAACATCCGGTGCTCTGCGTACTTTCTCACATATTCATAGACGTTGAGGGGAGTTACTGGAATGTTCACTCCACCAGACAAGAGCTCCACCTGAAGTAGGCATATTGCATCAGTCAGATGGAAATAATTATCCAATGACAAATTAACAAAGTCATACTTGTCCAGCCCCCTCTTCTTTACAGAGATCTATGGCAAACGCCAGATCCATTGCAGCAAACACCGCCTCCGCTTCCCCGGTGAGAGAATGGCGAATGAGCTGCCGAAGGCTCTCGTACATTACAGGGTCAAAGAATGCAAAGTCGTGCCAATTTACCTACAGAACAAAAACTGTCAATGGGAAAGTCTATGGAATGTTTTCTACAGAAATCCGAATCAAAAACACATTACCTTTCTTCCCAGAAGCACTTTTATGACATGTCTATTTAACGTAATTGGACAGAGTTCATTCTGTAGCAGACATAACCCCAGTATCCTACAAAAAGGTAGATATATGAATGTCATTCACTCTATAAATGCTTTTACATGAGAAAAAGGCATTGATTTGATAAAGACACAACACTATCAACATGAAGATACAGAGTTATTTAGAAATTATACAAATCATCATAGAAAGTAATAGTTTCATAATCTTTGAAGGCCAAATCAACCAACAATAAACAGTCTTACCTCCCGATGTTTCTGAAGCAGTTGAGCCTGGCTTCTGTGTTTTTTCCAGGTCTCGGAGAATAGAACCCACGTTTTCCCGGCTGATAGAAGAGAGGAGCGTTATCGTCCCCATCATCTGGATCATCCAGCTCCATGTCCACCACACTGCGCGTTGAGCCGTGTCGCTTTCGGTTTTCCTGCTGCTATTGTCACAGAAAAAGGAAATAATCACATTAATTTCAACTCTGCACCACTCTCCACCACTGCTTTACTTCAATATTACTTGTGCTTTTTCCGGAGTCTCCAGAAGACCAAGGTCCAATATACTGTCAGCACCGTTTTCCCTAAAGAACATACCATGTCAAATATTATTCGTAAAGCACAATAAAATACACACACACAAAAACACAAAATGTATTTTACATACAAACATAACAGCAGTGTTATAGTGATAACTTTACATGCATAGGTGTAATTTTTCAAGCACGACTGTAGAATGGAAAGGTCCCCAGACAATACAGGCGCTCCACCATATGGCAGGCTCAGAAATATTTGCTAGTTGGGGATCATCACTTTCCATTGATGGAACATTTCCAACATTTTCTGATATACATGTGGACAAAGAATGATATTCTGTACCTTCCATGTGCAATAAGGAGTTCCATGGCTTCCTCTACTCTGGCTCTGAGGGAGTCCTCGCTGGCAAGAAGCAGCAGCAGCTGAGCAGGAGACAGCTCCAGCAGCATCCCTGTGATTTTACTGGCAAAGGCCTAGAGCCAAACAGAGACATTAGCATCACAAATTATATTGATTTAACACATTTACATTATTTGTTTTTTTAGTCTCTACCATTTATGTCTTAATTTAGTCATGTTTGAATGTAACATTCTGAGTACAATTGTTCCTTGTAAAGGTATATTCAGTACTTGCTGGACTATGAACGCTCCTGTGATGGTTAAGTGTTACATTACAACATAAATATTCATGTGCAGCGTAATTGTGGAACAATATTTCTAAAATGTAGCTGTTGCAGTTTATAATATACAGGTGCACTTATTATCCAGCAACTGCTGTACATCCCTCATAAACATTTGTGAAAAGTTCAACCTTTCATTAATACATAAACAAGACATTTTAATGCCATACTATGAAAAATACCAACAAGAAAATAAAAGCCATTGCTTTCACCTCATGGCTAACATACATATCTGAAAAGAATTTTGATAGAGGGGTAGAACTTTCTTATATTGTGACAAGCTTCATGAGGGAATAAAGTTGTAAATGCAGAACTGCTTACTGGTTGCATTGCGTGAACTCTGGGGTACAGCCTCTCCCCCAGAGCTTGTCTGTGTGCAGGAAGTGGGTCAGGCTCGTCGCTGGGATTGCCTTCAGATGAGGGCCTGAAGGGTCTGGTGTCAATGGACAACTGTCTCCTGGAGTCTCTGCAGGAGACAAAAAGTTAAAATATAATATGAATTTATATGTGATTAATAAAATTCCTCAATATATTACTATCCACTGGAATTCAATAAAGAGTTTACCGATCCCGGTCTCTCCTGGATCCTGCTCGCAGACCCCCACTCCTTCTCTCCCTCTCTCGGTCCCTGTTTCTCAAACGCTGCATTAGATCTGCAGACACACGCACAAACGCTTAAAAACGGTCTCGGCTCAGATAAACTGTATTCAATACACTTCATCAGGATAAAAACACTTTTAACAGATATTTAATTAAACTTCAGCAGTGTATGTATTTTCCATGTATAGGGCATACTTGAATTGTAATCGTGATGACACGTACTGCTGGCCTGCATGCCCTTGCTGACACTCTGTACACAGTCCAGGTTGGGCAGTTTGTCATTGGACAGGAGGGCAAGGGCGATGGCGGTGTAGAAGCTTCGGGCCACTCCGCTGCCTTCACCAGGCTCGTCCTTAAACGTCACCTTGACCCTGTGCACCGCCATGGGGGTGGTGGTGCAGCGGCGGCCGAAGTGCGTGTTCAGCTGCCGCATGGTCTGCTGAATGAGCTGGTCCCGGTCTCTGTCCACCTCCAGAGCCAGGTCTCTGGACTGAAGGTTTCGGAGCTTCTCCATCTCTCGCCGAAACTTTGATTCCTTAACCTCAAATCCCCCTAGTTCAGTAAGAATCTGGAGTGCATAGAAAAGGGAAGATACAGTTTCATTTGAAAACACACTCTGAGACGAGGACAGCAACATTCTTTTTTGAATGTACGGCTTGACTCCAAGAGTAGAGTTAATTGGAGAAGTATACATTTAAAACATGGACCATTTACATAAATTGATGATTACTGCCATGTTTCAGATGAAATATGAACATACCGATCCAGGCTCAGCTCCAACATCCTCCATAAACACACGGCCAAATAGTTCAAGCGAGAGGCGCCAGCGACCCAGCAGCATGTCATGTGAAATCATCATCCCCATGAAACTGCAATGAGGTCTTAAAAGCATAAAAGAATAATAAAAAAAAAAACGTTCAAAAATACATTTAACAGGAATAAACTGTAGAAAAACAGTCTTTTGCGAGTACCTGAAGGATGGTAGAGGAGGGCCGTCGCTCTCTGTGAGCCCAATTTCAGCCAGAAGGCTGCTCTTGAGCTGAGCTGCCAGGTCATGGGGCGAAGGTCCTGGTTTGGACGGCTCCAGCTCTTGATCGCCGAGTGTCTGGGTTTCAGGACCTTTCTGAACTGTCTCCATACTCATCACATTCTTCAAGTTAGCAGAATAAGACATCTTTGTGGGTAGAATCTGTAGAATGAGTGCACATTAGTTTTAAAGTAGAAAACATCAACAAAACAAATGTAAAACTGGCTAGTGTGGAAGTGTAACAAGATTTGAACCAAATCTTAATTCAAATTTTGTGCGTTTATTTCAGCTTATTGGTGGGTCGTGCACAGGTTACAAACTAGGAATGTCAAACGATTAATTTTTTGTTGTTGATTAATCGCACAGAAATGGTGAGTTAACTCACAATAAATTGCATTTTTAACATTCTATTTCAAATCCATTCCAATTGAAGTTAAATGAGATCAAATGTAATGAAACATTGTCATTCAAACCAAATGTACTTAAATCTGTTAGATTTGCTCACAACCTTTTGCTTTGGGCACAACCAAAATGAGCTGTTAATGAAAGGGGGAAATTTACAAACCCCAGCTTTAATTCAGCGAGTTTAGTTTAGTTTTGAGACAGGACACGTCCGCGGTGTATTTGCGAGCATAGGTTACGCACAGGTTGCAAAGACACAACAGGCAGAGTTTATATGACCATGTTACTGCGGCGCCATTCGCTCACAGCCGTGTTGTTGTGAGCGGCTCACAACCAGAGCGGCCGGAGGAGGCGGACTTCAGTTCACAGCAAACAGCCCCGCGGTCATGCGCGTATTCTCTTAAAACTTGAGTTCCCAGAGGGCCTACCTGCTCCAATTCCATCTCACACGCAGCATTCGGTGTGATATTATGGATAAATGGGCGGGTCGTTCAGACATGCGTTAATTTTTTTTTAACGCGTTAATGAAAAAATTAATTAACGTGAGTTAACGCGATAATTTTGACAGCCCTAAAAAAAACATTTAGATTGTTTAGTAGCACTTCCTTTCTGTGGTATTGAAAAAGGCAGGCTAAGAGGCTTTAAAATGGCTAGCATCGAAAGTAGAGTTGCAGATATCTGTATACCATAGCTGTTCAGTGTATGTGTGCATGAGCAGCATGTTTGTCAAGTGCAGAGTGGGAAGAGTACCTGAGAGGGGTTTACCTCCAGGCAGTTCCGGTCCACACTTGCCTCTGCCAGACCTTTAGTCGCTATGAATGGTGAAGATGAGGAGGAAGAGTACAGGCCTTGCGAGGGACGTCCAAACAGGTCCTCTTTCCTCGCATTAGGCTGAAAAAAAAAAAAAAATTGCATTTAGAGGGGCAGGGGTTAATGTGTATAAGATAAGATAGTCTTTTTATTGATCTCACACAGGAGAAAATTACATGTCACATCTGGCATGGATGGACAAATGTGACAGAGGACACTCAAGAAGAAAACAATTTGTGCAAAGAAAAATGTGTGCAAACATGTACAATAAAAGTGGCAATAGTAGTGCAGGGTTTTTTTTTCTTCAGTCCTAGTGCAAGTGACTTGAAGCGACTTATCAAGCATTTCTATTACAACTAACCTGCAAAAGATGAGGCTGGTCGGCGAGTGGTATGGCCTCAGCCAGTGGGACATCAAAGGGGTTTGGTGGGATACACCCAAGGAATGTCATAGAGTCAGAGCGACGGAAAAAAGGGTGATTTTGACCCGTTTCTGCAGGGACAGGGTCCTCATCTTTGTCCTGGAGCGTTGACCCAGCCATACCTTCAAAAGAGATTCAATCTTTTTAAAGGGGTACCATACCAAAGTAAAAGGTGTAGTGTATAATGCTTAGACTCTGATCACTATCAGTGTAAATAAAGGATGATTGATTGATACTTACTCTGATTTGTGTCTTCATCGTTTTCATGCTCCGAGTCCTCATTGTCCAAACCTAGCTCCAAAATGTCACGATTTCTTTATGCAAGACAAAAAAAAGGTTAAAAAAAACTGGTTAACAAAACTAACAATTAGTGATTATTAAATATTTAGATTTTTAAAAATACAACCTGAAGACAGAGCTTAAATGTTCTAAATACAATAATTTAATAGACCAAGGATTTGTACCTTTTTCTTTCCAGTTGTGGGGTGTCCAGCGTGGTTTGCTGGTTCATGGCTTTAATCCAGTAAATGAGAGCTTGAAAAACGTAGGCCACATGCTTCAGGGAGCAGACATCCAGCACAGGAAGTACGTCGGAATGCTCGTCGTTATGAGATCGCATCAGAGACAAGGCATAGTTTAGGAAGTCACCTCGAGCAGACATCATGCCTTGACGAGCGGTTAACAGAGTTGCAGCTCTCCTAAAATAAAAGCATGAATGTAAATAAATATATGCACTGTGGAAACTCACCGCCAACACAAAGGGAAGCAAATCACCTGCGTCCCTCCAAGGTGCGCAGACTGGCCTCCTCCCTGGCGGACATGCGCTCTCTGCGAGCAGAGTGCTGAGACGCGTGCAGCGGGTGGCTGGGGTGTCCCGGGTCTCCAGCAGAGGACAGCGCAGAGCCATACCTCAGCTGGGCCTCGGTAGAATCCATGATTGATACCATCCAGTTCCAGGTGGGAATCAGCTTCTCTTCAACGAAGTTCTGGTTGAACATAAAATATATCATGATGATTGAATACTATGAAGATTATGAGGAATTATTTGTGAAAAGACAAACAAAACTTTCAGACAATCATAATGCATTTTGACACCTGCGTGTCCTCATGTACCTGTAAGCTAACTGCATCCTGGTAGGTGAGTTTCACCGCTGCAGGGTACTGGGAGTAGACCAGGTGGTTGTATTTGGGGATGAGGCTCATAAGGTCAGAGATCTGCCTTATGACGATGCTGTACGCCCGGGCCAAGCTGCTGGCAGACGTCAGGTAACTGCTGGAGTTTGAAGCCTCCAGAGCCGCTGCTGCTGCCGCTGCACTGGAGCTGATAGCACTGGAACGGCGCAGGTTTGTGGGGTCGATGTAGATCAGGCCTGTGGAACTTGCTGTAAGAAATGCATAGCATGAATACTAGCGGATCTACAGTCTGACATTCTGTTGGGTAATAAAACAAAGAAGCAAAGTGGCCAGCATGACGTCTCGCTCACGCTGCATACTGTGGAATCGAGCCTCCAGTTCTGGTTTAATGGGCTTGAAACATGGAGACGTCACTGTTCCTCTATTTCCTAAGGAAAGCCTGTTAAGACATGATGATGGTCTCTTTTGTCGTGTAATGAGAGTAGTACAGTAGTTTGTGTTATTGTTGTTTGACATATCTCTGATACGAGGAATAGCCCCTTGAGATGCATCATCTCGTTTTCATCATTGTTGCACATTGTCTTTACCGAGTATCACTTGTATGAATGGCTGAAATTAAAGATGAAATACTATATAATATCACAGTTGTATTATTGTATAGTATGGAGGCAGAACATTCTTCTATAATCTATAACTCTCAATTTCAGTCAATTCAAGCAACTTCATCCATTTCATATTTATGGGTTTTGTCAATCTCTATCGATTCCTTTTAAGTGAAAGATCTATGAAAGAAAGTGGTCGATAGTCGCTAGTTTTCTTCTGAGTCTCGCTTATTGCCGTCATCTGTTGCCCCCCCCCCCATGTCTCAAGACCATTTGTCACAGATGGGAGAGAATGAGCTCTGTCACACACACCGATTTGACAATTTGTATATAAAAAGAAGCTGACATACACTATAAAAGGAACTAGAATGTATTTAAAGTATTGATCATAATATAAAACAACAGTTGTTTGGGGTAAGTGGTCTACGCAGAGACTGACCTGCCGGTGTGGAGGAGCTGGATGGTGCGCTGCCTGTGGTCCGTTGACTCGGCGCGTTCCTCACAGCCCACTGCATGGAGCGCGGGGCCTGGGCTGCACTGTTGGCGTGAGAAGCGCTGGTGGTTCTCTCCAGAGGCTCGTCAAACAGAAAAGTCTCCTGATCCACCTCGTCGCTCTGGCTGCTGCTGCTGTCTGAATCACTTGAGTCGTTTGATTGAGAGTCATCCTCAGAGAAAAAGGCTGGGACACTGCTGGCACCTAGACGTGAGGCAGAGATATAAAAGATCCATAAATATTTCAATCAAGTATCCCTCGTTTGGAATATGTAACCACGAGCAGTCTGTGAGTTAGTTAGTAAACCACACCACTGCAAAAAGACAGGTCCAAACTATAGCTGCTCCTAACAATAACATTCAGTCTCTCTCATAATTGAATTTGCAAGGGAAGAACAAGAGTATACTTCCAAATAAACTAGTCAAATTTGTACAAAAAGAAACATTATAAGTCACCACAGCAAAAATTTAAAAAATACATATTTTATGCACCAAGGAAACGGAACACAAAACAGAAGGAGCAATTGATTCATTAGTATGTTAATTTAAATCTGTCAAAAAGGTTTATGCACTTTGCAAATTCACCCTTTCCCCCAACTTGTGCATACATCAAATATATTTTATTGAGCAAAAAGGAAATCCTACCAAAAAAGGGAAATGCCAAGGACACTCTACTGCCTGCAAATACATACATGCAAAATTAAGGAATAAATCTGAGGCATAATACAATTTAGATAGCTAATCTTTCCAAATAGTAAAATGGAAAATGCTCAAATTATGTCTGAAAAACTTGAAAACGCAGGAAACAAAAGAATTATTGCGACAAAAAGAAACAAATATGAGTTACGTGTTATAATTTGTAAAAGAAAACATATGCAAAGTAATGCTTCTGTCAATTTTAATAAGATAAAAATGAAAACGGGGCAGTAGAGCATTAGCCTTTGAGCGTGAAGGTTGTGGGTTTGACCCAACACAAGACCTTCTTCACCGACTCCCACTGTAGTCTGCTGGTGTTGTGTCTTTGGGCAAGACACTTAACCCCACTTTGCCTGAAGCCCCCGCTGAAAGATCAAGGCTGTGTCGTCAGAGCAGCCATCCTCCTGTGGACTCACCACCTGCAGGAGGATCAGTGAGGGGCTGGTGCTCTGAATTGGGTGGCAGCTGATTGCCGCCACCCCGCCGACCCAGAAATGGAAGGGGAAGACAATGGATGGATGGATACGTAACTAAACTAGATACCTAAATCTACCTGGTAAAATGAACGTAACATGTTGACAAACCTGCTTCAGAGCCTGCTGTAGCTGCGGTGACAACACTTCTGCGTCCGCTGGCGTTGTCCTGATTGCTATGGTTACTCTCACTGTCACTCTCAGTTTCAGCAGCGGCCAGCAGATCTAGCTCCATGTCGCTTCCTATGGTCGGACAAATTTAGTTTAAATCAATGATATTACATTGAGCCAATTATTGTCTTTAGAATTACATTAGATATGTGTAATCTTGATGCATTTAGAAAAGTGGTCCCCTTCTGGTACATAGCTTAAGTTTTTCTTTAGCATCTGATTCTGAACGTTATATTTTCTCTACACCACATCCGCACTGCTACAAGGGGCTATTTGTCCCAAGCACCAAAATAAATCAAAGCCAAAAGCAGAACTTCACAGATAACACCAGAGGTTCAAGTGGTAGCCCTGAAATGCCTTTAAATGCTGGTTGTCTGACTTGCGTACTCTGAGTAACATGTGGGCTCTCTAATGAGCAGCAGAAGCCTTAAAACTGCTTTGCAAATTTGAGTCATAGCATTATCCTTCCAGAGCCCTAGTGTCATCTTTGTCTAAAATACCATCTTCATCATGCTCATCGTGCTGCCCCTCTGCTTCAGCGTTTTCTTCTCCCGGTTCTTCCTGGTCGTCATGGTGGTCATCTTCACCTGCAACACCTTCAACCACTTCAACCTTTAACAGACACATACCATCTTTAGAAAAAACTCAATCGATTGAAAAGCATTTGATTCCTTTGTACTATTTGGATCTACTATCAAGAGAAGAAAATAATAAAAGTTTACAAAAAAGGACCAAAATGTGAACTAAATAGATATGAAAAAGTATTTAAGGACTGAAACAGCTTTCCTAAATCTGTGCATGCTGAAAAATTAAGGTTGTTTATTTAAAAAAAAAAAAAAAAACTTTCCTCAGTATTTATAAACTAATTCTATGATGATTGAATATATTTGCATTGAAAAGATCTTTCGCCATTAGATGCTAGTGTAGTTTCCATCATCAGCTGATTTAAACTCTACTCTTTGACACTATCCCACCTCTTCCACATCAGCAGATACAATGTCATCAGGCTCTTCGTCTCTCCCTCTGACAGGCTGCGATTGACTGCTGTGTCGAGGCTGCGGGTTCCGAATGATGTAGGAGGCTGCAGTCTGGTTTGAGCTGAAAGAGGCAAGTAAAAGATGATACATGTTATGATATGTAAACGTTATGTTGGAGCTTTTAATATCAGAAACTATTAAAAAAAATTATATATATAAAAAAAACAGACCTATTGGATTGGTCAGGGGATGGTCTTGGAGGCAGCGGTTCCACAGAGAAGAGTTCTTCACTGCCCTGGACTGCATCAATGCTTGTGCTCGCCAAAGTGAAGGGGGCCGTGGGGCGAGCAATTCCCATTCGAACAGGAACGATCAGTGACTCGGCCACGTTACATAGCTCCTCCACAGCATAAGGCAATAAGGCCTGGAAAACCCTTCGGCATTTTCCAATGGGTTGTGGTATGAAGTTACTAAAAAAAACAAAAGAACAGATTGAAAATAATTCAAAGTCAAACCTTTCATGTTTGCCCCAGAACCTGATGGCAGGTTCTTTTTACCCACCATGTTTTAATCATATGGGCATACTATCGGCACTAACATAGCAAATATTGTGATATAATATTAATGTGTATATAAATATTGTGTGAAGAATTTCATAAAAGTTCTAGAATATGAATATTTGCTAAAAATGTTCTCCTTATTTGCACGTTTATCTAACAATCCCAAAGAGACCAAATGTAACTTACTTTTTCTTCTTGGATGATGCCATTTCCACACTGAGAATGACAAACACTCTAGCCACAGAGCGCAAAAACCTCCTGGTGACAGTGATGGCCTCCTCTCTTCGCCCAGGGGTGTATTTATTCTGTAGCTCCTTCACCAATGTTCCCAGTAAGGTGTCGATGAACTAGAAAAAGCAAGACCATATAATAAACCTAAAACATAAAAAATACTGATTGCTGAACTGAACTTACAGTGATGTCAGGAGCACACTTGACAATGAGGCAGTGGGTGAAACAGTCAAGGCGAATGGTGCCACTTTGCTGATTCAAGTAAATTTGTTCTTCAGGCAGCAGGTGCGCAATTCTGCTGCTGGCACTAAGTCTAAAGCATAAACAGACACATCTTGGTAAGGAAATGTAGTTATTTTTTAACCAACAAGTCATTTCAATATGTATGGAAACAACAATTTATTTCCAAGTTTTAAAAGGTGCTTACGGGTCTTTATTTTCCTGAGAACCAAACATGATCATGGATTTGAGGGCATTCCAGTCTTGAAGGACCCTCTCCAAAGCAAGTTGTGCAAACCGAGGTGGCTCCAGATCATGGTCAGGCATATCAGATTCTGATTTAATGCAAAGAGAAAAAAAACGTATTAAGTCTTTGAGAAAGTCTACTATCAGTGAAAAGCAGTGTGGGCGGATCATGGCTCAAAAGTGGCCAAAATGACGTGTGCTGACATGCTTGCAATACCACACCGGGCCGATGGGGGTGGACCCGGAATAAAAGGCACTCGTTCAAATGAATGGGGCTCACGCCGGCTGACGCATGTGCAGATGCGTTTTTAAACATTTTCCAGCCCCCGCGGCCATTTTGAAACTGGCCATAGACGGCGGAAGTGGAGGCACATTAGTTAGAACGGCAGAGATAAGCGTGACTACGTCCGTTAATATTTACAGTCTATGGTGAAAAGTTGATTATATTGAGACAATTCTGAATATACCTTCAGCATTTGCAGTCTTGCGATTCCGATCTTCTCTGATACGTGGTGGTCTGTACTGACAGTGCTCCACACTCTGTCTGGCTACAGTCTGCACTAAGAACAGCAAGATGTGCTCTCCTCTAAACAAGGGAAAGAAGAAAAGTGACATGTTAAAAATATATAGGCTATTGGTTGTATACAAGTAAGTACGTTTACTGGTACCTGCTGTTGGGGGTGGTGACCAGATTAGTGGTAGTAAGCAGCCGATAGAGTAGATCCAGACGAGCAGCCTTTTGTCCAGCAATAAGTGTTTTGCATTTGCATTTCTCCCAACAATCACAGTAGGCTGTTGGGGAGGTTCTCTTGAGCCTATGAGATCATTGTTTTAGTTAATTTTAGTTCATTCCCATGTTCAAAAGGCTAATTATATGTAGGCCAGGAAAACACATTTTGTATCAATAAAAAATCATTTTAAAGACATACTTGCAGTCGTGTCCCTTGTGACACACTCTGGCACACTCTGTGCAGCAACATAGCGACTCAAGCAGCCCACAGGTTCGGCACTCAAAAATGTCCTAAGAAGAGAACAATAAAATGAGTCAAATCTTAGACGCTCACTTTTTCATTTACCACTTTAAATCCATTGTGGTTATTTTGTCTCAATATGTATGGGCCAGACTGCATACAAAACACCAACCAACAATGTATGATTTTGTTTTGTTTTTGACTACCTGTGCAAATGCAAGTAATCTTACAAGACATGTAATCAGAGCAAACGGCAGACCAGTGCATGTCCTTGTTCCACAAACATAATCCTGCTGCTCTGACCTGGTTTATGTGCTCCGCCCCGGTCCAAGTGAAGCTGCAGGTGTCATTACAGCACAAGACATAAAGCGGAGAGTCATCAGGGTTTGTTCCCATGGGGCAAATCATCTCCATAAAAACAGAGTCTGCGTCCTCTTTCTCTGGGACACTGGGATCACCTGCTGCAAAGACAAAGTGGAGATTGGGACAACAGATGGCAATTAATGCTTGGCTCTAATCTAACACCTTATTTTCATTGTATATATTCATCAGCATACCAAAAAATGAAATAAAGTTAATTAAAACTAGTACTATAGGTACTCATAATTGGCCAGACTCAAGTGGGACAGACTCACGGACCTAATACTGTTACCCAACCTGCTTGTGGCATTCCTAATCAAGTATGTTGAGTATTTTACAAATGAAAAGACCCATGACTTAACAATTTGATGTGTATAGGAGGAGGTAAAGTAACTGAAGCGTTTAATTAACCTACAAATCTACAATCAAAATGCATCAACTATATTCTCTTGTAAGAAATACAATAATCCTACCTTTTGCCATTTTCTGAGCGGCTTCTAGAACAGTAATAGCAGCAGGATATGCTCGTCCCCCAACAGCCAGCATAAAGGGAGTCATGCCACGAGCGTCCCTGTTACAAGAAATTAACCATTTGAAGTAAATTCTATGTTAATTCTATAATAATACAATATACACAGAGGCCAGTCACTCACTTTGCAGAGAGCAGCTCCCGCAGATGTGGCCTCAAAACAACACTGTCACACATTAACTTGAGGATCAAATGCGCATTGGCCTTTCTGTCTTTAGATTCAACCACTGATTGCTCTGTGGACGGCCCTGCAACAAAGAATTCAGTGACATGTCAGTTATTTAAAGTAAAACTGTCATTTATACCATTTAGAGATATAATAAGCGTTTTTCATTACAGTAAAAATGAAAATAAAAAAGTAGAACAAATTAATACTAGTAGTACCTGGAATAGTTGAGGTGCTAGGTCCCTGACTGTTCCCAGAGGATGCAGTAGTGAGTGAGCCCACAGCTGGTGCCAAGATGAAGTCAATGTCACCATCTGTAAATAAAACAAATAATTTCTATCATTACTGGGCAGCTGGGCAACTTCCCAGGGGCCAAATCAGACTCACAATCTGCTCCAAATCGCTGACCATTTTTGACCAATTTCTGACCAAAATAGTCAAATGTTCAAAATGGTTTGTTATGATTCTGAGTTCATATCTGGATGGTTGGCACTCACTGTATAGCTGTGTTTCAACAATGTTAGTTGTGTTACAAACTTGGTTTCTACAAGTCATTGAGGAGTCTAGTGTCCACACTCACACAGATATAACTGTTACATTGAACAGACCAGATGCACTGCCTTTAGTGTTACAGCAAGACCATGCTGATTTTATCACAAGACTTGTATTCTTGCTCATGCAAGACAAATTCACTGACCCGGGTCCATAGGAGGAGGATCAGGTACCCAGCTCGGAGGTGCAATGGGGGGAGAAACTGGGTCTTGGTGATCACTGGAGGATGGGCCAGATTCATGTCGCCCAAGACCAGCGGCTCTCAATGACCTACGCATCATCTCTCTTAACCGAAGTCTATACAGGAAAAGTTTTTTAGAACTCTAAAAACAATAAAACATCATAATCATCATTTACCCTCTGCTGCTAGAGGAACCCGTTCTGTTTCCAGAGCTGTTGCTTGAGACCACCGAGATGGCATTAGCAATCGCCTCCACAGCAGACAGGCGCTCTGCAAATGTGTTTCTCTCAGACCTTTCAGCCTCTAAAATATGGAAACATCATGTATTGGTAAAAACTACAACAAAAAAAAGACAATCCATGCACAAAAAGAGCTATACTAGGGAGAAATAATATAGTTTTACCTTCCTCTTCTTTGGTCTCCTTGTTGCTCACAGGAAAACAGACTGACACAGCAGCGTGGAGGATATTGCGGTTTCCGTCACAGCGGTGCCTGAGCAGAGCGCCCAGAGCCTGGCTTCCCTGGTCCAGAAGGAAGGCTTGTTCCAAGTTAACCAGATACTGCCGACATGCCTCATAGTCACAGCGCAGCACGTGCTGCATCAGAGTTTGCTTCTAAATTATACAAAACATTTTATGTACAATTCAATTATTACTGAAGAGGCATCATTTAGCATACAAAAATACTCAATACAATATAGGTAAGTAAGTAGTAAGTAAGTAAGTAATGTTTATTTTTGTGTGGTTACCAAACTATTTTGTCACAAAATTTGCATTAGGCAATTAAATGTTCACCAAGTATGACTACCTGTATCTTATTTGAATGATATTGATCTAAAAAATGCTAGATTAATCCTTAACATCATGTTTATTATCAGCTGTAACAAACACTGGAAACATTAGGATAATGTGACTCATCCATCAAATCCTGGACAAATTGTGACGAAACACAACAAAGTATGATCATTATTTTTATGAAGTTTGACTTGCCTCCACAGCCATAATAATGATAGCAGCTTTCTTTTTAATGGTAGAGTTGGGGGGGAGATTGGCCAGTGAGTGCACACCCATTCCCAAGCTGTTGATAGGAGGCAAGTCAAGCCAATCTGGATCTCTTATTCCCCCCATGCAGTCTTTGGCCATAGGGTAGATGGTGCCATTTCCATCCCGAAGGATTATGGGGGATTCCTGAAGAAAGATTTATTCATTCATTCATTTAAGTATATAAAAATAAAAATAAAAGCTCTTTTTTTGTCAAACTTACCTGTCCAGCAGTAAAGATGGCAACATTTCGCTCACTTTGTCCTAGGAAGGCTAGGTTACTAGTTGGGAAGTTATTCTCTTGCTCAGCTTTGCCTGTTGCCAGATCAAAGATACAGTATCTTACCCAGGTACCGGTTTTCAGTACTGCATGAACTCCTGTAAAATATAAAAAAATTTTTTTAGAGAATAATAAAATGTATCCACCAGGACTTTAGCAAATTATCAATTACCTTTGGAGTCAACATTCACAGCTAGAATCTCAGCTTTTTCAGGAAGGCTGAGTTTCTTAGGCGTTCGTTGGAAACAGTCAGGAACTTTAGGAGTTCCACCAGTTTTAACCACCTGCAAAATAGAAAAGGGTCAATGACAATGTACAGCCCCGTTAAACTGCCACTGAGGTTAACTGCCCACATACCTGCAGCTCATCTATTCTCAGCAGCCTACAGTCCTGCAGCAGTGAGGATGGGTCAGAATCCAGAGGAGCAGTGCTTTGGTTGCTCACGCTGCTGGATGTCCCTGGAAACTTCACTGCAACATATGCACCATCGACTTTCAGCACCTACAACACAAGACAAATGCATTTAGTTTCTTTTATTGCAGCTTGGATAATTGCAAAATGTCAGCCTACACACCTTTCCAACAGGGACATTTTTAATGTCCTCCACAAACACAACTTCTCTGAGAGACCATTGCTCTTCATTCACTTTCTCTTCTTCTTTGGGAGCTGGAGTTGAGCGCCTTCGTTCTACAAGTTCGAAGTAAAGCGGAATTAAACTTCTTTTTATGGAAAAATGTCAGCAGATTGGACCTATTAAGGAGCTGATAAAACTAAATAAATCTCTTTGAGGATAAAGAAAGTGGCTTTTCACTTTGGAAAGGAAGAGGCACTGCTTCTTTTGTAAAGAGTACTGTCATAACAGACTAAACTTACTGTAGGGTAGAGAGGCACTGCTCGCGATAGAGGAGGTATCACTGCAGGTGGAGGCCGGGGAGGGCGGAGGACCCATTTCAGTCTTCACCAGATCAGGCTTGCTTTCAGCCCTGTAAAACACATATCAGTTCAGACGTAAATAAAATAAAATGAACTTCAAAAGATTTACCAATACAGCTACAATTTTGACCACAACATGGGCACTGTATTTGAATCCTACTCTGCATCAACCCCTAAAATATAGTTAATAATTTCTGTGTTTATCATGAATTTTTCTACAAAAGATAAATCACATGGTTATCAAACTAAAACATAAGTATGTTGCTCTAAAGAATGACATTAGCTATTTTAATAATGAAAAGACAATTATTTAGTTGGTCTTCCGAAAATAACATATTTATTTATTTATATAATTATATATATATATATATATATATATATATATATATACACAAAATAAAACATTTTTTTTTTTTATATCTTGGTCATTTGGATATTAATTAATTCAGGTTTCACAAGGATGCGCTTTATCCTTCTTTTGTTTTTCAGTTTCATATGAGAAGACATGAAGACACTGACTTAATTTCCTGTGTCTTGGTGGTCTTTTCCATGCTCTTGAGGCTTTCTGGTGAGCGCAGCTGGAACCGGCAGCTGTCGTTCATGTTCCAGACAGACTCCAGGAGGACACCCACTTTAGGGATGCCTGCGCTGACAGAGAAGGCCACTGCGCCAGCATGGTACAGCGGGTTACTCCTCAAGCACACCTGTGACCAACAATAGAATCTCTAAAACATGTTCATATCATAGTAAAATAAATGAGTCATGTTTAATACCTGTGTGCCCACAGTGATGTTGGGTATGGAGGAGATTCCAGCACTGGACTTTGGCTTTTTGTTCTTGGCTCTTGCCTTTTCAAGCATCTTCTTTCTTTGACTAAAAGGCACAACACCCCTAATATACAAAATATAGAATGTTTAAATACACATGCAAAAAGGAAGTCACATTTTAGTTTAAATATTTAACCTCACCACCAGTAGAGGCTATTCTCCAGCTGCGCACAGGTATAGAGAGCACAACAGTGCAATGACACCAAGCGCTCGCCCTGCAGCTCAGTAAAGGCCTGGGCACTGTGCTCCAACTTAGAAGCTACCGTACTCAGTGTATCATCCACCCAAGTTGCAACCTAAAAAACACAAAATGTATTAAAAACATAATCATCATCATGATGTAAATTTTCATATTAATCTGAATAAATACCTTGTTTGTTTCAGTGGCTACAGTCGCTCTGATGCTGTTGGCAGACAATAAGGTGATCTTCTCATTGACCAAGCCCAGGAAAGGGACACGTGGGTGGTGAATCGATGGGTTCTGTAGAAAAGATTACATCATCAATATAAATATACATAGCCATTTTTCCTGGGTAATAGTAAACATACTACTTTGATTATACATTTTACCTGGGCATTCCTATAAGGTTCAGGGTCAGACCACTTCCACTGGTACAACTCTCCTTTGGTGCTTACAGCCACCATCTCCGAGAACAGTGCTCCAATGCTCACAAACTTTACTCCATCCTGCAAGGATTTCAGGCATTGGCAATACAGTCAAGCACACAGTGAGCCACCTCCACCACAAAGTCTTTCAAGCATCCCCCCACAGTTCTGCCAGCTAGAAACCAGAGTGCTAGTCAGTTTGTTCTCAGTATGAGTTCTCTGGTATCAATGAGTCTGACCACTCTGGTCCCGCATGTACAGCGGGACCACAGTGTACGGAGTACATGTGCAACTGTATTCAATTGTGCAGATGGGGCATTAAAACTAAATTAGAATTGCTACCATGTATAAACTCCATACAATTTTGGCAAATCCCGCAATTTTTTTCAGACAGGCTCAACTGTATGTATGCAAGCCATTACATTTTTGAAATTCAATTAAATGCACCACCATTTTCGCTTTTACATCACAAAGTGAAAACAAAGCAATTCAAAATATGTGCAGCGAGGGCCTTGTCAGAGTCGTATTTGGTTTACGTGGTTACATGCCAGCATAAACAGAGCTGGATAATGTACTACACTGTTTATTTGATTATATAGCTATTCATTTGATTATGATACATTAAGATTAATTTACTTTCAATAGAGAAAAGAAAATGAACAATACAGTTCCCCTGCAATCACCCTGTATCTTAAGCTTTTTGTCAGACTAAACTTACTGTAGGGTACGGCTAGCGAACCACAAACCTCATTTCTGTGGATCGACAGCTGAAGCCAAGCAATGACAAGGAAAGGAGGCAGGTCTTTTCACCGAACCCGTAGTTATATCGTATAGATATAGATATATAAAGATATACAAATGTTGTACATATCATTCAGGCCTACTATGATGTCAGAGAAGTATATCCTGCACCACCACTCAAAGATCCCGTCCTGAACCTGGGAATTATGCTCCTGCATTAAAATTCAAAATACCAGACTTTCCTGGATCTTCTGCACAGAGCAGGAGTGTGTGCTGTTAAGTATAGATTCTACCTTGTCAGACCACCACTGCAGCTCCTCTCCCAAGGACACAGGGCTCTGGACGGGGATGCTTTTCTTGTCAAGACTGGGTTCTCCATCGCGACTGGTGGAACCTCGCTCTGTGTCAAATGAGGCCCCATCCAGCCACCGGCGCTCACGTAGCCGAAGCACAGACTCTCGTTCACGTAGAAGTTCAGAGTCTCGTTCTAAAGGCAAAAGGAGAACTGGTATGCAATAAGGTCACACCAGTGGGACAGAAATAAGCCACTCTCTGGGAAAGACCCATTAACTGTGTTGAGAATTCTAAAAGTGACTGAATATTTGTGCACTCATGCAGAAGAAAGTGGACAGACGCAATGCATGCACTTGTGCTAAATGTGGAGTGTAAGATTAAAACATGAGTGATTTATGTTGAGTTATAGGTTTTATTGACTACGCAGGACCTTAAGCAAACACTTATTTAAACCGTTGAGAATGTTGGAGATATGGAGATAGGCACCTTGGCATTGAGCCGGTTGTGGGAGACTAGTAAATTTATGAACGTATTTGACAAGAAAATGTATTTGTATTGTCACATTGCCACAATAAGGGTCTGTAATAAAAACCTCATGTGAACACTGGTGGTCTCTTTCACAGAGAGCTTAGTATGAAATTCTATAGGCACTCAAGGAAACATTACTTCATAAGTTGCAAAAATAACTCAAAACACAAAAACAAACCATCACCAGAGCAGTCTCAGCGTCCTACATCCTGCATTTCCATTCTCAAGATAATGTGAGAAAAGTTACCTCTAGAGGAACCTAGGCGCGACAGAGAAGAGCGTCTGAACGATGGGTAGCCAAAATAACTTATGTCCTCAGAGAACATGGCGTCGGCATCAATAATGACGCTGGGATGCGCTGAGTGTATGTCTGCATCCAACAGAGACATCAGGTCCTCTGTGTGAAAGAAGAAAAGACAATACAGATTTAAATGCAGTACAGTTTATGCAAATGGAGACAGGTCAGCAACAACAAAAAAGTTTGAAAACAATATAAACATAAAGGGGGTTAGGAGTTCTAACAAACCTCCGGGCAGGTAGGACTCACTGGCTGTGTCATCACCATCATCACCATCTTCATCATCTCTGCTCAACAGATTGTTGACAGCGAGGTTGACGTCCAAATTGGTTCTCTGCAACTCTCGAATAATAACACTCCTGGATTTTCCCTGTAGAACTACCTGGGCCTGAGGGAATGAGGCAGTTAAAATTTAAATCATATTGACAATACTCTTCACAATATGTCTACTTTGCAACTACAAATATTAAAAGTATTTTAACATGTGGCAATATAATTCTCATTTACCCACTCAAAAGTTTTTTTACCGTATAGTCAAGCTTCATATGTAGACTAGTTAAAATATTCAATTGCAATATCGCATTCCAATGCTACTTTCTATATCCTATATGATTAAGAAGTCTAATTATGTTTCAAATAAATAAATAAATAAAAATCTAAATAATATAAATAAAATCTGAAAAAGGCATACATATGCAGAAATCTCACACATTACAAAAAATGTTTACCTATAGCTAGTAATATTTCATTTTTTATATAAGATATATATTATATATATATACATATTAAATGTATATAAAAAGTATTTGTAAATAGAAAATACTGCTTCTGCCCAATAACAAGACGAACAATACTTTAAAATATACTCAACCCTAACCTCAAAGTCCTTGCTTAGTACTAAAAGCACAATCATCTTTAGCACACCGTACTGTAGCTAGTTAATTGAAATAAATACATGATAGAACCCATGAACATTGTACCTGAGAAATGAGCTCTTCAGGGATGACAGATGCAGGTATCACAGGCTGGGGCTGACTTCCCAACAGACCTGAACCGCGGTCCCGTCCAGTGCGTATCACTCTGGTCTGGCGTCGAGAGTCGCGGGCAGCTGTGGAGGACCTTCCCGAGGTGCCCCCGCTGCCCCCACCTCCAGCCCCTCCTCCAGTGCCACCACTGCTACCCCCTCCTGCTCCACTGCCCCCGGATCCCCCTGAACCACCACCTCCTCCACTGCTGCCATTCACCCCGGAGCTCCAGCGACTCCTGTTGCACACACACAGCATAAGGCAAGGTCACACACAGCTGCCAAATAAACACATGACCAGGGGTAGACACACAAGGGACAGCACATCATCAGAAAAACACATTTACTAGGACATGAACGAAAAAGTCTTTCTGTACAAAGCAGTTTTTAATCAGATGCGTTACAAATGATTATGGCCACAAGAGTTTGCAAGAACTCATACCGTATGAACAAGAGCAAACTTTCTACTTATGTGCAGGACCAGTTCATATACTAGAAGTTCACTTTTGGTTTAAGAAAACATTTTGAAACATTGCAATATTCAGACAAATATGTATAAAATGATCAAGCCAGTAATAATTGATTGTTCACCACCACCAATAATCTTTCATATAATCCATTATTTGCGTTGAGAGTGACTGGTATGTGCACAAATATATTGTAGAAGCTGAACAAATATTAACCAAGATTAAAAACAATGCATGTGTTTTAAACCTTGCATATAGTAGAATCATTTTCTCTTTAGGGTGAGTGACACTGCGGTCTCTGGGTGCAAACACTTCCAGCACACAGCCGTGTTAGTGCCACGCTCAATACAAGCAGCTTTCACAGGACGCTCGTCTCTGTCATCCCTGCCAGAACTTACCCAAGGGTGTTGCCTGCCAGTCTGCCAAAAGTGTCTGAACCAGACAGGAACCAGGGCGGATCACTAGTCCGGCCTGGCCTGGAGCTCCTTCCTGTCCCTGAACCACTGCTCAACTTTGAACTGGAAACAAAAAAGGGGAGATAGATTACCAAACCTACAGGTGTACCGAATAAGGACCATTAGATTTGGGCATGTGACTAATTTCAGTGACCCAGTTTGTTTGGATTTTGTGATAAATGGGTCTACATTACTCTGAGAAAGGATTTCTCATTTGGAGACTAGCATGGCAACACCCTTGGGAATGTGAATTGGCTGCAACTCATTCCACTTTTTCCATGTATACAGTTCTTGGGGTTTTGGGGCTGCAGCTGCTTTCTCCTATTTTATAGATTATTATTAAAAAGGATGCATTTTACAAAAGCTGTTTTTCCACAATAATCCAATAGAATTCAGTACATTATGATGTGGCAACACATACATGAATATCCACACATAATTGCGCAATTCAGTCAGAAATATTCAACATTTTCTGACAATTTAGTGGTAATAAATTTCAATGCAGAACTAAATTTAGTACAAAGAGCATGACAAGTTTCAAATAGGTGCACCGAACAACAGCAGACAAAAGTACAAAAACATTGAGATGCAATGCAAAGAATACATTTGAATTCCAAAATTATCAACACATAAAACTGATATTATGGAAGACAAAAATATATATATATTTGGTGTCCGACTAACTTCACTAAAGTTAGAGAATTATATTTTATCTACAATTTCAACAATTACAAATCACCAAAGGCTCTTGAACCACTAATAGAATCCCAATTTTAAACAAAGATCAGACCAGCAGAAGTAATATAATTATAGACAAAAATACCCACAGCCACAGGCCTCATGTATAAACCTCAAATTAGAGCCATCTCTCTTGAAAAGCAATGTAAAAATGTATGAGCCATATTGCTTTGAATTTGAAGTCTCACCCATCACTGCCATCAGGTTTGCTCAGCTCAAGGCGATCGGGTTGGACTGCAAAGCTTATTCTACAAACTCGACCATCCTGAAAAAGAGTAATTAAGATTGTTTTGAATCCTCCTGACCATATACGGGTAAAACATTTTTAATGTGTTAGGTTCATATTATTACCTCAAGGAGAAATCCGGCATGGTTTGGGCCGACAACACATTGTTTCAGAGTGGCTTGTTCAAGAAGACTGAGGTGTGGGTGACTGCAGAAGAGACAAGGCATCACCACACATCGCATTAGGAATTTCCAGACGACACGAGAGACGGGCTCACAGGCACAGTTTTATAAATAACATCAAAACATTAATATGCAATAAGGGCCTTCCTACACTAGTAAGGTACATGTGCACATAGTATATTTGGATAGAGAAGTAAAACTCACCTGTTAAAACTGTATTTGTTGAGTTTTTCAGAAACTTCACGGAGCCTGCCAAAACAAAACATCTACATTAACATGGTTGCTATAAATCACTTTTGGCATAACCAAGTGCAAAAGAAAAACACTTATTAGCACTTATCGGCCCCAGTCAGCACCAAAGAATTTGGACAGAGCTTCTGTCCTGGATCCACTAGTTTTTTGTTTTTTTTCTGCAGCACAAGGTAGGGTACAACTGACTTATTACAAATGAAAGGCCAGAACCCAAAATTACATTGAATATACAGACTATTAGGGGTGAAACTGTTCAGAAATCTCTTTATTCGGTTCGGTGCAAGATGCAGGACCCACAATGATTCACTATTTTAGGGGACAAGAGAAATAGAACTAAATAGTTTATGCCATTTGTTGACAGCCGCCGGCGCCAACACAATATTAAAGGCTCTTTCTGGCTAGAGAAAGCCTATTATACCACTAGCAATTTAGGTTTTGATGTATATACATTTGTTAGTTTGCAGCGGTTTGTTCTAATTGATTTGTAAATATGTTATGACCCTGTGTTTTTAGGCCCGCATCTTTGGAACAGTCTACCTAAAGTCTACTGCCAGTGTCTACTGCCCCCAAATTACTTATCTTTTTATTGAAATATGTTTAATTTATAAAAACGTTGTTCCATTAGTGCCAATCAGATTTTTAAAATTAATTGTCTGTAAAAGGCCCCTGCTCCGTGCTGCCCATTAAGCAGAAACTTATGTGTTGCTTTCCACCTCTCCCTTGATCCTTTCTAAAGTGTATACTACAAGTTTCTGTTATGTGAGAAATTTAGGAATTGATGCATTGTTGCTCTGCTGGAAGAATTCAGTTGATAGAGAAGTCGGGCACAATCTCCTTTTGACAATGCTTTCCACAGCCGCATGCATGTGCTTCTGTACACATTTGTCCATTAAAATCCTGTCTATCACATATCAATGTAGCAGCGTATCAGTCATCCACACTTCTCACTTAGCCCGCCAATGTAACCAAGCTGTCACTACCAAGGACATCTTTTCTGTATTATATAATGATTGCTATGAAAAAAAATGTTTATTTAAAAACAAAATGGTTAAATCATACTTTAGGTGTTCTTACAATACAATATTGAATGTGAAATGACAAAGTTGAAGAGATGCTAAAGTTTTTTTTTTTACTTAACTTAAACAATCAAATATGCAAAGCAAGGCATGCGTCATTGGGTGTTTATAAACGACCAAAAATTAAATGTTTTTAAAGTAGTAATTGCATTGACATGATCTTCACAATTTATGAAATGCTGTAGACTGTAATAACACTTGCCAAGAACCAGAGACGTGTCAGAATAATAATTATAATTTCAGACAGAACAAATCCTTCAGAAAGGACAGGAGCAGATGCTTGTTCCAAGGATGATAATCATGACCTCACCTCTTAAAAGCTGCCTAAATGGATTTGAGAAAGAAAAGGCACACAACTTGAAGATGTAAAATGTAGGTGACAAATACAAGTTACGTTTTTAAAGCACTGCATGCTTACTTCAGTGTAGAACAAAATGGCCTGATAACCTCCATGTATAAAGCAGCACATCATTCATCTGATCCATCTCATATGAGTAACGAATATAATTCGTACTAATCACTAGACATAATGCGGAACACACTGTATGATCCACACTGTATGATCCATTTTTAAGTAATCATCTACAAATGACCAAAACCAGCCCAGCCACCACCCTTTAATGGAAGGACACTATGTTGTTCTTACAGATGTCAGAATAATCTGTGATGATCGTTACAGAAAGTTTAGCTACGTAGAGAAAACAACACAAATAGCCCTTAATGTGACAAGATTGCAAAGTGATAAACACATTATCGTATTGCGCAAATGTTTCAGTGCAACCTGAATGTAAATGAGTTTAAGATAGCTATATTTTCATGAAGCCAACATCATCATTATGGATTAAGAAGACGCCACAGCATAAATTCCAAAACACAAAATTGTCATCAGCATGGCATGTTTCAAATGCTCGCTTCTTGGCATTAGCACGCAGCTAATGTTGGGCTGGCGTTAGCAAAGCCATCGATTATGAAAAAATAGGTCACCAGCAAAAGAAAAATGTGTGAATATAGACAACGTTGTTATTGAGCAGTAATTAGCCCTAGTCCCAGTGTGTTGGCGTTTCACAACCTTTATTCTTGTTTCTTTACCCCATCCCCCAACCCGCATTGTCTATCTCAACTTTGACTGAGAGCCAACCCTCTGGTGCTAACGTTAGCACTGTAGCCAGTTAGCGGCTGTGCTAACATTAGCACTGTAGCCAGTTAGCGGCTGTGCTAACATTAGCACTGTAGCCAGTTAGCGGCTGTGCTAACGTTAGCACTGTAGCCAGTTAGCGGCTGTGCTAACATTAGCACTGTAGCCAGTTAGCGGCTGTGCTAACATTAGCACTGTAGCCAGTTAGCGGCTGTGCTAACATTAGCACTGTAGCCAGTTAGCGGCTGTGCTAACATTAGCACTGTAGCCAGTTAGCGGCTGTGCTAACATTAGCACTGTAGCCAGTTAGCGGCTGTGCTAACAACCGCTGCACACTGTTTGGGTAGCTCTAAGCTAACCAGGATTTTTCAAGATATCGGGCCTTCAATCAACCCAGTCCACGGTTTAAACCGTGTAGTTTCACAAGCAAACACGGGACACTCCCTGCATCAGTCGATTGAACAAGGTGGAATACATGTTATGACGCGTTAAATAACAATATGCATAAAATAGCTTTTTATTTCTTGTCTTCAATAAATACCTGTCATTGAGCTGATCCTCGGTCCCGGGGAGCGGGTGAACCACAAAGTGTATAGATGTCATATGGCCTGTTCAATATCACACACGTAATCGTGAACGGGGTAAGGTACAGTTCTTCTTTCCAAAAAAGTATTTATATGGATTCATATGAGTCGTTTAATGGCGATCGAGAGTAGTTCTCTCCAGCCTCTTCAGCCACATGCCGCCATCTTAACTCCACCAGGCTGCTCCGGTGTTGATGAGCGCACATGCAACCTCTGCTGCTGGACGAGAGCACTAACAGGAAATGTGCCAAGAACCAAGAGAAGAAAGAAAAGCATCTGAACTATCCATCCAAATGCAGTATGGATTAGTCATGCAAGAATTTGATGTGATGCGTGGGCGTGCATGACTTGTGTGTAGCCTATATACCGTTTTTATGTTTACAGTACACAGTGGAGGGGAAAAAATAAATACAAATGGCATGATTAAGCAGCATAACGTTTATGTAAGTCTTTAAATAAGCTTTTGATTAAATAGAGTGGGCTTTTCTTTCTTCATATACTCAGTTGTCAGGCATTGCTTTTAATTACCTATATGTGTGTATATTATTATTATTTACATGGATGGGACAGTGTGAATTAACCGCTACTGCAGTTTCATCCATAGCCCCATTGTACACCGGAGAACCAGGAGAAAACCTATGAAAACATAATGACAGTCATACAGGTCCAGCTGGTTGCGGCCTCGGTGTCAAATACAGAACCTTTTTTCTTTCTGCTTATTCGACTGTGTCATGTATCTTGAGATTAAGATCTCATTGATCATTGTCCCTTCTTGTAATGCGAGAAAATATGGAGACGATGATTTTATTCAGCACATTTTATTCATATAGTATTGCAAACAGGATAGGGCAATGTTAAATGATAAATGTTTAGGTTTTTTTTTTTGGTCCATTGTGCCTGTATAAATAGCACAAATTATTATATTTCTGTCACAAAGTATGTGGCACAGAGACCGAGAACAAACCTAGTCAATAATAGTTGGACCTATATTGCATTAAATTGACTGAATTTCCAGATATTATAGAAATTGGAATCATGTAAAAAAGGATTTATTGTATAGAAAGTATAAACAGTTGGAATGAAATAAAAACAATTACAACTTGGGGTGCATCCCATTTTTGACACTACAAATCTGAGACATAAAAATATATACTAAATTAAATTTTTATTCAGATAGTTTTTGATACAGTCTATGGTTCAACCATTGACTGGGGCACATTCCTGTCTGTGGATTATGATATTCTGTTTTTTTTTTTTTTTCAAAAGCAAAACAAACGCATAGACAGTTGATTAAAAAAAATATAAATATTATTTATATAAATATAAATATAAATATAAATAAATAAATATATATATATATATATATATATATATATATATATATATATATATATATATTCTAGATGGTTAAAAAGCTACCAGTAGATGGCAGTGTTTACTTTTGATAGCATACATCAGGGATGTATTATAATCGGCATGCATGTACCAGAGCAGAGGTTTGCGAGAGGTTTATATATTTTTGTACATATATGTAGGTAATGCATAACTTTGATTGGACAATCGTCTCGTTCAGATTTAAAACATTTATGCCATCCTAAATATACTTAATCAAGTCTGGTTTGTCGGATTGGAACTTAGTATTGCTTTGAATTATAATTGAGGGAGCTCATGTTTTTGTCCTTCTTTGCAGTTGTACCACTGGAGATGAGTGTGATATGCAGAATACAGTTCCATTTTTGATCATGTAATTTTGATACTTATTAGGTATTACACACAAAACAAGATTAGTAAATGCAGGGATGAATGCAAGTTTTTGTGATACCAAATCCACAATAAGAATATTTTGCATTTCATTTTCCACCACACATAAGGTTTTTCATTCAGGCCAAAGCGTTAAATCTTGGTCTCATCTAACTACAACAAACACCTTAAAATGTTGGAAATCTTCCCTGCTTGGCCTCTATAATATATTCAGCATGTACAGATTCCCCCAGGTGAGGTGTGGATGTTTGCAGCTCCTTATCATGGTCCCCTTGACCGCATCTCTGAGATGTGCTATCCGTTTGAACTCAGTTTGGGTGGACAGCTGTGTGTTGGTCATAGGAATTCTTTGTATAACATCAAACTTTTCATTTCTCCAGAAGTTTACAGCGGAACGTTTAATGTGTTCGTAGGACCTCATGACGCTGTTTAGTGACCAATATCCTTCTAAGAAACCTGAGGCCATCATATAACAGCTTCAAATGAGTTTAGAAGTAGAGCTAGAGGTAAAAGTTAAAACAGTTTTTGGAATTTCAGTACATTGTTTATTACAGTATTATTTTAACAAAACCAATGCTTATGGAACAAGAAATGCTCAAATTAAGCATGCTCGTAGACAGAAACATACACCTATACTTTAAACAAATATAAATACCAAACAATACAACAGTAAAAGGGTGCTTGAGGTCACTGTATTTCTGTATACATACAGTAGAACACTAATAGTACAAGTACTTAAGGTAGTACTATATGGACTACCAATCTGTTTAAAGCTCCATACACACTAGAGGCAATTTTTGCTGCTACTTTGATGTAAATGTCTTCCTCAAATAAAATCCACAGAACACTGCTATTAATTCACTAATTCATTCATGCATCAACAAAAAAAAAAAAAAAATTCGTGCAGTGTGCAGACCTTAAAACACATGCTTGTTTTATAGCAGGTTCTTTGCTGAAAACTATTGGCAAAGAAAATCATGGAAACACTGATCAATTCATTAAATTCAGTGAACAACATTGTTCATAATTCACAAAAAAATCACAAAAAACAGATTTTAATAAGTTTTATGATTGTTGCACGCACAGAACAATAACACTAATTAGTCATTACATTATTAGTACTGATTTAATTTAAATTGAAAGTCTGCACCTAAAATGTTTTGTGTTCACTGTCAATATAATCATACCTCTATGAGGCATTGAATCAAAATACTGCAAACATCTAAAATGGTCTGGGGTTAAGCCTAGTGTATACTTGCGCGGCGTGGCTTACTGTGCTTCCCATTGCAGCCTACTACTCAAAAGACTATGGAGTTCACATGCAGATGAACAGAAAATGAAACGAATAACTACATGAAGGCTGGTGTCGTCATAAGGATAGCTATTCTCTAATTTGTTACCATCTTCCTACTTAACATTTCACCTCAAAACAGCACGCGCACATACAATGTAAATTCAGCTTTACCTGCACTATTGGTTTTTCACCCAAAAGTGGAATGTAAGATAGCTGAGAGGCAACAGACAAAGAGCCATTTTGATGGCTCTTTGGAGCGACTGCTAAGTCGCTAAGCGGGAACTGAAAGTGCAGTGGTTGTTTGGCAGGAATTAAAAAAGTAAGGAATTAAGGAGAAGTTCTTCAGACTAGTCTCCTTGCTGATACTAGCGTCCTTCATATCAAACCTGTCAAAGAATGAACCATTTGTAATTTATAGAATAGCACCAGAAAATATTCACAAAATATCTATGACCAAAAAGCCCACAAGCCATCATATACCAAAAAAACTTTAAAACTTGGAGATTGTTATTATACAATACTGGAACAGATATGTGAAGATGATCTTACCACTCTGTAGAAGAGATGACATAAAATATGGGAGGGGAAGAAGAGTCATTTGGTTCAGTGCAAACTGGCTGACCCAGACTGTATGCTCCTGCATTAGTGAATAGGAGCCAGTCTCCGACATTAAGCTCTGGCAGCAGACAGTGCTCTACAATACAGTCCATGTCATCCCCAGATGGCCCCCAAACGCTGCTGTAGAATACAGGGGCATCAGGGGTTGTGTTCTAAGAAAAGCATACAACGTTATAAGTTCAATCAATAGAGGACCAGTGCCTTTAAATAGTGAAAGTAGTTCTGGCATACTCCCAACCTCATTAAGGGTTTACCTTGTGAACCGATGGTGTGCTGATCCATTTTTCAACAAGTTTCCCTGCAAATGGTCCAAAGACGCCCTCATTTAAATAATACTGGAATGCTGGCTCATCGTTTGGAGTACAGTCTGGAGTGGTGGTAGTGTATCATTAGTTATAAATACATGTTGACATTGTCTAACTGCAATGCATCTCACCAGGGTTGTTGTCTTGCTGATCTCGAGCAACTATCTCCCTTGAAATAATGTTGACAGCCAGGGTGAAAGCAGAGGACACAAAATAACTGCCAGGTTCAGCAATGAGAGAAACTCCAGAAAGAGGAAAGTAGAACTCCATCATGGACATGACTGCATTATTGATCTGAAAAATGAAAAACTTTATAATAGTGCTGGTTTGACATTTTAATTTGTGACAAAAAAAAAATACACACACTTTTTCTAGTTGAATTGCTGAGGTGCCAAAACCTCCAATGTCTAAGATCTTCAATTTAAATCCAATATTCTCCTGAAATGACAGGGAAACAAAATTTGTAAACACAAAATGTTCAGATAATTTTAAAGGGTTAGCTTGCCATGAACATGCCCTACTCGATATCTTCATGATTTGTGTGTTACTCACCGCCATGTCAAAAACACAACGGGCATCTGAGAGGGCGTGGACATAAACATCATCTTCAGAAAAGTTAGAAATGTGACATCTGAAGGAGAAGATGTGCAATTGAGCAGAACGCACAAACTCAACGCACAAACTCCTTCTACAGTATATATAAAGTTCCTGGCTCTTTACCTTACACCAACCACCTGCACACCAAGCTCTTTGGCACGTTCCAGCAGACGCCTGCAATCTTTGAGGGAGCAGCCAAAAGTCATGCTCATATCATCTGGATAGGAGGTTTCTGATGACACTTGAAGCAGCAACCTGCAGGGTGAAACATATTACTACATTCAATGACAACGTTAAAGTCATACTATCATAGGTGAACAGTGACTAAAAATGCATACTTTGCATTGGGATGGGAACGGGCAATCTTTTGTAGTTCTGTTTCATTGTCACACACAAGAAGGTTAATGCCATTTTTAGCAGCGTACTTCAGCTGGGACACCTGTTTGCAAACACCACTGTAGATAATATCTTCAGACGGGACACCATGGCTCCGTACCAACTCCAGTTCCGACTGAATAACAAAGAAAGTTACCAGCGGTTAGGTTATGCATACAGTACAATCACAACATATGGTTAACACACCTTATTAACACACAGGAAGCCAGTGCCAAGAGCAGCAAGGACTTCAATTACGGCTGGACTATTGTTGCATCTGACAGGGTAAAAAGGACGAATGTGTGCCATGTGGCTTTGCCAAAGAATATACTGTTGCACCAAAACCCCAAGGTCTGCCACAAAGAAAGCATTTTTCTTGGACTGTGAGAAAGAAAGACAGAAACATCAGACAAAAACATGGGTATAGAGAAACACATTTGAGATTAAATGTCTTACCAGACATTGTTCATAAATATGATTGTCAATCACATCACAGAGGCCTGTGCCACCCTCCAAAAGGCCAATCGAGTGCTGTGGTTCATCAGAAAATCCTTTCATCCTCTATCCTTTTTCTTCTACTACGACAGGCATAAAGAAGATGGTTGGTGTGACTACACTCAACACTACTCCTCGTCAAGCCCCTGGGTTCTAGGATGATGTGTCAAGCTATAAAAGTATTAAAGACATATAATTTTAAAGATAAAATTATGAAACAAACACAGAAATTGAACTCAAAAGCAATATACATAATTATGTCACATCATCAGCCTGCCCAGGGACAACAGGTGGAAATTAGCTCTTCTTGAGCTATAACCTGGTACAATGCATCTTTCCCTTGGAGGTTAATATTTATTGTACACTGTCCCTGTCATCTTAAATAAATAAACTAAACTAAACTAAAATATGTATAAAATTTAAGGAATAAATAAGTTTTAGTTTTAGTGAATATAAACTAAAATATATGCGACCCATTCAAAAAAGTCGGTCACCAACCAATGGCAGTCATGCTTCCATATTATGAGACAGCTTTGTGGGAGAGGCCATTCTTCTGAAAAGCCAATGCAAACACAAAGTCTGGGCCATAGAGTGCATACAGTTGGTCATCAATTACAGCCAACAATCACCATTACTGCACAGCTGGTGACCCGTGATCATCCTTTATTGTCCTGGCATTAGTAAATGCACAATAGTGGCGGCACCGGTGTCATAACTTAACTCCCAGTAACGTTGCCACATGCGTCATAGGACTGGGAAATAGACAAGACTACAGGGAGAGACTAAAGAGTTTTAGTTAGCTGCAGAAGAATTATTGTTATAACATGGTCAAGGCGATATAATATGTGCATTAAATACTTTGATAGCAATAAAAAACACTAAGAATACATGCATAGATAGATAGAAAGATACATAAGACCAATAAATCAAATTGTGAATCACTTATTATATCGAGATACTAAGAATAGCAAATACAAAGAAAGTATGTCAAAATCTATTTATTGCTTTATCAGAGTTCCTTAAAATAGATCTAATATGCAGCCCTTGAAGCATTTGTGACTTCACTGGGTTATTTTGGTGATGCAAAGTGAGGTGTATAATTTCTTCCCCTGAGGTTGAACACAATTAAAATGAGACAAGAATAACAGACAGAGGAACCACAAACACCCTGAACAACTCACATGGATAAGTCCAGGGAAGAACTTGTCCACTATCAGCTAGGATCCCAAGGAGGCTCGGCGTTGAAGTCAAGTGGTTTTCTGGAAAGAGCTGCCCCTAGGTCCTCTGGATAGTTGTTGTACACCTGTAACTCAGAAAATTGTAAAAAAAAAAATATATATATATGTTCACTGCAGTATGGTCTAGTGTAATGTCATATTAGCTTTGCCTTCTTGTAGTGCTGCAGTAATTGTTCCAATTGCACTGATCTGCTTATCAAATCAATTCATCAAATTGTGGTCTTTATTTATAAAGAGCTTTCCCTATTTTTATGTTCAATGTTTATTGTATGTATTAATATATAAGTAATTTGATTATAAGTATTTTTTGCACCATATACCAAAGCAAATTTCCTTTACTTAACATGGCAATAAAACTATTTTGTATTCTGAATTTGATTCTGATATAGGCCCATGGCAACAACAAAAACCAAAAAGTCTACATGTCATGTCTCAATGCAGAGGCGAAAACAGAACAGGTCGTTAAAGCTTTCCCGTTCATTGATCCAGCAAGCACATTTTTGTTTTATATGTTTAGTAAACAATAACACGGGCTAACATCTCTAGGCTAACCCCATGCAAACAGACGCATCCGCGCATCAGTACTTACATCGGCAGTAAGCCCACAAGAGGGGACAGAACGCTTTTTTCTTTTGGGCGGAATGTTTGTAGATTTGTAGAAAGACCAAAGGAGAAAAGTGAAGCAGCCATTAAGGACGGACTGGTGCTGGACTGACGCACGTAAGAAAAATACACGCGTTGTCAAGGTAACAAAGTGCAACAACAATTAAATATCCGGGACAAGATTTCAAATTAAAGTAGTATCGAAATAAAATGATATTGGTAAATGTCTCAAAACAACGTATCATGTGATCTAAAGGGTGTTTATTGGAGTCGTCCATCTATTTGGCTACTTACTGAAAAGAGTGAAAACAATCTTGGCCTACCGTGTGAGCTGTGGGTCCATTTTGCTTTCCACTGTCATCTAAAGTTATAATATCGCTTCTTTACTCTTCGCTCCATGCTGCTGGTTTGTTCTGAATGATATGGCTGCATGCCTTTTTTAAACACTGGGCTTTTTTTCTTCCCATGATGATACATGGCTCTCTCCTGTTTTTTGAAGGAGGAGTCAGAGCAAACCAAAGTCAAGTCAAATTTGAGCGAGTCCCAAGTAAAAATTAAAATACATTTAGTGGAAACAAACTTCAGCTTCAAACAAGGTCAATTATTGATCTGGCCTTCCAGGCAAGGCAAGGCCACTTTATTTTTATAGCACAGTTCATACACATGGCAACTCAAAGTGCTTAACAAAACAAGATAGATACAATCACACAAGGCATTAAAATAATAAATAATCACAGTGCATTGAAACACGTAAAGATACAATCTTTCAGTTGTATGCACAGCTTAGCAGAACATCTATTTGTTGCCAATGTAAGTGGGTACAGGGCCCTCTGAATGGCACAGAATGTAATAATTTATAAGTATTCAAATGAATCAAAATGTTCAAAGTAGAAGCCTGTCCCACATTTTCAGTGGGACTGTTCCAGATTTTAGCTGCTCCCCATGACTCTGGGAGATTGCTCTGGGAACGAGCAAGAGGCCAGTCCCTGTGCTCTTCAGAGTCCGACTTTGTTCTTATGGCACTAACATGCCACGGATGTACTTTGAACAAGCAGAGCTGTTTTAAAGTCTATTCTCTGAGCCACAGAACAACTATAATTTTATTATAATGCTTCAAATGCTTCAAAACTACTATTATTGGTATTTTATTTGAGGGAATCAAAGTGTCCTGTAATTCTTGTGAAAAAAAACCACATTTGAATAATAAAAAAATTATGATAATAATATTATTATTATCATAAAAAAAATAATAATAATAATGTATATGATAATAATAATATTTATACAATTAAATACAATCAGCCCTGGTGGGAAGAAAAATAGAATCCATAAGATTTTAAGTGACATTAACATTGTATGAAATAACACATTTAAGGGATACTCTAATCCAGCCATTCCCAAACTCAGTAACACCGAGGCCCCCTTAAAAATCTGACGGGTCTGCGTGGCCCCCCAAAATAATAACCAAGAAGACAACATTAAGAATAGGCTCTTCTGGTTATTTTATTTTGGGGAAATAGCCTCTGCTACAAACATTGTAATACAAAAATGATTACAGTGGATTATTCAAGTCAAATAATGAACACAAATATTTTAATATTACAAACAAAACATTATAAATTTAACATTAAATAATTATATTATTTTTTTATTTTTTTTATGACCTCCCGCGGCCCCCCTGCAGTACCCTCGCGGCCCACCAGGGGGCCGCGGACCCCACTTTGGGAGACACTGCTCTAATCTATTGGGATCATAGTGCAAAACAAAACAGAATTATCCTGGTATATTCAAGCCTGAGATGAATCAAAAACATAGCAGACAGAACCGTCAAAGTAAATTTAAGTGACTTTATCCACCCCAGATTGATAAGCATGGTCTTACTGTAGTAAAAGAAAGAAAAAAAGGGAGAGGAAGTAGAGAGGATGAATATTATTCCCAGCATCTATTGAATGATAAGGTGATATCGTCATTTTTGTGACAGGTCAATCTAACTGCTGTGATAATTTAGCTTATGATTTTTAAATATATAAACAGTAACTTCCTTTTGCCAAAAGCGAAGTACACCTTGGGGAAGGGGCCACAAAAGCAGCATTTGTTCCTAGAACTATTTACTACATCCCAGTGATACTGTTCCGTGTTTTGTACCTTCACAAACACAGACTGGAGGCCGATGTACAAAGTCTAATCGGACATAGCATCTATAGTGGCTTCCAGTAACTTTCTATGTTTGATTTCCATTGTTCAGTCCATAATAGTCACCACATCTGCAGGACTGCCACATTGTACCACCCACAGTCGAGGCCAATACTCCAGTGGCTGCATTGTACACCAGGAATTCCTATTTGCAAACATTGCAAAGACATTACATCACTGCTCGCTTATAAAAAAGGCCAAACATTAACCCTCAATGGACAAATGAAAATCTTGCATTTGTTTTTGAAAATTAACCTGAGAGTTAGTCATGGACGTCGGAACTATTTTCTGAGAGGGGGGGCGGGTTTTTGTTGGGAGAGTCGAGGGAGAGACTCATACTTGGATTACACTGGATAATAACATACCATCTTAATTGTTAAGAAAAACAAAATAAACAATATATATCAAGCAAGTCACTTATCAAACTGAACTTTTTTTTTTTCAATACGCATTCATGCGTCAGTCTCTCCGGTGGCTTCATTGTGTTGTGTAGCCCAGTGACGTGCGGTCAGATGAGGCAGGCAAGGCCCTCACCTAAGATCATAGAAAGAAAAGTAATAAAATGGATACAATAATGTTTGGTCACTTTATCAAGTGATTTGTGCTGTGCCTTATTTCATTTATTTATACCTTGAAATCGCAGATTTGACAGAGCGGTGCTGTGAGGCAAGCCTCTCTTGGGAGACGTAAAAAGCAACAGTTCACAGGGAGAGTCCTGTGAGGTGCTATCAAACTGTTTTCCCTGTTTATCACAGTTTAAAAAGTTCAAAAATATTTAATTTACAATCAACATGTTTACATTTAAGAGGATGGCTCATAAATTGTGTTTTTGAAGCAAATATGGGTCTTAATCGCGCTCAACCACAGCTTGTAAGTGAGGAAAGCCTCAAGGGGGCGCTTGTGAGCCCAAACTTTGGCTGCATCCAATTCCATCAGAAAGCTCCTTTCTTGTTCTTCTTCTGCTAAGGGCAACTACAGGTTTGGCTAACATACCTATAATACATTTTAAGATAATTTAAAAATGCACTTAGAGTAATGTTTTGCTTCCAATGATGATATGAATCATAAGAAAAGGAGGTGAAGGGTAAGGTTGAATTTAGAAATTGGATTTACCCGGGAGTCGGCTGCAGCAAAACTCGGAGTTTACGGAGGAGACACCCGTTTTTTTTTACTTTTTAAAACTCATTTAACTTATTTCCAAATGGAGGATTACATGTCTGTGCCCAAACTATTATCTGGACTTAAACATGAAACTGGTCCTAACTGAAGTGGTCTGTGCTGTTCATTAATACCTAAGGTAAGGCCCATAACACACTTTGTACTATTTACAAACGTTTGCGTTTTGTATGAGAAAACAATGCAGACATTAAATCATATTCTGCTGTAGCCAAACAAATTGTGTATAAGCCGCTCCTGTTCCTGTAGGTCCTGTTGGTTTATATGATGTATAATCATATGAACACATGATTGATCCCCCACCGCACGTCACTGGTGTAGCCAGGTCTCTAATCTGCGCAAGGCTGAGAAAGAGCGCTCAGAGGCTGCGACAGATATTAGCCAGACAGAGCTTCATAAGCTTCTCCGACAGCATGGAGCGGGTTTTGGGCTGCAAGGAACGCAGGATAGTGATAACTTCTCGCTCCCGGCACACGCGGAGGGGGTGCGGCCGCACCCCCCGCACCCCTAGTTCCGACGTCTATGGAGTTAGTTGTTAAAATGTCACAAGCTCCCAATTTGAACAAATGACAGTTACTCAGTTTGGGCTGAAGCCATACCTGTTTTCAACCCTTTGGAAAAATCATTTGGTTTACTGATATTTACAAAAAAAGGAGTAATTTATGATTATGGATTGCAACAACATATTGGGACATCACCGTCCCACCAAACCCAAAAGGCAATTGATGTACAAAAACCTGCCTGTAGGACCATAAACTGTGACAAGGGGGCCATACTCTCACCCACCTGGGGTCCTGTCTTGAAGTTCAGCTAAAGACACAGCACAGTAACAGTCTGAGCAAAACATTATGCAACAGCCTTTGTTACATAAATCAATGGCTTCAGTGTAAAGTAAGTAAGCAGTAAGTAAGCTTTTATTTATATACCGCCTTTTCACTGCACATCGTAGTCTCAAAGCGGTTTACAATTGTTGGGTGGGGTTGCCAGTACAGGAGGCACATGCCAGACCTATTGTACATATTTTTAGTGGTAGGGGAAACCGGAGCACCCGGAGGAAACCTACGCAGACACGGGGAGAACATGCAAACTCCACTCAGAAAGGCCCTGGTCCAACCGGGATTCGAACCCAGGACCTTCTTGCTGAGAGGCGAGAGTGCTATCCACTCAGCCACCGTGCTATTATTAACAATCATATTTCTGGACTTTGTTTGCAACAAAATTACCTTGCAGATTAATTGATTAATTAATTAATTAATAACAATATTGCTGTCCAAATGTATTGTCGCCTGTCTATGCGGACAAACCATAGCCATATCCCATAGTTCCATCACTATATAGACTGCATTTTCTCTTTACACTTTTAACGGATTCAATTAATAATAAAATATAAAACACAAATGTGTTTCTAAAACACCCCTATAGTTTACTGAAAATGAATGGGGGCGGCCCCTAAAATAGTAAACTGATCAAGATAGAGGGATCATAGTTCCCCTTCCCATTAAAATGCTGTGTGCCATGGCCCCTGCAGCGGGCTGCAGACTGATTACATTCTGTCTGTCCGGGCTGATAACATCCACACTCCGGCCTCAGTCCAGATAGGGGCAAACTCACCCTACTGTTTGATGTCAAGGGTTGGCTCCAAGCGGCCCAACCATTGTGTCCCAAACAATGCACCCCAGACCCACTGAACTATAAACATGTCCATTGGGGGCGTTTTCCTCAAATTCTGAGTGGGAGACACCCAGAATCAGGAAACCTGACCCAGCTTTTCCATATTTAGATGCTTTTGGCATATGTATCAGCTTTATGCCCAAGAATGTGCAGAGAAAAGACTGATTAATGTTTTCTGGCAGAGTATTCATTTGTTTGGCCTAATCTCATATCAGGTATACCCAAATTAACTTTTTGTTCAAAGGTATTTTCATATCTTCAATGACCCTTGATCATGTGCATGTGCATGTACACATTGTTAAGGGTAGAGATGATGAAGTCAGTGACAGTGGTTCCTTTGAGCCATTGAAATTATTCCTGGTCCTCTTATCTTACTTCCAAAGCATAGTATCCTCAGAATAATTCTATGTTTGTGATTTATTATGCAAAAGGTGTTGTGGAGATATATTTAAATAAAAACGGTGTATTGTTGTATATTTAAGTTACCAACATAATCACCCTTATTTTCCAATACTTCTGTATTATTACAGTGTAGCCTTTTCTTTTCTACTTACTTTCTTGTAAACCAGGAATTCCTATTTGCAAACATGTATTTGAAATAAGTGTGAACATTTAATTTGCAAAAACGTACCATTAGAACAATATTTCAAATGTTTTCAATTTGCTCTTTACCACATGGTTTTTGAAAAGCCAGATCTATTTTAGAGCCATACAAATAAAGTTTCATCCCATCTTGAAAAAAATCATGTTGAAGATAGTTGCCAATGTGATACATCTTCAAAAGGGAGATATTTGTTTTAGCAATGAACTCGTCAAAAATAGTTGAGGTTGTTGTAGCAGGCCTTCCCCTTATTGTCCAGCAGGGGTCGCGGTGTTTTGGTCGCACCGTCGTGAGGTTTTCCGGTTGTGAGATCAGCTGACTCTGATGCTGCTGTCAGGAGACCTCACGATCTGTGCTCATCTGTCACTATGATCCTTTCTCAGCCTTCTACTGCATAAAAACACAAATACACGGGATATTTTTGACACAAAGAGGTGAGTGGAGTTCGTGTGTCAAATCAACCATCGCAAATCTGCCCATTGATAGTAGAAATATGTTGCGAAGGATTAGCTAGGTTTGCTTGACCTTAACCACTATTATTGTCAATTATATATGAATTGTGTATCATAGCGTTACTAATCGTACTTTTAGAGATTTAAGCATAGGTTACCAAAAAAAATCTATAAGGTAAACATAATATATAAAACAAATGTAAGTAGTAAACAATAACCTGGACACCCCAACTGTTTAGCAAGCTTTAAAAACCCGAAGGTACTAAAAGTAGCTTAATGTAACACAATTGGTACTTGCTTTATCCGTCACATACTGCGCCACAATGAACACTTCCCAATTTCATTGAGTCTAACATATGTTTCAGATTGTTACAAACTGCAGCGTTGCAACAAACATGACTGAGTTTTGGTTGATCTCTGCTCCTGGAGAGAAGACCTGCCAACAAACATGGGACAAAATGATGGCAGCTACAACCATGGGCAATGTTCTGTCTACCAACCACAAGTTCAGCATCCCAGATCTGAAGGTAACTTGTCCAGACGTCTTCATAAGACACATTACATCGGAAATAACAATGGCATATAGTTTCCTCCCTGAAATCCTATGGTTTTGCTAAGTAGCATGAATAATTTCGCTGCTAGCATCACAAACTATGTACATACTCTATGAATCAGACCACAATATGCTGTCTTCATTTTTGCATGCTTTGGGCTGAGTGCTGATTTTTCACTTTTCTGTCTGGAATTTGCTGATCTAAAGACGTGAGAGAGATGTAACAAATGCGTGCCTGTGAAAACTAGTGATAGAAAGCGAGTAACTACCATATCAGTCTCATCATTGTGATTTGGAAGTTTGGGTACCTGAGCTTTAAAGACAGCCATAAAATGAATTTGTTGTATTATTAAAAAACCTACAGTCTTCTAATTATAACAATAGCATACATTTACTCACCTTAAGCATCCATTGTCAAGAATAAGGAAAGCTGGATGAAAAGCAGTTATTGAACCTTTCTCCTGTCTGCATGTTTGAAGTACAAAAGAGTAGCCAGGCCAATCAGTCTGTGCTGGTGGCCAAGTGACCCGGCTGACCTTAGTGCTAGCCACACTCTAGGAACAATTACTGATGCATGAGTGGATAAGGACAAAAAGGCGCCATCCTAAGCACGTCGGGGCCCCTGTATCAGAAGTTGGTGTGCACTGAGCAATTCCCAACCCAACTGAAACAACACATCTCAAGTCCAACTTCAATCTGCTGATGTTTAACTTTTGTACTTTTGTCCTAAACCAGGTGGGAACCCTAGACGTTCTGGTGGGACTGTCGGATGAGCTGGCCAAGTTAGACTCCTTTGTCGAAGGGTATGCGTTATATCTTTCAGAAAATTTTTTTAACGTAATATTTATTTAGTATTTAACTTACATTTGAGTACTTTTAAGTGCTCTATACTCCGTGTAGTCAGACTTTTTTATTGCTAGTCAGAGGTTTTGTAATGTAGTCGGCTTACCATTCCCTAATCCTCTGTAACAATGAGGAATTTCACAGCACCCCGAAGCCAGTACAGTTTTGAGGGTAAACTTGGTCATTTACACTTGGGTGATACTCCAGCTGCTCTTTCTTTAGCTGTATACATTTCCAATGACTTATTTGCAGTTTGTTCCTTGAGTAATTTATAGTCTTTGGAAAAAATGACCAGAAAGTAACACAGGGGCGTGACATGAGAAAGTGGCCAAACTTTGTACAAGACATGTTTTAAGTTTTTTGGTTCTGTAAGTTAGACAGGAGTATTTTGTAGAGGGCTTGTGTTATTTCACTGGTAAACTAAAATATAATACAAGACAAGATGAGAGAACCTTCATCTGCCTCACAATGGGGAAATATCATCATACAGATATACAGTGCCTTGCGAAAGTAATCGGCCCCCTTCAACCTTTCAACATTTTGCCACATTTCAGGCTTCAAACATAAAGATATAACATTTTAATTTTTTGTCATGAATCAACAACAAGTGGGACACAATCGTGAAGTGGAACAAAATTTATTGGATAATTTCAACTTTTTTAACAAATAAAAAACTGAAAAGTGGGGCGTGCAATATTATTCGGCCCCTTTACTTTCAGTGCAGCAAACTCACTCCAGAAGTTCAGTGAGGATCTTCGAATGATCCAATGTTGTCCTAAATGACTGATGATGATAAATAGAATGCACCTGTGTGTAATCAAGTCTCCGTATAAATGCACCTGCTCTTTGATAGTCTCAGGGTTCTGTTTAAAGCGCAGAGAGAACCATGAAGACAAAGGAACACACCAGGCAGGTCCGAGATACTGTTGTGAAGAAGTTTAAAGCCGGATTTGGATACAAAAAGATTTCCCAAGCTTTAAACATCTCAAGGAGCACTGTGCAAGCAATTATATTGAAATGGAAGGAGTATCAGACCACTGCAAAGTTACCAAGACCCGGCCGTCCCTCCAAACTTTCATCTCAAACAAGGAGAAGACTGCTCAGAGATGCAGCCAAGAGGCCCATGATCACTCTGGATGAACTGCAGATAACTACAGCTGAGGTGTGAGAGTCTGTCCATAGGACAACAATCAGTCATGCACTGCACAAATCTGGCCTTTATGGAAGAGTGGCAAGAAGAAAGCCATTTCTCAAAGATATCCATAAAAAGTCTCGTTTAAAGTTTGCCAGAAGCCACCTGGGAGACACACCAAACATGTAGAAGAAGGTGCTCTGGGCAGATGAAACCAAAATCAAACTTTTTGGCCACAATGCAAAACGATATGTTTGGCGTAAAAGCAACACAGCTCATCACCCTGAACACACCATCCCTAACTCAGCTGTAGTTATCTGCAGTTCATCCAGAGCGATCATGGGCCTCTTGGCTGCATCTCTGATCAGTCTTCTCCTTGTTTGAGATGAAAGTTTGGAGGGACGGCCAGGTCTTGGTAGATTTGCAGTGGTCTGATACTCCTTCCATTTCAATATAATTGCTTGCACAGTGCTCCTTGAGATGTTTAAAGCTTGGGAAATCTTTTTGTATCCAAATCCGGCTTTAAACTTCTCCACAACAGTATCTCGGACCTGCCTGGTAGTGATGTGCTGAGCGGACCGAGTCTTCGAAGCGTGGACCGAGTAATCTGGGGGCGTTTCTTGTGAAGTGTGGGTCGAGGCGTGTATTGGTCACGTGTGTGGTGACGTTCGAAGCCTCGCGTAGCGGCCGCACCACGTGACGGTTCATATAGTGCTTCATATAGTTCGGAGAGTGCATTGCTTTGACAGGTGCTTTGTGATCCGCGGCTGTACCATAGACTGTATTGGCTGTCCCCGTCTGCCTCTGTGTGCGTACGTGTGTGTGCGTGATGTGGAGCAGTCCTGTACTAAGTATAGAGAAACTACTTCATATGAAATACAATTAAAAACTTTTAATGCACTTTAGTAAAACCTCATATATCAAGGCTTCAAGTTATTAGTAATAATACGCTGGATAATACATTTCATAACAGCTGTGTGGCGCAGTCGGTCTATGACGGACTCCGAAGCAGAAGATATAGCGTTCGAATCCTGGTCTACCCATAATATCCCCTGATGTCCACCAGGACTCGGGTCTCACTGGACGAGATCTGATAGATGAGGACTGGACTTGGATTTGCAAGGACCAGTTCTGCATGGTGCGCTCTGAACTGCGGACAGTCCTGACCAGACAAAAGATTATGTTTATTGTAAGTTTAAAAACAAAACGCAATTAGCTAATAACAATAGTAAGTTCACAGTTATACATTATGTCAAAGCTGAATTCTTAATTTCTTGAAGTGATTTCACAAACAATGCACTTACCTTCATAATACAGCCAACAAAATGAGAAGAGACTTGTGCTTTCCCAGAAACAAGGCTTTTTCTAAACTTGGAGAAGCATCCATCTGCCACCACTGTCAGAGCAGCATGGATAACCTGCAAAGACAAAAAGTATGAATCTGACATTATTTTGTTGAGCGGTGTGCAGCTCTCACCTTATTAGCTCCAGTTTCTTTATCTCTGTATTGGACTCCAGTGACACAGCCGTCGTCATCTTCCTCTAAACTGGTTACTGTGCCTTCAATGAAAGTGACACTGGGGGTAGAACAGCAGACATCAGAGGCAAGTCACACAAAACAAATCATCTCCTTTCCTCATAACAGAACTGTCTTTTTGAAACGGTCCAATCAGACAGTACCACACTCACTTGGACTGGGCCATGGCGGCTCTCCTCAAGCCCATGATGAAGCGGCCATGATGGAAGGCCCTGCCACACTGCAAATCCCCGTCCACTTCGGGGTACGGGATCTCCACCTCCGCCCCACTGTCCCGGTCGTGGATGACGTAACCATTGACCACATGAGCGTCCAGACCCTCCACTGAAGCTGAGGCACAAGGGTAGTTTCATGCCAAACAGATGCAACCGTATTATTGATGCAACCATAGACCATTGTGCATTGATCAAAATATGTTTTCTGTGGTGACTGTGGTGTTGGTTTGATGTTGAGGTTTGATAAAAGTTAAGGATTCAGATTTTTTATGTATTTATTGTAATTTTTTGCAGTCCAGCGCACCTGATCATGAGGCACATTATCAATAATCGTGTTTCTTGCTGTAATTATAACACTATTTGTAATTTGGATTATAAGGCGTATTGATAATGATGGTTTACCTGTAAAAAGAAATATACAAGTGTCATTTTCTTTCTCATTCTTGAAGGTGAATTGTAATATAAACTGTACAACTTAAATAACTCAACATGTTTCTGTTTTTATATTTATCCGCCGATACAAAAGGCCTAATGTTATTACTAATCCTACCATCACCATCACGAAGAAACAGAGGTTGGTCTCACCCTCCAGCCCCAGAGCTTTGAGAGCCCTGTATCCCCCGGGCTGCAGCAGCTCTCCCACAATGCGGTCTGGCTCCGTCAGGTCCCTCTCCACCAGCGTCACCCTCCTGCCGTCCTGGGCCAACACTGCAGCCATCGCAGAGCCCAGAACCCCTCCTCCAACGACCACCACGTCTGGCTCTGAGGCCCCCAGACCCCCCTCTGAGCCAGGCTGACACGTGGAGGAAGCCTGGACCAGTCTCCGCCGCCTTCTGGAGCCCTGCAGCAAAGATCCCATTCATACGCCTATTTCAATTTGATTTTCTATAGCATGCCATTCTATGGAATTTCAATAATAATGTCACCATTTAACAACTTGTGAAGCCATTGGTCCACAGGGTGAAAGGATGGCCAACAGTTCAATTAAAGGCTTTTGGTTTTTAGAGGTGCATTATGTAAAGCAAGGCACAAGGTGACTCAAAGTGCTGAACAAAACAAGATGTAACTTTGTGAAACAAAGTAACCCAGTGGCTGTAAGAGTGGTCGACAAGGTGCCTTAACTTTTGATTAGGGTGGTGTCTCTGGGTTTTTCTGGTGCGGGCGTCCCTCAGCAGAGAAAACCTTCCAAACAATTGATCCTAACATTTTAGAGACCACTGTTATGGAAAGTACAGGTGCCATTCTGACACTCAAACAACTACTGGCTCACTGCCAAAAATACCAACTCTTGACATAGAAGTATTGTGAGATCTCAAGAGAAACCATGCATCTGGACCAGCACAATGGACTATCTGCACAGCCCCTGATTCCACTCAGGCTGTGAGCTGCTGAGACATGGACAATACCATCGTCCTCTTTTGCATGGACACCATTTGGAAAAATTGGATTACACAATTTGGACATAATTTGGAACAATTGGATTTCTGAATTTGGACATAATTTGGACTGAATTGGATTTCTGAATCTGGACACTGAAGCTGAAACATGTGATTGAAAGACACGCCACAGAAGAATTCATGGCTCGACACAAATGCAGCCTGAAGAAATTAATAGTTACTTAATGTAACTTAAGTTCTACGAATAGGTGCGTAGTCCCTTAGGACTTCGCTAGTGGGATATCACGTGACCCCCAGGTCACACGCCAGAGAGATCAAAATAATTTGCTCCAATCACCAGCCACCTTCCTCTATAAATGCCCCTGCACAAGGCCGCACCCCCTCTTGAACTCTGCCAAGCCGGGCTGGCCTGATGGGCTCGTAGCTAAGGGACTACGCACCTATTCGTAGAACTTAAGTTACATTAAGTAACTATTAATTCTACGTCATGGTGCTACGTCCCTTAGGACTTCGCTAGTGGGACACAACGCGGAGGCCGTAGGAAAATGTACTCCCAGCAGGCCAGCGAAGGGTGATTGGAGCTCCGCCCGAGTAAGACCCTCACAACGTGAGAGGACTCAGGGCAGAAGAACAAGCGTGTTACGGGGCCACTCCTACCAAGGATACCCCCACGTAACACAAGCCGTAGGTCATCCGTAGTCACAGGACGCCTCTCCCAAGAGCTCCTGGCGTGGACTACCAGACCGACCACACACACAATGTACCGCACCTGTAGGATGCCTCTCCCAAGAGCTCCTGCACCAGGGCGGAAACTAGACCGAAGGCCCACCCCTCAGGGGAGGGACCCAACGGTCTAACTCAATCCGCTGCACTCAGCACGGAATGGGCCACCGACCGGTCCGACACATCCGAAAGATAAGACCGGACGAAAGAGGAGGACGACGCCCAAGAAGCCGCACGGCAAACGTCCTCGACCGACGCCCCCCTGAGAAGGGCCGTAGAGGCCGCCATCCCACGCGTGGAATGCGACCTGAAACCCACCGGGGGGGCCAGGCCCTGCGTCTGATACGCCCGTCGCACCGCCGCGGCGACCCAATGCGCCAGCCGCTGAGCCGACAGCGGGGCGCCCCTGTTCTTGGGGCCCAGACACACAAACAGCTGATCACCCGACCTGAATGCGACGTCATGGACAGGTAATGCCTCAGCATTCTGATAGGACACAGAAGGTGCTGCCGCTCCTCCTCGGGGGAGGCATGCGGCGGCGGGTGGAAAGCCCTAATCCTGATCACTCTCGACCTAAAGGCCGACGTGATGACCTTGGGGAGAAAAGCCGGATTGGGCCACAACTCCACCATGCCGTCGTCCTCTCCAAAGGATAGGCACGACGCATGGACGGAGAGCGCACACAAATCGCCCGCCCTCTTAGCAGACGCCAACGCCAGTAAGAGGGCCGTCTTAAAAGCGATACACTCGGGACTCGCCTCCGCCGCCGGTTCAAAAGGCGAACCCGACAGCCCCCTAAGGACCACCCTGAAGTCCCAAACCGGAGGCGTTCTCTGGAGCGGGGGCCTCCTCCTGCGCGCCCCCCGCAGAAAACGTTTAACCAACGGGTGAGAGCGGGCTGTGAACCCCCCGAACCCGTCGTGACCCGAAGTAATGGCTGCCGCAAACACCGCCAAGGTAGCGACAGCCCTCCCCTTGTCGAAAAGCTCCTGTAGGAATCCCAGGACCCCCTCCAGCGGGCAACACCTGGGATCCCAGGAACGGGAATCGCACCAGACACTGAATAGCCTCCACCTCGTGGCGTAGGCCCTCACGGTGGACGGCGCCCTCGCTCCCTGAATAGTCTCCACCACCGCAGGGGGAAGACCCAGATCTACGAGGCTCCGCCTCTCAACCTCCAAACCCAGAGCCTGCGGCCGATTATCGGACGTGAAAACAGGGCTCCTGCCCCCTGGACTAGAGCCCCCGGCTCGTCCGGGAGGGCCCAGGGCTCCATCACCGCCATGCCCCTCAGGAAGGGGAACCACCGGGCATGCGGACTGTCCGGAGCCACCAGAATCACCGATCTCCTCTCTGTTCGATCCTCCGCAGCAGGACCGGCAGGAGACGCACCGGTGGGAAAGCGTACAACAGGCCGCCTGGCCATGGGTAATGAGCCAGAGCGTCCACGCCTAAAGGCGGCTCGTCCGCGGCCCTTAAGGCGAACCAGGACGGGCACTGTGCGTTCTCTGCACTGGCGAAAAGGTCGACTACTGGACGGCCGAACCTCCGCCAGATCTCCGCAGCTACCCGTGGGGCCAGGCCCCACTCGTCCTGGAGTGGGCCCCCCCTGGACATTCTGTCGGCTCCCACGTTCCGGACCCCCGGGACGTGGCGCGCCCTGAGAGACAGGAGGTGAAGCGCCGCCCACAGCAGTGTCACCGTCGCCATGCGATGGAGAGCGGGGGACCTGGTGCCCCCCTGCCTGTTCAGATAGGAGACCACTGTGGTGTTGTCTGAGCGCACCATCACGTGTCTCCCCTGCAGCTGAGGGGCAAAGTGCAGCAGTACTCTGTGCACTGCCTCCATCTCCAGCAGGTTGATGTGACGGGCTGAGTCCGACCAGCAGCCTCCTACAGAGCTCTGGCCGAGGACCCCGCCCCATCCTTCGAGCGACGCGTCCGTGAACACCTCGACGTGAGACACAGCGCAGGCCAGAGTCACTCCGTCCCGCAATAGACCCGGAGTGAGCCAGAACCTGATGTCCGATGCTGCCCCTTGGGGAACCCAGATCAGCCTCCCCCCGTCCCGGGAGGGGTGAAGCCTGAGGCGCGAGAACCACCTCTGAAAATTTCTCATGTGGAGCAGGCCTAGCCGCACCACAGCATGAGCCGCTGCCATCATTCCCAGCAGGGACCTGAGGCAACGAGCGGGAACTCTGGGGCCCGCCAGAACCTCCCGGGCCAGACGGGTAACACTCATCCGTCTGTCCACGGACAATGCAGCACGGAATATCACAGAGTCTAGCTGCAGACCGAGGTAAACCATGCGTTGGGCTGGCTGCAGCTTGCTCTTCTCCCTGTTCACCACAAAGCCCAGACGCTGTATGTGGGACAGGACCCAGTGCGTGTGGCTCACGGCCACTTCCCTGGATGGGGCCAGTATTAACCAATCGTCTATATAGGTTAATATTCTTACCCCCGCACGTCTGATCGGCTCCAGAGCTGCTTCCACACATTTGGAAAAGGTGCGAGGCGCGAGTGCGTACCCGAAGGGGAGACGGCAGTACTCGTAATTCCTCTCTCCCACTGCGAAGCGCAGAAACCTCCTGTGTTCTGGCACTATGGGCACGTGGAAGTACGCATCTGTCAGGTCTATGGAAGTCATCCAGTCTCCTTCCCTGACACACTCGAGGAGCTGCCTTGTGGACAGCATCCGAAACTGCCGTTTGGAAATGCACTCGTTTAACACGCGCAGATCCAGAATGGGACGCACCCCGCCTGATTTCTTTGGCACTAAGAAGTAAGGGGAGTACAGCCCCCTGGTGGCGTCCTGCGGGTCTACCTCCACTGCTGCGCCTCGACTCAGCAGAGAGGAGACCTCCGCTTGCAGTGCCTCTGTCGATCCCCGTACCTGAGAGCGTACTGCCCGTACGCCTCGGAATGGTGGTGGCTTTCGGAAAAATTGCAGCGCGTAACCTCTGCGCAGAGTTTTCTCCAGCCAAATATCTGTCAGTAGGCCCTGCTCCTTCCAGATGCTGTAGAAATCTGTGAGGGGCGGAACGGGAGTTGGAACACGAGACGTCACGGCCCCGCCCCCTCCTGGTGTTCCTAGCAGGGAGGGGGGGTGGCTGAAAGGGCCGGGGGGGCCCCTGCGTCACACCGTGAGCGCCGAGGGCGGTCACGTGTTCTGCAGGCCCGACGTCATAAGTACGGGACTGTTCACCACACGTGACTCGGCTGCTGTGCCCCCCCCTGGGTCTAGCCTCATGGAGGGGGGGGCGAGCCCCTGGAATGGGAAACCCCGTGTTAGCCTTGTAGCTCTGCTCACCACACGTGACACGGCTGCTGTGCCCCCCCCTGGCTCTTGCCTCATGGAGGGGGGGACGAGCCCCTGGATTGGGAAACCCCGTGTTAGCCTTGTAGCTCAGAGATGCTAACACGCGTTCGGCTGGAGCACACACATTATCACTTACCAGATCCCTCCGCCTGCCCTCTCTCCAGGAGGGCAAAACATGAACCCGTGAATCGGAGCCCGTGGCCCGCGTAGCGCGCTGCACGCCCTTCTCTGGGGGCTGCAGGCCTAGCGGAGCCACGTTATATGCTCGAGAAGTAACACAATCAGAATTCAAATCATTTGACATGTTACATACCCCCAAATGAGACTCAGACAGCGAGTACTGATGAAATGCCGGACGGCCTTTATTGAAAACATTTTTCCCACCCCGACCTCCTCTGCCATAGGGAGGTCGTCGGTGGGTGTGTTGGTCCCGCGAACCTCCCGTGTGCCTGTCTGGGCCCGGGGGTCTCGTCGCTGGGGAACGATGGACCACGGAGCGTGGATATGGTCCGGGGCGCCTGCCGGGCGAGCGCTCCCTGCCTCTGTCTCGGCTCCGCGCTGGTGGGCGGGCCTCGCGTCTCGCAGCTAGATGCTTGGCTAGGCTAGCAGAGTCCTTAGCTGCGGTGTCCAGCCTCGTCATCAGCGTCTGCATCTCCGGACCGAAGAGTGACGTTTGGGAGATGGGCAGGTCCAGCAGCTGCCTCTTCTCCGCCTCTCTGAGATTCACCGACCCCAGCCAGAGGTGTCTGGCCCCAACTTGTGCTGCTGCCATCGTGCGGCCGCCATCGACAGCTAGCGCTTGGCACATGCGCAAGATCGCCGCTGAAGTGGTCCTCGCCTGGGATAAGGTGTCTCCACTGAGTGCCTGGTCAGAGGAGAGAGACCTATCCAGGGCCCCGGTGATGAAGGCCATGTTGTTAGCCACCGCGACGACCTGAGCCGCATTGGCGTAACATCTGTCGTGCATCGCCAAAGACATCCTATCCCGCTCGGAGGGAAGGAGAGGTCTGGTGCCGGGCCACACGGATGTGGAGGGGTGCAGGGCCGCCCGAACCGAGTCCTCGATGTCCGGGACCCCGCCGGTCCAGGACCAGTCCTGCACGTTACAGTACATGCCATACCCCAAAGCGGGCCTCTTGGCCGCTAGGGGCTTTGGCCACTCACGTGTCGCGTAATGGACGATCGGGTCCATACGCGGGCACAACCTGGGCTGGGCTCTCCTCCTCCCTCGAGGGGTGGCGTAACCAGAGGTGAAGTCCTCCACGCTCTGGTTCGGTTGCGGTGGCAGGGGGGCATCCATGATGGCCGCCGCCGTGGCGTAGAGCCCAGGCATGTGGTCCAGCGGGAAGCGGTCCGGCTCCGGGTTGGACACCACCTCGTCCAGCGTGAGGAGAGAGCCGACCTCCGACACCTCTCCGTCCTCGCAGTCACCCCACTCCGCGGGCACGGGTGGAAGGTCGAGGGGGGCCCAGTCAATCGCAGACTCCTCGTCCTGAGAGGGGTCCGGACCGGGCGCTGTAGCGGCGAAGAACGCGCGCCTGCGTTCACTCTCCTCCCTGGGGAGAGCGACACACGAGGCGCAGGTAGCGCTCAACGCCGCATGGCCCGAACCCAGGCACAGGAAGCAGCTGGAGTGCTGGTCCTTGCGCTGGAGCTTGACCCGACAAGTCGAGCAACGACGACGTCCGACGCCGGATGGCGAAGGGGAACTCGGACGAGCATCAGAAGACATCTTTCCTCAGGTAATTGAATGTAGATCTCAATCGGCGCCAGAGTGAAAGAGGGGGTGCGGCCTTGTGCAGGGGCATTTATAGAGGAAGGTGGCTGGTGATTGGAGCAAATTATTTTGATCTCTCTGGCGTGTGACCTGGGGGTCACGTGATATCCCACTAGCGAAGTCCTAAGGGACGTAGCACCATGACGTAGAACCAACACGGAGAAGTGGGAGAGACTGTTTTCAAAGCAATATCTGGAACCATCGACTGATGAAGTTTGGTATTTTACTGAAGATTGTTGACAAGTTTTATGAAAGATCTGAACATGTTTTATGAGTTTTATGAGTTTTTGAAGTATTCCGAGTTCTGAGATTTTTGAAGTACAGAGTGAAGTACCGAGTTTAAGTATTGAGTTATGATATTTTGTTGCTGTTTATCGATCCTGATGGTCACACGAGAATGTGTGACCAGAGGGGGGGGAATGTGAGATTTCATAACACTTTTAAGCAACTTTTGTTAAAGTTAAACTCATCATTCTATCAATGTGCAGAAGCCTGTACTTTTCCTTTGTTTTGTCTATCTGAAGGCCAAGCTACATGGCACTGTGGCAGCTGCTGATTGGAGGTCTCCATGCCTCTGCTCTGTATAATACACTTGCATTCTGTTGTTCGTGCTGTCTCTACCATCGACAATAAAACATGTCTTCTGTCTGAATTAAAGACGCGATCCCAGACTTTGTCATCTTCTTCAGTAGCATAATGCCCCTTAAAGCTAAAGATAAAGGTTTCTACTAGTTTTTTTGGTGGGTTATTTTTTTCAAGCATTGAGTTGTGCTACACACTCATAGTCACTTGGTTTAGTGAGCTCTCATTCCTAATGTTTTGTAACCTGTAGTGCAACATCTCTTAACCTGAGTATGTGTAAAATGCATTTGAGCAAGAGGTTTCAAAACAGTTGAGGAAAATAACAGCTCTGCATTTCATGGAGATCATTTTCATTTGACTTATCTAACCAAATCTAATTTGTTGACTAATTAATGTAAACATTAGGGACGCTCCCTAAAAAGCGCTTTACAAAGCCAGAGCAGACTTCTGAATGATAATATAACTTGATATGATGCTGACGTACCTTCTGAGCGCTGTCCGTGTGCTCGCCTGCAGAGGACCTCTGTGGAGTGACTTCTTTAAGAGACAAAAGTCCCAGAAAAGTCGAAGGTTTTCCGCGCCCATATTTCAGATACAAGAACAGAGCCATTAATAATAATGTTATTACTATTAACTCTCCATGAAGAAAAGCTAACACTGTGTCAGACTTCTTATACAGATATGTAAAGCTGGCGATACCAAGAAAAGTCCACATGTTATAAATAAGAGGGTGAACAATTAGATAATTAAAATACTATTATAATTAAAATAGAATCATCAAATTATGTGTGTGGCTGATCCTCTAAAAGAGTGTGCGCGAATAGTCAAAGATGCTTCATAATTTATGATAATGACAAGCGCGGATGAAACGGCGTTTGGTGTCCTCTAGTCCCTCCTCTTTGGGGCTGAACCCACCAATCAGGAGCGACACAGCAGTGAGCAGAGCTCACGCTATGTCCTGGTTGGACAGTGGAACAAGCGTTGGGTCTCTCTGCCGTTTCTGATTGGACAAAGTGCGGGCAGGCAGGTAGTCTGATCTGATGTCAGTGCAAAGGTTCAGAATCCACTGGATCGAGGAGGCTTCATAAGGAAACTATAGAGACATTACATGTTGCATGACTAAACTTTATTTCAGGGTAATCAGCAGACAAATATTAAAGATACAATGGCTTAAATCATGGTACATTGTTGCATTAAAACAGAAAACATAGATAAGGCCTGGTAACAACAACCCACACCATGGAGCCATGTCACACACTGTATAAGTGCATTCTTATGTAAACTATGAGTGCTCAATGTTACAACTTCCCCATAGTCAAAAACAGCCTCCTAAATATGAATCACTTAGATGTAATGATTGAAGATGGATTCAAATTTCTCTTGTTTTCCTGATGTAGCCTTTGGTTCTCCATTCTTTTTTATGTAGTTCTGAAAGAAATAATGCAATAGGTCAAAATAAATATACTATCAATTATAAAGACAACACCACTACATGATCACTACTCGCACTACCTCCAAATCCTCTAATGTGGCAGAACCCTCGTCGACTTTCGCCCCAAGTCCATGGCTGTAGCTTTTGTATCGTTCCTGAGTTCACAAAAACACACTCTCAATGACAGGTCAGGTTTTGGCCCGAGCAAACACTTACCTCGACCAGGTCTGGAAGAAGTCTGTCCTGAACCACACGGACAGCATTTCTGAGTCCTCTTGCAAAAGCATCCATGGCCCCGATGTGAGCGATAAATAAGTCTTCTGGGTCTGCGGATTCTCTGCGTACCTTAGCATCAAAGTTTAGGCCACCTGGCTGAATCCCACCTTGATCAATGATGGTCTGAATGATGGAACATATTTAGACTGAAGACAATATTATGACACAAAATGACACACATTAGTTTGGCATTTTGGAAATCTTTTCAATATAATCATTCAGCTGAAGTAGTACAAATCCATAACGAATCCTCATAACTCACTCTAGTCACTTTATAGATGGATAAATAGATACTTTATTGATCCCTGTAGGAGAAATTCAGGTGTGCAGAAGTAGCAAAAATAAAAAAGAGAGAACCATGAAGACAAAGGAACACACCAGGCAGGTCCGAGATATTGTTGTGGAGAAGTTTAAAGCCGGATTTGGATATAAAAAGATTTCCCAAGCTTTAAACATCTCAAGGAGCACTGTGCAAGCAATTATATTGAAATGGATGGAGTATCAGACCACTGCAAATCTACCAAGACCCGGCCGTCTCTCAAAACTTTCATCTCAAACAAGGAGAAGACTGATCAGAGATGCATCCAAGAGGCCCATGATCACTCTGGATGAACTGCAGATAACTACAGCTGAGATGGGAGAGTCTGTCCATAGGACAACAATCAGTCGTGCACTGCACAAATCTAGCCTTTATGGAAGAGTGGCGAGAAGAAAGCCATTTCTCAAAGATATCCATAAAAAAGTCTCGTTTAAAGTTTGCCACAAGCCACCTGGGAGACACACCAAACATGTGGAAGAAGGTGCTCTGGTCAGATGAAACCAAAATCAAACTTTTTGGTCACAATACAAAACGATATGTTTGGCGTAAAAGCAACACAGCTCATCACCCTGAACACACCATCCCCACTGTCAAACATGGTGGTGGCAGCATCATGGTTTGGGCCTGCTTTTCTTCAGCAGGGACAGGGAAGATGGCAAAAATTGATGGGAAGATGGATGGAGCCAAATACAGGACCATTCTGGAAGAAAACCTGTTGGAGTCTGCAAAAGACCTGAGACTGGGACGGAGATTTATCTTCCAACAGGACAATGATCCAAAACATAAAGCCAACTCTACAATGGAATGGTTCACAAATAGACGTATCCAGGTGTTAGAATGGCCAAGTCATTCAGACGCTGCACTTTAAGTTGTATTGAGGTCAAATATCAACTGTACCTAAGAAAATAACTTACTTTCATAACTAGGGTGGTGTTTCTTATGTCCATTGGAAACTGGTCTGTGTCCCATCCCAGGTCAGGAGATCCCGTGTTCGCGTCCACTGAACCCAACATGCCAAAACTACAACACAAGAGCAGCTGATAACAAACAATCCACTGTACCTATAGACTGTTGTGTTTGCCTGTGCATACAACTGAAGGATTTTATCTCTATTTTATCCCCTTTGTGTGAATGTAATTTTTTTCATTTTTTAATTACCTGCGTGATTTTAATGTTTTTAATTACCTGTGCGATTTTGTGTTTTAAATGGTGTTTTGGTGTTTATTTTATGTGATGATTTGTGCCTTGTGTGGTGTGGACTGTGAAGCGCTTTGTGATTCCCTGTGTATGAAAAGGTACTATAGAGTGAATCTATCAAGTTTCTGAAGAGCAGAGAAAAATGAAAACTATAGAAACACAAATCAAACATGTCAAGTCAAAATAAAAACTTCAAATAATAGTGCTTCTGGGTCTTACGATGAGGCCATAATGATGTCATGTTCATAAGAGTGTCCAGCCAACGTGGTGTGGTTAGGCTCAATGTTCAGCTTGAAATCCTTCTCCAGACCATAATGCTTCAGGAAGGCAATGACACTCATGGCGTCTGTTGGAATGTACGCCCAATTTAAAAGAAATTCCATGATAAAAAAGTGAATTAAAAAATGTAATAATTCGTACCGTAGTCGTACTGATGTTTGCAGGGCTCTTTGGGTTTTGGTTCAATAAGAAACTGACATTTTAACCCAATCTTCTCCTTGTACTCTGGAAAAAAAATGAAAAACGAATTAACAGAACTGTCGGTTCCCGTTGTTTTTATTTTTACTTACGAACAGCCATTTTGAAGAAGTTTGCCATGTGCTTAAGCTCAGCTCCAACGTCTGTGTTGAGGATGGTGTGGAAACCCTCTCTTCCACCCCAAAACACTGGGAAAGCATATTCATAATTTATGTTTTGATTCTCTTTTTTCAGTTTTACTTGTGCATTTTAGCTTTTGCTTCTGTCAGTACTTTTGATATAGAATGTTCTAAGTCAGCCACTATCTTTGTGACATTTTGGTTTTGGTCTAGAGAGTTTTTAAAGGACAAACAGATGCACAAAAATATCAATTTACCAACTTCATCCACAGGTAAAAACTGTTAATGCGTTTTTAATGTTAATGGTTTTTTATAGCGCATTTTACCTCTCATTATTCATTCACTCCATACACTGTGGTGATACATTACTGCAGTAGCCACAGCTGCCCTGGGGCACACTGACAAAAGCGAGGCAACCAGTATGTGCCATTGACCTCTCCGAACACCACCAACCATTCACCCACACACCAGACTCATTCCAAGCAATGTGGGTGAAGTGTCTTGCCTAAGGACACAACGACAGATTGGCACTTTACAGCCGCCTCACTGTGGCTCCTGGTGTTCTGAGAGGTCTCCCATCACTGTACTAACCAAGCCCTGCCGTGCATAGCTTCAGAGGATTGACAGTATCTGACTTTCACATGCAGGTATGGCCATGTTGTGATGTTGTGTGAAGATACCAAAGTTCTCGGCTCCCAGCTTCTTGGCGATATCCAGGCCCTTCTTCACCTGTGCTCCAGCATACGCCAGCACGTGACAGTCAGGGTTAGTGGCCGCACCATTCATGTACCTGTGAAGTCCAACGGATGGAAAAATAATTCATTTGACTTTTATGTTTTATAATCCAATTCATAATTACATGTTTGTTTTTTTTAACCTCTGATCACTGTTTATTGTCTTAATTGTCTCTTTATTAATTTGTATTTTGATGAAGCTGCTTTTGTGTATGTATAAATGTATGTACTGTGAATTGTTGTTGTTGTTGTAGCTTCAAACAGGAGCAATGCATGATCTGTCAAAAGGAGTGACAGGCGACTGATTGGACTGACCGTGCGTGCGCAAAAAGGTTACAGGTGACCCACAGCACTTTGACTCCAGTCTGATTTTGCAGCTGCAGAGCCACATCTGTCATTTCATCCAGATTTCTGTTTGACTCTTCCAAAGTGCTGCCTTCAGGAGCCATGTCTCTGTAAGATAAACATTACTTCAGCAAAATACTAATACCAATACTAATACTAATGCTAATACTGATACTGGAGAATGTATGCTGCAGTAATCACAATCTGAGGCTTACCTGTCATGAAACGTGTAATATTTCACCTGTAAGAAACACAGCATTTAATTAGTGTTCGTCCGTTGTGTTTGGTGCGTTAAAAAATATGTTCTAACTGCTTTAAATCTCATATTTGTACCCACACCAAGTTTAGTGAAGAACTCAAAAGCTGCTCTGATGCGCTTTTTGGACGCTTCCATCGGAGAGCCTTCATTCCAGGATCTGTGAAGAGTTGGGAAGCCAAAAGGATCTGCACCTGGGATTGAGATTAAGATTAAAATATCCTTTTATTTGTCCCTTGGTGGAAAAAGTCTGTGTTGTATCACAGAGTCTTTTCTCTTAATAAATAAGTAAGAAAGTTTTTAACAATAAGCACATATCAGGTATTCACTTGTCTACATCTATAGATACATCTGTAATACTTAATAATGAAGTGGTAAGTCATGAGCTCTGAGGGTTTTAATATTCAGAGATGAAACTACTGTACATGTTAGCAGCATGATGTAGTCCCGTATTGCACATTCTGATTACACATATTTTTTTCAAGAATTAAGATGAAAAGACATCCACTTGGACAGGAAAGTACACAGATCACTAAGCTATTTGTAAATGTTGATTTTAAGAATGAAACACGTGAAATGGTGAGTAGTGCAGTTAGTACCAGTGCCACAGAAGGAATGCCAATAACAGACAGAAAACCTCAGCCAGTCCTCCATCCTTTTCCCCATCAGCACCTGCGCACAACACACAGTCACGTGACCAAACAACTATACACCATGGATCTATTGTTTACACACACACTACACATTGTTATGTTTCACGCCCACCTCCTCGGCATTGTAGTGTTTGAAGCACAGGACGTCTGCAGCACCAGCTCCAGGCACGTATGAGATCTTAGAGATGCCTAACAACAAATATATCACAATGTTAGGTCTTCAAAGGAAACAGCTCTAGCTCTATGCAGCGTGGATTCTTCACAAAAACGAGATACACCCGTGATCCACGAAACGTCAAAACACGTTCGTTCAGGAGCTTTGTTGAATAAATGATGAAAACAACCACTACAGGAAGAGTTGTGCAGAAACGTGGTACAACTTACCGGTAAAGAATTCCTCTTGTAAAGACATTTCACAGCAGATTGTTCGACACGTTTGTCCACGTCCACATTATAAGCTGGTTCGGGTCTTGATAATACCAAGATAAGTTGATATAATGCAATTCTACTCGTACTACTGTCTATGGTGTCTTCTTGTAAAATATGTGTAAACAAATGTGAAACCAAGGGATCAAGAAACGTGTTTATTCATTTATGTGGTGCTTGTAAAATGTGACCAATAAAACAAAGTACATACGCTTAGGTACAGACTGATCACCCATAATACTAGAGAACATAATCTTCAGGTACCTTTGGTCTACAGAACGCTGTCAAAAACAAACAGAAAAAGCGCTATGTGCAGTATATGTGTGCAATGAAGCTTGTATCTTACAACAGTGCATGAATGCTGCTACTTGTATTTTTTCTCACAAGGTTTTGCATTGTTGAGTGTTACATGTGGTTATTTTTAAGAGTTCAAACTTTAGGTGTAAAAATGGGTCCATGGACCAGCGGAGTGAGGCACTTTAAAAGCTCCTGTGAAGTTTGGCACATGATAGACGCACACCTGGGTGTAAAGCCGTTTACACAGGTAAAAAAGAATAACATTACAATCACCCGGCAAGTATTGATATAAAGAAAGAAACTGTAAAGCACTCTTTAATCTGCGCATTTCTATGGGAGTCCATGTGGCCCCTCTAGTCCTCTCAGCCGAGTGTATTGACTGGCCACAGGTTTTTTTTCTTCAGAGACTCAGGAAACTGCAGAATCCCATCAGAGCGGAGTTTTCGAACTTTGGAGCCCGAAAAACATATTTACCCGTTTTTACACTTTGTTTTAGATGAATAACCCTCATGTATTTAGAACGACCTATGACTAAGTGTTAATATATCATCAATTATTTCTCAGTGGTTGCGATGTTATGCAAAAGCATTATTGGTTTGTGTGGTTCACCAGAAAATACAGATGAAATCCATTCTTTGAGTATTATGTACAAATGTTACTGTTGTATAAGCCCTTAATTGCATTAGCGTCCATTTGTTTGTCACAGATAAGGCTCAAGTATGTTTTCCACCATGTAGCCCTTTGAACAATTATATCCATGATGGGAAAAGTGCGAAAAATCCAAAGAAAAAAAATACAAAACAGTTGTTTTCCTCATCAAAAATTGCATATTAGTGTTTTCGGCTTTAGCCTTATCTTCTCTTATCTGTTGTTTGGTTTATGGGAATGAAACATTAAACAGAGCCAGTTTGTGAGATTTCAGGCCAAGGCCAATGACTTCAGTGAATGAGAATGTAGATTTTTACATTTTCAATACTTAGGTAAAGCTAAATGCTCTTTTATACTGGCTCCAAACTAAAAGAGCTGCAGTGAGTTGGCATCAAAGGGGTAAAGGTTCTGTACCCTCAGGGTCTGAAGCAGAAAACCCCTTAAAGTCTGTAATGAATCTATCATGGAGAGCATGTAGTACGATTGTTCCCAGGATCTAGAATTTTCGGCTACAGACCTCCAGCGACATAACTGCAGTACCATACAGCTATCAAGGCAACCTCCATCTTTTCCATATAGTGAGATTATGATCCATTTCTGCAATAGTCTCCTTTCTATACACATTTGAACTCATCTAGGTGCATCTTAAGCCATTTGCAAAGTCTGTGTAAATCTAGCTTGACCGACTGGGGTTGAAGCAACAAAAAGGCAGCAATAGTGATCCCAAAACAAGGCCATGAATGAGAGGCTGCTATGATGTGGAGGGCTCCGATGTGGAGATGTCCTTCTTCTTCTTCTTCTTCTTCTTGGCTTTTGTCTTTCCGCGGCACGGTTTGCTCACGCAGCACAGGATGCATGGAGAGGCAAGCACCAGGAGAGGAGAAGTCACCATCACTACAATGCAGATGCCCACCAGGATGCCCACCACCTGCACAGAAAACATAGATCCTTATTCTGCATTGTGTTCACAACTTCATTATATAGCACCATAGACGAGTGTTTCCCAACTGGGGGTGACTGTCGATTAGTTGGTTGATTAATATTCGTTTGTAGTTAGTATATTAGTACTTTAGATCCTGATATGGGATTTTGTAGAAGTTTGACCAAAACAAAGCTAAAGTCTTTTCTTTGCAGTCATTATAGTCATTATCTGAATAATAAAACCTCCTCTCAGCATGTTTAAGGGTATGTAAGGTTAAAAAACAACTAATCAAAAACTAAAAGCAATAATAACAAAAAATCCAGATCCCTGCATAGATATTTGGCGCTTAAAAAGGGCTAAAACTTGTAATCATTGATTGTAAGAAGTTAGTATGGGTTACTATGACCTGTTATACATCATTTTAAAGCCATGGCATTGATGTCAAAATAACAACACTTGCCGTCTGCAATAACAATCCTTTCTTACTTTTGCTCCCAGTTTGGTTCAATCCTAGCATGAACTATTTTTTTTATTTAAAGCTCAAGTTTCCCCTAAAATAAAAATATGAAAAAAACACCCTGTACTGTATCTGTTTGTATAATATCAAATAAAAAGTGTGCTGCAGTTTTGAAAGGTATTTGTCACAGGACAGGAAATGTCATTTGCATAAGTAGGTCATGAGGGTGCGTCTGCTGGCATGTGCCGTCTTAGTTTTGTTACCAGGGACAGAGGCTGAGAGAGTTCACTGAGAGACAAAATCATCTAAAAATATATACTTGACCCATGTCCAACGTCAGCGGTCGTATTATTGGATTGTTGTTGCAGAGAACACAAGACAAAACTATCACAGTTAGAATCTGTTTTAACCAGTTGAGAAAGAAGTACCAGAAGTAACCCCAAAAAAACCCCAGCAGCTAAATATAACTTGGTCTGTGCGATGGGGAAATTATTATTCTATTCTATTATTTTTATTCTTTTAGTCTATCACATCAAAATTCCTTGGCAACATTCAAACACAGGCTTTCTGTATTCTCTATGAGCAGAGTCCTTGAAGCCGAAACTCCCTTTTGGTCAATTTGAATTATGTGTTTTAATAATAACAGCTGGTGATTGTGTCTCTTCCTTGCCCTCTCTGATTCCACCTTCTTCTCTTCCTGCACGCTGTACCCCCCTGTCAACTTTCTCTCTCTTTCCCTATGAACTATATTAGCGGGAATCTCAGGTATGAATGAGGCAGAAAGAGACAAGACAAGCTTCCTGGACTGTGTCGTGCCTTTCTAACTTATAACACCAAAGTATAACATTTTGTTTGTTCTTCACCATTCTTCAATAAATCGCACAAAAGCTTTGCTGGTTCTCTTGGATCCATTCATTGAAGTACACATTTCCACTACAATGGCTGCCCTAAATTCAATATACTGTATGTGGTTGACACTGTGTAGTTTTGCCCAATTTGATCGCATACAAACGCTATTACTAGGAAAGAATGTGAGATTAGTTGGATTACTTGGTGTAATTCCTGAAAAGGGGAAGCTTCTGTGCACAGCAACAAAACACACCGCTTATGTCACTGCTGTTGTTTGGTAAAGATCGCTTCTTTATAAACAAGAGGGAGCAGATGTTTTTAATCAAGTCAAATGCCTCAAAGGACATTTTATTGCACACTGTTATGTCAATAACATTTTGTTCTGGAGCTCTGATTAAATACAATGCAGGAGTTGTCAGTCACAGAGTTTAGAGTAGGGCTAGTTTTAAGTTGATTGATTAATTGCAACTAATCCATTTTTATTGAATAGTTGTAATGGATTTGTTTTTTTTTTACCTTACAAAGACTTAAAGACGCTGAGAAGAGGTTTCATGACTGACTCAGATCTCTCTTGAGTGGCCGCAGAATGATATGTGTTTACAAAGTATTTTTAATCCAACAACCCTTTCACCTTTATGAAGATGTTCTCCAGAGGCTTCACTATTCACGAAACAATCAGGATCTAAACAACTCATTGACTAATCGGAATAAGAATTGTTGACTGTTAATTACAGCTGTAGTTCCGAGAAAACACGGACACTCATCGCAGTTGTAGTGGATACTGGAGTGTGACCGATGTTATTATGAGCTCATATCGAATCTGACTTTATCTAATTATCCTGCCCTATATGAATATAACTTTACACAATATAGAGAGAGATATTATACAAGATTGATGTTTAGAAACATAGCAGCTACTTATATTGTATATTTTGTGTGCTCCCTCTACTGTCTTGCTTGTGCGCTGCAACATTGTAATTTCCCCACTGTGGAACGAATAAAGGATGTCTTATCTTAATCTGATATTATTGTCCACCATAAAAGCCAAAAGTTAGAATGAGCGCCCCACCTGTGTCCGGTTCCATATCACAGACGCCCGAGTGTGACCCAGTTTGTTTCTGCAGGGGCCCTTGTCATAGTGCCTCAAGAAGATATCCCCCTGCAATGACAACACAAGTGTAATTATGCCTCAAATGTAGGCTTTCATAATAACAACAGAAACTGCCCACATGACCTAGATCTTGATTTTTGATTTTGGGTCTGAATGGCTGCTAATAATGACCTTACGGGACAACAAAACCAATAATAAGAAACATGGAGGAAAACTCCAATAAATGCTGGAGTAATAATTTCTGTATCTAATTTCTGTTGTAAATCCTGTTAAAATTCCTCTACGCTATATGACGAAAATAAGTTGATAAGAGTCTGAAGATTTAGAGAGAGCACACAAACATTTCAGTTTTAGCTGGGGTGCCTGTTTATTTTTTTATTCATAAATATTACATGCATGTAATCTTGTGCATACTTGTAAGGTCAGCACTAGATCATATACGGAATCGGGACGGAAGCGGAAGTAAATACAACAAACTACCTATTCATGCCTAAACTTAACCAGCCATTCCCATAAAATAACCCCAACCCACCCTTAACCCTAACCTTAACCATCTTACTCAGACGCCTAAAACTTAACCAGTCACCACTTAAGGACTTATTTGTCTAAAACTAATTCGAAAGTAGGATTGTTACTTCCGGTTTCGTCCCAATTCCGTATATGATCTAGTGCCGACCATACTGGTAAGAAAGAGCCCTGAGTCACTATTTGATGCTTTGGGCTGAGAGCTGATTGGATGAGTGAGGGTAGTTCTCTCCGTTTCAGTTTTCTGACTGATATTGACCAAATGTACGCAAAAAAACTAGTGACGGAACAGAAATGTTTTTACGGCGCGGAGCTAGTTATTACATATACAGTATCATGTGAGTTTGAATGTTAGGTACCCCAGCTTTAAAGTTATTATCCTGCCCTATATGTACCGTATATAACTCCGCACTACATTATTTTTGAAAGACTGGTATTGAAGCATTTTCAGTATTTACAGCTATGTTAAGAAAAATAGCTACTACTTATTTTGTGTGTATTTTTGTGTGCTCCCTGTGTGCTCTTACTACTGCGCTGCAACATTGAAATTTCCCCACTGTGGGACAAATAAAGGATCTCTTAGCTTATCCTTTTCTCATCCTAAAAAAGGAACCTACTTGTAATAAGATCCAAATATGGCTGCACTTGAAATAGGGCTGAATCTACATAAAATCTTCATGTACAAAATCAAACTAACACATTTTTTATTTCAAATCTAAAAATCTGTAAATCCATAAAGGATGAATAATGTGATCACTGGAAAGCCCATCTCCTGACACTCACATCCAGGGTCTGCAGACAGTACCAGCAGAAAGTATGTTTGCAGCTTTTGCAGAGCATCTGAGCACAGCCCTGGTTCCTCTCGATGTAGACTCCACACATGGGACACTGTTTGATGGCCTCCTCACCGTCAGAGTGGCTACGGGACCAGAGAAAACTCAATTACAGTGAGCCCTTTGCGTAAACAGTAGTGCCGATGCCTGGACAGTTCACCAGCAACGTGTAAAAGCGTTATTTTTAGCTGAAGGTCAAAGCTAATTTTGAACTGGGCTACATGAGGGGACAGGCAGATATTCTTGAATTACAATGCACGGTTTAATAAGGAACTGATGTGCAAGATAGTGTGTATTAATGAGGAGCATTGATCAGTTAAAAATACATTAATATGAGGCACTTAGTCCTCCATTTAGCCCTGGTTGTGTCTGGTCTGAATACTTAAATAGAACTGTCTTGGTTTGATTATGTTCTGCTCACACACAGTTTAGACCTGCTATCCACTGTATTTTATGGATTTTTTTGGATTGTCAACATGGGAGAAAATGAGTGTTATGTAAACTGATGATTAAAACAAGGTCAGTGTATTGTGAGCACGACAGATACGGTACAATCAAATATTGACCTAGTTGTAATGTCTACATCAGCTACATATAAGTAATCATAATTAACTGGAAATATTTCTTCAGGCTACTTCACGCTTGCCAGACCAGCAAAGCTCTTCTATATGTTAAGTTTTAGCTTGTCAAAGAACCCCCAATTCCACTAATTCACAGCTAACAGAAGATATAGCATCTGCTGTAAGAGGCTTGAAAACTACAATGCTACCCACTTTAGATCCAATACAAACATGGAATGAGGAAAAATATGGCAAAGAGGCGCAGGGATGGGAATGATTTTGTGTTAAAGCCAACGCACACTCGCCTGGTAATACCCATGCTGCTGTGTGCACTAATGTAACTTTGAACTGAAAATATTCACTGGTGATATATAGTCTGGTGTATACAGCTAAACCAGCTGTATCCAGTTGCCGACATTTTTTTATTATCATTATTAAAATGAAATCCCTATCCAAGCTTTGACCAGCGAAGAAAATGTTAGCATGTTTACCTTTTCACATACAAACATCTCAACACTGTTCCTCCCAAAACACAAACTAAAGTTTCTGCCTGGATGAATAGAAGTTTTTATAAACTGGGTGTGCACAGAACCCTGATTTTAGGAGAAAATTACTAATAATGCATGTATAAATAAAAGCTTTACTTGAGGAAATTACAGTAAATGTCACTATTTGTATTCTAGGTTCCCTAGGTTCTCCGCTTCCTTGACTGTGCCTGAATATAATATACTTTTAATTATAAAACGGACAAAGCAGCAGCACAAAAGTCTAAAAAAACACTCACAAGGATAAAATATCAGACAAATAATCCTTGAGAGTTTTGTGTCTTTCCAGCTTTAATGAGTTTCATTTTGAATCACATAACACCATAGATTGTCCATAATTGTTAATGCTGTCTTCCTGCCATCACAATCCCATATACAGCACACCCAAAATGTAGCTTAACACACACACACACACACACACACAAATGCATACACAGACACGCAGGGTAAAGTTTGCTATCACATACTGATGCTGTGAAATGGTACATAGGACATGAATGTGAAAGAATATTAAATTGGCTTCTCCTGTCCAAACAGGAAGTTTTCTTGTCTGACCTGCTTTCCTTTGCAGCCGGCGCAGACATGATGGGCTGCTGCTCAGAACAGGAGTGTTTGTCGTCCCACGTCTCTCGGCAACCCGAGCAGAAGAGTGTGTGGCAGGTGGGACAAGACACCGGGGTGGGCCGCCCCTCTGCAGAGGACTGCACACTGCACACAGACTGACATGCCAGCACAGGGCACCAGACTCTGCTGGGGTCCAACTTCACCTCTGCACAAGAAAACCATCAGTGAACAAATATCTCAAGTACGAGTATCTCAAGTACAAAAGTAACATACTCGGACTGTCCCTTGCATCAGATAAACCTACCTCGCTCAAATCTTAGTCTTTGATAGAGCTTGGACTGAGTCTCTCCGGCTAATGTGACAATCTGGAAAACATACACAGAACTATTTTTTATTTATTGTCTTATTAATATACAGGTATTAAATGTAATTATTGAAGGTACTATTTCATGTTTTTGATGTTTTTAATGTATGAACTTATTAGTTAGGTTCTATGCAGTTATAGCAGATAGCAGGTGCATGGAGGCATATACACAAACATGAATAAACTAACTTTAAATAACTTGGAAGTTTCCTTAAGTTTGCACAACATCAGTGAGATTCTCAAGTTTTGTAAGAGAGTTTCCTCATTTAACTTTCAGGTCACATGCTTTATTAACAAGTGAACCAAACACGAGAAGGAATATACCAAAGCAAATTGTTTTAAAATGTTGCAGGGTCATAGTGAGACAAATCATTTATAATTCTGCCCAATATTACACTTAATAACTAACTCTGAAGTTCGAGAGTCAGAGCACGTAAAGAGAAAGCAGGTTTTCCAATTTTGTACAGCAACAATTATGGGCTTTTTTCATGACATTATCTATACATCTATATTTTCATCTATCCTTTCTGGACCTTTCTGATATCGCATAAAACTTTGAAGAATTTCCTTAACAATCATAAAGGGATGCTTGAATTACCAGTGAATAAAAACAAAAGTGTTAAGCCCACACATCTGTTCTACACAGTGACAGCAGGATGATGTCTTGCATCATTTAGGGTAAAAACACTGGAAGGAGTATCCCAAAAATGTGGTTGTTTTAAAAAAAATATTTCTTGGCCAAGGCCAACTGCTTTGGTGAGTACAGAACATATCTACTGAGTTAAACATTCCATTTAATCAATAATCAATAGTCCCCAAAAGCTTTAGTTTTTAAGCTGAAATACAACAGATTCAGTCTGTGTGTATTGTACAGCAGCGACACCATAATGCTCCGTGACTTTATGACAGACTGAAGGTGGTGTTTTTTGTGGAGCTGCTTTACATTTGACCCAGTTTAAAGCAGGACATACCTCAGAGTCCAGGAGCATGCCTGTCTTTTGGCAACTCATATCGGGGCAGGTGATGGGCGCCCCTCCACCCTCAGAAATGGCCAGCTTCACATACTGCTGCAAGCACTGCACACACAAAATAATAATTCAGATTTTAAACTGTCTTGTAAAAAAGAAAACTGAAAACCGATAGTGAAAACATAAATCCTGTTACCATAAAACATTTAATGATTAAACGGTCCATATAAAAGTAAATGGGAATTGTGTGAGAAGTTAAAATATAGGGCTATATTAGTACGATTATCTGCCTTTTATTTAAGAAACAGAAAGTGAGACAATCAATAGTATATGTGTACCTCACATATAGTCATGTACAGAAAACATATTATGTAATACTTTACTAAGAGTGATAGAAGAGGAAGGGTGACTGGGACTGCCCTCCAATATTCAATTGTTTGTCAAATTTTGCTTCTATTGGTTGAGAAAGAAAACATAAAAAAAAATAAAACAAAATGACCCAATATTGACTTGTTTACATGTTTAACTTGTGTCTGGGGACAGCACAGAAAAAAAGTGGAGATGAACGTAAAATCTAAACCTTACATGGCTCCTTCCTTTCTTCATGCAAATCGTGCTATAGTGTAGTTATCAGCCAAAACATGTTGCACAGTTTTCTGACTTAATGAATCAAGATAAAGTTATTACTAAAGTCACCAAAAGAAAATATTGATACATAAAATCATATCCCAGCAGTATTGACATTTGAGGGCCGTGTAACGCTCTGTACTCACTGCGGTGCAGAAGATGCAGTTGCAGTGCAGCAGTTCCCTGGTGGCGGCTGAGGGCTGCTCCATGAGGCACAGTTTGCAGAGGACATCACGAGCGCTCTGCTCCGGCCTCACGCTCACAGTCGAGGAGGGACTCGCCGTGGTCATGGTGGAGTGAAGCTTTAGTTCAGGAGGATTATCAGCCAAAGACGTTCTACAGGAAAGGAGGAAAATGATTTTAACATTCTAAATGTATTCAAAATGTTAAGATCAATCCATTCTTCATTGTTTTTGCCTGGAATAGGTTGTGTTAATGTGACATCACAACATCTCAAAGAGCATATAAAGAATTAAAGTGACTTCTAGTATCAGAATAATATCAGAATAATATGGCGTTTTGCTAATCTACATAATGATCTGGGAAAACTTTTGGACACTTCTTTGGATAAACTGAAACTTTACAAAATGAATAACACCTTTTGAGACAATGAAAAGGAATATCTTGCCATAAAACTCCACAATAAGACCCATCTTAGTGAGGGAAAAATGCAATAAATATTTGTAATGTATCTTTTAAAAAAGATAACTGTCTGTGAAACCTTCCTGTAAAGACAATATGACTCCCATGAGGTGAGAGACCCTCCAGCCTCTCAGGAGGAGGTTCAAATCCAACATCATGGCATTCATAGTGATTCCATTGAATCAGAAACAAACTTACACTTTTCATCTGAAGTTGATACAATAATGAATTTTGGATTGAGCTGTGATTGTGAAATTGAATCATCCACTTGTCAAACATAACCGCTGTTTCTGGTAACTGCTGCACTCAGGTGACCTCACATGCTTATTTCCTCCTGACTGGAACAATGGTTTCATCAAGACGTCAGCTTTCAGTCAAATTAAAAAAAACTAGAACAAATGGAATAATTAGGCTGTAGTCGACTAAATAAAGTCTGGGTCGGTGGTCGAATAAAGGGACTCTCGACTCTGTGCAAAACCACTAAGACTTGAAAACAATGATTCTATTATTAATAAAGGAATTTAATCTGGAGAATCAAGTTCAGTGAAGTTATACTTTATTGTCCCTATAGGGACATTTGTCCTTTACATTTGACCCATCCTTCATTGACACCAGGGCCTCTGTCAGGAGCAGTGGTTGCAACAGTACATGCCTGCATGGAGACCCATCCCCAGATGTTGATGTTTAGTTTGGTCAGGACCAGAGCCCTATTGTACATGTTTTTTACAAGTACGGGAAATCCGAGCACCCGGAGGAAGCCCATGCAGACACAGGGAGAACATGCAAACTCCACTCAGGCCCGGTCTGAAGGTGATATGTAACGCAGGAGAAGCAAAAGTGCCTGAGCTGTAAATTTTTCAAAGTCAAAACTAAACACCAAATATTTAGTTAGTTTTCTCCAAGCCTTCTTGTTTGACAGTTTTTCTATATAAATCCTTTTGTCAAGAACATTTTGATAGATAAGTTTGTGTATCTTAATAGATATGTTATAGGGTTTCTTGATTAAAAATACTTAAATTCAGTCTGAAATTACTACAGAACTCTGTCAGTCACAGAACCTCTTCTCAGCATGTTTAAGTATGTGAAGAGGAACTATGCATGTTTATGATTAATCAAATAACTTGATACAGCCCTAGGTAATATGAGCATTAGATAGCTATATGAATGTCTGAGTCTGATTCCCAACAGCAACAACACATCAGTTAAGTGAAACACATAACCCAAACCACACTTAAAAGCACTAAAACCGACCTTATTTGTTTGTTGACCTGCAGGAAACTTCACGCCAATGCAATAATTCTTGAAATCTATGCTGTGGATTCATAGTGACGCAAATCAGAGACAGAGGGTCGTGTGTCTTTCAGTGCACATTGAAATTTCTGCAGAGTCACAGTGTGATCTGTGATCCAATGCAATTTTCTCCCTCAGTCTGGGGCAAAGGAATACAGCCGCAGTCAGCAGGCCACGGCACAAGCGTAGGATAGAGCATCAGGAAATGACTGGTTTGAAGTTGTGGTTCTCCAGAGTAAGGACTTAATAATACTGCAGGCATATGAAGGACTCCTACACATGGAGCACAAATGGTGTTTTTTTAATGGATAACACCATTACTCTTGTTAGATATTTTGTAAATGTTGCCAGGATTTTTAGGAGGGATTTTACCATTTTTATTTAAAGTATTTTCCTTGTGCATAGTCTATCACCTGCTTATCTCCTGAAAAGGGTATAGCTTCCCTCTAATAACCCATTGTACCCCAGTGCAAGCAGCAAGAGAATTCTAGAACACCTTGTGACCTTTAACAACTGTAAAAAATAATTTAAAAAAAACACTTTTAGTTTGTAGTAAATGTCATTGCTAAGTATAGATGGGACATGAGTAAAAGAGTAAACATATTAAAACTACACTACCCCAATGAAGAGTTTCTGCTACATAACAGAAGTCCATCTGTGTTGACAGATATATATATATAGAAGTGTTATTACTACTATGTAATAATTTGCAACATATTTTTTTCAAGAATTTAGTCATTCATTCTTTCTAAATTACGATTCGTACAACAGATATTTTTTTCCTAATTAAAACAAATATCTAGCTAAAAAGAACGAGTTGTGGTGTAAATTAATTCTGGAATAGCGCAAAAAATCTGAGAAATCTGCGCACAAGGTTCTCAGTACAGGCTTATTTTACATTAGGTCTGACAGGCTGCATCATTGGAGATTCTGCTTGTTTCCCCTTTTCTGTGTTTCCATATCATAAACTGCATATAGATGTGCCAGAGAATGGGATCTATTGTGTCTCACCTTGTGTGCATTCACCGCTGCCTGTCTGCGGGAGAAAGGGGGAAGACCCAGGTCCACGTCCAAATGCGCATTGCACTCGTGGTCGTTGAGAATGCTGTCAGTCCGAATGCATCGATGGTCGTTCCCAGGTCTGCAAAGATGAGCCTAAATCCTGGACAAGGACATGTTAAAACTGTCTTCTGTCTTCTGTCCGCAGCTCAGCGTCTGGGTCTGGACCATAGACTGAAGAGTCCCAGCCCATGTCCCTGCCCTGCTTGTTGTTTCCAATGATCCAGGAAGTGGCCCCGCTCACAACGACCCCTATCGGGCCTCAGGGGTATTACAGCTGTCTCCTGTCTTACAACAACACTAGTGAGAGAGAGTTACTGAACCTTATTGCATTCACCTGAAAAAAAAGTGAGAACTTTTAAGTTTGACTTCTTGTGTGTATATATATATATATATATATATATATATATATATATATATATATATATATATATATATATATATATATATATATATATATATATATATATATATATATATACATATACATACTGTATAATATACACACCCAGTTTCCACTCACTCCAGCAAGATGAGCCACAATCATTATGCTTCATCTCTACACAGTACAATCTAGAGCACAAATCACATTCACCCCTTGTGCCTAACTCTGCCTTTATGTCTGTTTGTTTTTTTGTTTTAACTGCAAGCCAGAATGAAAGGAAATAGATTTCATGACGTCAAATTTCACTAGACCCATCAAGGAACACTACTGTGACTTTTTAATGTAAGTTAAAATTTTACTCAAGATAAATGTTTTGATTAGTAGGGAGGGCTGCAGACCTGGGGAACAGCTGTAATATGAAATGAACTGCACAAGCTCAAAGTGTGTGTTTTGTGGGAATCCCAAGCGCATGCACAGTCATGTTGCAGAGGAGGTTGGAACTCTTTTTTGCGTGTGCGTTCCCTTCAAAAAGTGACTTCCCTTCAGAGTTCACTCAGTTTACACTACACTATTTCCTGGACGGTTGCAGCTTATTCTTTTGGCCCATACATTCTTTTCTTGAGGTCCAAACACAAACAGGCACATGGACAAACCCTGCTTTAAAAAAGTGAAGAACCAACATGAGCACACAAAGGTAAGATTTAAATTATACCTGACTAATAAACATGTGTGAGTGGGCACTGGATTGTGTTTTTTAATACTGTACCATATTGGTTCAACAACTTTGACAATAAATACATGTTAAGTGATAATGGGTTTAATCCTATTATGTCCCTGCTAGAAATATATGAAAAAACATAGGCATTTAACAGCAGTTGTGTTATTGCAAACATTACTTGTTTTTGAAGAATTGTGTGCTTGATTCTTTATACTATTTTGATACAGTAATTTTTTTTATATATATTTATTCATTTCATGAAAACCACAAAACCACTACATCTTAACCAACGCACAACAAAAATAAATGTAATTGTCCTTAAGCTCCTTAAGCTTGAATTGAATTATCCCTGGTGCCTGGTTTGAAAAGTGTTAGGTTTTTAACTGCAGCAATACAGAACTTATTATTAATATACACATCCTATCATTACCCATGGACTTCTCACTGTTTCCCATATCTTGCAGGTCATCAGTCAAAAGGCCTTTACGACGTCCACATTGGTGCAGACTTTCCTCAAAGTGGTCAAGCAGAGTATTTGGAGTTCGTGTCAGCTGTTGTGCTGCTCGATAGACGATCTACAGTGGGACAGACGTGTCTTGTGTTCATGGTGTCTAGGTAACTTTTGAGTTGGCCTTGGCCTTTTCAGCGCTCTCAGGCACTGAAAATGTAAAAATATGTATTATTTTATGTTGGAATTATACAGTATTTGAAACTAAGGGTGTGTTCTCACTTGTTGGTCTGGTTTAACTGGACCCAGTCTGGTTCACTTGGGGAAAATGTCTCACAGATCTGTTTCATAACATGTAAGGCTTGGGTACCTAACAGTCACATATGTAATATTATCCATGCAATTAGTTCCTTGCTCTCCAAACAGTTCTATCACCAGTTTTCACACACGTTTTGTTTGGCCTCTGTAACATCTTTAGATTACATTACCCTTTTCAGACAGAGAAGTGAAAAATAGAGGACCACCCCAATCAGCCAATCAGCTCTCTTTCTAAGTATGAAAATTATGTTTTGTAATAATATTATTAATAATAATAATAATGCATCGGTTTTACATAGCGCTTTTTTGGACACTCAAAGACGCTTTACATGTCATTATTCATTATACACGGTGGTGATAAACTACTACTGTAGCCACAGCTGCCCTGGGGCACACTGACAGAAGCGAGGCAACCAGTATGTGCCATCGGCTCCTCCGACCACCACCAACTATTCACACACACACCAGACTCATTCTAGGCAATGGGGTGAAGTGTCTTTCCTAAGGACACAAAGGAAGTTTGGCACTTTACAGCCGCAGCCGCCCCACTGTGGCACCTGGTGTTCCCAGAAGTTACAGTAAGTGTCTTGCCAAGGACACAACGACAGCAGACAGTGGGAGTGGATGGTGAAGGTCGGGCTCAAACCCACGACCCTGTAATAAGATGAAGACATGCATGTTGTTATTTGTTCACAACATTTTATTTTTTCAGAAAATGTGAATTAATTGTTTAAAAAAAATAAAAGTTGGATACCCCAGCTTGAAGTGACCACTGGACTCATGTTCACTTGTTGCACTGAGCCAAAGCAATTTCCTAGTCTGTGACCTCCTGTTACTTACGTGGCAATAAAAATGATTCTGATTCTGATCTGATTGGCAATTTACAAACCACAACTGAAACATTTTTTTTTCCACAAATGAAGCAGAATTTGTACAATTAAAGTGAGAAAGTTTGAACCCACTATTATCTTATTTCCTCTCACTCAAGGTAAACACGGACAGGGCCACACAGGGAAACTGTGCACAACTGGTAAGTTTAATATCTAATATTTTTCAATATTTTTCATATTACCGTAATCCCGCTGGTCTGTTTGTTGTAATGTAACTTCTGCTTGTGGGATTTTGCATCAGTCTGGAAAAGTATACTTCCTTTTTTTAAACGCAAACTTTTATTTTCTCTTCTTCTTTTATCTGTGACATATAGCAGAAGCAGCAGCCTGGAATCCACCATCCAACATTTTGATTGTCAACATCAGCAACTCCACTCTGACTGAATGTGTCATTGGGAATGAGACCACTCTCCCCACTGTGACAGAAAAACAACCACTAAAGCAAAGAAATATTTGGGACTTACGTGAGTTGACTATTTTTCCAGTGAACTTCAACTATTCAACCTTGGACTAAGAAATTAAATGTTACATTAAAAAAGAGCCTAAATCAAAAACCTATAAAGATCGACCATTTTGGAAAATTCAGTCTGAAAGTTTGAAATTTTATTTTTATTTTTTGCGATGCATGTATGTCTAATACTTCGTCTTTTCTTCAACAGATTCAAGTAAATCTAGAGGCCCGCCAAGGATCCTGATTGACAACTCAAATCTCAGCTTTGTCATCTTTGGGGACAACAACTACATGCACGTGCAGCCGACTGAGGCAAGGGATGAGAGTGAGGAGGACCATGAAGAGGGCAGCTGCTCCGTCCAGGAGAAGAATGTTGTCTGAGCAACATTTAACAAAGAAAAAGTGCCATTTTTCAGGGAGACATTTCTCCAGAATTGCTTGATTATGCATGAGTCACTCTGGTGAGTGTGGATGGTCGGCCGGTGGTCAGCCTACTGGATTGGTCATTCTGACCAAAGTTTTGATCAGAATAATGTGCCGCTGTGACCAATCCATTTATTGGCTCTTGACAGATAACTAACAACTCAAGTCGTTAAAACAACAAACAAATGGTTAAAATTTAACCTATAGTATATCTTTTTAGAGTGTAATCTGAAACTAAGGAACCGTGCCGGATGGCCAGGTTTAATCTCTACGTTCACAAAATGGTAACCATTTGAAAGGATGTAATTCTCTCGACTAGCTACACAAACATGAAACTCCACATAAACGTTTTAATTATCAACACATTGTGGCTGTAACAATGACACGTTTTGGCCTATGGTCATGTTCTGTAACGCTTGTTTATAGTGTAAACAATAACTGTCTCAAAAACTTGAACTAAGAGGCAAATGTATCTACAGCTGGATCTGTCCCTACTATTTATATGTCTATTTATATTTATGTACTGTATATAAACACACACACACACACAGTGAAAAATTGTACAGAAATGTGAAAAAATAAATAAAACTGAAATAACATAAAAGGTGACTTGATATTATCAATTTTGCTTGGGGAGTCAGTGTTTCAGATTTATGAGACAGGCTCCCTCTGACAATGTTAAAATCCAGACTAAAGGCAGGTCTTTTGAGTAGTTTAGCTTGAACTGAACCTTTGGCAAGCTTTTTATGTTTGAATTTTAGTTTAAAAGTACAAAACAATTATTTAAAGCATGTTTATGACAACATTATTTCTTCTTCTTCTTTTTCCCTTCTTTAGATCCATCTTTTTTCTTGCCTTTCTTGTCTTCCTCTGTTTTATATATACCAAGACCTTTGCGGACCATACATCCACGCCAAAAAGCCTGAATCTGAGAAGTCATGGGAAACTTTTTGAGTGAATATTGAAAATCAGAACAGATTTCATGATACGTGAATCCAAAAATAACCTTGGTCGCAGCTGTAATCAGCTCGAGTTCTTTTCTCAGTTTCTCCTGCTCCTCCTTGTCCTCCTTTACAACTTGTTCCATGACTCTGAACTAGAACATAACACATGATTTATGCACAAAAATAATAAAATACAGATACTTTTGAAATGATGTGTTGGATCTTTATAGCTTTTTTCTTCACCTTCCTCTTCATTTCCATAAGTCGATCCAAGTTCAATGTGATTTTACATCGGACGTCGTTTAACTCTTTTGCCTTGTCCTGACGCATTATTTGTATTCGCTCCTTCCACATTTCCTTCTGTTGTTTCATCTCCTAGTTTTTGAAATACATCATAAAGAAAGTAGAAGCATTCCTGCACATGGCTAGCATAAGAATGATGACCTACGCTGGATAGTGTGAGTGAGAGGGATATAGACATAGTTTTCAGTATAGTACTTGATCAGTATATTGGATTATGGTAACCTTAACCCTCCTTTATTGAAACTATCCCGTCACTCATAGAATAGAATGGGTTATTCAGTGTTGCAGACTGTATACTCTCTGTTTGCAGTGCATTACAGAGCAGTAGAAATCAAAGGAGCATTCATATAAGATACCACCAGATACATCCAATCTTTAACAATCCAATATAAAACTAGAATCATACTCAAGGAGGAATTGTACTGAAGGAGGACATTTACTACATAGTTATCTATAACCTATATTTTTTAGTGGACACGTCTGATTACACATTGTGTAATCTTTCTGCTGTAAAACGTAGTTGGGCATTTTGGCTGTGTGTGTTAGATAGTGATGTAAACCTCTTGTTGATTTTGGAGAAATCTCATCGATATGTCGTGAGAGCGGCGCTCCTTCTCTATCTGTTCCTTCACCAACTATTATGAAGGTGAAATAACAACGCATTTTGAAACGATTAAAGCACAATTATTAAAACAGGACATAAAGTCCCACCTTTATCTGTTTCTCAAGCATTTTCTCTTCATCACTGGCCTCTTTTTGTAGCATCTGTAGTTTGTCTTTTTTTTCATTCTTTATTGTTTGGTTCTGTTTTTCCTGTTCTTCCCGTTGAGCTGACAATATGGAATGTTCCTCTTGCAATTTCTAAACAGTAAAACAGAAAGTTTTTGTAGAAAGTAAAAACAGAAAGTCCTGTGTATAATAGTAACAGTAGTTAGAAAAAAATATATATATACACATTTTTGGGAGTCAATATGTATTGTATTGTGTGTACCAATTCTTCACAACCACAAACATAAATGTTAAGAGTCTATTATTTTTATTTATATATATAAATATATATATATATATATATATATATATAGCTTTGCAAGTTTCAGATTTGTTGCACAAGTGTGAGGTTAGACAAACATGTAAAAAAGTGAATGGCACTGTTTCCATTTGATCTGAAAGGCTACAATAATCAATATAAATTAATATGTGTGATGTTTGTGATTTCTCTCATGTACTATTTTTTTATATGAGGTTTAAATGAAAGGTGTTGCTTTTGGTAAATAATTGGCATGATATACAGGCCTGATGTACAGGCATGATGTACAGACTTTCACCATTTAAATGTAGTTTCCTACCTGAAAAATTGAACATTTGTTTTCCAGCTCCTCTACCACCTTTGCATAACGCACTGTCAGATTCTCTTTGTAATCTGACAGTGTCTCACTAAAACAGAAACACAGTTATAATGTGTTTACCACAGTATCTTCCAATAGTCTGAAGTCCATATTAACTGTACCTCTGTGTGTGCTCATCTGTCATTTGTTCTACTTGTTTTACATCTTCAATTGTCTTCAACACCGAATAGAAAGTCTGGTTTTCCTGCAGCTCCACACAGAAGGTTCCCACAAGTTCTGCTATATTGTGGCTTGTTGTAGGAACACACAAAGGGAGTGAAAAAAGATGAGCAAGAAGTGCATAAGGTTTTACAATTGTTTAAAATTACAGATATGGAACAAATTAAGGCAAAGTATGCTCAGCCATAAACAAATACCAATCTTGAGCTAGTTTGCTCAGTGTGACTTTATCTTGGGGACTGTGTGGATTCGTGTTCAAGTCTTCAGCAAAAGAAAATGCCAGTAAGAGGAGCTGGTGTTGCCAGTCTTCCAGTACAGCAGCCACTCTCACACTCTGACTCAGGTTCATCCTAAACACAAATATATAGCGTTAGCACTAATGATAAAGGTTGCTAGCTAGTTAAATATAAAGAAACTAAAACTTCAAAGAGCTGGAGATAAATCAGCATAATATAAAACAAACATAAGTGGATATGTTAATGTTAATTTTAAACTATCTGATAATGATAGTTCAAGAGTTATTTCCGAACTTTAGAGGATAATTACCTTGCGTTTCTCATCGTGTCGCTCTGAGTTGGCCTGTTGCTATGGTGACCGAGCAACAAGTGTGAGGCTCGTGAGAATTACATTAGACTGTGTGCTGCCCTTAGCAACGCGCACCTGTCATTTAAAATGTTTGAGAGGCGTTATTATAGATCCATGGTCAGGCCTTCCCAAACTCCTGGGCCCGACCGATTTGGCCCCTGCCGCAGGTCCCTAACCATGCGCAGGTCCCGTAGAAGAGCTCTCCTAATGCAATATAGCGCTCTCTTGTGGTGAACGGGAGTTTTGTTGCGTACTTCGTCTTCACCCATAGATCTATTATAATAACGACTTCACCAAGAAGTCTTATAGGTCTTTGGGAATCAAATCTGGATTATAAAGTAGAATGTTGAAGGCTCATTGATGCTTCAAGTGTTGACGAAAAGTATTCAAAAGATGCGCTGCCCCTAGCAACAAATGCGTTGCCCGAAGCAACATATGCGCTGCCCTTAGATAGATAGATACTTTATTGATCCCCGTTGGAGAAATTCAGGAATTAATTTAGTTTGTCAAGTGTTTAATAGTATGAATCTGTCAATGTGATTTTAGACACACAGCTGATAGATTGTATCTATCTATCTATTTCAGAGTTGATATAATGCATAGATCTGTCATCTTGAAAGACCTTTTTCTGTCTACATTATGACATTTGATATATTGATAGTAATTTCCACAATCAGGAAGAGGTCAAACTAGTGCTTTTGGTTAAAGTTGTCTTGTTGGCCTGAAGTCTTTACCACGGATTCCCAATTGCAGGTGGTGTAATTGGTCACTAAGCACTACCATTCTCAATCAGATGGATTGGGAACTGTTTATACACCTGCATGTGAATGTAGACCATGTGTGTTTAGTTTTTTTTTAATGTCAATTATTATCATGTTATTATTATAGACTATCAGAATGTGACAGAAAGATGAGAACTGAAGGATAATGGGAAAAAGGGCCAGCATGAAACCCATAAACAGCCAGACCCAATCCCCCCCAAATCGTTTTTTGCAGGATAATTATAATGTATTTATTTATATTTAGTAGTATTATGCATAACAACTTACACAGGGAATGCACTGTTAATAAATTTTATTATGTACTGACTGAAGTAGTTGAACTTGTCACTCCACATTTGAAAGTTTTATAAGTTTTACCACATGCACGATGCTGTCTCATCATTTACTGATGCCATTGAAACAACATCCCACAGTCAAGCCAAGGAGGTAACAGGAGAGATCCACTTGTGGTCTCAAATAAAGGTTTATTCTATAGTCCACGCAGGGAGACTGGTCCTCTGCATTTGACCCATCCCTGGGCCAACATGTGCAGAGCAGATGTTGAGCTTGACCTGCAGGACTGAGCTGATTATGTATGGTAAATGTTGTCGATTGAAAGAAGAAACCAGAGTCCCCAGAGGAAACCCACTCAGCCACTGCCGTATAAAATCAAAGTTAAGGCAAAAAGGTATCATGACAATATTTGTAAAAAAGAAAAAAAAAAAATCAATATACACAGAAATTACCCATTTTCAAAAAATAAATAAGAAAATAAACCAAGGATTGTTTACCAGAGATTCACATGTTCCAGTGTTCCAACGATGAGACGTTTCGGTCTAAATGTTTTTAGAAGGTGAATACTGTGGTTTGGCCACATCTACAAATGTAAAAATGTACTATACTCTGGACATGTTTGTGGGAAGCCAGGTCACTGTATAGAAAGAATTCAACATTTCTGCCATTTTGGCGCCCAAAGGGTTATAATAAACATGTTTGTTAGTTAACTATTCTGGTCTAAATCCCCCACAACTTTGTTTTTAGAACAATGATCCTGAAGCATGTTCCCATGGCTCATTTTAGTTTAATATTCTGTAAATCGTTTTACATCTTGATTACTGACGCGGTACAGTAAATGATTCAACTGTTTTCCACAAAATAATGGAAACATTTCTGCTCAACAATTGTTTGATGTACTTTATGGGTAATTAGTACTGATTGTTCTTTGTGAGCAAAACATGAAGTCTGACTTTAGAATGTGCACAAGCAACAAGAAAGATTCTTTTTCAAAGGTAGAATCAGTTCTTTCCTGTATTTACGCTTTTGTTCAGAACGAAAGTCTTATGAGACGAACACAGTGGTTTGACCTATATGTCCTTCTATAATCATATCGTAAGTGCATCCATTTCAAAGGTTCATCATATTATTGTGCACAAAAAGAAAACATTTGAATTCCACTGAATGTAAACTCACAAAATGTCCAGGACATGCACTTAGAGAAAGCCAAAAATAACCTGCCAGGTGAGTTGCAAATTCCAATCCGATCCAATAATCTACCAGCATTGACCAAGTTTGGCACATAATGACCAAACCAATCATTCCTTTTCCATGTTAGTTTGTGTCAGGTCCAAGGACCACTAAGGTGTAATACGAGTCATATTCATAAAAATACATTATTTGGCACTGTAATATTCCCACATCTGTGAAAAAAAAGAAAAGGAATTGTCTTTGTCACCTGTAACAACAAGAAACGTCACTACTCTCCATCGAACAACCAGGTACAGCTCACACTCACATGTAAAAACCGAGAACATATAAAAATGTATATACTCTTGTACTTTACAACCTGATCAACGTGGCTTGTGCCAGGGTCCCAACTACCCTGCTTCTCAGTTGTGCTTATTGTCCAGAATAAGAAGCAGCAATCTCAACAAAAGGAATACTTCCACGTTTAGGAATTGGGCCACCATTTTAAGACCTGACACGCTTCTGACCAGAGATTAAAGGATGAACAACGAAGGAAGATACCCGGCAAAATGTTACGACCACCTAAAACCATTATCCATGCAACAAACACCTGTGTTTTCTGGCACCAATGGTTTGAGCAGGGACATGAATTACTCTTTCCACCCAAATGTGTATTAAACATGATGCAGTGTGAAATTATCATTAAAAATAAACTAAATACTTCTAATACTAATTATTGTAGAAGTTAAGTAATCATCAGGTAGTCATGCATCACCTGTATCAACATCAGGCTCCTTTACTGATGGTTTTCAGGGACTGATCACTGGACTGACCCTGATACTCACAAATAATGCTTATTTTCATGCCCCAAGGTATTTCCTTGATTTATGTAACTATTCTGAATACGTAATGTATTTAGTTACTCCCCAACACCTATTGCATGACTGAGTTAAAGGGAAACAAATACAATGTAAAATTGAAAAAAATGTTTGAATAACAATACTGTTGTATTGTAAATGTGGCACTATTTTGAGTAGATTTGATGCACGCATGTGAAATAATAAAAAACACAAAGAGGTATCTGTGTTTTACGAGATGTATAAGCCACAAAGATTTGTTTTTGTCTGAAATGAATAAGAAACAGTTGGAGTAATTTCATGTAACAGTCTGCGTTGTTCATGCTTCACTTTTATGCTTGGATTGTAGTGCCTATAATTATCAAATGCAATTAAACATGCTTTGTAAAATAGAAGTTACTGAAATGTAAGCTTATTTGAAATTGTGTTTTGCATTCTCTTACTCAAGGAACATATTACTCCCAGCAGTGTACTGTGAAGTATGGGAATACTCTTGCAGTGCAGTGGTGGTCGTAACATTCTGGATGGTTGCACATTTTATTATTGCTGGAAGAGCTGTACATGAAAGCATCCAGCTTCAGTCCAAGGAGATCATATTCTACCTCCATGTACGTGCCATTTAAAGTTTATATTTCATTAATTGTTCGTTCTGAAGGCCGGTACTCCTCTCTTCCTTTAGGAGAGGACATGTAAAAGGACTGGGTCTTGCGTTTTAGGCGAGCCCTCTTGGTGGCCAGGGAGAGACTGTGCTTGCTGGAGGCGATGATGTCGGTGATGAACTTCTTACAGTCGACACAGACTTCCATTGAGGCCCAGTCCTCCGTCAGCTCAGAGGGAAGCTCCAGCTCCTCGTGCGACTTTAGAGAGCCATGTTTGGATAATCTAAAAACAACAAATTAACAAACTGAGGCAGAAAATCCACAGTAATATTGTGACTATTATGTGTAATTTATGTGTTCAGGAAAGTTTTTTTGAGATTGTGACATTTGACAAACATGACTCCAACCAGTGTCTTTGGCCACTAGAGGTAGCTAGAGCATTGATCTCAAAGTGGAAGTACCTAACTTTTATTGCTTAAAATGAATATATGTTATTTGCCATTAGAAAAGAAGTCTTTTGCAAACTCTTACAAATATGCAAAAGTATTGGGTCATGATCATGAGGTTCAACAAATATGCCGCACTCCACACTCCACAGCACCCACACCTACTCGCAACCACACACAGAGTCTCAATTTTACATTTTACATTCTCAGTTTGTGTCATTTTTTACCTTTGTCTATATGTGTACGTTTGTTTATCCGTCAGTTTATGTAGTGTCTTTACGATGCCCATATTTGACGCTTTTGGCTGTGTTAGTGCTTGGAACTATTGAATTGTTTAAATCATTTAAATTCTCAAACAATGACTTACTTGGACATAGTCTTGTGCAGGCCGTGTCGTTGTGGGCCACTGGAGGGTTTGTCCCCTTTCGGAGGCTGAGGAGCAGATGTCACAGTAGAAGCCTTCCCTGCTGCTTTGAACCGAGCGGCCCGCACATTTGGAGATGGTGATGCTTCGGCCATCTCTGCACCTGTGGACGGTCCTGGCGCCACAGAGAGCCCCTGTCCCACTGAAACCATGGCGGTTACTCGGTCTCGGGGCAGAGTATTAGTCGATCCGATGGAATAAATGGGCAGGCTGGAGTAGGGTTTTGATGGCAGCCGCATCTAAAAGATAAACATAAGACCATAACGGGGGAAAACTATGTTCAATCACCAGAAATCTAAGTGATCTCAAATATTCATGGAAACTTTCAGCTAACATTTTCATTCATCATTCAATGCACATTTAAATAGAAGTTATTGGTCCGTGGTTGTAGTCTTATGTCTATATGTAATTCAGTAGCTCAGTGTTTGCATCTGACACAATGTCATCAGATGCCCAGTGTGTGTATTTGTGTGTGCATGTACGTGTGTGTGTGTGTGTGTGTGTGTGTGTGTGCATGCACGTGTGCGTGTGTGTGTGCGCGCGTGTGTGTGTATGGGTTGCTTAGTGACAAAGTGACATAAAGCATGCTAAACATGCTCTGTTGATACATTTAAATCCCAACTCAAGACGTTCTTGTTCAGTCGAGCGTTTTGAAAGTACGGTTTTATGGGCTGATATGACTGTCTCCACTGTTGTTTGATTGTGTAATTTTTTCTTGTGTTTTTAATAATTGCTTGTTTTTGATGTGAAGCACTTTGTGACCTTCTGTCTGAGAAAGGTGCTATATAAATAAACTTTGCTTGCTTGCTTGCTTGCATAACAATACATTTTCTGGGCCAATACTGATCTAAAGCTGATCCAAAAGAAAACCATTATGTAATAAATAATAGATTGATTTTTTTCTATCATATTGTTAAACAAAAAACTCACCTTTTTGCAACATTGTGAACAAACGGGTCTGTAAGAGAGAAAAACGTGACAATTGTTTTTTAGATTTATACTGAGATGTTGATTTTGTGATTACTTACTTTTTGCAAAATTGACAAATGTAGGACCACGTAAAAAAGGAAAATCTCTTTGTCCGACAACAGAAGCAAAGCTGAAACAAACATATTAATTTAGTATTTTACTTCTTTAAAACAACTTGCATTGGAGCTTTCTTATTATCTCCCTACGTACTATTTTCGTCTAATTTCCACTATCGACCTTTCGCCACCATACCTCCAGTGCTTAAATGCACAATAGACACTACACACAAAGTTATTATTTGGAGTAGACTGTTATTTTCACCTTGCCCTTCTTGAGAGCTGTGTAAACATCTTTGTACTGCTGAAACTTCTCCAGCTCGGCTTTGACCAAAACTTGTCGAATGTGCATCACTTCCTCCACAGTAAGAGAAAGACACTCCACAGGGAAGCAGAACTCCTCCTGCGCAAACGGGCAACAAAATAATCACACATTTGTAATGGAGTTAAACTTTGAGAACTCATTTGGTTTTAAAACTGTAAAAAGTCACACAAGCATAATTGCAGACTCACTGTACTTAAATGTGTGTCTCTCCTTTAATGTACCTCAGCTTTTATTGTGTCATAGGGAAAACTGGCATAAACGTCACCAGGTAATGAACATTCCCTTAAAGCAGTCATTTGTGTTATTTTGTCAGGGGTCGGGGAAAAAAACACCTTTATACCAAGGCAGCCAATGTTTTCTTTGTAATGAGTTTGTTTGACCTAATATTTTGCACCTGTGTTTATTTTGTCTATTGATATTAAATATTTATATTTACATGTTGAACTAAACAGTAACTAATTATTTATAGTTCTATGTTTGGAGTTTTGTTTTGTTGAGAAAAGTAGCATGAAAATTATGTATAACACGCCATGGTAGCTCTATTAACCTCTTACTATCAAAGCTGAAAGTTAATACTAAGATTAAAAATTATTTCAGGGGCGACACAAACGTGTTGACATGTCTGCCATAAAAAGTGTCTGGTGTAGCTTTCTCAAACGCTTTCAGACCCATTTCTTGTTAAAAAAAATGGTTTTCTTTAATTCCTCATTTCATTTAAATTTTATATTATAATAAGAAAAAACTGTAAATCTGTTTTCTTTTACAGATACTACAATAAAAATATTTTTTTCCAAGCCAAAACAACAACAAAAAATAGACACATTGTAAATGTTGCGAAATGTCCATAAAACATCACTGACCAGAGACTTGGAGCTCTTTTTGGAGGGCGGCTGGAACAGTTTAACGTTGGTGGGTGTTTCTTTTTCTATGGAGTGTCTTCTATGCGGGGTCTGACGTCTCTCTGGCTGAGGGGTGGACGAAATCGGCAAGAACATGGGAGACGCTGTGGATGGATGAAACAATATAAAAAGCACACATATCCAGTTTGATAAGCTTGCTCTTAGCAGTTGCTCCGATCAACTACTTAGATCTCTGAAGCTAAGCCATGTGGAGCCTGGTTAGGACTGGAATGGGAGACCGTAGGGAACACTATGTGCCACATTGAGACATGGCTGTACATTTGCTAAGCTGTGTCTTTGGGCAAGACACTTCACCCACATTGCCTAGTATATGTCTGATTTGTCCTTCGGAGTGAGCAGGCCTCTGCTCAGGACCTTTTATGACTCTGTGGTAGCCTCTGCCATATACTACTCTGCCGTGTGCTGGGCCCCGGGCAGCACAAAGCGGGACAGGAGTAGACTGAACAAGCTGGTCAGGAGGGCCAGCTCTACTCTGGGCTGCTCCCTGGACTCTGTGGAGGAGGTGAGGGACAGGAGGGTGCTAGTCAAAGTCACCTCCATCATGAACAATACCTCCCACCCACTGCATAGGACTGTAGAGGAGCTGACGAGCTCCTTCAGTGGAAGACTGAGGCACCCTCAGTGTAGGAAGGCCTTTATCCCCACCGCTGTCAGACTGTACAATAAGTCACTTTAAGTCACTGCACTAAGACTGATAAAACCTGCACTACTATTGACACTTCTTCTCATTGCCACTTTCTAATTGCCACTTGTACATAATATGTCCTGTCTTGTTTGCACATTTCTTACTTTCTGCACAATCTAAGTGTTTCTATCCATGCCAAACATGACATGTACATTTCTCCCGTGTGAGATTAATAAACTAAAGTACATCTTATCTTATCTTATTTGTGCATGAACGACAAGAGGTGGTTGAAGGGTCCTATGACCCAAGTTGGCAGCCTCACTTCATTATCTACCCCAGGGCAGACTACACCACCGTCTACAGAGTGAATTAATATTGCCATTGAGTGTCCAAACTAAGCAGTGTACAAATCTGTTGCCTTGTCCTTATTATTATAAATATAAGTCATTCTTAGGACTATTACAGCCTAAATCATCCAAAAAAGGCTATAAACGTTTTATACTACATATAATTCTATGAAGCACGCTCAGTACGTTGAAAACACCCGAGACACACGACTTACTTATTTTGCCGATCACAGATTCAGGTGAGGTATCATCCATCATTGATGTGGCTACGCTGGAGCTGCTTGCAGAAGTGCGTAAAAGCATATCATCCTAAACATATCAAGAACACAAAACAGAATCCAAAGCTTGGTTAAATAAAATAAAATAAAAAGACTATTCAGCTATTTGTTTTATGATCTGGAGATGCAGTGACTTCACCTGTGATCTACACATACAGTATGTACTGTATTCATAACCCTTTGCCATTGCCTGGGGTTTTTTACAGGCCATTCCCCTATCTGTCCTCAATTTCAGCTCTAAAAGTATTCATACATAATTATATCAAATCATACACATACTATGTCTGTAATAATAGCTCCAGTGAAAGGGCAGATAATGAATGGATGAATTAATGATTGAATGAATGAATGATATCTACGTCACTAGATGAAACCAAACCAAGGACTAAGAGGACATCCTTGTCTAGAGCCTCTGGCAATGGCAAAGGGTGAGAAACATTTCTTGCCGGTAAATATCTTGGTTCTTGGTATCTTGGATTGATCAAGGAAGTTGTAAATTTTGATGAAATTTGCCTCCAAGCCAAATGATTTCAACTTAGACCACACGTATTGCCACATCACATAGAAACACAATTTTGGATGTGTGTGTTTCTATCTACATCATTGGATATAACTTACATCAGAGTCTGAACTGTCAAGCTCAGACAGACAGGGAGCTTTGAGAAGCCTCTTTCTCGGGGGGACCGACTGGGACCCCGGAGCATCGGTCCTGGATCTGCCCTCTCCTGTACCTGCCATGGTCAGCAACGACAGGGTACTGGACGTCCTCCTGCCCATATATGGACTGAACTCATCTGCACACAGCCCCAAGACTGATCAGACATCATGGTCAACCAGTGCAGTAATAGAGTAGTCTAGTGAATGAATCTCAAAACTCAGCCTTTGAAGGGAAACAGATTGTTTATATGAATAATATATACATTTGTTACATTACTTGAGATCATGATTTAACTTGTAAAAGGACTCAAAATTGAATGAAATAAGAACACATTTTAAATGATGGACTGGAATTGAATTAAATTAAGATGGCTGAGGTTGAGATTTATCCAAAGGTAAAGAGCAGAGATGAGTTTAGTAGGTTTGAAAGAAGCCAAACGTTTCACACAGAGCGTTCTTCAGACGAGGAGTACTTTTTCTATATCTTTACTTTAGGCCTTAAGAATCCTGAAGAAGAAAGAGTTTGCTGAAGAAAGAAACTGCATGGGGAGGCAGAAATAAGCAAATCCAGGAATAAGTATATTGACTGTTCTCTTCTGGTTGCATTGCAGACTTCAGAATATATTTAGGGGAAACCTTATATTTAGATAGAGGACATTAGTTGACAGCCAGGGAGATAGGTTGTCGGGTTATGGGAAGATCAAAGGCCATATTGAACCACATATTTGGGTTACCTAGTCCTGTACGAAACAAGTCTTGGGGCATACTGCGAGTTTTGCCAAAACCTATAATGGAACACCTTCTTCATTACAATCAAAGGTTCAAAACAAAATAAAGTTTTTGTCAAAAAGTAACAGTTTCTCTTCCCAATAAAAAGTAAACAGATACATTTAACAGATTTCTGTCCACATTCCAAATACAAATACATGTTTATTGTAAAAATGAAGAAAGCACTTATTTGTGTTTGAATGAGATGATAAAGCTTGTGCAATGGTGAGAAACACTGGTTGCAGAAGGATAAAGCATTCTCTTTAAACCAGCCTGCAGTGATACACGGCACATATAAAATATAACATTTCAATACACAAGATTTCTGTCCATCAGAACCACAGAGCCTCGTTTTGTCTGCAAAGTCACAGTGGGAAATAAAGAGCTGTTTGATTATTTTTTTTTAGGCTGATATTATGTTTAAATAAAAGCAATAGTTTGGCAACATTCAGAATTTCACCCGTCTAACGTCTATCTAATTGTGCACTCAGATGTCTTCAATTCATTTTTAACACCATAAGAGAAAAATGTATTGACTAAAGACGGATATAATCAGTGCCTACAATTTTACACACTGCTTCTTGTTTATTGACTGAATAATGACAACCCAGACAGCGTTTAAATCTGGGGTACGTAACTTAAATGTTTAGTATAAAATACATTCTGTTTGTCCCAACAGAAAGAGTCTTGTCAAATCAGACCAGAACATGAAGTCTTCATTGTATTTGAAAACTTGAGTTGAGCTGAGAGAGGGTGTTCTTTTTTTCACTTTTCTGTATAAAAATCTGACATCACAGAGGCCAAAAAATACATGATGTGTTGACCACTTCGAGAACCAAACTTTATTGAGTGCGAGGAACTAGTTAGATGTTAAGATTTTATATCATAGTTGGCTATCCCAGTTCACAGTGCCATCCAGAATCTAGAAAATGAAATTATTTGTGTATAATGACGTTTGTGTTTGACTGTGTCACATTGCCACTTCTTGTATATGGTGCTGATGTAAGATGATGAACATTTGTGCTTCAGTCAACTTCAATTCTGTCAAACGTGATTCAATATGGACATATTGAGGTCAGAACAGCCTGAATCAAGTAAAAACGGTTTTACTATCTGGGTCGTCGGCCCCTGAACCAGTCTGGTTTATCTAAAGAGGTTCATCCATCCATCCATTTTCCTCCCTTTAATCCATTTCTGGGTCAGGGGGGTGGCAGTCAGAGATGCCACCCAAGTCTCATAGCACCAGCCCCTCACTGACCCTCTGCAGGTGGTGAGTCCACAGGAGGACGGCTGCTCTCTGACTGTGAGCATAGCCTTGATCTTTCAGTGGGGGCTTTGGGCAAAGTGGGGTTAAGTGTCTTGCCCAAGGACACAACGACAGCAGTCATCAGTGGGAGTCGGTGGAGAAGGTGCAGAGGTGGGAATTGAACCCACGACCTTCTGGCCTTAAGGCCAATGCTCTACCAACTGAGCTACTGTCGCCCCCTCTAAAGAGGTTCTCTTACTGAAAAGTATATATTATTAGTTAATGTACAAGAGGTACTTGTACATGAACTGACATTAATACTCAATCCACCCTGTTACCAGATTACTTTAATTTGAAAAAAATTAAAATATCTTGTCTCCAACTGTCTGACCAGTGTCCCAAACCATAAGTCACAGCCAGGACCAGCTGACACCAACCCACAAAGCATGAAATGATCACATGTGTGACTAGTTACACTCATGTTAGAGACAAAACATGTGGAGAAACAGAAATGGAAAAAGAAGCCAGGTAAGCAGCGGAGACTTTACCTGACGCATCAAAACTGACAGACATGCTAAGTGGCCGAATTACTGCAAAGAGAAACAGTCATGGCAACCGCACATTACTATTTCATTGAATGGTGTTAATGGACACTAGTGTGTTAGCAGTTACTCTTATCATGTTAGCGGAATTACAGACACTTAGCATTATTATTTGTAGCTTTCACTATATTGCAAACAATATAGGAATGAAAATAATAAGAGGCAGAGCTAGCAACAGAAATGTTAAATGTGACGTAAGCAAATTATAATAAAGGAAACAGGAAAAAACAAATATGTTTGATTTTCTTGCTTTTGTGGTTTAAGTGTATATAACCAGAAGTCCCAGGTCCAAATTATTATAGACAGTCAGTTTTTCACAATAACATTGCATCATTTGTCATAAAAGTTGGAGTACCTGATTATTAGATTTTATGTTTTTTACATTTGGTGAGCACTGAGCGGATAAACAAAACACTCTGTCTTAAGAGCATTGGCAGCAGGAAGATAAAGTGGGAGGGAAAAAAATAGTTATAATAATAATCATAACTATTATTGTTATAATAATAATATAAAAACATCTCTGTTGCCAAATAGATGACTTTATAAAAGGCTCACGTCACAAAACAAGCAGATTCTGAAAGATGTCTATTTGAGAGACATGAGAGGAGAGTCACAAAGGATTCCTGAAACAAAAGTGGATTATGATATTAATATATTTTCAATATGGGTGTCCTTTAATAGAGCATAGCTCACCTCATGGGAGTTGAATGCATTCTTTACAGATAAATATAATGATTTTCCAATTGAGATTAATTGACTATTTAAATTCTAAATGCATAATTTAGCTCATAGATTTTCAGGGTCTTACCAAGCCGGCTTTTACGGATCAAATCTGGGGACACAGGCCTCAGCTTCCTCTCAGACTTGATCTCCTCCAGGATTCGCTCGTGAAGTGTGGGAGGGGGCTGCGCTGGAGGTTTCAACTTTCGAGCAGAGACCTGCCATTGAAAATACAGTAATGGGATTTCTCATTTTTCCACATCATTGTAACAAACTAAAAAAAACCTCACTAAAAAGTTACTACAACTATCTGGGCTAATTTTACAAGTTTGACAAATATGTAAAGATTTATTTTTGTTACTGGATGTTATTTTTTCTGATTCAAAGACAATAATACTTAAGCAACAATGATAGAATAAATTGCTTTAACAGAAGTGTAGAGTCTTCTCACAGGGTTCAGAGGAGGTCGAGATCGGATGAACTCGAGGATGACTTCATGGGCACTTTTCTTTAACTTCGGAGGTATGTCCCCGTTCACCTACACGAAAAACAGCAAAGATTTAGAAAACAGAAATTGAAGCAATAGATCCAAAATATAGAATATTTTCTTTGTGTTTCATTCAATTCTGTGAAGAAATAACCAGCAAAATATATTATATCAGGCAAAATTACAGCTTTGTATTTGTTAATCCAGAAATGTTTAGTATATTTGTATTTAGGGAGTAAGGATTAGTTTTGCATATTCTCCTTGTTCTGAGAAAATGTTACTTTCTTATGTTTGGAAAAGGCTTAATATTCTCAATAAAACCTTCTTGACACTGTAAAATGGTAAAGTACAGTTAGTCTATATTTACAATAGACTATTTAACAGGAAAATAAAGCCTTGAACTCTTGCGCCACCAACTGGAGCTTAGTATGGTGCATATTTTGGATGGGGAGAAACCTGCAACTTTCACATAGAAGTCAGGGATTTGAACCCACAACTTTCCTGCTATGAGGCCAAAACACAACCCATTAGTCCTCGATCATCAACTACTATAATATTAGTCTGAGGTTCTTCAGTATGAGAAAACTTTTCACTGACATCTTTAGCTTTAAAAAAATATTTGCTAATTAATAATAATTCAGACCAATCAAATGATAATCTGGAAATCTATTCAAGAGATGGATACATTTTGTAAAAGGTTTCACTCATACGGAAGCATGAGGAAAATGTGACAGACTTTCCAAATGTAAACTGACCATGACTTTGCGCAGCTTGTATCGTTGGGAGCGGATGTCGTCCATCAACATCTCGTAGGGCGTGAGTTGGAACTCGATGGGTAGAGGGTCGTACTGTCGCTCCTGCACCTTCTTCAGCTTCACGCCGTCACGCAGGGTACGCATCACCTGCACCCAACAGCGCGCCTGGGACACAGCACACAAACAATGACAATAATGACAAATGCAAGTCACTTCTTTCTCATGTGAACTTACCCAATCAGCATTTTGTAGTTCATTGAGCTCCCGACCACGCTCTGAAGAATCTTCCTCCATTTTTCGTAAATTCTAAAAAAAGGGACCATGTTTAATCTTGTTTGTTGTAGTCACCATCAAATACTGTTGAATGAATCCTGGTTAAATGCTGTATTCATCATAACGTTTTCAGGAACTGGCCGAGATGAGGGTTCAGGCTTAAAGAGCTAGGGCAGGATTATTATATCATCAACAATAATTACAATACATTAAAATTAAATCTAAGTCTAATCTAAGACTTTGATTTTTATCTGGGAAAATCTAGAATTTTCACTTCATATATTAAGGATAAATTGCCAAATCAGCGGATTCCCCAAACAGCAGGTAAAGCGTGAGGCTGGGAAGTTGAGTTATCAAGTTGTTTTACTTAGGCAAGTCAAGTAACACATTTAGAAACAAGTGTATGGATAAATTATGAATCCTGAGTTGTTTCAGGCGTTCTCTAATATGATGCTGCACTTACGTAACATCCATTATAAATTCCTACACATTTCTGCCCCGAGGAGATACGTTATCTACCGTCACCACAAGATGTCACATACATATACTGCCAGCAAGATGATTATATTTTGTTGGAGGGCATTGGTCCATGAGGGAAGAAAAATAAATATAGTGAGGCCCTTTTAGACATTTCTCTCTTTGGCTCCTACTGTCTATAATTGTGTATTAATATATTGTGTATGACAGAGGTAAGAGCAGGTTTGACATTACTGATGTAAATATTATTAGCTGGAGAACTCAAATTAGTATTCCTCCTGTTACTCTTGTTCCTATCTCCTGTAGCAGAAGTTATGTCAGTGAATGATTCAGCTCTTTTGGTTGCAGTGACTTTGTGGAGATGTAAAAGGCAGCAATTTGGCAGCAAACTGCAGTTGTTTGGAACAGCTATAATTAGACAATAAGAACATCGAAAGTGGAGAGTGGAAGCATTTTAAACACAGCACCCACAGATTGATTATAAATAGTAAACGTGACAAACTACAAAAAATATCCATTAATTTGGACACAACACAGTTTTGGCGCTTCTAGCTTCTTCTACCATACTGCATGACATACCTCTGTGATTTTGTTTTTATTTTCTCTAATGTAAAAAAAATGGGCAATAAATAATGACTTTGGGCAACAAAATAACTGGACCAACAAACAATATAAAAATATAACCTCAATTGTGGAAGTAATTCAGTCTATTATTATCCAACACATGGGGTCTTTTGAGTTTTCTCCTGTTCAAAGAGCTGCGCTGCCAGTTTTTTTTCTCAGGTCACCTTTTCAGCTTTCTCCACTCTGCAATAAGAGCCTTTCCTGGCAGCGTTATGCAAGAGTCCCAATCTGCACCATTCATTCGGATACACTCAGTAGGACAGGACAGTAGCAGTGAGAATAGACCCTGAGGAAAGACAGCTGAGTCCGCCTCCCAACAGCAACTAGGTCTAAAACTACTCTTTGCCATGTCTTAATAAGATCTTTGACACTAAATAACTACAAAGTGAGATTGAAGATACTTTCCTTTTGTGTGTATGGGTCAGAGACTGTATGGGTTGCTAATAGGAGGAGACATACAACTAGCCATGGGGCTTGGGTAGATACATGCAGCATTATGAAACGCTGTGACATGATACTTTTAAATTGATTATTCAAAATGAATTGAATATTGTCAAGTCGAGCGCTTGATCTTCTGCTGAGAACTGTATTGAGTTGATTGTGCTGACTACCCAAGTGATTTACATTGTGCTCTGTGTAAAAGGGTTGAGGATTCTTCATTACACTATTTTTAGATATTTGTTAATTTTGTACCATAAAAACAGAAATTTAGCACAACCTACATCTATCTTTCCAACAATCACAAGATTTCAAACTTCCCCCAGAGCTACTCCCTAAAAAGCAGTTGTCTGGTTGATGCACTTAAACCAATCTATTGTTCATATTTAGTGCAATAAGTTAAAGGTGATGTCAGCAACTTAAATTGTAAGTAATTTATAAAAGAACATATAGGTTTTTGAGGCACTTTACTCTTGATTTTTCAACAATAATAAATCCAAGAGTCTCCCTCCCCTTGGCATAACATAACCAGTAAGATTTCCTGAAGGAGAATAGTTAAACCAATTTGAATTAGGATTTAAATTAATCTCAATCAATCAGAAAGCGGCGGGGGTGAACATGGGCGGGTCTAATCAGTGCTTGACTTCTAAAGGTTTCCCTCTCTCTTCACAATTTGAAAACAACTCACTTCAAAGATTGAATTTTAAATTGTACACAGTTGAATGATTAGTTAGTTGAGTTTGGATTGAGTAGGTTGGATACACATTATATAGTTGTTTATTAATCCAGACCTGCCCATATAATCTCAAATGAATACACTTCAGTACAAGTCAGTAATTACCATACTGCATACTCCATACAATACTCCATATTCCATTTACTTACGTGAGCACAGCTTGTCATGCATGTAACATTGCTTTGAACTTGTTACAACCATACAGGCGCTGATGATGTCCAAGAATGTATAACTAGTAATGAATTTAAAAGAATGTTACATGGATGAGGTCTCGATACACTGTCACAAGACAAAATAAAAACTCAGTGTTAATGCCGTTGAATTCCTGCTTTGAGTGCAGACATTTCTGCAAAAGATCAGCTGATTGCACCACTGTCTGCGGGCTACAGCTTTCTAAAGAAGCATTTTTACATACTTGGTAAAGACTTTAGTGGAAAGGCACTCTTCCCACTTGACAAATCTGTATCTAATGTATGTACTTTTCATTCATACTATGGATCTTTTATAACACTTTTAAGCAATTTTGGATAAACCTAAGCTTGTCTAATAACACAGGAGCAGGAGCTGGTGATTTGAATGTTTTATTTCTCTGGTAAGAGAAATAAAGGCCGAAGCTACTGGCACCGTGGCAGCTGCTAATTGGAGCATCTTGCTGTTTTAACATCAATAAAACAGCTGTGACACGACCTCAGACCCCCGCGTCATTTTCTTCAATACTTTATTTAAAACAGCATTATAAAAACAAGTATAGCCAAACAGAATCCAACTTACCTCTTTTGCAGATTTGATCTTATCCAAAAATGTGTGTAACTCCCTAGTTTCGGTGTAAAGAGCCCGGCACACAGCCTGGTAGTGACAGGAGGCATCGGACAGACTGGGCAGGTGAGCTGTACACAACTAAAGAACAAGAATGTTTTATTAGATTGTATTCACTTTCAATGAAAATGTGTCATAATAATTGTTTAAAGTGAATCAATCACAGTCACTGAGGAAGTATTTAGGTTTAGCCTGGCCATAGCCATCCATACACTCCGCCCAATCATCATGTAATTTGTCCTAAGGTATGGTACAACCAGGCTAATTTAGGTTAGGAGAACCTTGTATTCGTCCCACAGTGGAGAAATGTAAAAGGCATGATATCAATATTGTGAGGATGAGCAGACAGTATAATAACAGAACACTTTTTCTCACTGGGGTGGTAGAGAAAGTATCCCTCCTGAACAGGTTCAAGTTCACAAAGACAAACAAACTATTTTGGTCATAATACTGTTGTATCAAACCACTATCAATGTCATTAAAAGTACAGAATAGCCTGATCCTTTTTCAATCCTTTAACCCTCCAGGCGCCACGGTCGACTTAAGTCGACAAGCTGCGGTACTGTTTAAAAAGGCCAGGTGTGTCCAACTGAGTGTTAAAATTCATTCATACTCCCTGCCACTAGTTGGCAGATATGTCAGACTTATACAGCGCTTTTTGGACACTCAGAGACGCGTCACATGGTACTATTCTGAATGAATAGTACCCATAATATAATAGATCCATGATAGTACCATGCAAGAGGGGAAAGTGTCTTGCCTAAAGTCAAAACAACAGTTAGGCAGATTACAGTCACCTCACTGGTGTTCCCAGAGGTTTCCCATCACAGTACTAACCAGGCCCTGCACTGCTTCACTTTAGCGGACTGCCGAGATCAGGCTTTCACATGCAGCTGGGGCCACTTTTAAGTTGATCATATTATACTGTAATATTTGCATTCTATGTTTATACTGTCTAGTACTTATCGAAGAGTAAAAGAACCAAAAAAGCAATTAAAGAAAGTGAGACTGCTCACCTAAACAAGTTCATTAAGAAATATTTAGACATCATAAATCCTCTAAAGCTGTTTTACAAAGAAAATAGCACACACTAAAATCGCTACAGAAAATAAAACTAAAGATACTTTCTACACTATGTGAGGATTTATGAATTGTTTTATTGGCTTTTATTAAGGCTGTTTTCATTCTATTACTGTATTTGACTCAGCAATTGTACTTTGTTTTGACGCGGCATGGGTGGATAGCCCACAACCAATTTCAGTATTTCTTAATCTCACTTTTTTTTATACAGACAACAAATATTAAGGCCAAAAATGTATTGTTGTATCCATTGGTTAGTGAACAATGAGTCGATCTAGTAAATATTGTGACAGTGCTACGTGTGTGGGGACAGCGTATTCTCTGTCCGTTGATTCCAGAGTAAAGTCGGCCAGGCTTTGCTCTGAGAGATCATAGTGGACTGAGGGCATGTGCACAGAGGCCAATTTAAAGAGACAGGAGTCGGCCGTCAGCTGCAGATCGGACACATCTCTCCAGAGTATAGTGTGCGTATGAGGGGGTTATGTAAACACTACTGTATGGAGCCATGTGAAGCCTTACAGTGGAGCTCTGCTACATTAAACAACATAAATAGAAGCTGGAATGTGGATGTTAGGAACCAATGAGACTAAAGAAATATTATTTATAGTTGTAAGATAAAAAAGATTTTATTTGTCCCACAGTAGGGTACACCTCAGTGCTACGGTAGGAATAGAAGAATTAATCATTATATAAGATTGATATAATAATACGTGATGTGCAGCCAGTGTAGGTTAACACATAGAGTTATGGCATGTGTCTTCTGCAGAATATGGAAAATTGAATTTTTAGTTGGTAACTGACAGTATGCTCTAGAGGTGATAAGCCACAATATAAATATTGTGAGGATGAGTTTTCTGATAGTGGTCACCAAGCTTCATTATTGGAATAATCCGCCCTCCTTGCAGGATGCAGTTCACAAATAGATCATGTTTGCTCATAATATTAATGCCACAAATATTTATATATATATATATATATATCTATTCACTGACTCTATGCTTTCCTCAAATTTGAGAAGTTATGGAAGTTATGGAGGGAATAATGATGTTGCTTTTATTGATAAATAAATGATAATTATCAAGCATAATGAAATATATGCAACCCTACATACTGCCATGCTTCTATTATTTATCATACATTTCATACCATCCTTTAATTAACCCCTCAAACTCTTTAGTGTGAAACAATGACATGGAAGTGTGTAGAACGTCTCGCACCTTGAGTATATCCCTGTATCCGTGGACACTGCCAAGGCCGTCAGAGTGGTCTTCGCCCTCGTCCTCCTCCTCGGTGGCCTCATATCCTTCGTCGGGACAGGGGTCAGTGTCAGCCATGTTGGTCATGAGGTCAATGAGCTGTTCCAGAGGTGGGCTTAGCTCTCGCTCCTCATTCTCCTTAAGACCAAAGTCCAGGGCTTTGTAGATCATGATTCCCAGAGACTCAATCACCTACAAGAGACAAAACCATATGTAATCTGTTTACAAGAATTATACAGAATTTATATTTATGGTTCATGGTTAGTCAAGAGATCTATTCTATAATTTGTTAAACTAATGTGCCACCACTTTTGCCTTCTGGCCTTTTTAAAAATGGCCGCGAGCAGCCCCTCTTGCGGGAAATGTGAAAAAAACGAATTTGCGCGCATGCCTTTGTCGGAACTAGCCCCATTCATTTAATGAGTGCATTCAAATAACCACAGTAGCAAAACTAGGCTGGTCAAAAAAAAAAAACTCTCCTCAGCATTGATACAAATCTGGAAAGATGTAAAGCCGTTTTCAAGAGGAAAATGGCGGCATACAAAAGCATTGGGTAATTCTCTTTCCGGGTACACCCCCACCGCCTGGAAGTGAGATCGCAAGCGTGTCAGCGCACAAGGACCTTTTAGAGCTGGGGCCCGTCCCCACTGTGTGCACCGCAGTGAATAGGTCAAAGGACTACTGTGGTCCAGTCCTGCTCCAGAACACCACACCAGGGAAGCGTTCAGGAGGCATCCAAAACAGATGCCAATCCACCTCAACAGGATCCTCTTGACGTGCTATTATATCTGAGCCTGACCACCATGTGTGAAATCAAAATATTGCAAACATGTATCTTGGAATTCATGGAGGTGAATTAAATATTTTTGACATAATATTTAATTTATGCCCACACTGTGAGACCAACAACAGTCATTTACTATAAAATGTAACAATAAAATACTGCACTGTATATTGAATCACTAATACATACACACAAACAAAATCACAGCGCACAAAAATATATCTTCTCCTCCGCAATAAACTAATCTTCTTGTCTATCATCATGTACAAGCTCTAGAAGAAATGATTCCATACAACAACTTCTTTCACCAAACGTCTGTTTTACTTTGGTTTTCATGTGTTTTCAAAATGTTCATAATTGATAAAAGATCCTTTACATTCTCAAAGCATATTCCTGTCTAGCACTAAGAAGCCTGAAACACCTGGTTTTTAAGGGAAGTCTCGCACATCCTCAATATGTTTAATTTGACATAAAGCGTTATTGAAATACTGTGGATGCTGTGATCAAAGTGTCGTCGCAGTATTGTGCAGGTCATATATCACGGTGAGCCCAGACAAAGGACTGCCCTCAGCTCATGACCCCACTACGGTGGGGGAAGACACATCTTTCCACGGGACCCCTCCTCCACTTTCTCCAAATGTGAATCGATGAGCCCTTTGATTTAATAGTGCAGCATGTGGCAGTATTTTCCCATGATAGTGCACCTTTGACCACCATTGCCTCTTAATGCAGTCGTGATGTCAGCTATTGCACGGCTCATTCATTCCTCACGTCTTCTCCTCACAGTCTGTCCGTCATGCTCCATGCTCACCATTCAATTGTTTAGCCTCAGTAATTGTTCCAGACAGCTCTATTTACATGTGAAACAGTATGTCCCAATCAAACCAAGGAAAACTTCAGACAATACAAATGTTTGCCAATTACAAACCTTTTTTGTTTATTGTTCCGGGTACTTTTTGTTTGTTTTTAGGTGCGGTCAGATATACAGTAGTAGGGATAAGGCTATGGGTCCACTGTCTTTCAGCTCCTGTTACTTTCCAGTCCAACCAGGGACCTAAGACCTTCTGTTGAAATCAGTTTTTACAACACTGACTTTCTTACAAACTTTTTTTTTTGCATTCTTAGAGTAAAACATCTTGTGTGCACTAATAAGTTGGTTATACTAGAATGTGTAATATTTTTATTCCCTAACCAATTTATAAAAGTATAAGCTGCACACTGCTGATGTCCCTTTCCAAAATCTTTGCAGTGTGAACACAACCAAAGGGTAGCGTGAGGTCCTTCTGACTGAATATGAACTGGAAGATTAGCAGGGACTAGTTCTTGGAGCTGGTTTGTGTGAAAAAGGTCTATTGAAGTACAGTAGGTCACCATATGACGCACTTACTGTATTTGGTAACTATAACCTATGGGTTATATTTCAAAAACAGTAGCACAGATGGAGATGAAGGCCATAACAAACAATAACAACAAAATCTGATGCTCATATGCTACATGACATGCTAATATTGAAGATAAAGGATGGTGTCCAGTGTCAACATCTGTAGAGAATATTAAGAGGTAAGTAATCACAGGTAATTTAAGATTGGTAGGTGACATGATATAAAATAGAGATTTTACATACTCCTACTGAAAACAAGATATATACAAATTAATTAAATAAAAACTAAGTCAAATTTGTGCTCCAGTATTTGAAGCCCACTTAATTTATTAAAACAATGGATAAACAAGCTAATGTTATGATGTTTTCTAAAGGAAATGGATTGAAAATGGGTGTGTTCATAGTAAAGTGTCAATTATAGTAAGTAAGTAAGTAAGTAAGTAAGTAATTTATATACCGCCTTTTCACTGCACATCGGAGTCTCAAAGCGGTTTACAATTGTTATTTTTGGGAGTGGGGGTGCCAGTACAGGAGGCACATGCCAGACCTATTGTACATATTTTTAGTGGTAGGGGAAACCGGAGCACCCGGAGGAAACCTACGCAGACACGGGGAGAACATGCAAACTCCACTCAGAAAGGCCCTGGTCCAACCGGGATTCGAACCCAGGACCTTCTTGCTGAGAGGCGAGAGTGCTATCCACTCAGGACTTAAAAGGTTACTCAAAAACTAGAATTACTATCATAGATTAGATAAATGTATTCAAACACAGACAAATCAAAAATAAATTGTGGATAAAATCTAAAGAAAAGATTGACAAATACATTTTTGGCTAAATTTTAAAAAACCAGATCAGCCTTTGATTTCATAATTCTGCCTTGACTCTAGTTACATAGATAATAAAAGGTCATCAGTGATAAAGCGGCAGATGAACTCCCACAAGATTAACATGGCTCACACAACAGTGTTATGTGTAGGCCCTGTGCAATATAAATAAAGTGGAAAGTGGACCATCAGTAAATCTCTTGATTTTAATTTGTTTTAATAATCAAAACAAATTTAAAAGACCCTTGAAAAATGTGCACCAAATGTGATGGTTTCCGTCAATTTTTTTCGTCTGGTATCACATTTAATTGGTTTACTATATGAAAGTAATCACTTTGTTTCTACTCTGTGTAAAAAATACAAAATCCATTAATCAAATGTGGATCTGACAATATGAAACAAACTTCCGCAGCTCATTCCGTCAAAGGAGCACGTCCGTTACACAAATAGAACTAGCCACTATAGAAAATTTGACTGAAGTATAAAACAGTTATACATTAATGTATAAAATGTATAAAACACTAATGTATAAAACAGTTATCTTTGTTGTGAGCAGATTAATGGAGTGGTTTGGTTGCAACTTCCTCACCAAAGCATTACATAGACAGACGATTACTACAGACTTTTTAAATATACAAAATGAACTGCACATTGTCAAACTGTAAGAGTCTCACAGTGGTTGCAGGACGCTTGCTTACTAAACAGTAAAATGTCAAACTGGGTATAATCCTTTCCCAGACTTCAAAGTCTTAGTAGAACAGGAGCAGTCAGAGGTGAAATCATGCAGCCACGTTAATGACTGAGGAATGTGGTGAAAACATAATCCACATTTGTCTGCAGCATCACGAGACCATATCTGCTACAACACAACGATGACGATGAGGATCCCACATAGGGCTGTCTTCATATTTTAAAGGCAATAAATTATAGGCAAATTCACTCAACAATCTCAATTTAAATGGACTTTTAATGGTCTGTTTATGTCACATTAAAGGTGCCATATTACAATGTTTGACTTTTCTCGGATCTAAACATGATTATAGGGCTACTTGGCCTTCATACACGAGTTGTTTTTTCATTGATTCCCTCAAGCTTTAGTTAGAGAGCAAGAGCACAGAAACGAGTCGTTTCAAATCGTGACGTGCACCAATCTGTGACGTCCAAAGCCCGCCTCCAGCGTCTGGTCCATGGACAGTATGCGTCTGTGCTTTTTGTCTTAGCATCATGAGACTTGGAGAAAATGTGTTTTTGGGTGCAAATATGTGACAAAAGTATTTGGCCCGAAGACGGAGAATGAGGATCTTCCTCTGAAATGCACAACAAAACTCGCAGATGTTTTTTTTTTGCAAGTGACAATGACATTTCACCAAAGTTTGTTCCAGAATTACAGTTACCTTGAAACGGGACTTTCTCAAAAGTTGATCTGGAAACCTGGTGTAATTCCCACAATAAAAGATGCTAACGGGAGCCTCGGTCTGTGAGTACAATGCTACTAACTCGCCGTATACTTCTGTAAACTAGATAATTAGGGTATGATTCTGAATCGAGGACATTGGAGTCAATGTGACGGGGAGCCTAACTTTAAAACCAAAAAAATTTAACTTCTTTATGTATAAAAATTCCATCCAGTTAGTGCCTCGCTGTAAAAACAGTTCTCACAAAGCTCTTACGAGCATGCAAAAGATAACATGCATGTTTTTTACTAGGATTTTGTTTGATTTGAAGACTTTATTCTGTCGGGGCAAACAACATGTATCTGGTAGTTTTAACTTGAAGTACATTGAGATCTAGGCTCAGCCGCCTCTGACACTCAAATCTAGAGGCATACTGTGCTCAGATGAACTTGACTCATTGGTGAGGAAGAAAACAGCATCATCTGACTCCCCTGACCGCATAATTTCTCATGGTTCACACTCAAAATCAAGTGCATATAATGTGCCAGCTCCGGACCCACACGTGTCTCTCACTGTTCAAGCTACGGCTAATTTCAGGCCGAATACTTCAGTCTTCTCGGTGCGGAACCCAAGAATCAAAGAGCAGTTGTCCGTCAGAGCATTGCAGGAACTCTGTGAAAAGCAGCTTAGGGGGATTTGTCTATGGAGTTTCACTTTCCCAGAGTCTATAGTGAAGTCCATCTGTTATCACGGTGCTCAGAAATCTCCTCACACAAAACACTCCAACTTCAGCTGATAAAAGACAAGCTTAAAGAGGAATAAAAGACAAGCCTGAAGAGCAATAGTTTTTATAGTTTTGAAAATCTCATCTAAAAAAGGAAATCTGGCTCAATTTTACTTCCTGATATTAAAATTATGATGACGTCTCCGTAAGAATTTTATATTGTGCATGGGGCAATAGCTCCTCTATTGAAACAGATGACAGATCTATTTTAGTGAATTTGTTTTTAAAATGACAGTATTGTATCAATTATTTCAAACATTTAGATCAATTTTGCATCTCCCTTTATGTCAACATCATCTTGACATCTCATCATGTTTTCAAAGATCACATTTAAATGGAGTGTTTCTACCTTTTAAAGCACTGCAACAAGAATCCATTCACCCATTCATACACCAGAAATGCCGACACAAGGCGGGATAAATGTCTTGCCCAAAGACACAACAGCAGCATTCATCAATGGGAACTGTTTAAACATCTTCCATATAGCATTCTTTCTGTGTACAACTGACCAACTACTGCCATGCACATTCATTGTTACAAAATGTTTTATCACTTATTGTCTTACCAAATTAAGTTCAAATTAGAAAACGATAAAAGCTTTCATATGCATTTAAGTGTGGCTTTCCCATAGTTCTGACAGTGTTGCAGTGATAATGGGGAGGAGAGGGAGACAATGCCACTTAGCTCTTTAATTATACCATCAGACGAAGGACGGTGCTGTGTGACATTTAAGAGGTAATAACCAGTAGGAAACCAGCTGAGGTCTACAGCTGTGAGCGCTGAGAAAGGCCAGGGAAAACATGGGACTCCAATGACATGAAAGACAGTGCCATATTTACACGGTAATAAAGTGCTGAAATTGGTTGCGATTTAGACCAAACCAACCAATGTACTATGACTTCTCACATGGTTCAAGCTTTGCTCAAACTATAGGGAGTTATCTCAAACATCTCAACAGAATAAACCACTGTATATGAGTTACTTATTACTTTTCTTTGCTTACTAACACTTCAGAACACTTCTGGCAGAAAATCTCTAATATGTAATTTCCCCATAATAATATTGCAGGTTTAAAAAAATATTATTATTCTGGTCAACTGGCCTTTTTTCACTCTGTTTGCAATAAAAAAAACATTCTGGTTAATGCCACCCATGGATCTATTATGATGCCACCAGAATCTATAAATACCGAAGAGTAAATAAAAACAAAGTCACTCACCTCTGCTGTTGTGCAAGGGCTGAATTTTCCTGCAGAGATAAAAATGAAACAACAATTTCAGTGGATATTACATGATGTTTCTATGAATAATATCTCTGTATGTGATAATAATATCTCTCTGTTAAGAATGAAATTATTAGACCGGATCTATAGCAGTAAGATCTGCAAACATGTGATCGATGAAGACGAGTGGAATGAAAGCCCTGACTTTAACAAAGGAGTAGACACATATCTCCGGGCAGAGTCTCTGTGCGTACAACAGGAACAGCTGACCCAAATAACAGATGACTTTTTGTAGTAAGATAAACGAGAGGAGCTTTGACATCAGTGTGTGACCTCAGCAGGAGAACAGCCACGTGCTCCATCATGACAACCCAATGAGAAAGTGACTGGCTGCTGTAAAGGTAACAAGTGAATACAGTACAGAGCTAATGAAAACTGTATATGACAAGTACACATATATGAAGTATTACAACTCCATCATGGGGGGGGGCTTGTGTGTGACTGACCAGTAGTATGTCATAAATTGCATGTATCCAAGTAATAATGATAAAAAAATATGTATACAGTGCTTTTTTTGGACACACAAAGACGCTTCACATGTCATTATTCATTCACTCCAAAAACGGTGGGGAAAAACTAGCCACAGCTGCCCTGGGGCGAGAAACGGTGGTGATGAACTAACCCCTCCAACCACCACCAACCACTCACACACACCAGGCACATTCTAGGCAATGGGGGTGATGTGTCTTGCCTAAGGACACAACAGCAGTTTGGCACTTCGCAGCTGCAGCCGCCCCACTGTGGCACCTGGTGTTCTCAGATGTTAAGTGTCTTGCCCAAGGACACAACGACAGCAGACATCAGTGGGAGTCGGTGGAGAAAGTCTTGTAGTGGGCTCTAACCCACAACTTTCAGGCTCAAAGGCCAATGCTCTGCCAACTGAGCCACTGTCGCCCCAAAGTACGTCTAATGTGTTAAGATATATGATTTAGGTCCAGTGCAGATATGTTGTGCAACTGTTCAAGCTCAACAGAGTTTACTGTGAATTTAATTTCATCAGAGGGTGTTATATTCACTGCATCACTAATAATGCCTTGTAATTGTTATGCCACGGTAGATTTTATACAGTGCAACGCTTGAAATTGTTAGTCAATCCATATCGGAAGACTGATGAGGGTGGCAAGTCATAATCCGTTAGTGTCAGGAATAATTTCTGGGGTTCCTTAGATTAAATGGGAATATCTACAATATTGTATTCAGTAGTCGTAAACAGGGGTCATTTCACATTCAGTGGTAAATGCAGATTCCCATTTGTTATCTATGAAATACATTGTTATTTATTTCTGAAAATAAGATAAAACATAGTAGGGTTGTGAATGAAAATATTGTATCAAAGTGTATTTTTTTAATAAGAGCAGATTATAGAAAAATCACTAAATGGTTTATTATGGCCACATTTGGCATTTTTTCACAACTGACTTCATCGTTCAATTACTTCTCAGCCTCCAGTTGTGCTGAGCCTCAACATCCTTCTGACATTTATTCCTCTGCTTAAACCATCTCAATATGGTCTGACATGATTTGTGCATCAAAGCCATGTGTGATGAAACCACAATTTTAGAAGTAATTTCAAGATTTTTTTCCACATAAATAAAACATTTCTTGCATCATTTACCTGCACATTGTTAAATAGCTCAGAGCCAAAGTCACCCCTTTTAGTCTTTAAATGGTAGATGCCATGCAACTAAAAATAGCCCATTCATTGAAGACTGTGTAAGCTACAGACCACGGTCAGCGTCATCACAGCTGTGCTCCTTCAATGTGATTTGGAATCGACTAAACAGAACAATCGGTGCGATTATTGGATCCGCAGCGCTGGTTATAAGTTGCTGTGGATAAATGCATGTCTCTGGAGCCCTTATGCAGTCCATTATAGACAGGAGAAGATGGATGATGGGTGTATGGCTGCAAACGTGATCCCTGCAGGACATTAGCTTCCGTTTAACACAATGTAATGCAATGAGTCCGGTTTTCAAACTCATGTTGGGGCTGTGGATGCATAGCTGTGACTGGGGAATATGTAGTCCTCACTGTAAATAAAGTAATTTTAATTGTAAATTTGGTGCAAATATTTTCTTCATTACTAAAAAAAGATGTTATAGTAATAGATAGTGAATACTGCATGTTGGATATACTGTATATACATTTTTTGCCATTTGAAAGATATGTGAAGGTGCAGATATATTTTAGTGCAATAGAGATAAAGTCGGCAGGGGCGGCAGGGGCTCAGTTGGTAGAGCATTGGCCTTTGGGCTTGAAGGTCGTGGGTTTGAGCCCACCACGAGACCTACTTCAAGACTCCCACTGTTGACTGCTGTCGTTGTGTCCTTGGGCAAGACACTTAACCCCACTTTGCCTGAAGCCCCCGCTGAAAGATCTCAGACATTTTACAGATAACCTTATATGCTTTAAAATCCATTATATTAATAAAGGAATGGAAATATTGTAAACTGTTTATCATTTCTGCTTAAAAGGATAAAAACAAATCAAATGTGTGATAGTGGAAGAGGACCAGCAAAACCCCCAAAAATATTAATAAACTAAAAAATAAATAAAAAATAATAATAATAGTTCCATGTGCATCGAGCATAATTCTGCAGTGTCCCATCTGCTTCTATGAAACGGTGATTACTGTAGTAACAAATAAAAACCTGAACAGTACATACTCCAGTTATAACTGAAAAACACCACACACTTCCATTCACACACTGTCCCTGAAGCCCACGTGCATGAATAATATGTCAGTGACACATTCAAGATGATAAAACCAGATTAAACAGATTACTACACTGATCTCATGGAATCAAACAGGATTTAAATAAAGTACAAATAACAAATGATCGGATCAATGCATGTGTGATAATTAAAGCAAATCAGGACTTGGAAATATCATACACACTGGACAGCAGGACGGGGAGCAGTGGGAGTGGCATGTAGCTCTTTGTTTATTGTGAAATTAAGTGTGATATAGCAGCTTTGACTTCATCTGGAGAACATATAGATTAGTCACCTTTGCAAGTTTCAAGACATATTCAAGAATAGATTGCATATTTGTAAGCAATAGGGCAAGGAGTAGTCTGTATTATAAATGACCATACACACCTCTGTGGACTATAGAAATAGACAATAGATTACATTACATACAAATAGACATCATACTGTTTTAAAGTAAATCGATAATGTTTGAATTGATGTATTCTTTATATAATAACAGCATGAGCAAATTAATATATATATAGTTTACTGCAATAGTGCACAATAACAAGGCCATATGGTAGGTGGTGGGCCATGTGTTCTAGCCATGTGCCAAAAATGCTCAGATCTAGATGCATAATTGTGTTAGCATAAATTAGCATGAATAGACCACATCATTTAAGAATATATTATGGTATTATGGCATTTTTGCGTAACAGTCTATGATATTTGTCTGGCATGCCAACTGGGTACAGTGATGATCCATGTATGTTCACAGTAGAAAAAGCCTATGTGAAATCCAACTTCAATAATAAAACAAACACGCGTTGGCCTGGCTAAAACAAGTGTATGATTACCTTCACATGCCTGATGCTCCACACGTATAGCTCCATCTTTAAGTATCATCACATCCCTCAGCCCTGAGATCTTCCCGGGGCAAGAGGACGCTCCAGTCGCGGTCGAGGTGCTCCTGGAGGCCCGGTAACCCATCGCCATGGTCCGGCAGCACTGGAAACACACCGCCCATGCCTGCTCCTCGTTGATGGGCTGGTTATAAAGCCTCAATATCTCCTCCAGAGACAGCTCCTCCGCGGGACTGTGTGCGGCCGCAGCATCCATCAAAAAGGCCGAGGATGCACGCACGCTAACCCGGGCTCATGGATGCTATGTCCGGTCTGATGGCGCGGTTGCAGCGGGGCAGGGTGGTGGTCTGTCCGGTGGAGAGCGCAGTTGTGTGTTCCCGGTGTGGAGCGGTCGGGTTTCTGGAAGCTGAGAGCCGCGTTTGTCTCCATCGTCACATGACAGGCCCCCTCCCTCTGCATCCTCCAGAGCCCACGGAGCCGGAGGCAGATTAGCGGGGCTCACTCTCGCTTCGCCATCGAGCCTGAGAAAACATTACAATGCAATATTTCACATTTTGTTCATGTATGTGTGTATATTTTTTGTTTGTATTCTTGACTCCGTCTTGTGTTTTCGGTGAGTTTCGACTCTCTTCATCATTTTTATTTATTATATATCATAACTCATTTAATTCACTTTTATTGTCCCATGGGTGCTATAACTTAAAAGTTGTACTTTATCCTATCTTTTATAATAGGGATTTTTTTTTCCAGTATTTTCAAAATGTTGTCCATCCATCCATTTTCCCCATCTTTCAGTTGGGGCTTTGGGCAACGTAGGGTTAAGTGTCTTGCCCAAGGACACAACGACAGCAGACATCAGTGGGAGTCGTGAAGTAGATCTTACGGTGGGCTCGAACCCACGACCTTCAGGCCCAAAGGCCAATGCTCTACCAACTGAGCTACTGTCGCCCCTATTTTCCTATGTATTGTTGTTATTGAAAAGGAGAGTGACTGTACTGATGCTGAATGGAATGTCCAGAACACTGTGGTGGGTCGGTTAGAACCCAATGATGAGTCAGGGAGTTGAATATGATGATTTATTGAAGCTTGAGCGTATGGATGGGTGTGTGTGTGTGTGTGGTCTTTTATAACGCACACCTTTGACTTAAACACACAAACTACTGCAAACTTTAACTTAAACTTATGAAACACTCAGACACGGCAAAGTAAGATGTGCTCGCTCCACTCCTCTCTCTCGCTCTGTGCATGCAGGGCGCACGCAGGTCTCCGGTGGTCCAAGCTCCGCCCCCTTTAAAGGGCCAGCGTGACAGTCTCTAAGGCAGCCTTTTTAACAGCCGCCCCCGGATTCACCTGTGAATACGAACATCTAAAAGGCTGAAGTGTCAATCGTCCTTTGGTAGAGCAGGGAGACTGACGAGCCTCGCCACTGGCCGGACGTAGGTTCTTCCTTTAACTGTGACTTCTGCCGATCTGATCCTGTCGTCGGGTCCAGGGAAGACTTGTGATACTGTACCTACAGGCCAGAGGGCCTGGGGTAATTGCGGGTCAACAATCATGGCCACTTCCCCCACTTGCAGATTCACTGATTCAGTCCGCCACTTCTGGCGAGCTTGGAGCCCTGGCAAGTAGTGCCTTAGGAAATGCTGCCAGAGATGGTCGGCTAGGATCTGGCTATGCCTCCATCTTCTTCGCCCGAGGGTCTCTGGCCCTTCATAAACAACCTGTGGCAGTGAGGCATCCCGCCGCCCCATGAGAAGGCAGTTGGGGGTGACAGGGTCTGGATCTGCCACTTCGGATGAGGTGTAGCCGAGGGGCTTGGAATTGAGCATCCCCTCAACTTCAATCAAAACGGTGCGTAGTACTTCCTCTGTGACTGATTGAGCTCCCAGGGTGACGCGAAGAGCGGCCTTGAGGGAACGGATCTCACGCTCCCAGCATCCGCCGAAATGCGGTGCTCCAGGGGGGTTGAAGGCAAAGGTGATCTGCTGAGAGGCCAACTGATCTTGGAGGTCAGGATGAAGAGACTGGAACGCCTCTCGCAACTCACGGTCTCCTCCGCGAAAGTTAGTTCCCTGGTCACAGAGAATCTTTTTGGGCTTTCCTCGTCTGGCGATGAATCGTCTCAGGGCCATAAGGAATGCGTCAGTGTCTATACTGGGAATCAAATCGAGATGCACTGCTCTTGTAGTCAAACATTTAAACAGTATCCCCCACCTCTTCTCATTCCGGCGCCCGATCTTGACGGTGTATGGCCCGAAGCAATCTACGCCCGTGGAGTAGAAAACAGGCTTGAAAAAGCGAAGTCTGGCTGGAGGGAGATCAGCCATCCGTGGGGGATGTGGTCGACCTTTCCACTTCTTGCACTCCGCGCAGCCTCTCTGGTGGCGACGCACTGCTTCACGTCCACGTAACACCCAGTACCTCCTTCTGATCTCAGCAAACACCCTCTCTGGCCCTGGGTGCTGGAGCTTTTCGTCATAATCTTGTATGATGAGACGGGTTAGTGGGTGTCGGGGGTCCAGGACGATGGGGTGCACCTCATCTACTGCCAGGTCTGGATTGCGGCGTAGGCGGCCTCCTACTCTGATGAGCCCGGTCGCCTCATCAAACTTTGGAGCGAGCAGAAGAATGCGGCTGGACCTGGATACTGGTTTACCGGCTTCCAACTGCGAAACCTCCTCTGGAAACGACTCTCTCTGGGCTTGGCGTAGAATCTCGAGCTCAGCCGTGGTATAGGAATCAGCTGTCGGAGTGTCACTGGAACCGGCCGCCCCGTGCAGCTGACGCGCAGTGGCCTCCAGGTAGCTGCCCAGCGTCTGGTACTGGAGCGGATCTGGAACAGTAGAAGCTGACATGGTTAAAACAGTGTGTTTCAGCTCACCTTCAGGTTCACTCTGGACTGCGGGCAGGGGTTCAGGCCAGTCACTTGAAGCTTGCTTCAGAAATGGAGGACCTCCTGTCCATCTGTTGCCTCTGCCAATGTCTCTGAGAGTGAGGCCACGGGTGATGTCATCTGCTGGGTTGTCTTTCGAAGGCACATATCTCCAAGTGGCGGCTTCGGTCAGCTCTTGTATTTCGGCCACACGGGTGCCCACGAAGACTTTGTAGCGGCATGAATCTGAGCTCATCCAGGTTAGGACAGTGGCTGAGTCAGACCATAGAGTGCAGCTGCGGATGGAGAGGGTTAACTCTGTGCTGATGACTTTGCAGAGTTGAGCACCAGTAAGGGCAGCGCACAGCTCCAGGCGGGGTATGGACTGCTGCTTCTTGGGGGCAACACGTGAGCGCGCTGCCAGGAAAGCAATCTCCACTTCTCCATTGGTGTTCTGGGTCCTCAAGTATGCCACAGCTCCATATGCTTGTTCTGAGGCGTCGCAAAATACATGAATGTCTCTGATACTTGTGGGCTGGTCCATGCAGCGGGTGGTGTAACACCTGGGCAGGGTGATCTTGGGTAGGTGTGCTAGCTCTTCTTCCCACGCATGCCATTTCTCCAGGAGCTCTTTGGGAAGCTGCGGATCATCCCAATCCCTCTTCTTCTCCCACAGGTGCCGAACAATGACTCTGGCCCGAGTGGTGAAGGGCACTATGTAGCCAAGAGGATCATACTGGCTGGCTAACACTCTGTATATGTTCCTCATGGTAGCCACTGGGCAGTCAATGTCTCTGTGTTTGTAGGTGAGCGTGTCAGACTCACAGTTCCAATGCAGGCCTAGTGCGGGCTCTGGGACATCAAGCTGACCTTGACTGAGCCACAGATCACAACTGGATGATCTTAGGTCTGGCGGGAGGTGACGAACAATGCTTGGATCATTACTAGCCCACTGTCTGAGCTCGAATCCGCCGCTGGTTAGGAGATGGCGTAGCTTGTTTACAAGAGCCTTGGCAGCGTTTGGTGAGGCGAGACTCTGCATGCAATTGTCCACATAAAAGGACTTGTTGATAGCAACATGAACATCGTCGTGTGGCTGGCTGTGATCAAAGACGTGTTTCTGCAGAGCAAATGTTGCACAGCACGGACTGCACGTAGTTCCAAACGGCAGTACCTGCCACTCATAAACCTCAGGCGGACTGTCTCGCTTCATGTCCCTCCATATAAAGCGCAGCAGTGGTCGGTCTTCAGGGAGGAGCCTAACCTGGTGGAACATACCACGGATATCACTGCTGAAGGCAATGGCGTGCTCTCTGAAGCGTAGCAGTACAGCTAACAAAGCTGGGCCAAGAGTGGGACCTGGTAATAGGAGCTGGTTTAGGTTGTGACCTTGGTGCTGGAATGAGCAGTTATACACCACACGATTCTTCCCATTATGTTGGACCATATGGTGGGGTATATACCAAGTTTCTGGGCTGCTCTCCACTTGACTGGGTGTTAGCTTCACCACATACCCGGCCTCTACCAGCTTCTCAATCTCTCTCTGATAGGCAACAGCTTGTTCTGGGGCTCGAGCTAAGCGCTTCTCTGTACCTCTCAGGAGTGGCAGAACAGCTTCTGGAGTGGTTTTGAGGGAGGGCATGTCTTTTACTCGGAGGAGGGGTGTGGCATATCGCTCTGTGCCATTAATGTTGACTCTCACTGTCTGCTCTTGTAGGAGTTTGACTGCCTCTTGGTCTTGTCTTGATCTCACGACCAGCTTCTCACTGCGGTACGGAAGGACGTCCATCTGCCACAGCTTCTCCACACATGCAAACAGCTCAGAAGGTGAGGGGACAGATGTAAAGAGGCAGTTACTCACGTTAGGCCCGGACTGGACATCCCGAGCTGGCCCCTGCAGTGTCCATCCAAGGAGAGTCTTCACTGCAGCTGGACCACCACGGGGTCCCCATCGAACAGGCTCTATCGGTGTGATAAGGTGCGTGTAGTCTGCACCAATCAGCAGCATGGGATGGGCTCTGTTCAGCGTGGGGAGGGGCAAACCTGATAGATGTTTGTACTTTTGCTGGAGCACAGCGACTGGATGGGAGTGCTCTGCTAAACTCAGCGGCTCTGCTGTAAATGCGTTGTGGATTTCGTACACCTTCTCTGGGTTGCCAGCTGGAGAAATAGAGAAGGACACTGATGCTCCATGAAGCCTCTCCACCTCTTGTTTGACGGTGCGGAGGGCTAACACTTCTTTACTGCCTTTGAGGCCCAACTGTTTAGCTGCCGAATGGAGGAGAATGGTTCGCTCAGAGCCGTCGTCCAATACAGCGTATGTTTCCAAGCACTGGTCTCCATTTCTCAGAACCACCTTACTTATCTTCAGCAGCACTTTACAGTTGTATACTGGGCGATCAACGTACATAACTTTATTGGTGGTGTTTACAAGACAGCTCTCTGTGGGGGGTGTAGCGGGTACCCGTTCCTCCTCTGACCTCTCATTGACCTCATGCAGCACTAACAGGTGTCTCCGATTGCATGTTTTACATGGGGCTTTGAGTGTGCACTTTGCAGCCTGGTGATTACGACCACAGCGCCAGCACTTATTGTTAACTTTGATCCATGCCACCTTCTGCTCTTTGCTCAGGCCTTTAAAGTTGGCACAATTATTCAAAAAGTGCTTGTCATGGTCGCAGTAGGGACAATAAGCTCTCATCTTATCTGCACTCTTTGGTTGGTTGGCTGTGTGGTCTGGTGCAGGGGTTAAGGCTGACTGTGGTGCTGGGGCTTTCTCTGTGCTCAGAAGGACTGATGCAGACTTAGTGGAGGATTTATGAGGGCGCTTGGTCTCTGCTTTCTTATTGGACCAATCCTCTCTCTTCGTGGGCTTAATGCAGTCTTCCTGTACCTCCAACTCATATTCGAGCCAATCCGCGAAATCAACTAGGGTGGGAATGGCAACTCTGAGTGGGTGAATGAACCTCTTGAAGTTAGCATTAAGGTCATGCGGGAGTTTACTCAGTAAGCGTGACACATGTGAGCCACATATTAGCTCTATCTGGCCTCTCTGCCCCAGCTGCTGTAACATGCCAACTAAAGACCGCACAGTGAGCGCAAAGAGACGGAAGCTACTCACATCCCCACTGCGGATATTGGGAGCATCCATGAGCTCTGCGATGCGCTGCACAGCCAGTTTGTGGGGCTGTCCATACATTTTGGTTAGAGCCTGCATGGTGTCTGTGTATGGCTGCATAGAGTTACAGTACGAATCGGCCACAAGTGAGGCTTCCTCACACTTAAGGTGGTCTGTGAGGATCTGGTATTTGTACCGCTCTGTGGCGTCTTCCGGTAGGAGGTTCTCTAGTGCCACTTTCATCCTGGAGAACTCTCTGGGGTTTGGTGCAGTGAGGCATGGGATTGTGGGCTTTGGTCCCCTATATGTGCGCTCCCTCTGTGGGTTATGCGCATAGGCATTCTGAGTGTATGAGGGGTAACTGCCTGTATATGGAGTGCCGTTCTGTGCATCACTTACTTGGTTGTAAGAGTGAGCTTGAGATCTCTGCCCATACAGGTCTGCACGGGGAACACTTTGCTGGGGAGTGGCTGCATAGTATGGGGGGTTAGGCAGAGCTCCAGGCACTTGGGAGACGTCCAATCTGGAGAAAACTTGTGCTATGTTATCCCGGGGGCTGGAATAATATAGCGGTTGGCAGGCTGGAGCATTAACTTGGGGTTGGAGCTGAGAGCGTTGTACATAGTTACCACAATCTGCACTGCGAGGTAACTGGGAATGAGGCTGGTGGACTGCGGACTGGGACTGGGCTTGGAATGCAGTCATCAGGCTCTGGAACTGGGTACGGAGCTCAGCATTGTCCCGACGCATCTCTATGAGGGCAGCACTTAACTCTGGGATGCAGGTGGTCTCCTGTCCTCCTGTGGCTCGAGCTGGAGAACTGGAGAGCTCTGGCTCCTGTACTTCATCAATACCTTCAAAGTTCTGACTGATAGGAGATATGGATCTTGGCGGCGAATGCTCTCTCTGTGGAAGACCCGTGGCTCTGGATGCTGACTTGAACTGGCTCTGGGCCCCTGGTCCACTGAGATCATACTCTGCCAGGTGAGCGGGCACTGAAGTCCGTCTTACAGGTCGGAGGTTACTTGCTTCTGACTCAGGGTTTTGCATCTTCACAGCAATCTGGAATCCGGCTCGAAGGACCAATTGAAAAGGAGAGTGACTGTACTGATGCTGAATGGAATGTCCAGAACACTGTGGTGGGTCGGTTAGAACCCAATGATGAGTCAGGGAGTTGAATATGATGATTTATTGAAGCTTGAGCGTATGGATGGGTGTGTGTGTGTGTGTGGTCTTTTATAACGCACACCTTTGACTTAAACACACAAACTACTGCAAACTTTAACTTAAACTTATGAAACACTCAGACACGGCAAAGTAAGATGTGCTCGCTCCACTCCTCTCTCTCGCTCTGTGCATGCAGGGCGCACGCAGGTCTCCGGTGGTCCAAGCTCCGCCCCCTTTAAAGGGCCAGCGTGACAGTCTCTAAGGCAGCCTTTTTAACAGTTATTGTTTGACCTGGTTTAGATCTGGTAACCGGCCACGTTTTTTTTCCTTTAGAACCCGGTCTATCCTTTTTGACCGCAAATCACCTCTATTCAGTGGGTTTAGTTTGCACCTGAAATACACAAGGGCTATACTGTCCTTACACTGAAATAAACAGTGAATATGCAAGTTATTTCTTGTATTATTTTAGTGCAGAATCCAAGTCACCTGACAGCATATGACTCTGCATGGAATAATCTGGAAATGATCAGCTATCACTATGTTCCTTTACACAAGAGTTCTGTTAAAATGGATAAGAAAATAACATGGTAATTTGGCACTGCGTCTACAGACCACTTTTCTCTCCTGAAAGCGAAATTCTTCTAAACACCCACAATATCCTTAATATGCCGTTTTCAAATGTTCTACCTCCAACAGACTATTTTAAAATGGAAAACCGTACATATTCAAACATGTTAAAATGATTTGAGTTTTTATATTTTTATTCACCATAATTACTTTGTTACGGATAAATCTTATTCCATAATTGAATGACACAATACATCTATATAGATCTCTTCTGACAGCAAAAATTCACAACATAAGACGACACGCACTCATAAAACAACTTTACAGTTTACACACAAACCACAGCTGCAATGGAAACAGTGGCTTTCCATTTGTAAACCTGATGATACACAATCGACACAGCTACACAACAACACGTATGGAATGTCAAATTCTCACTTCACTTCAAAAATGATTGTGTGTGTAAACAAAAACTATATCAAACATATATTTCCCTTTGGAAACCTTAACCAATTAACCATAAGATGAGCGCATGCAGTGATGTCACATAAGCAGCTCAATGGGTGTGAGTACTATGAGGCCAATGGACAACAGGAGGAAGGGGACGTACCAAAAACATAAATAAAAGAAACAATAAAACACATTTTAGGTTTTGAAGTCCAGTAGGTTGCAGTCGATCTTATAGTAGACATATGGATAATATTCCTGTTGGCTCAGGTTCAGTCCTGGGATGTCCATTGCAGCCTGAAAGAGCAATAGATTTAGTATGAAACATCATTCAAAACAGTATAATATATTACTGAAAATATAAGTATAATGTATTAATAAAAATAACTACATGCGTTGGTAAGTATTACTTTCATATAAACAAATTCTTGATACACAGATGACAATTCACCCAAGAAATGTAGTGACTATAGTTGCAATACGGTTTTTGAACAAAAGGGGGCGCTAAACTAAAGCAAATGCCCCTGTATCAATCCTATAAGACAGTTACTTCTATTAAAAAAGGTCAAATATAACTCTCCACATCCTCTTTTCATGTAAAAGTGAAGACAAAGGATCACTTACATCAATGATAGCCGCTGCACTGCTGTCCAGATGTTTGTACAGATCGTTCAGCACTTCCCTCAATTTCTTCATGTTCTTCTTGTTTGGCTGAAGAAGCATGGACTGGAAATTCACTGGAAGCCCATACCTATCAAAGAGCGACATTAAAACCATATTTTATCATTTGTTTGAATCTGCTCAAAGTAAAATAGACCAGTGATGTAATTGAAGCACTTTCCTTAAATCCAAATTTATATCACTAGACTTGGTCCCATGATTTAACCAACATTGTTGTGCCCCGGGCTAGACTTAGGCCACTTGCCCCCCACTACACAATTTCAGAAATTATGTGTCGATAGCGTTTTTCAATTAATGAAATAATCAAGATGATATTGAGAGCTTTTTTCTTTTGAAACCTGTGAATTAGTTTGACTCTATTTGCTGCAGCACAAATATAAACATAAGAATTTAGAGATATTTTAACTTTGAGAAAGGTTTAATTCTATTCATTATAAACTGGTCTGAGTAAGGTATAAAAGCTAAAAATAATAATAGGGGTTTTTGTACCTGAGAACAGACTCCACAAATACTCTTAGTGCTTTGATGTGAATCCAGGCAATAAAGGCCTCGCTGAAGTTCACTTTGAGCCACCGCACCAGTGGTCCCTGCAAAGAGAAAGAGAAAAAAGATAGTATATAAAAAAAAAATACAATAAACACATATACAAAAAACACACTAGTAACAACATTATCAATTTTGTTAAAAAAATATGTTAAAAAGCTACATTAACAGCCCTTTGCATGTATGTACTTTATTAGTTGAAGTTGCATGGGAATTCATTAAGTACACTAGTTAATAGATGTAGAATTGTAAAGATAACCACTCAAATACCTTTGTTTGAAAATCTGGTCAATCCAACTTTATCTCACACCAATAGTTTCAAAACAACAACCCTTGATAAATTAAATCTGAACTTACAAATTGTTTCTTTTTATCTGTGGACAGCCGATTCATCTCTTCTTTGTCCGCCTTCATCTCCTCTTCATTGTATTGAAAATCTCGGACTGTGAATCTAAAATGATTTGTATGTTAGCATAAAAATGTTTCTCTTTCACCGTGTATGTCTTAAATATGAAACATACTTATTCTCTCTGGCTTTGTGCTTAAAGTCATCTATGGCTTTTCTAAACAGAGTAACACTGAACAATCCACTTTCGTTGTCTTCAAATAACAGACTGTGGAAATAAATGCACAGATGTGTAAAGGAGAATATACAAGTAACAAATAAATCCACATAAACTCTCTTGATAACTTACTGTGACGATCGCGGCACAACCATCTCGGAAAGACTTTCATAGGTTTTTTGCCACTCGGGGTATGCAGTCCTGAAATCAACATTACATGTCGGAATCAAACGCACATTTAGTATCCCGTTTATTTATGAATGAACTCAGACATACTTTGGTACAACCACTATCAGAGTAATCAAGTACTCTGAATCAAGTACAAAATCCTCCTTCTTCACAATGTCGGCCAGGCTCCTGGTGAGCAGACTCCCCCTGGTGGAAGAGAAGGAAAACATACACTTTAGGAAAATAGATATATATTCACAGTAATAGGTTTTACTTTTTGTAACCAGCCCAGGAGCAATAATAGCGGCCATTCTAACACATGAATACTTTTTAAATCAATCTCATCAACTCTGAGACTCTTTCTTGTCCCTACTGAAGAAAAGCAGCCCCAGAGCATGTTGCTGCCACCGCTGCCACCGCTCACAACACAAATGACACGAGCTTGTCACATGCGTCACTTTTAGAGATCGATGCATGAGTAGAAAAAAAACAAACACTTTAGTCTAAACCCACCGGCTCCAGCTACTTACGCATTCTTTCTTTCGAGGTTTTGCAGGTTTCCCTTCAGGTTATTGTACGCTGAGGCTCGGGCCTTCAAGTCATTGTCAATTTGAGTACCTTGCTGAAAAGACAAAAGTACCAACATCATAAACACATACACAATGCAAAAGGACATAATAAAAAAAATGAAAACTAGAATATTTAAATACATTACCTTTGAAATAATTTCAGATATGTTTTTGAGGGACTGTTTAATAGGGTATTTTGCCATGTCCCATTGAAATCGTGTAATATAGGTCACAAGATCCACTGAAAAAAAATCATTGCCGTTATATTTTGATGGTAAAAACAGATAAATAATTTATTAGTAAGAACAGTCAGTAATACCAAGACACTTTTCATTTCAATTTTTTGTTTGAACTCCAATCATTTTAAACAGGGATAACAATGTTACCTCCATTGGCCAGCAGATTCTCTTGAACTTTGTCTCGGCTGTCCTCTAGCACATCAGCCATGTACTGAGCAACCTTCTTCACCACACTGTGAACAAGCAGAAGACATCAAAACACAGCTCGCCACCAAAAACTTCACCCTCTGGGAACCAATGGAAACCTCACATTCACATATCCACTCTGACCTTGTCCTGAGCTGCAACACAAACACTGGATCACATCAAACACCCTCACATTTTATTGTCAAACTAATGTGATGACAGCTAGATTTATAACTTGGTCAACACAGAGTGCAAGATTTGTACAATAACATCAAAGGGTGGACAAATGCATTGAAGCGGCTCTTTGAATAGAAATGTGAGTCAATTTCACATAGAAGTGACGCGTTGGATGGCCTTCCTCAGTGAACGTTTATTTATCCCGGTTCTGACAATATTTCTGAAAGGTACAGTGCCTTGCGAAAGTATTCGGCCCCCTTGAACCTTTCAACATTTCGCCACATTTCAGGCTTCAAACATAAAGTTATAAAATTTA